CCAATTCAATCGGTGCATATGAAGGTATTGATGAACAAAGTGTTCGTAAATTAGCAAAAACTTTTACAAATAGTTCAACTGGTGATATTCAATCTGCTTCTGGTTTACATAAATATTTAACAAATATGTCAACTGTTCCAGGTGTAAATCCAATTGCTGAAACTCCAGATGAAAGATTAGATCCCAACTCAGACAATTTTGAAGCTAAATATTGGGTTAAAAATATAAAAAAATTATTTGATTCAAATTCAGATTATTATAAACCTTCAAAATTGGGTGTTGCATATCGTGATTTAAGAGCTTACGGTGTTGCTAATGATACTGATTATCAACCTACAGTTACGAATGCATTATGGAAATTGTTACACGAAGGGATTGGTTATCTTAAAAAGGAAGATGAATCAAAGCAATTTAATATTTTAAAACATATGGACGGTATCATGAGACCGGGTGAAGTAACAGTTGTATTAGGTAGACCAGGTGCTGGGTGTTCAACTTTATTAAAAACTATTGCAGTAAATACCTATGGTTTTCATATTGGTAAAGAATCACAAATCACTTATGATGGTTTAACTCAAAAAGATATAGAAAAACATTATAGAGGTGATGTTATTTATTCAGCAGAAACAGATGTTCATTTTCCACAATTATCAGTTGGTGATACATTAGATTTTGCAGCAAGATTAAGAACTCCACAAAATAGAGGTGAAAATGTTGACAGAGAAGCTTATGCTAAACATATGGCTAGTGTATATATGGCTATGTATGGTTTGTCGCATACAAGAAATACAAATGTTGGTAATGATTTTATTAGAGGTGTTTCAGGTGGTGAAAGAAAAAGAGTTTCAATTGCAGAAGCCTCATTAAATGGTGCAAATATTCAATGTTGGGATAATGCTACTAGAGGTTTGGATTCAGCAACTGCATTAGAATTTATTAGAGCTTTAAAAACATCAGCAACAGTATTAGATACTACTCCGATAATTGCTATTTATCAATGTTCTCAAGATGCTTATGATTTATTTGATAAAGTAGTAGTTTTATATGAAGGTTATCAAATATATTTTGGAGATTCAGTACATGCAAAAGAATATTTTATAAATCAAGGTTGGGAATTTCCACAAAGACAAACAACTGCTGATTTTTTAACTTCATTAACAAATCCAGCAGAAAGACAACCACGTCCAGGTTTTGAAAATTCAGTTCCAAGAACTCCAGAAGAATTTGAAGCTCGTTGGAAAAACTCACCAGAATATAAAGCTTTAGTTGCTGAAATTGATCAACATTTTATCGATTGTGAATCATTAAATACAAAACAATTATATCATGAATCTCATGTTGCTAGACAATCTAATCATATTCGTCCTGCATCACCATTTACTGTTTCCTTCAATATGCAAGTTAAATACATTATGCATAGGAACTGGTTAAGACTTAAAGGTGATCCTTCAATTGCTCTGTTTTCTATATTTGGTCAAGTAGTTATGGGTTTAATTTTATCATCAGTGTTTTATAATTTACCACAAACTACAGATTCATTTTATTTTAGAGGTGCAGGTATTTTCTTTGCTGTTTTATTCAATGCATTTGCTTCCCTTTTAGAAATTATGTCACTTTTCGAAGCTAGACCAATTGTTGAGAAACATAAAAAATATGCACTTTATCGACCATCAGCAGATGCCTTGGCAAGTATTGTTAGTGAATTACCAGTCAAATTGTTGATGTCTATGGGTTTCAATTTTGTTTTTTATTTTATGGTAAATTTAAGAAGAAATCCAGGTAGATTTTTCTTTTATTGGTTATTTTGCTTTTGGTGTACATTAGTTATGTCACATTTATTTAGATCCATTGGTGCTGTTTCAACGTCTCTTGCAGGTGCTATGACTCCAGCAACAGTTTTATTATTAGCTATGGTTATTTACACTGGATTTGTTATTCCAACTCCATTAATGTTGGGATGGTCAAGATGGATCAATTATATTAATCCGGTTGGTTATGTTTTTGAATCGCTCATGTTGAATGAATTTCATAATAGAGAGTTCGAATGTACTGCTTTTGTTCCATCAGGTCCAGATTTTAAACAATTTTCAATTGCAAATAAAGTTTGTTCAGCTGTTGGTTCTAGACCTGGTAGTTCGGTGGTTAATGGTACTGATTATTTAAAAGAAGCTTACAACTATACTAATGGTCATAAATGGAGAAATTTGGGTATAACAATTGGATTTGCTGTTTTCTTTTTAGGAATTTACGTTGCTTTAACAGAATTTAATAAAGGTGCTATGCAAAAAGGTGAAATTGTTTTGTTTTTAAAAGGTTCTTTAAAGAAACATAAAAAGCAAATGCAACAAAAGCCTCATGATTCAGAATATGGTGGTATTCCGAATGAAAAAGTTTCATATGAAGCAGCAGCAGAAGCTCAAAAATTTGAAGAAGGTGATGGTTCAGTTACTTCTAGTCCAATTCCAGAAAACAAAGAAATCTTTTTTTGGAGAGATTTAACTTATCAAGTTAAAATTAAAAAAGAAGATCGTGTCATTTTAAATCATGTTGATGGTTGGGTTAAACCTGGTCAAATTACTGCATTAATGGGTGCATCTGGTGCTGGGAAAACTACTTTATTAAATTGTTTATCAGAACGTGTTACTTCAGGGACTATTACTGATGGTGTTAGATTAGTTAATGGACATGCGTTAGATTCTTCATTTCAAAGATCAATTGGATATGTTCAACAACAAGATTTACATTTACCAACTTCAACTGTTAGAGAAGCATTACAATTTTCAGCATATTTAAGACAACCAAGACAAGTATCCAAAAAAGAAAAAGATGATTACGTTGATTATGTTATTGATTTATTAGAAATGACACTTTATGCTGATGCATTAGTAGGTGTTGCTGGTGAAGGTTTAAATGTTGAACAAAGAAAAAGATTGACTATTGGTGTTGAATTAGTTGCTAAACCAAAATTATTATTATTCTTGGACGAACCAACTTCAGGTTTAGATTCTCAAACTGCATGGTCTATTTGTAAATTAATGAGAAAATTAGCAGATCATGGTCAAGCTATTTTATGTACTATTCATCAACCATCAGCATTATTATTAAAGGAATTTGATAGATTATTATTTTTACAAAGAGGTGGAGAAACAGTATATTTTGGAGATTTAGGTGAGAATTGTCAAACGCTTATCAATTATTTCGAGGGAGAAGGAGCACATCCATGCCCACCAAATGCTAACCCTGCGGAATGGATGTTGGAAGTTGTTGGAGCTGCTCCAGGTTCACATGCCAAACAAAATTATTTTGAAGTTTGGAGAAACTCAAAAACTTTCCAAGAAGTTCAAGCTGAATTAAACAGAATGGAAGTAGAATTATCCAAATTACCAAGAGATGAAGATCCAGATTCAAAATTAAAATATGCTGCACCATTATGGAAACAATATGTTTTAGTCAGTTGGAGAACCATAGTTCAAAATTGGAGATCACCAGGTTATATCTATGCCAAATTATTTTTAGTTGTTTCATCATCATTATTCAATGGATTTTCATTTTTCAAGGCAAATAATTCTCAACAAGGATTACAAAATCAAATGTTTTCAATTTTTATGTTTTTCATTCCTTTTAATACATTAGTTCAACAAATGTTACCATATTTTTGTAGACAAAGAGATGTCTATGAAGTTAGAGAAGCACCTTCAAGAACTTTTAGTTGGTTTGCATTTATAACTGGTCAAATTACTTCAGAAATTCCATATCAAATTGCTGTTGGTACTATAGCCTTCTTCTGTTGGTATTATCCAGTTGGATTATATAGAAATGCTGAACCAACAAATTCTGTTAATCAAAGAGGTGTGTTGATGTGGATGTTTTTAACATCTTTCTTTGTTTACACTTCAACTATGGGTCAATTGTGTCAATCGTTTATTGAAATGCCTGCTAATGCTGCTAACTTAGCTACATTATTGTTTACAATGTGTTTGAACTTCTGTGGTGTTTTAGTTACAGGACCAGAATTACCAGGGTATGTTTTTTAATTATTTTTTTGAAATTGAAGCGTTGCTTCTTTTCTATTCTTTATAACAATGTCTTACTAACTTTATGTTTTTTAGTTTTTGGATTTTTATGTATCGTGCCAATCCTTTCACTTATATGGTTCAAGGTATATTAGCAACAGGTTTAGCTCATACAAGAGTTATTTGTGATGAAGCTGAATTATTAAAAATAAACCCACCATCAGGCCAATCATGCAGTCAATATTTAAGTGCATTTGCTGAAAAAGCAGGTGGATATATTGATACAGCAAATGGAGCATGTAGATATTGTGCTATGAGATCAACTGATATATTTTTAAATAGTATAAATGCTAGATATAGTGAAAGATGGAGAAATTTTGGAATAGTGGTTGCTTTTATTGCTATTAACGTTGTATTAACAACTTTCCTTTATTGGTTAGCAAGAGTTCCAAAAGGTAATAGAGAAAAAAAACACAAATAAATTAATACTTAGAAATTTTTATTTTAATTTAATACCCGTTTACATATAGAATTATAGTGATTAATAATATAGAGTTTGCATTAGTTAATTATTACTCTTTTAGTCTTAATTCATTAGAAGTAACTCGCTATTTATACAATTTCAATCAAAAACTCTTACTCCAACGCAATTTCATTGATTTGATTAATGAAAAAAAAGACGTGTTTCAGAATTTAGCACGAGAGCTGAAAGAAATTTGACTATACAAAAATTGCATTTTAACATCTAACTTTCATCTAAATGAAAATGGTCAAAAGATGAAAGAAGGACCTAAGATGGTGATTGTTTAAATTTATTGCGATTTGGTTTCAAATCTCAAAGTGATTGATACCGAATTATTGATACTAAGAATCGTAAAATCTTTACTCATCAGGAAATAATCAAGAAAATATATTGATTCTTTATATTAAATTATATTAACTGATTCTAAGCTTTACCTAGACTTACTCACAAAGTACCAAAAGCATCTATTTTTTAGCATAAGAGAATATTATGTCATTACCAAATTTTTCTTTCAAACTTGACAAATCAACATTGTCTAGACAATTTGTAGATAACTCTTCATTTTCAAATTCAATGAATGATAGATTTCTTGGTTTAATGTATCTAATTAATTCCAATCCAGCATAATCTTCAAAAAATTCCTCAACTTGATTTTTATTTATATTTTTAATGTTGTCTATATTTTGTAGAAGTAATATTTTATTGGGTGGTAAATTTTGCCAGCTTTTTATGTCAATGGATGTTGGTTGTTCTTTTGTTGATTTAGAGTCTTTTTTGGATGCTTTTTTCTTGGTGAGTTTCGATTTTGATTCTGCTACTTTCTTTTGAATTTTGCTTTCTTTTCTTGAATTTCGTCTTGAATTTATTTCGTCCTTGTCTTTATCGAATACATCATCACTGTTAGATTTAGCAAAGTTTACGTTAATAGGTTTATCAAATAACTCTTTTTTATCTAGATCTTTCACAGCTTTTGAAGCAATTTCGATATTATCAAATGTTATGAATGCTTGACCTTTTAACTTTAAAGTCTTTTGTATTAGTATTTTGTTCGGGCTATAGTTTTGAAGTAGTGCTTGTAAACTAGATCGTAGTTTGTTTATGGATACTTTATCATTTATGTTGTTTACATAGATTGTTTGCTTTGGTTCGATTGATGTCATGGATGGTTTATCACTTATATTGAATGTTTAAATATTTTAATCTAATCAAAAAAGCGCACTATTAGTGTATTTTCCAAGTCTGCATATAAGTCAATGTTACATTACGTGTTATTATTAATCTTGTCAAATACATTTCTTAGATTTATTTGACGAGTTAGGGATGAAGCATGCTTACAACAGGAAGCTCAATTGAGCAAAAAAGTTATTTTTCAAGATCTTTCAAATTAATGTTACTTTCAAGTTTAAATACAATTGCTTTATTTGCTGTGATTTTGTAAAAAGACTTGTTAAACGTAACTTTATTTTACGTTTTTTCGCAGCTAAATATGTACTAATTTAAATAGAACAACAACTTTTAGAACAGTCCAAAAATGAGCTAAATAAACATCAAAATAGCTTACAAACATTAGAATCTCTCAAAATCTACTAAAATTACATAAAGACTAATTAATTATTTGAAAATTTGTAAAGAAACCTACCAACACAACTAAACTTAAACTTTGCAACTCTACTTTCTTCTTTTGCCTCTAGCTCTTTCAAAATTCCTACCTTTTGCAGAAATTCTTTCTGCATTACCTTTATTATGACCATATTCAAAGTGTCGGACAGCTTATTTGGCAATTAGTACTATAACAATTAAAATATTTCGACCTTTCAGAGCTCTTAAAGCTAATTGTTTTGAAGTGATCGCTTTACACCATTTTTTAAGATTTTAGATAAAAAAAAGGATTTTTCAGGTTGGTTGTATCTTTAAGTTAAAGATAATTTAGAAGATTTTAACATATATTTTTGCATATTAAAATACAAAGGTCTATTGATTTTGAAAATTAGAAATATATTTATATGAGAATTTATGTCGTTGAAACCTGAAACACGACAAATATTCGTTTACTGTCACACTCAGCTTTTTGTTTTGGTAGCATCATTACCAAGCTTACTAACCACAAAAAAAAGTTAAACCAATTAAATAAAAGTAATTTGTAATCATACAATAATAAATTATACCGTAAATAAATTATTAAACACAAAACTCCATTTAATAACAAATATTAATATTAATATTCTATTTTCTAGAAATTTAGATAGAGAAGAGATTTAATTTTTATTATTATTATTACTTTTAGATCTATTATAATGCGCAGAGATTTAATACTACATCATTGATTGTAGATGTTAATAATGAATTTCTTGTAGTTTACTCTATAGATTTTTATTCTAAGAACCTGGTTTTCTATGTTTCAAGGATCGTTACTTCAACATGTTCTGCTAATTTGATATAAGTAATTAGTTTAAATTAAAAATCCAATGTAAAAACTATTACTCTACTATTATATATAAATCTTACTTAATAGTTTACAATTTAATGTATTTCAAAACGCAATATTAAAATATAAATAAAATTAAATATATATTTATAAAATAAATAAATAATCATTTTTCCATTTTCAAATAGTTTTTAAATTCAAACCACATTTTATTTATATATCTTTTCTTTCATTATTTGAGTTTATCAGTTAAAAAATTTAATAATATATTCAATACTTAATATCAATAGTTAGGCAAAATCTACATATATTCAGATTTTAATTATTAATTTGCAGTTCCTACAACCAATTTATTTAAAATTGAAAAAACCATTACATCACATATCATTGGAATATAATACCTCATTTCACGGTTATATTCATCATCATAACAGAAATTAGATCAAAAAATATATCAATCATATACATTTATAGATATTCATACATAAAATAATCAATGTCTTTAGTTGCTTTAAAAAACGGAGTTTCAAAAGTTTTTAGTCAAAATAATAAATCTGATGATGAATTACAAAGAGTAAATAGGTTGTTAGATAATAACCAGAATCCTTACGGATCAACAGACAATAATGGAAATCAAGATGAAAGAGCATCAGCAATAGCAAGAGAAGAAGCAGTCATACAAGCAGCAGCTTCAATAGCATCATCATCAGAGAATAAAGAAGAAGAAGAAATCAATACAAATTTTTTAACCACATTTTTTAATAGATTTGATCCAAGAGTAATGTCGGATATAATTATCGGATTGAGTGATGGGTTAACTGTTCCATTTGCATTAACTGCAGGTTTATCATCATTAGGTGATTCGAAATTAGTTATAACAGGTGGTATGGCAGAATTAGTCTCAGGAGCAATTTCGATGGGATTAGGTGGTTATTTAGCAGCAAAATCAGAATCAGAATATTATCATTCACAAGTTAAAAAGGAAAAACTAGATTTTTTTAAAAAACCAGATTCAATAAATCAAGAAGCTGCAGAAATTATGTTTGAATTAGGTGCAAGTGATACAACAATTATAAGTTTTTTAAAAGATTTAGATTCAAAACCTAGAAATTTAATTGATTTTGTTATAAGATTTGGTAAAGGTTTAGAAGAACCTGCTGAAGGTAGAGAATTTACTTCTGCTTTAACTATTGGATTATCATACTTTTTGGGTGGATTTGTACCTTTATTACCATATTTTTTCACACATGTTGTTCAAACTGGTTTAATAATATCAGTAATAGTTATGTTAATTACATTATTTATATTTGGTTTCATAAAAACTTCTATATCTTTAGGTGATGATTGTGGTAATCATAAAAAAGTTGCTGAGGGAATTCAAATGGTTGCAGTTGGATCAGTGGCTGCTGGAGCTGCTTGGGGTCTTGTATATTTCATAGATAATTAATAATCATATTTTTGCAAAGGTAATAATTTTATACAATGTAGAAATATAGTGAGAATTGTAATATAGTGAGAATTGTATGAAATGTAACATTAAATTATTATCAAGAAGTTCGTCGGTTATAAAGAACGGACTTTAAATTTTTCGACAGTAAGGTAGGACTGATAGTGCTCTTGATTATTGCACCAAAAGTCATATGAGCGTCTGGGTGATCGACTAAAAATTTTGTATTTGCTACAACATCAATATTAGAAACGAATTAATCGTTCATTTAAATGAAGAGCTTATAATAATTTAGTATTATGCTATGAAAACAGCTTTCTCTTAATCTAATTTACATATATTAATTATTTGTCAAAAAATCGTAAGTGACTTCAGCAATTGAAGGAACTAGGAAAATCTATTCGTTTTGACCTGAAACTATCAAATGTTCTTGTGAAAATTCAGTCTCATTTTGCCTTCCCATTTATTGTTTCGTGACCCATTACATAACCAACCAAATTAACTTGAATTCTTTTAAGCAAAGTTGACATAAATGTGCTTTATGCATTTACGATAACTATATCTAAACTTTAAATTTAAATCCATTTCAGTACAACTTTAAAAAAGCCTAAATATTTCGACTAGAAAATTATTATTATTGTATGCACCTTTATAGTTTTTTAAATTTCAAGATTCAATGTAATGCAAGTTAAGGAATTAATGCATTTTTAGTAAATTTTCGTTTAATAAAATTAAAAAAATATCTTATTGTTTTAAATTTGAAAATTTCATATTCTAGCCTGCCAATACTGAAAAAATGATCACTTGCATGTTATAAAAAACAATAGAGGATTTAATAATTTGGTAATAAATTTAATGCTTTGGATAATACTGAATCAGCTGTAGTTTAGTTCATCACATGAAACTACTAAAACTACTAATATCCGTTGATTAGGTTTAAAAAAATGTCAACATTAAGTGCATGTTCGTTATGAGACCCTGCTATTGTTCTTTATCATATCAGAAGAAAAACTTCTTCGTTGACTATACCTGTTTAATTTGTAATTTTGAGTGCGTATTAGTTCATCAGTCTACTGTCTATTTAGTCTTGTGAAGTCCTAATTCTAGGATGAATTATGACATAACTCTAGATAGTTCGAGTTTTTTCTCATTGAATGTATACTTAGACAAGTTTAGAAAGTAAATACATTTTAAGTGTAATCCAGGCGGTGTTACTATCTTTGTATAATAATTGGGAACTTTAGCCGTGTAGATAGTAAATTGTTTGAGTAACAAAACATTTGAACCCCTGTTTCAATAATATAACAGGTAATTTTATTTGTATCGTAAAACTTTCAGAATAAAGTAATAAAAAGGATCTCGTCTAATATAAAAACAAAAACACAATACTGAAAGACATGATACAAACGTTAGACGAGAAAATATTTGCGATAGGAGATATTGACGAAGTCAAAACAAAAACGATGATACAAAATCGTTAGATCCCTAAATAATCAGAGATCGTCGTTGTTCATGAACAATAGAGGAGACATCATTTCGTCCGAACAAAGGACCCTTAATTGATAAATTTGAAGGCGGTAGAATAATATTTTGAAGTATATGTAGTATAATAGATAAGGTTAGTCTCACGGCATTTCTCAGTTAGGTTTTGATATAACAGTTCCTTATTTATCAAGAAGTATTTTAAGACAATTTACATGATGAACAGGATCTGTCACAAAACTGTAGTTAATCAAAATTAATCAAATTAGATCTTTTGTTAATTTTAATTAGTAACTGAAATTCGAGTTTCATCAAGTTTAATGCAATCATGGGAAAAAGGGGTAAGAACTGCAATGAATACTTTGAGCAGTTTGTTCTTAATTTTGATTTGATTGACTTATTGACGTATGTGAAAAATTTTCTTCATCTTTTTTTTTGATAGTATCAATTGTCGTAATCAACTTTCTATTATAAACTGGCATTGACATTACAAATGCACTGAAACGAATTTCCAAAAAACTTCGTCATTTTACTGCTAGACAGTGTTTTTGTAAAAAACAACTAATCATCAAATTTGAAAAATATTATTGATCCAAATTTGGACATTATGATAACTTATTAACGTATATGCATGATTTACTAATTCTAATTACTCTTCAACAAATTGAGTTAAAATGAGATTTGATCCTCAAAACCAATATGTAATTTAATTTTTGATGGTAAATCTCATCGATCTACAATTATTACCAATACTTGTAAATTATGCCGATATATGCCAAGTTGCCGTTACAAATATTATTCTTCTTAATAAAGATGACGTGTCTTTTGTAAATAATTCACTGAAAATGTGGTTAATCTTTTCGTATAGTAGTGTAGCCAATTACGATTGAGATAAATTTAATCCGCTTGTTATCTTTTCGACAATGTTTATAAATATTACGACTATAGAACTATTCTGAAAGAGGAAATATAAAGTAATTAAAAAAAATAACAGCCACATTCAAAGTAAATTTGTATATAGTTTTTGCATAGATTATTAAGGAGTAAATAAGAAGGTACTAAAAAAAAACTTTGTACTGATATATACTTATTTGGGTAAGAATAGTTACACTCCTGAATCAAGACCTAAATTTAATCTGGTCAAAAATGGAAAAACAGGCTTAATTAACTTTAACCTTTATTGCTCTATTGGTTATGTATTTTTTAATTTGTGCTACATACAAATAATTTGTAAAATAAATTTGAACTATCTAATAATAAAAATTAAATTTTGTTTTATTAAAAACAGTACGAGTTAAAATTTCTTTTTAAGGTACGATCGATTTTTTTAAAATTTATCAATTTTGTAACTCAAATCATGTGCTAATAAATTTAAAACTAGATAATAAAATTAATACATAGTTGGTTTCGGAAAAATTTAATAAGATTATAATTTTCCTTTTTCTTATAGCCGGATGAACCCTTTAAAAAACTTGTTGCATTATTTATCTTAGGCAACTTTTTAAACTGAGACAATAATATAGCAAATCACATCTTTACCTTGTTTAAACGTTCAATGCAACTCCAACATATTTATCCGTTTCGAAATCACCAAGGCTTTAATGAGATAGGTTATGAGATATGTTAATAGTAGCCTAAAAGTTCGTTTCAAAGAGTAATGAAATTTTTTAATTTAAGCCCTTGTTATTAGTGGTAACATGTTAAAATGTTTTAGGGGAATTTTTTTTTAATACAAGTTTAACCAAATATAGCAAAACTAAAAAATAAATTTTATTCAGATCCATGTACGCTTTTTTAATTTTACATAACTTCATTATATGCTAAGTAGTTAAAATCATATAAGTAGGTTAAAATATATACAAATTAAACCCCACATGCAAATTTCATTAAGTTATCTACAAATAGATCATTCAAAATAATGAATTACTAAATGATGACATGAAAATCGATAGGTTACCATCTATTAATTGCAAAATCATTTTATATTCTTGATGGACGCCTCTCTCTCGTATAACAAAATAACAAACTATAATCGAGATAACAATATACACAATAGCATGATGAATATTATAATCGCTTAGTAAATTTATTTATTTCTTTTTATCGACATTTGAAAATCAAAAATATAATAATTTATTATATCTTTAATCTTATTGTTCGTGCCTATTCATTATTATAATCGAGTCACTGTACCTTTTCTTAATTTGATAATATTTTCTTGTGTTGCATTTTTCAAAAATGGAGGACCTTTTTAAGATCAAATCTATGACGATACTATATTAATGATTTTTGAGGCATCTACTATCTTCATAATCCCGCTGATGCCCTACTCTACAAAGAAATTTGAGTAAAAATGTAAATTTGTCAACCTAAAATAAATAGGAGAAAGAATATAACTGAAATGAAATTAAAGTAAGAAATCAAAATTTATAAAACGTTTTACATCAAAAACAATAAAAAATAAAAAAATATATGAAATTGTCAAAAAATAACTGACAAAAAGTTTAACAAGGGGCACTTTGATCCATACTTTTAATTTCACAAAGGTATTGGTTCGATTTTGGTTTTTTTCAAAAAGTTCTCGAGTTCTTGCAAACATTAATTAAATGTAGAAATTAATGTAAAACACTGGTGATATCCGAGACAATTAATTGAGAGATTTTTCAAATAAATGTATAAAAGTTAATGTATCAATTAGTTTCAGACAGATATATGCAATTTTCTTCCCCACTCATCCAATTTTTGATTTGCGATTTTTTAAAATTTTTTAATCATGATCAAAAAATAAATGCAATGTTATCTAATAAACTGTAATGTTAATGCAATATATTTCTCGAGTAAAAGTTTAAGTTTAAAATTATATATGGTTTTAAGCTTTTCTATTTCATTCGGCAATTTAAATAATAATTTTTTTTGTCTTTAATTTGAATTTTCTTATCTAAATTGTATAACATTTGATTGTTGTTTCAAAAATTATATGGATAAAACTAGACCTTTGTATTTATTAATAATTGAACGAGAACAAATAATAAGTACAATTTGAAGAAGAAGTCATTTTTTTTTTTTGGTTTTTTTCTGTTTCACTTCTAAAATTTATTCAATCTTAGTAAATGCATATTATACTAAAAAGATTTACTTATCATCTGCTTTTGTAAATTATACATCTATTACAAGTAATTAACGGAATTAATGTTTGAATTAAAAATCCATCGATTCGATTTAGCGGTTCTTGATGACTAATTGACGAGTCAAACATAAGTGTTAGTTTATGAAAACGTCACGGAATGGATTGTAAAAATCATATGGACTTCCAATTGCCATATTTTCCATTGACCTTATCCAAATCCTTGAATTTGTGATCGTACACGAGCCAGTAAAGAAAAAAATCTAAAGATCTCAAATCTTACTAGCCTTAGAGTAGATTCATCTCTCACCCCCAAATCCGTTTAATTAAAGTTGCATAAGCTTACAGTAAACTGTTTAAATGTATAGTTAGTTAAATTATTTAAATTATGAAATTTACCTCAACCTGCTCTCCCCATTAGTTAAAAAAGATCTTTAAATTTATTTTTTTATTAAGCGTAACTTAAATTTTTTTTTTTTTTTTCTTTTTTCTTTATTCTTTTATTTTTGTTGTTGTTGTTGTTTTACTCCAACTTACATTTTTATTCTTTTAAAAAATCTTTGTAATTAAATCAAATCGAGAATTCAGATTTCAGATTTGCTTTGTTTAAAATTTTAATGGTTGTCAATTGATGATCTGATCATTTAAGTATCTGTTTATTCATTAACCAATAATTTGAAATATTGACCTTTATATACATAATTACTCCTATATTAAAAATGTTTCAAATAAGTATGAATGTTCTTAATTGCCTAAGTACTTTGAATTTTTAGTAAAGCTGTTAATTTATTTTTCTATCAAATTTTTAAATATTTCTTACTTTTTAATTTATAACCATGTCTTAGATTTGAGTTTAATAATAAATTTGTTGAGTTTCTTTTTCCTATAGAATGTTTTTAAATATAGTAAATTCAAATTTGACAGCTTATTTTTTTTTGAACTTGTTGATAAGACAATTAAATAAAATAACTATTCAAATTTATAATTGTTAAGTTTAATCGATGTAATAATTTATTTTTTCATGATTGTGACTTTAATTAATAATTAACAGTTATAGTTTTGTGATTATTATAAAAAAAAATTAATTATTAAGTTTATTAGCACAAAAGTTAATTTAAAATTATAGTAAAATAAATCACAACAAAATTTATCAAGCAAGGGGAGTAGTGTAAATTTTCTAATTATATATAATTTTTAATTTAAGTTTCATATTTAGTATCAAGATTTTCACCTTATAAATTATGATCAAAGTTTACATTTGTAACTACATAAAGTTTGTAATCAAAATAGCCAATATCAGTAATTCTATAAAACTAAATCATTTTATAATACTTCATAATATTTTGGTCTAAATTAGTCTTCGTTTGTTGTAAACCCTTTTTGGATTTAAAAAATTCAAAAAAGTTATAACCAAATATTTTTTTTTAATTTTTTATTTTTATTATTTTAATACGTTATACATTTTGTGTTTTGTACTATTGATGTATAAATTAACACAACTAATAAAAGTATTCAGAAATATTATTATTATTTGGTTGGTTGATTATTGTGATTTTTTTTTAAAATTGATTAACGTTTTTTAAATTATTTTTTTTTTTTTAAAATATTTAATTATTTATTTTTTATTATTTATTATTTTTTTTTTTTTAAAATATTTAATTATAAAAATTAATTATATTTTAAAAATATAAATATAAATTAATATCCTCTCTTTTTTAACCTTTAAAATGTTTAACTAAATTTCATTTCAAGAAAAGATTAAAATTAAAGAAAGAAAATTTGAATTCATTAAAAGTATAATGATTAATTAACTTTAATCTATTTATCATTCAGAAATTAAATTTATATATTATTCTTTAAATTTTCTGACATCATTTTAAAAAAAAAAGTATACTTCATTATCCACAAATTAATTCTTCAAAACCAAATACATTTTAAATCCAACGGTTTACAATATTTCAGTACAGACTTTATCAAATCTCAAGTCATCTTCTATCTCCATCATCAATCAATAAACATTTCAGTAGTTCGACTCATCAAAAAAAATTCAAAAAAATCTTTCAGTACATTTTGTATAATTTTGAGTTTTAATTTATTAGACTAACACATATTTCAATATTATTATTTCCAGATTCGATTATACGAAAAAGTCAACTAAAAAATAAATCATATCAATAATTAAAATTATTACTTACAAACTATACATCCTTTCGCCTTAAGATTATAACTTATTGTGATATTATTCGTATATTCGTGTTTCAAATTATAGTAACATTTTTGTCAGATTTGATATTTACCTTTAAAAAAAAACAACATATTAACCTTTCATCATCAAAAGAAACTTGATTAAATACAACATTAAAATAAACAAGTAATAACCATAAACAAAATAATTCAATTTAATCAAAGTATTTATAAATTTCTATTATAAAAAAAGTTTAATTAAAAAAACATTTAAAATTTTTTAGTCTAAATTAAAATTAATTAAAAATTATTAAAAAATTCATATTTCCATTTTTTGTTAACAAATTTAAATTAAATTTTAAAAGGTAAATTAAGAAAGTTTTATTAAAAAGGTTAAAACGAATTTTATTTAATTTATTGGAAATATATAAAACATTGCTACAATAATTGTTATTTTTTTGTTGATAAGTTGATTTTACAACCTTGTATTTTTTTGGTATATCTCAAATTATTATCAAAACAAGTTATCTTATAAATACAAAAAATCTATTAATATTTATTTTTAAGAATTTTATTTTCGATTTCAGGTTTGTCATATAAAATAATATATTATTGTCAAATTCATATTCATTAATTTCTAGAGGAGGAGGAGATAGACAAACTTCTTACTGTTTCAAATATTACGGGGAAATTATAGAAAAAATATTAAAATTATAAACAATTCTATTTTCACAATTATTTCAAGATACAGTAGTAATTTGAATTTCAGACGATTGATATTACATTTTAAAATAGTACTAGTACTATTATTAAATTTGTAAAATAAATACTACTTTACAAGATCAAACGGTAAAAACTTTCCCAAGAACAGAGTTTTAGATATTAGAATCCAACTTTCATACATTCATTAGTATTTGATAATATTATCATTATCAACTACATTTCATTTCATAAACTTTCATGCATTACAAAATTAATTTTATATCAAAAGAATATAATGCCACCATTGCCCTCTGTATCTGAACTACTACATTCAACAAATAAAAAACCCTTAAATTTACAGAGGCAACATGTCAATGATGCAAACAATACAATAACACAAGCACAAAATAATAACAACGTTATAGAGAACGAGATTAAACAGCCGAGTCTGAGACTAGCAATACCTCCCCCTCCTCCTACACAATCATCAAATCAATATACGGATCAAAATCAACGACTACCTTCATTTTCAAACACAATTATTTCTTCATCATCATCTTCATCAATATTTGATAAATCACCGAAAGGAATATCTAATCAAATTCCAAAATTCTCTTCCAGTAGCATAAATTTATATTCACACAATTCAGATACAAACTCAAGACTAAACAGTTCATTACCACTAAGAAGATCAACCGAATCTGCAATTTATGATAACTCGTCAACTTATAATATAAATTTAAATAAAAGATCATCTTGTGATATTGCTAGATCTAGCTCTATACATCAATTGATAAATCATCAAGAACAACCACAACAACCAGCACAACCAGTACAACCACCACCTCCAGCACCACCACCATCACAACCTCATCCAATTCAATTTTTACCTCAAAAATCATCAACCACAAATTTACCTCCTAATTTGTCACAAGATAAAAAAAAGTCAAGTCCAGTGATGTTATCTCCTAAAAGTCAAAAAAAACCGCATAAGAATATATCAACTCAAAATGTATCAAATAGTCATGAACTGATCAATAATACTGGTGCAAGTCATCAAACTCATCATCATATTAATTATTCTCAACCATTTAATTCTAATGCTGGAGATCAATTTCAACCACAAGTAAATTCAACTCAGCCACAACAATTACAACCTGAGTATTTAAGTCAAATGCAACATTTACAACTACAGCAACAACAACAACAACAACAACAACCAATAATCCAAAACTCGCATGTACAAAATATCTATTCTCATCCTAGTATTCAACAACAACAACAAAAACGTTATAGTATACACTTTCCGACAAACTCAAATCCACCACCACCATCAAACTATTTTGTACCACCTCATTATCAATCCGAAATGTCATTCAATTCTCAGCATCCCCCTACACGTCCTCAACCACAATTTTATGGTCAACAACCTTATATTCCTATACCTCCACCAAATCCATACGATCAACAACATGTTCATCTACAAAATTTACAATTACAACAATTACCTCCACCACCACCACCAAATTACCCATACACAAATCAACCCCCAGGTATGCCATTACAACAACAACCAATACCATTGCCGCATCATCATACATTAGGTGAAGAAGAAATATTAATACAGGATGAAAATAATGCATTAATGAATAAAAGAAAAATCATCAAGAAAAGAACAAGAACGGGATGTTTAACATGTAGGAAAAGAAGAATTAAATGTGACGAAAGGAAACCAATGTGTTATAATTGTGAAAGACTGAAAAAAGTTTGTTTGGGTTATGAAAACTTAGATAGTTTATCAAAAAAGAAAAAATTCAGAGATACAAGTTTAGATTTACCAATGTTTCAATAATTAGAAAAGTACAAGATTGTTAGCATATTAATTCATTTCATTTGATTTTTAAGAAAAGTTTTAGCCTTTTTATTTTTGAACTTTTTGTTAATTGATAGTTAATTTTTGGTTATTTTTTAGTTATACTTCGTAAATTATTATGTATTTTTTTTCAGGTAACGATATAATGAATTAATTTAAAAATTTTAATGTAAACTAATTTAATAATTTGTAGAATTGAGTCTCATGGAATGCTGTTACAATGCTGAGCTTATTATGGTTCGTATTGTTTTTGGATATTATGTGGTTCCTAAACCAAGTAAGTATTTTTTTCTAAACCGGGGATATTCTCCCCGGTTAAACAAAGATCGAACAGACTAAAATTTAATTTAAATTTATTAAATGAAAAAATACGCCCTACAACCAAAAAACCCCTTCACTCAACAAAACTCAGAAAGACATTGTGGAACATATCTAAAATTTAAAAAATTACAAATTGAGTGATAATAAGTATAATTTCATCAACAAATAAGGAAAGGATTCCGAATTGGTTAATAATTTTATATCTATTGTTATGAAAAAAAAGGGCTCAAATGATTAATGATAAATTTTACAAATTATTTTTGTGTGTTTGTTTATAATTGAATAATTAATTATATACTAATCAGATTGAAAGATAAACAAATTAATAAATCATTAAGTATTTGTGATATTTTATTGTTTATAAAAAGACAATGTGATTATAGAATTCTAATTTGCAAACGTTTGACACAAAATAAAAAACTGCACAAAATTAATTTGCTATTCGTATATACAGGTTTTACGTTTTTGTAATAAATTAACACAAAAATAAAATAAAATTTAAAATTTTTTAGATTTAAAAAAAAAATAAAAATAAAAATAAGGAACCAAATAAATTTTAATTATTTTTAGTTCATTACACTAAAATATTTATTTAACTAAATTAAGTAAAAAATTAAATAGAATTAGATAATAAGAATTAGAATTTAAATCTTGTAAATCATTTAAACTAATGATTCATCAAACTAAAAGAACTGGATTTTGCCTACTTAGGCTATATTCGATAGAACAATACATTTGAATGCTAAACAATTGAAAAAAAATTCTGTCGTAGATTTAAAAAGAGAAATTAAGGAGTTAAAAATATTTTGAATCTTGAGAGACAAAAACCGCCTTAATAATAATCGATTTTAGTCACAATCTAAATCAATTATCTACCTTTGGCTACATATTCTTTACATATCGAATCGTTTAATTCGAACTTGTTTGTTACTTTACTCTCAGCTTGTTCTTGATCAATTCGAATATGCTCAGAAGATAAAGTAGAAAAATTCTGCTGAGCTGTCAAATGTGTTTATATGAATAATTCTTCAGGCTCAAGGTACAATATTTTTAGGTCTAGAATGAACGATGAAGCACTTTACTCCAGTACTAATGAAGCATATAATATTTCATTTAAATAGTTTCGTGTTTAATTTTTGATTATCATCGTGGCTGATTAAAAAGGAATTGTTTTTAAACCAACGGATTTGAAATACCGTCTCTTGAAACAGATGGTCAAAACCAATTTGTATTACAGTTTGTGCGTAATTTGTGATAAAGTAGTTGTACCCAAAGAAAATTGAAAATTGATTTATAAGGTCATAAATTTGACACAATCAATAACTGTAAGAAAATAATTAGCTCATAACTCTAGTGTTTAAATGCATGCAATGTAATTGTTTTGTCTAGAGCAATTAAATACAAATCTTGTTTGTTCACTACTTGGCTCTCTTAATGTTACCTCTTTGCTGTGCAGTTTGCATTTTGTGGTTTTGAGATATGACTTTAAAGCGTATCTAAGGATTTTCATTCATTTTTATTAGTTGTAAAAACTATGTTTTTGCGGATTAATTTTTTTTTATGAGTTACATTCCAGTCTGAATAAACAATTAAGCGAATTACAAATTATCGTATGATTTTTGCCAAATGTACAATTAAACTTTTTTTATACATAGGTTATAAGTTTACAAAAATTATCGTTATTTGTCAAAGGTGAATAATTATTTCAACAAGCGAAAATAAAATAAAAGGGGTGTATAAAATATTTATAAAACTATGATATTTTGAATAAAATATTGATAGTAGATCAGATCAATAAAGGAGTTAGAAATTTAGCTTCTGACCTCTTCCGATTCAAAAAGTCAAAAACGTTTGATGATTTGATTAATGGTACAAATAATATTGCTTTTAATTACTAACCTCTAAATATCGCATCAAACCGATTCCAGTTATTAGTAGCATTTGCCTTATTTGATGACGTAAGCTTTAGGTGATCGAACTGTGTTACTACGATCTATCTTCCCCACAATATTAAGATGAAATTTTGGCTCACAGAGCTTGTCTCTATCTCTAAGTATCTAGTTAATGCTTTTAGTTTAAAGAAGTTTACAGCTTTATCAGCTCGTATCTCGAAAAGATTTGATTAGTTGAACTATTAGCTACATTAACTAACAAAGATTATATGTCTTTCAATAGTATACGAAATCTCCTATTAAGTCTTCGTAATATTCAGATCTTATTGACTTAAATATATCTTATGAAAGTATATACAGGATACTAAAAGTTGAGTTTTACACTATTAATCTAACGATAGAAAGAATGAAAGTTAATAGTTAGTTTAGAATAAAAAGGAAGGTGAAATCCATTTCTAGTAAATCCTAAAAACTGACTTTAAAACTAAATATATTGTAAGAAGAAGAATCCTTATATAAACTTAAAGATATTATACCTCTTCAAAATTAAAGCAAATATATACTCTACTTTATCTGTAGATGAATATTTAATATTATATACATAATTTACTTTATCTCTTTGTTCGAAATAATTATTATATGTAATATTATATTTATTATATAGATAAAGAATATCTTAATGATATTAAAGAGAGAGAGAAAGATAAAAAAAAAAAACAATAAAATTTAAAAAAAGCTTTTACATTTTTTTTCACTTTTGTCAAGAATATTTTAATTAAGCAACCACATTTCAATAATAATATAAACCTTCATCATAATTGAAAAGGGATTTATTTAATACTATGAATAATCACTAGATTTTTTGTCATTTTTATCTCATAAAAAATAATAGTTGCTCAAACAAAATTTTTGCATATACCCAATTTTCGAAATATAGAGGCATTATCGGCCATCAGATAAAAAGGTATTCTCAATATCAATAGGGGTCAATAAGTTTGTACAAATATCTATTCAGTTAAACACATCGTATAAAGACTTTCACTCATTATAAAAAGCTACTAATTCAATTTCATTCACTTAATCTATTGTCTTTCATTAGTTCAATTTCATAAATTCATCAAATAACCAACACTTCAAGCAGCTCAATATCTGTAATTCAAGGACGACCTTTCCAATTTTAAATACTGATTAAACTTAATATTAAACATATCATTTATCAAATATGTCGGTAAAAGCACGTAAAATAGCGGTGGTTGGATCGCGGTCGGTTGGGAAATCATCAATGACAGTTAGATTTGTTGAAGATCATTTTGTAGAGAGTTATTACCCAACGATTGAAAATCAATTTAGTAAGAATATAAAATTTAAAAATCAAGAATATGCAATAGAGATATTAGATACAGCAGGACAAGATGAATATTCAATAATGAATGAAAAACATTTAATTGGAATACATGGTTATTTATTAGTATATTCAGTAACATCAAGACAATCATTTGAATTAATAGAATTTATAAGAGATAAAATTTTAAATTCGATAGGAAATGAAAATATACCATTGATTTTAATTGGTAATAAAAATGATTTAAATTATCAAAGACAAGTACAATTTGATGAAGGTCAAAAACTAGCAGAAAAATTTAATTGTAAATTTTTAGAAACATCAGTTAAAGAGAATTATAATATAAGTCAATCATTTGAGACGTTAATTGAAGAAATTGAAAAAATTCAAAATCCACCAATGGCCAAAAAGGAAGATAAATGTGTAATAGTATGAAACAGAAGAAGTTGAAAAAATTTTTACGATTAAATAAAAAGGGTAATTAGCCACTAGCAACGGCTACACTTTAGCTTTGGAACTTGTACATGATTTTTTTTATTTTTTTTTCTTTAGCATAGGATGATTAATTATATATATAATAGTAATGATGTTATATTAAATACAATCGTAATGACGCTACAACCTAGTTGAGCTCAACTACATTATGATAACAGCAATCAAAGTGCTCGCAACAACTTTTCATGTACCTTGAATGAATTGATTATACTACGTTGATTTCTGCACAGATTTTTTTTAGTCTCGGAAATGGCTGAAAAGATTTGGTCAAACTTTGAATTTTTAATTATCAAAATTAAATTCAATTTAAAATGTAATTTTTACAATGCTTCTTTTTTGGGTGTAATTTTATTTAGACTTTATTTATAATTTTTGGAGATTAAATAATAAGTCAAATATTCTACTATCTAAAATAATACAAAATCAGAATTGAAAGGGCGCTCTCAACAAAAGCACCAAACGTAAGAATGGGTTTGAGAAGTCTTCAAATGTAGTGTCTCATCTTTGTCCAAAAACAATAATTGTGCATAGTGTGACTAAGAATAATCTGAAACGAAGTATAATTTTTTTAGTTTCGCAGCCAGAATACATTTATGAAACGTCAAAAACGAAAATACACACTCGAGTAATAATCTATATAAATACATTCACCCCCTATAAAACTTTAAACCAAATTCAAAATATAAATTGTAAATTAGTATCAATCGGATGAGATGCAGTTAATTGAGGTTTTTGACTATATTTATTTTGTAAAATAGTTCTCATATTTTGTAATAATGATAAATAAGATTGATTTGGATTTTGATTCATTACTGCTAAAAATGCATAACTCATTGCACCAGTAGCTTGACCTTGTTCACTTGCATCTGCACTGGTTTGATCATCTTTACAACCACTAAAAGAAATAGCATCACATGGAGCAGTTTTAGTTTGTTTACTTACTTGTTCTGCTTTTGATGCTTTTCCTTGATTCATTACACTTTTGAATGCCGAGCTTAACCCACTCATCATATTACGATTGTTTCCTGTTAAATAACCCATACCTGCTTTTAATAAATCTTGACCAGTTTCAGCATAAACATTTGGCTCCTTCAACACACCCTTTGTTGAATACATATATGGTAGATCTAAAGCCGAACCTGAATGACAAGAATCAAATAATGCAGTTAATCTACAACCTGGTGGTAACGATTTCACTAAGGTATCGTGTAAAAGGTCATCAACGATGAAACCATTTGTCTCAAAATCAAGAGGGTAGATGACCTCATCATACCCATCTGCTTCATCACCGTCAAGGTCTCGCGTTTGACCACCATGTCCCGAATCTGTTCATATTACGCTGTTAGTAGTTGTTTGTTGATGTCAAATTGGTCAAAAATTGCTGAAAATGTAGAATTCTGTCAAAATTTGAAAATTTGTGGATAAAGTAAATACATACAATGGAAAAAAAGACTATCATTCGGTCTTGCATCTTTCACAAGCCAATGAATAGCATCTAAGATGTTTTGTCTTAAAGGTATGGCTCTTTGATTTCTTTGATCATCAGATAATTTAACAATATCATTTTCACTGAAACCATGAGTGACTAAAAATTGTTCCATTCGAGTCACATCATTTATACAACCTCTTAATTCATTACTAGTACCATAATAATTGATTCCAACTAATAAAGCTTTTTTTTTACCATTACATTGAGAATATTGATAATTATAATTTTGAACACCAAAGGATTGTTGACTTTGAGGTGGTCTTGAGTAATGACCTGACCCATATTGATCTCCATAATTTGGTTCCCCATTGAGTCCAGGTTGTTGTTTATTATTGTAATTGTTATATTGTTGTTGAGGTGGAGGTTGATTTGGTCTTTCGTAATTATTATACTGTTGAGGTGGAGGATTTTGAGGTGGACCATAATTATTATATTGCTGATTTGGAGGTGGTCCTTGAGGTGGGCCATAATTCCCTTGATAAGTATGACGTCCTTGACCTGGGAACATTTTGAGCTTAATTTGTTGATGAAAGTAGTAATTAGTTGTTCGTAAATTTAAATTCACCTGAAATTTCTGAGTTTCATGGCCCCTTATCGCTACCAGATTTGTCATGAGATAAGGCTTATGATTCTGCGTCTCAAGATATCGAGTTCAAGATTAGATCAAAATTTTTAGAGCTATCTTCAATGAAAAGTTTGTTATCCAAAAATTACCAAATTATTCGTTTCGACGCTTCATTCTCATGACCAAGATGGTACAAAAAATAAACCGTTGATCTTTAAATAATGGTTTATCACGTACTTGATCATTTCTTAATCGCGTGCTTCTTGTTTCGTTTTAAAGGAATGTTTATATTAAGTATCCTGTAATTACATTGATTCTATTAAGTTTTATATCGTGAATTATAAAATTAAATTGTTATGATGTTATAAATAAAATTATCTCGTAAATAAATAAAATAATTGAGAGGTTGCAAAAATTAATTAATAGAAATTTTTATTTTTAATTTTTTTTTGAAGAATCTTTCGGTTCTAAAAACACAAACTTTAAATTTATTTAATATATTATTATACAGTCTACTAAATAATTAAGAAAAATAGGATCTTATAATATTATATTTTTTACAACCAACTTCTATCATTAGAAACTACTTCAACAATTGAGTTTAAATCAACCATTATAAAATAAAACTAATGTCAGAACATATAATGGATAAAAGGAAGAAAACAAAAAAGAAACATGTAAGACCAGGTCCAATATTTTCGGAAAATGGAATCCCCTATGATTATATTGTAGTTATTGATGCAGGTTCAAAAGGTTCAAGAGTACATGTATACAATTGGCTACTGCCTTATAAATCAATGGAAAAAGGTCAAAATTTAAATACGTATCATCCATTAAAGAAAGCAAGAAAGTATGAAGAAGAAATATCGGATGATGAAAGTGATTCAGATGATGAAAAATCAAAAGAGTTACCAAATTTATTCCCGAAAATACAAACAAAGACTAAATGGCATAAAAAAATCATACCTGGTGTATCATCATATAATAAAGCTCCTCATAAAATTGGAAAACATCATCTTGCAAAATTACTATCAAGAGCTTCAAAAATTGTTCCACAACCTTTACAATATCGTACTCCAATATTTTTATATGCAACTGGTGGAATGAGATTATTAATACCTACTGAACAGAAGGAGATACTAAAAGAAATTTGTAAATATCTTGAAAATCAATCGGACTTCTTTTTTCCAGATTGTGCAACTCACGTTAGTGTAATAGATGGTGATTATGAAGGATTATATGGTTGGTTATCTATAAACACTTTAATTGGAGCATTTGATGATCCAAATTCCCATCAACATGGTAAAAATCACACAACTTATGGATTGCTAGATATGGGTGGAGCTTCAACTCAAGTTGTATTTCAACCAAACAATACAGAAATTGATGAACATCAGAATAATTTATATCATATCAGATTAAGACAAGTTCCTGAACTACATGATCAAAAATATGAAGTACCAAAACTAGAAGAATATAATGTTTACTCAGATTCATTTTTAGGGTTTGGAATGTTTCAAGCAAGAAATAGATATTTTAAAGCATTAGTAGATAGTGATGATAAAGATGAACAATACCATTATTGGGGATTTACCAAATCTCCAATCACTGATCCATGTATTCCAAAGGGATTTACAACCTCTGAATTTATAAATGATCGTTCCTATGATTTTATAGGTGAATCAAATTTTGAAAAATGTTTAACCAATATATTTCCAGTATTACAAAATTCAACTCATGGCGGTGGACCAAAAGCTACAAATTGTAAACAATTCAGTGATGGAGACGAGGTAAGTGAATGTTTACTTAATGAACTAATACCAGCATTTGATTTTGATGTAAATCATTTTATTGGAGTTAGTGGTTATTGGGATGCAATTGAAGATTTACTTTCTCAACAGGATAAAAGAGAATTGATAGATCAAAAAAATACATATGATTATAAAAAAATTTTTAGTAAAACTTCAAAAGTTTGTTCTCAAAGTTGGTCGAGTATGTTAGAATTAAATAAGCAAAAAGATTATAAAGAGCAATTATCGGAAGATGAATTATCAGAATTATGTTTTAAAGCTTCTTGGATTTTAAATTTTTTGCATTTGGGTCTTGGGTTTCCAAGATTTGGTATAGATGAACCAAATAATAAAGATTTCCAAACTTTACAATTAGTGGAACAATTAGGTGGTTCTTCATTTTCATGGGCTCTTGGTAAAGCAGTACTATATGCCAATGATGAATATGTTCAAGCTTACAATAATCTTACACAGAGCTCTTTAGCAAGACCAGGTTTCTATCATAGTACTTCCGAAAACACATATCAATACGGAGCTGAACAAAATAATATAATGCCAAGACCTTTATTTGATGAATCTAAAACAAGTAATTACAAATCTTTTAAATATGAATTAAATGACGAAGATGATGAACTGAAATGGAATATTGAACCACATAGATGGTATGGAATGATAATATTTGCAATTTTACTTACTTTTGTGGGATATTTAATGTTAGGTAGTAGAAATAGAGGATTATTTGTTACAAAAATTACTACTGCATTTAGAAAACTAGTTAGGTTGACACCAGGATATAATGAAGCTAAATATACAACAGTATCCCATGATGATTTTGAGTTAGGCGACTTAGCAGAAGTTGATGCACAATTCAAAGTGGATGATGATGAAGAGGATGAAGATATCGAACAAGAACAACCACCAAGGAAAAAATCTATAAGTTCATAATATATATTAATTAATACTAACTACGTATTTTTCACCATTTGCACCGTTTTTTTCCAAATCATTTAATGCATCATCAATAATTTCTAATCCACCTTTATATTGTTTATATCTTGTTGGTTTAATTTTTGATTCTTTTAAAAATGTAGATGTTATTTTAATAAAACTTGATCCAAATTCTTTATCTTCGTGAAATCTTTTGATTATTACTTCTTTTAATTCAATTGAATCTGGGATTTGTTTGGGTACTCCAACTATTCCTGAAAATTTTGTCTTGTTATCTGTAGGTTTATTTATTTTCTCAAGTATGTCCAATACTTTTTGAGCTGTTTCTTTGGATACACAATCAACTGAATAATTTATACTACCACCATTTAAACCTTCTTCAATTTTTTTTAAAATTTCTTCATCTGATTGATGTCTATTTATTAAATGATCAACCCCAATATTTTTAAGATATTTTTCATGAGTGGTACTTGCTATAGATATCACTTTTAATCCATGTAGTTTGGCTAATTGTGCAAGATATATTCCAACTATAGTAGCACCACCCCAAATCAAAATTGTTTCATTTATTTTAACTTTTGGTTCTAAATTTAATTCAAATCCAAAAGAATTATATAATAAAATACCAGCAGTAACTAATCCAACACCAATAGTAGCACCATCTTCAAATGAAAAATTATCAGGTAATTTCCAAACTAATCTTGAATCAATAGCTGTAAATTGTTGAAACGTTGAAGTTCTATTATCTCTATAACTTGTAGAACTTACAATTACTTTATCGCCAACTTTAAAATTTTTAACTTTATTACCTAATTTAACAATTTCTCCTGATGATTCTCTACCATCAATTCTTGGAACATGAGTTACAAATCCATATTTTTTACCTTTCCAATCTATTGGATTTAAACCAATTGCTTTATTTGATACTAATATTTCATATTCATTTAATTCTGGAATTGGATATTCTGATTGAATTTTTAATGGTTCACTCAATTGTGTCAATGATAATACTGATTGTGATCTTTTATTAAAAGTGATTTCAGAAATAGTTTGAATTATTTCTGGTTTTGCTGGAGTAGAACTTGAAGTTTTAATTTTTTTCAAAGTTTGTGGTTGTGCATGTTGAGTTCTTAATCTTTTTCGTGAGATTTCTTGAGTTTTAGTATATGACATCTTTGAAAAGGGAGTAGGATTTAATTCTAGAGAAGAACTACAATACTAAGCAAAAATCATAATGACTATTATAAAGAATTTTTCATCATATATACTCAAGCCCTTATTTTTTATTTTTCATTTTTTAATCTTGATTTAAAGACTGTGGCTATTATTATTATTCTTTGTATTGCAATTTTTTTGCAACCGGAAAAAATAAAAAAAATAATAAATTTTGAAACTTGATAATAAATTGTACATAATCTATTTAATATGTAAAACAGCTACCAAATTTTGGCCACAATGTATTAGGAAATTTATTCACAATTTTGCAATTTTTTGATGCGACCCGAAACGAAACGAAATTGATAGGTTTACTTATGATTATAATATATTATTATAACAGTACGTAATTACACTTTTCCAAAAATTAAGGAACTATTTACACCACCAAAACCAAATGAATTACACATAGTATAATTTAAATCAATATTAGTTTTAGCTTTATTTGCCACATAATCAAATATAAATTTATTTTTATCATCATTTTCATTACCTCCAACATCATTTAAATTTAAAGTTGGTGGAATTTCTTTAGTTTTTAAAGCATTGATTGTGAATATCGATTCAACAGCACCAGCAGCTCCTAGTAAATGACCAATTGATGATTTTGTTGAAGAAACTAAAGTCTTTGCAGGAAATAATCTACTCATTGCATTATTTTCAGCTCTATCTCCAATAACCGTTGATGTTGCATGAGCATTTATATAGTCAATTTGTGACGGGTCTAATTCAGCTCTTTCTAATGCTTGATTCATTGCATTAAATGCTCCTTCTCCATCTTCTCTTGGAGCAGTTATATGATACGCATCACCTGATACCCCATAACCTAATACTTCACCATAAATGTCATCTTTAGTTAAACCTCTTTTCAAAGCATGATCCAATTTTTCAAGTATCATAATTCCACAACCTTCACTTAATACAAACCCATTTCTTTCTTTATCAAAAGGTCTACTTGCTTTTGTAGGTTCATCATTAAAATCAGTTACAACCGATCTAGCTCTTGCAAAACCCGATAAAGCTAATGGATGAATTGAACTTTCAGTACCTCCACATATCATTACATCTGCATAATTTAATTTTATAAAATTATAAGCATCACCAATAGCTTGTAACCCAGTAGCACATGCAGTTGAAACTGAATGTAATGGACCTTTTAAACCATATTTTATTGATATATTTCCAGCTGCCATATTATTTAATAATTTGGGTATAAATAAAGGTTGTACTTTCTTATATCCATTTTCATGATATGCAATTGAATTATCATAAATATCATGAAATGATCCAATCCCACTTCCTACTGCAATTCCAATTCTTTGTGGGTTTTCATTTGATAAATTTAATTTCGAATTTTGTAATGCTTCTTCAGTACATGCTAATCCATATTGACTAAATTCAGCTAATCTTCTAATTTCTCCCTTTTCAAAATGTTCTAATGGATCCCATTGGCCATTTTTTATTGATCCTTCGGGAACTTTCCCAATAACTTTTGATGGAATTTTATCCCAACCATCTTTTGTATAATTTGGTAATGATGAAGTTGATATTAAACCCGATTCTCCAGCTATTAATCTTTTCCAATTGTGCCGTAATCCAACACCTAATGGTGATATGATTCCAATACCTGTTACTACTACTCGTGTCATATCATTATTTCGGACTTGGTAAAATTATGTGATTTATTGAAATATCTCGTACCTCTTTTTTTTTCAAATCATTCGCGGAAAAACAATAAAATATTTTAGGATAAATGTCTTTAATATGATTACTTTAATTTATTTAAATGTTGTATATAACTATTCAATCTTTTCTCATCACCAACTACAAAATTTATATTATTTTTAGCAATTTTCAGACTGATATTGTTATAATGCATAAGACAAAGCCAATTTTCAAATAATGTATGTTTTGAATCGATTTTATAATCTACACTACGACGAATATTTTGATTATTTAAAAATTCATTTAATTTAAAAATTTTATAATTTTCTTTGAAATCTGGATTTGATTTTTTATATTGTTTTTCAGAATTTGCAAAATCAATAATGAAGTTTTTGAAATCTCGAAATATTTCCTCTTTTTTGGATTTTGTCAATTTTATTGAATTAATTTTTTTGTAATATTTTGAATAATAATTTGGCCATAACATTGATTTTACATCATCTTTGGAGTTTTGAAATAGTGATAGATAAGTCAATTTTGGAGGTAGGGAAAGATTTTCAAATGTTATCTGTTTGTATTCTTCTAAATTTTCATCGTTATATTTTTCTAACTCTACGTCTGTTCGCTCGTATAGCCATTGCTTGAAAATCTCTTCTTTAATCTTAGTGGAGCCTATCACATGATAACTTGGTGACTTTATAAATTCAGAACTCAATTTTTCCTCAACTAAATTCCAAGGATCAAAATAATCAATTTGTGATGAATAACGATTCAAAAGTTCCTTGAATTGGGTAGTTGAATCAACAGTTTCTTCCTCCTTTTCCAATGATAAATCTAATGAGTTGTTGCTTTCATTATCCGATGACTCTTCTTCTACTTGTTGTTGATCTAATACTTTGGAAACAATATCCTCATAATTATTTGTATATTCTTTCAGTTTATCTGGTTCATCTACTTCATCTTCTTCCTCGTCTTCTTCTTCACTTGATGAGTAACCAGCTAAAATACCTGAATTTTTTTGCTTTGGTACTTCTTCTGTAACTGGTTTTATTGATATATTATCATTCTCATACACAAACTCTTCATCTCCTTGATTATTATCTAAGTTTTCATCTTCCTCTTGAACATCAATCTCATCAGTCACTACTTCTGGCTCCTCTAATAATTCAACTTTAAGTCCTTTAGATTTTGCAAACAATAAACTAACTTCATCAAAATTAATCTTTGAAACTAAATTATTAATATCAATAGTTGATTTATAAAATTCTTCAATATTACTCAATTGCCAGAATGAATTTCCATCTTTGTTGTTAAAATAAAAATGTTTCAGGGTATTAGTAATAACTATATACCATGACGAATCAGGTATTTGATAGATTAAATGAGGTTTCATTTTATTATATTTCTGTGCATTATTTGGTTGTAACCGTGTTTATTGTTAATTACAGAAATTTAATTTTTTAGTATTTCCGATACAAGCTACCATTCTTTAGTAAAGATTTTATACCAACTTTTGATTCATGGCCTCACCAATTTTTATTTCATCTTGAATACCTTGCAACAAACTCCTTACTAACTACATAATAAATCTGCATCTCGATTCTTTCTATTTTAATTGAGCAGAACATTGAATTGAAAAATATAGATTATTGAAATTTTTCTTAATTATAACTCATCTCAAGGATTTTTAAACAAATCCAGTTAATCCCAATTTAATAGGATTAAAAATCTGGGGTACTTTATTTTTATACAATTTATTGATTCCTAATAAATCCAATAAAGTAATTTGTCACGGACATGAAATTAAAATTAAAAGATGAAAAAATTCGTTAAAATATTGACTAAATTGGAAACTTGCTCATTAGACTTATAAATGAGTTGTAGGAATACAATCACTGAGACCCGGAGAACAGGAGGCTGTTTATTGTCTTAAGATAAATATAAAATATTTAAATTCACATTCACCGTAGAAATAAAAATATAAATATTTGATTAAGGAGGGGGGAAAAATTGGTTTATACACACCACAAATACTATTTAATTTATTTAAGTCCGCATAAATTATGTATAATTACTAAAATTTTAATTTAATAAGAAAAATTATACATAAATTAAATATGGGGTAATTTTTAAAGAACGTTTTATTTTTTTTTTCTTTTAATTTTTTTTTTATTTGTTTATCCTGATTTTTAAATTGCGATTTTTTTAAAATATGGAGAAAGAAAGAAATAATTATTAAAGACATGTTAATGATGTACCAATAATCAAATTATCAAGGACACAATCAATCTACAAAATACTACAAGAAATTATTAACTTAAGCTATTTCATTATCTTAATATTTTATCATATATTTTACTATCATTACTTCATTACTTAATTTATTTAATTTGATTTTGAATGGAAAAATTTGAAATTCTCCTGCCTTACTTTGTATTTGCTCTCTAATATGTTGTTGGTTGTAATAATTTTGTTTAGTCTAGCTGACTAACATGTTGACTGACATTTTTAATCTTTTTGATTGTAGTGATTCATGACTTTTATTTCTTTTTATTGGCCTATCGTTTTCCAATGTAATACTATTATTATTGTTGGAATTAATACTTTTAACACTATTAATATTATTATTTGTTGGAACTGTTCGTATTGGTGGAAGTTGTATGTTATTAATTCTATGATTAACAATTCGTTTATATTCTTTTTCGTCTTCCAAAAGTTCATTATCCTCATCATCATTACTATTATTTGAGTCATTATCTTTTTCATCTTCATGTTCATCTTCATGATCTTGTTCTTGTTCATTATTGACATTCTCATTATTATTATTTCTATTTTTATTTTGTTTATAAGTTCTACGAATTCTACTAATTGCTTTTTCACTACCTTTATGTAAATTTTTTGCATGTCTTAATAATAAATCCCTTCTTGAAAAAGGTCTTGAACATATACCACAAGTAAAAGGTTTTAATTTATTATGAGTTGATTGTACATGTCTTGTTAAATGTTCTTCTCTTGTAAATGCTCTTTGACAAATTTTACAATTAAAAATACGGGAATGACCTGATGGAGTTTTTGTTCCATATTCAGTTACTTTTGGTTTTTTTGGTGGTGATATTAACATAACTGAAGAAGTTATTTTATTATTTGAATCGGTTGAGCTCATTGATGTGTTTGAATCGTTTGACGTAGTAGAAGTTATGGAGGATCTTGTTGATGAAGGTTCTGAGTTTGATGATATAGATGAAGAATCCGAATATGATAGATTGAGGGGTATTGATTGAAAATTATTATTATTGTTTGAATTAGTTGAAGTAGTTATTAAATTCGAGATTATAGGAGAATTTGGTGAAGTCATTAATTGTAATTTATTTGGTTGTAAATTATTTGAATGTGTATGTCAATTTTTTTTAAATACGGTAAGTGGTGGGTTTATTTAAAAATCCGCTTGTGACAATTATATGATAAAAAGACTTATAATAAGTAAAGTGAATATCACTTATTATATTGTAAATGTAGTAATAGTATCTTAAATTGTTGATTATAATTGCAAGTTGCTAGTTTTTGTTGAAAAGTGTCATATAAAAAAGAATGATAAATTATAAGTAATGAAAGAATGAAATAAAAAAATTTTAAAAAAAATAAATTGAAATGGATATTATATTTTATATTAATATTAATATATTAATATTTAAATAATAATTTTAAATTATAAGTAATATTTTATTTATTTAATATTTAATATTGTTAAGTATAATTTTTTATTATGTATTTTATATTATTATTATTATTATTTAGTTTTGTGTAACATTTGAAAATTTAGAACCTCTTTTAAAAATGGATCTACATAATNAAATTTACAAAATAAAAAATTAAAAAAAAAAAGAAATTAAAATGATTTTTTATATATTTCAAGTGGGGAAGATTCTTATTATTATAAAAAAAAAAAAGGTTAAAAGGAACTTTATATTATTACTATAAACAATTACTAAATAATATATTTATTACTATACTTAATAATTAATAAAGTATAATAATTAATAAATAATAAATAATAATAATTAATTATTTCATATGATATATTAATTGTAATAACAACAATAAAATTTTATTAATTTAATATTAATGATTGGTTTATAAAAAAGTAATAATTTATTTATTTTGTCTTAGCTGAAAATATTAAAATAAGTTTCATAAAATCAAGTAGAAAAAGAGGCTAATGCTTTATATATCTAGATAGAATTATGAATAAATACTAAATGAGTTTATATAATAATACTAATTTGTATCGTTATTTTTGGTAAGTATTAGAAGTTTCAAGTTATTATAATAAGAAATTCGATTCCGATTTTTATAAAATCCGATACTTGCTTTGATTTTATTATATTATAAACCAAAGAACAAAATAGTAATAATAATTCAATCTATATAATATGCTTAATTATTATTTACAGTATAAATCATTTATGAAGTATAAGTAAAAATAAATTAATAGCAAACTTTAATTACTTTTTCGTATCTACAATACTCCCCGCTAACAAATATATAATAGTAAGAAATATAAATATAGAGGGGAAGATTAAACTTCCAATGTCATTCAATTAATATAATATTAATCTTAATAGTATTTTAATATATTTTCTTTATTAAAGAATTCAATTGACTGTATTTCTTCTAACAGACTTTTAAAATCCAAAAATAAAACGTTTCAAATTGAAAATTCCATTGCACCATTTTTCCTACAGAATATTCATATTACTATAATATCTACAAAAGTATATCTACTTAAAGTAAAGATCAGAAAAACTCAATTAGATTACAAGGAATAGATATAATGTAAAGAAAATTCCATTATGAATATATTGTTATTCCTTGTCGGGGTTTCATCACAAATTGGATTTTATTTTTGGTTTTCTTAATTTCTTTTGATTTATATTTTCTTCATTTCATTCTTTTAAATAATGTATCAAAATATAATGTAAAGCACTTAGACTTAACAAATATAAATTTCAATTATATGAGAAATGATTTCAATATTCCATCAAGTATATCTAACAACCTTCATCTTATAGTTCGAACAAAAAAATTTATGTATCGAAATTAAAATATTCATTCCATGTTTCAAAATATTTTAGTAGTTCGGGACTTGAATAATCACGTTAGTAAATACTGAGCCTTTTCTAAAGATGGACTTGGACTTTAAGTGTAATATACTAACCACCAACTCCCCTCATATTAATGTTTAACGGTAATTTATAAAATTCTCGAATTTTATTTTCAGTCTAAATTCCCCCACAATTTTTTTAAAAATTTATTGCAACCTATTTTAATTTCAAGTATTATATAGTAGCATTTCGTTCCTAAAATTTCGTAAATAAACTAACAGATAATCTTTAATCTGACTGAAAGTGCATATTTCACATTTTAAAATTGTTAGTATGGTAGAGTATTTCGATATACCCGCTTTATGACTTATTTTTAAAAGTCATGAAATATTAAGTTCTGACTTTAATTATTGTTTGTGTATACTATACTTAAATGTTTTTTTTAGATCTTGCTACATAGAACTCAAGACGTAAATTGATAAAGTTTAACTACAAAAAATTGACAACTCCCCAGTGTGATGAGTAAAAGTAATCCAAAAGTCTTCAAAAGTCACTTAATAGTACTACGAATGAAAGTAGAGATGTATTAATATCTTTGTGCTAAACATTTATTTATCGTAACTACTTGCTACCAAATTTGATAGATAACGATTTTATCTATTTAAGATTAAATAATATTAATCATTTATTTATATTTAGTAAATATTAACAATAGTTATTAACTAACTACAATTATTTATTAATAATACATTTTAAAACCATCTAACTAATCCACCAACACAAATGACTTAAACCGGAAATATGGCATCATCTAATCCTTATCTAAATAGTGTATACAATGACGAGGATAATAATGAAAATAGTAAAATAAAATTAACCACACCTTTACCACATAATGATTATGATACAGATAATTTAAATGATAATAATTATGATACAAATCAGCAAAATCAAGATACTTTTTTATCGAGAATATTTGGTTTAAATTCTATCTATAATCAATTACAAGATAATTATCAATATTATGATCCAGAATTTGATAGCTCATATCATCAACAACAACGTAAGAGTTTATTAGAAGATGATGAAGATGGCGAAAATGGTGAAAATAGACATTTAAACGTGGAGGATGATGAGGAAAGATTATTACCGAATGATCAAATACCTATGGATAATTTACAAACCCAAATTCTGAATTCAAAAGATGATAAAAAGAAAATGGATATTAATTCAAATAGTTTATTGGATTCAGAATCAGATTCTGATTTATCATCAAGTTCTGATTCTTATGTCAGACCCAATAAACCAAAACAACAACAAACTCAACATCATCAAAAAACACTACCAGAACAATCCACTCCGATAAGCCAGCAAAAAGCACAATCAGAAGAATCACCTACAGCATCATCATCTAAACGACCACAAATCAAATTTCAAGTCCCACAAAGGGTCAAAACACTTGTAAATAATACTACTAATAGAGGTAATAAAACATTACCATTATATAATGAACAATATAGAAGACCCAAAACTCAACAATTTACAAATACAAATTATAAATCAACAAGAATAAATTCATCATCAAGAAAATATATGATTCCACCAAAAGAAAGAGCGTTATATTTATGGGCCAATATAACAAACATGGATGAATTTTTGATAGATGTTTATTATTATTATCGTGGTCGAGGTTTATTAAATATTGTAACTTCGAGAATTGTTGATTTAATTATTATTGTATTTGTTATAAGTTTTTCAATTTTTTTAAAATGGGGGATAGATTATTCCATATTTTGGGATAGTTATTCTCAAGAACGTCATTTAACATTATCTGATTTAATAATACCTGGTTTTTTTTGGAAAATTCCATTTTTAGTTAAATTTCTTGTATTTGGATTTTCCATTTACGTCACTTTAAGATCTATACAATTATATTTTGATTATACAAGAAAATTAAAAGAAATTCAAAATTTTTACCACTACCTTTTAAATGTCGAAGATGTTGAATTGATGACAATAAGTTGGAAAACAATAGTTGAGAAGTTAATGTTATTAAAAGATTACAATAGTTTAACTTCATCACATCCTATAGAAAATCATTATATAAATGATTTATCATCAAAAGTTCGATTAAATGCTCATGATATAGCTAATAGAATAATGAGAAGAGAAAATTATATGATTGCATTATTTAATAAAGATATTCTAGATTTTAATATTCTTTGGTTTAATGAAAAAACTGTTCTAACTAAAACTTTGGAATGGAATTTAAAGTTATGTATTGATAATTTTGTTTTCAACCAACAAGGACAAATTAATGGGTCCATATTAAAAGAACATAATAGAAATTTATTAGCCAAAGAATTAACTTCAAGATTCAAATTAGCTTCAATCATAAATATTATATTATGTCCATTTATTGTTATTTATTTTGTATTATTATATTTTTTCAAATATTTTAATGAATATAAATCAAATCCTAGTTCCATTATTGGGTTAAGACAATATACCCCTTATGCAGAATGGAAATTTAGAGAATTTAATGAATTACCCAACTTTTTCAATAAAAGATTGCAATTGTCAATGGGTCCAGCTAATAATTATATAGATCAATTTCCTAAAGGATTTTTGGTAATTAATGGTATGAAATTATTGAATTTTATTAGCGGATCTATATTAGCAATTTTGGTTATTATGGGAATATATTTAGAAAATGAAAGTTATTCATTTTGGTCATTTGAAATTACTGAGGGAAAATCAGTCTTGTTTTATATATCCATATTTGGTACATTGTGGGCTATAACTTCTTCTCCATCTTCCTCTGCTTCATCATCATCAAACACAACAAATGATCAAGTACCACAACAACAACATTTTTCATCAAACAAAATAGTTTATGATCCAGAATCAAATATTCGTTATGTTTCTAAATTTACTCATTATTTACCTAAGAAATGGAATAAAAAATTACACACTATCCAGGTCAAGAATGAATTTTGTGAGTTATATTCATTAAAAATTATTATAATCATAAACGAAATCTTAAGTGTTTTATTAACACCTTTTTTACTTTACAAAATTTCATATAATTCAGGTAATATAATTGATTTTTTCAGAGAATACAGTATTCATGTTGATGGATTAGGTTATGTTTGTTATTTTGCAATGTTTAATTTTGAAAAGAAATTAAATAATATGAATAATCCAAGTCATTTAAGAAAGCAGCGTAAAAAACAAAAAAGAAGAAAATCAAATGATACAAACAATGAACCAAATGACAATCAAGAAAACACTAAAGATTATGATTCTTCAGAAAGTTATGAAGATGAAGATGAATTTGGGTTTGGTATTGGTAATGAAGATAATGATAAAATGACAAAATCTTATATGCACTTTTTAGAAAGTTATGGGGCTGGACCAAAAGTAAATAATCAATCTCAACAAGAACAACATCAACATCAACATCAACATTTACCGCCTTCAATAAATGACAAATCCAATTTAGGTGATGGAGAGAATTATTTTGTATTTGACAATTCCGATATATTAAGCAATAATAGTGGTAAAGGAGTTCAATTTGAAGGTAATGCAAATAAATCCAAGAGAAAAGGTGGAGTTTTAGGAATGTTGAATCAATTTTATAAACAAGATATAAATTCAAATGTATAAGTAATTATAATCAGTTAATAAGAATTATCACATTTTAAGTAATTACGTGAATTCTCTACAATTTGCTCTAAACTATTTAAATAAAATTAAAAAAAAAAACGTCTATTAATTAATTTTAACATCCTAAATAAATAATAAAACATTACCCAAGTTTAAAAATGAAAATAAAAATTGTTGTATGTAAAAATAATACAAAATTTGATGAAATGAAAAAATATGTGTTTAATGTAAAAAAATTTAATGTTGTGTCGTTATAAATTTGCTTAGTTTATACAATTGTCTGTCTCTCGATATGAATTTATTGAATGAAAGTGTTGTGTGATGCATCAATTGACGCAATTAATGAATGTAATACAACTGCGTAGTCTTAAGTCCCTCCTGATTGTTCTTTTGCTTTTAAATGTTCAAGTAAAATAGGTCCAAATTCAATAAAAATTTTCTTCAAGAAATTTCTTCTAATAGGTTTTGCTAAAAATCCATTCATACCACAATTATAACATTCTTTTACATTACTTTCATCAGCAAAAGCTGTTAATGCAATAATTGGATTTATAAAATTTAAATTTGATCTAATATATTTAACAGCTGTAATACCATCCATAATTGGCATTTGAATATCCATAAAAATTAAATCATAAGTTGAATTTTTTTCTATAATTTCTACTGCTTCTTTACCATTTGCTGCCATTGTTAAATTTGTAAAACCTTCTAATCTTAGCATTCGTTTAATAACTTCTTGATTTACTTGATTATCTTCTGCTACTAATATTTTGATATTTTTTAATTCATCGCATAATTGAGACGATGAAATTGTGGTTGTTGTTGATGATGATGATAATGATGATGATTTTTTTATTGGTTCTTTGTTTTGTATTTGCATTTTGATTTCTGAATTTTGCTTTATAAGTTGTGGTTGCGCTTGAATTTCAATTTGTTTTTGTTGTGAGGTTAAACTATTATTTGGAGAAGTTGTAACTGCTTTAGTTAATGTTGTAACTTCAGTTGTTGTAGCTGTTGGAGTATTTGTTATTTTTGTTGTTGTTGTTGGGGTGGTAGTGACTGTTGTTAGTGCGATTGGCATTTTTTCTCCAATTTCATTTAATTCATCATTTTCATAATTATTATCGGTTGAATGTCTAGCCGTACCAGTTGAGCTTTTAGGATAAACACCACTTTCAACACTTTTTGATTCTGATGCTTTACTTGGTTTTGTTCCAACAGTTTCTACTTCATCATTAAAAGCGACTTTTCTATTTATTTTAGCTGATGGATTAAATTCATCATCACAAAATTCTTCTAAATCTTTTGATGACATCATCATTTCTCCAGTTTGTGGTAATGGTAAAGTTAATGTAAAAGTTGAACCTTCACCAATTGCTGATTTTAAAGTTAATGTACCTTTCATCATTTTTGCCAATTGTCTACATATACTTAATCCTAAACCTGTACCACCATATGATCTACTTAGTGTTTGATCACCTTGAACAAATGGTTCAAATACTTTTTCTTGTAATGAAGGTTCGATACCTGATCCTGAATCCTTGACTTCTATTTGAACAACCCAAGTTTTTGGTTTGTACATGTTTTTAATTTTAAAAGATTTATCCCCTTCAGATTCTTCTTTTTTGTTCATTGTTGGGTACGATTTGAAAGCATTTGCTTGAGGTAAGATATAATTACTTAATTCTGAATGAATCTCATCATTTGTTTGTATCTTTTCATTATAGCCAGACGCTTTCCCGTCATCGTCACTTGATGATGACAAATTTTTGGTGTCTGATGAATCATCAAATGAAGTTCTTGGTGATGGAGGTAAAGAATTATCATGTTCTTTAAATTTAAATTGTTGATCAAATACAACCTTTTCATACTGTTGTGTAGATAAAGTCACAAGACTCATGTTATCATCAGCTGTATATAAGCTTCTTTGTTGTTGTACTTCATTTTGAGGATCTACTGCCATTTGTTGCAGAGCTCTACTAAATCTTCTTTTCAATGATAGATTTGTATTATACCTTGGTGGTACTGGTCTAGCAGTTGGACCACCATCGAAAACGCAAACTTTCTCAAAATCACAGATTTCAGATTGTTCATAATCATATTCACCCACCAACTTGAAATTAACATCAACTGATCCATCAACTGGTGTAAATTTTAAGGAATTCGAAACTAAATTCATTATAATTTGAATAATTCTATTTGAATCACCATGTAAAATTAATTTTCTAAAGAAATTTGGCTTTACCAGTATTTTAAAATTAACTCTTTGATCTAATGCTAGTTTATTAAAGATTGAATGAATTTGATATACAATTTCCAAGATTTGAAAATTTGATTTTTCTAATTTTGATCTATTAAGGGTGTTTTTGGAATATGTTAATAATTCAGTTAAAATGTGTAATAATAATTCACCAGATCTATAAATCAATTTTAATGAATCTTTCATTCTTGTTTGATCTTCTTCTTCCATTGCAATTGAAGCCATTCCCAATATACCATTTAGTGGTGTTCGTAATTCATGTGAGATATTTGCAATAAAAACAGTCTTAGCTTCATTTGCAGCTTCTGCTTCAATTTTGGAAGCTTCTAATTCTTTAGTTCTTAATCTAACTCTATCTTCTAAGTGGTTATATTGCTTTTCCAACTCTTCGGTCATAATATTGAAAGCTTCAGATAATTCCGTTAATTCATCTTTAAATAAAGCTTTCGATCTTGGAATTCTTGTTGGTAATCTGATACCTGATGAATGAATTGATCCAGACCCATTTGTAGATGTAGTATGAACACTATTTCTTTTACTGCCCCCTGTATCAGAATCATAAGCTCCACTTTTCTCTCTTTGTTCCAGTATAACCATTTCCTTTTTATATTGAGTTATTGATTCTGTTGCATTTTTCAATCTTGTAATAGGTCGTATAAACCATATTGCTAAAAATAATGTTAAAACACACATGAATACTCCAACTCCAAAAACAACTCCGATTATAATTTTTTTTAATTTGGTAACTGGAGCATTAAATGTCTTTGATGTTTGAGTAGTTAAAATTAGCCACATCCAATTATTAAATCTTACTCTATAATAACTTGTTGCAAGTCGAACATTAGTCACAGATCTAACATTTGTTGTTACACCAGTTGTATTATTTGATTTGAATGCGGGCCCTATTAAAGATGATGAGCCTATAGGATAATATTCACCTGCTTGAATTATTCCACCTCTATTAGGGAAGACAGCTTCAAAACCTTTTATTGAACTATAAGGCATACTATCGTCATAATCAGTAGAATTGTGATCAAATACAGGAGTTACAGCTAGGGTCCAATAGTCATTAGTTGAAACATTTAAAGCTTTAAATAAAGTTTCGGCAGATGCAATAACTGAAAAATAGCCCACTATTGTATCATTACTACTTGCCTCTATAGTTGTAGTAACTCCCATATAAAAGTCTGTTGTATGTTGATTTACAGTTTCATTTGATAATGGTCCACTATAATAATATTGACCGTTACTAACATAATGATTAACAATTCTCGTCATAGGACCACCATCAGGTATTGGGTATAATTTTGATTTAACTTCATCTGATAATTGAACTGGTTCATTTTTTGAACTTGTTACTATATTTAAATCTTTATCATATAATCTAGCAGACACAAAAATATCTGTTGACATATATTGATCGAATAAGTCTTGTACTTCATCATATATGTGAGATGATGAATTACCACTCTGGGCAGCTTCTAAAGGTCTAATAACTGTATCAACTGTTGATAATGAGGCTATTGTTAATCCTATAAATCCCATTGCTTGTGCAACTTGTACAGATTTTAATTCTGAAATAACTGATAATCTCTCACTCCGTAGACTTTTTAAATTATCACTAAAATATATACCCGTAACTAACCCCAAAATTAATAATGATAATAGCGAAGCAAAACATACTAGCACTATTAGTTGAGGTCTAATTCCAATTTTTAACCTCTTCATAATAAATATACTATATAATTAATGCAGGATGATTGTATTGATGATATTACCAACGAACAGTTAAGCTATTGGGTCTTGTGATTTTTTATTTGATAAATGAAATCAGTTTGGAATTATGTAATTTTTATTGTAGGTGATTGATTAAGTAAATGAAAATAAAACTATATTCTTCGAGGAGATTTGAAATTTTGTTGTGCTATATTTAAGGATTATTAAAAATTTTTGAATATTTTGAACCTAAGTTAATTAAAACAGGGATTATATTTTCAAATGTTGAACTGAAAGTAATGAATATTAAAATTATTGTAAGATCTCTTGAAATTATTATTTTACAAGAAATTTATTATAAAGTAAAGATCTCTAGTACCTTACTTTGACTTGCAGATTTTGTCAAAAAAATAATTTCCAATATGTCTCTTTTTAAATAATAAATACGATGTCAAAATTATTAATTAGTTAGAACTGAATTATATAAAATGTATTAAAACTTTGATTTTTGAGTATAATACGATATGATGAAATGAATGTAATAATAATAATGAGTAAATTAAATAAATATAAGTAGATCTCGTAAAAGAACGAATAAATTAAGCAGGAAATTAATAAATTAAAATTTTCTCTAAGTCTAATCCTTTAATGAGTTCTAATTTTAATATGATTAATAAAAATGATAACTATAATGAAAAGTATAAGATGATAAAAAGTTATTAATATAAAATGAAATGAAGTGGTAAAAAATTTATTAATGTATTATAATTTTTGTAATTAATATTAAAATAGTAAAATAAAATTCTTATTTAATTATTTTTTTTTTTTCTTTATTATTTTTCTATAAATTCTAATAATAAATTTTTTTTTTATTTATTAATAGTAAATAACCTACCTAAGGAGAGGTTCATAACTTTAACGTTTTTAATTAAATGTATCAAATATTATATTAATATTAAGTATTTTTATTATAGTAAAGATTATAATATGATGTTTATAATAGTTAAGTTTAATCTTATTCGTAAAAGTTTTACAGAAATTATTATAAGTTAATGTAGTTATTTTTCACTTTCAAATAACTTTCACATCAAATAACTTTATAATTTTATCTATTAAATCAGTTGAATTTATGACAGCGTCAATCTATTTTGATTTTTAAATGACAAAACTTTAAAGCTTAAATGTAAGTTTCATCTAAAGTATTTGATTTTGTTGTCGCTATTGATGTTATTTTATTTTTTTGAATTAGATGCAATAATGATTAAAATATCAATAACAACATTATAAATAAATATATTTAATTTTCTGCCACTTTAGCAGGATTTTAATACATTCTACCTCACGAATAATTGATGTTTATAGCAATATCAATGATGTTTTTATTTTATGTAGAATCGAGTATTGGGTGCAAAATCACAAATTTCGTGATGACCAATGAATACTGTAATTGGTAATTGATTGATTATTGGTACTTATAAACTGCTGATTAATAACGTGATTAACAATTGGTGAAACATGTTAAACTAAGAAGATCGAGTTATTGAATCCCACAAAATCCTATATTGATTGCATCAATTACACAAAACAAAAAAGTTTTTGATTGTGTTGCACTCACTAAGGCGGGACATATTCCAGAAAAGAAATACAAAAACATTACAAGTTGTAGCAATTAATAATATTAAGATTCCACGGAACAAGATCGGAGTTTAATAAGTTCTAATTACGTAATTTAATTCAGATTTATGTACAAACAGAGACTGATCTCTTCTAAAACCTAAACTCCTAGATTTGTTCGAAATAAACTAAAAATGTTATTAATAAAATCTATTTATTTTAGTTTTGTATAATAATTAAACTTTTAAAGTTTTAATTTGCCTCAGCTCTAATAATCTTTTGATACACAAAACTAACAACAACAATAAAGAGTTTGTTAAAAAAATAATTGATAAATGAAAATATAATTTTCCAAATTTTGGTCTACCTTGAACGAAGACAGTTTACACTATCAATAAGACGAGAATGATTTTGAAAGTAATTTTTTTTCCTATCCTGATCATGCTGATGTAAAATTGAACTCCTTAAAGATTTTTATTATGCAGTAATTGATAATTTACAAGACGTTGTGAGACTCAAAATTAGTTGAAGCTAGGTTTTACTGATCATCAAAACTTATTTGCTCTCTCACAATTTGGCTTTGCTTACTACGATGAAAGTACATATTTTAGAACAGAACTTTGCTGGTATACAGTGCTTTCAATTTCACGGGAGACGACAGGCTAAATTATGTTTCACTATTGAACTCCGTTATATTGTTCTCGTAAATGTGCGGATATAAAATTTGTCTCAATTATCTTGATTTGGTTGGACCTCAATAGACGCTCATAAATTGCGATTGACTAAAATTGAATAGATATAATTGATTTCACTCGAAAACTTTTTATCTTACGAAGAATTTAAAAAAATGGTACTTAAAATAATGCATACAAGCACGTAATGATAAGAATCCATTACGAAAACAGAACAACAACAGAACAAACACAAAATATATTATAAATGGGTTTTGGTTATAAAGAGCTATGAAAAAAGAAAGGAATTATATATCTAACTTTTCTTTCTCTTTTAGTTTATTTCTTTATATTTAGCAAGCTAGATGGACATTACATAAACATATAAAGTATTGAAAAAAAAGTATTGAAAGAATAAATTTTGGAGTCAAAGTTTTCGTAAAAAAAACAACTACATGGGTTTGACTTTAAGATTCAGTCAAAAAATTAGACGTTTGAACTATTACTAGGACTTTGTGAAGAGATTATTCTTAGGTAATCCTTGAATTATTACTATCTAAAATAAACTACTTTTTTTATATCTATATATAATATCGAGTAAGTCGTAGTAATTAATTACGACTTTACTACAACGTTCGTTTTAATAATAGATCAAATGTTTTCCATAAAAAATCACAGGTTAGAATTGGAAATAATCGCTCAAAATATTGAATGGATTATTGAATGGATTGAGCATCATGAAGGTCTGGTTTTAGTTCATTCCTAGCTCTCCTTAATTCTCTTAAAGTTCGTTGGAGCAAATATCAAAGTAAGTGCAATATTTCTTCAACTTACTATTAAAACTCAACCAACAACTAATGTTATATAATCTACCTTTCAGACTTTAAAAACTGTGGTTCTAATCAACAAAGAAAATTAGTAATCAAGATAAGTCTGATATCAATTCTTGATCCCAGTTCGGATGGCTAATAATTTTGTTATAAGCAAATTTACTTTCCAAATAAATACTATAACTTAACTAAACGTCAACGATCATATTCCCAAATATCTACTGGAACTTATATACCGTCGATAACCCAATGACATGTCAAATCCTTCACTTCCAATATTATTTTTAATAAAGCCGCAAATTTGAATTCTACACGCAGATTCGGTTATTGGTGTTTCAAAATTTTCCAAACCAAAATAAAAATACTCCGAAATTTAAAAAACCCCTTAAATCAAAAGTGAGAAAAAAGAAAAAAAAAAAGAAAAATCGGTAGTAAATTTACCCCATAAGTCCTAATAGGAAGACAAATTTAATAGGAGTAAATTGGCAACCACAAGAAAGTCAAAAAGGTGAACTGGACTGCTTGCAACTAACTCAAATGTAATCTTTGGAGCCAATTATCTGTATGGTAGAAATATTCTCTTGGTATTTGTCATGAAATCTAACCAGAGACAGACAAAAACCCTTGATTTACCGATTGCGTTTGATTAAAGAGTTATTATTTTTTCTAAGACCTTATAACGGTGGGTCATTCGTACCATTCGTTATAATAGAGGGGAGAAATGTTTACTTGATGTAAGAATATTAAGTTAAAAAATAATTACTAATGATATTTATTACCGTGTTGTACTCAATTTATAATCCAACCATCGATAACCGAGACAATAGAATTTTCTATACAAAATTCAATAGAAAACTTTACCTTAACTATTAGAAACTTATCAAATTATAAACATATATGTAATTAAATTTAATTCTTTTATAAAGAGTGCCTCAGTTATGGAATATAATATAAATATGACAAGAATTCACCATCAAAATTGGTAATTTTACCATCTTGACTATCTCAACTCAAACTCAATTAAATTAACACTTACAATGGCACCAATTCAATTAAAAACTTCCGAACCTCCAACTCCTATAAATTCTAAATCAACTTCACCAATATTAACAACCACCAATCCTATTTTACAACCAAATACTCCAATTGATATCCCATCATCAGAAATTCCAATTGGTGAATATTTATTTCATCGTATATTACAAGCAAATCCCAAATTAAAAAGTATATTTGAAATACCAGGAGATTTTAATTTAAATTTATTAGAAACTAGTTATTCACCATCTTTAGCTTCAAAAGGTTTTAAATTAATAAATACATGTAATGAATTAAATGGAGCTTATGCAGCTGATGGTTATTCAAAAGTAATTGATGGATTAAGTGTATTTATTTCAACTTTTGGTGTTGGTGAATTATCAGCTATTAATGGTATAAGTAATGCTTTTTCGGAATATGGACCAGTTTTACATATAGTTGGTACAACTTCAATAAAACAACAAATCAAGGAATCAGAATCAAATGAAATCATAAATACCCATCATTTAGTACCCAAAAAAAATGCATTTGAACGTCCAGATCATAATGTTTATAAAAAAATGGTCACTGATATTTCTTGCGTTCAAGAAACTTTAGATTATGACTTAGACTCAAATTTAATTAAAATTGATAAAGTTTTGAAAACTATTATTCAAGAAAGAAGACCTGGTTATTTATTTGTACCTTGTGATGTACCAGATTTATTAGTTGATTCAAATAAATTATATGATATACCATTTAATGTAAAATCCAAATATCAAGGTTCTGAACAATCAATAAGTTTAATGAATGAAATTTCAGATCTTATTTTAAACAAATTATATGAGTCTTCAAACCCATCAATTTATTCAGACGCATTAACCACAAGATTTGGAGCAACAAATGAATTAAATGAATTTTTAAACAATTTACCAAACTCAGTCAAATTATTTACTTCAAGTTATTCAAGAAATGTTGATGAAACTAAATCAAACTATGTTGGAGTTTATGGTGGTAATGCATCATCAGATCAAAAAACTAAAAATTTATTTGAAAATTCTGATTTTGTATTAGCGTTAGGTTATTGGGATGGTGAAATGAATACCGGTAGTCATTCAGTAAATTTTGATACTGCTAAAAATAAATGTATTATTCATCCTGATTATATTCAAATTAATAATTTCATTACTCGTGTAAAACAAGCAGATGGTGAAAGATTATTTACTATTGGTGAATTTTTACAAAATTTAAATTCAAAATTGGACATTTCTAAAATCAAATTACCAACAAATATAGATCATTATAAATACCAACCAAAACAAGTATCTTCAAACGAATTGAAATTGCCATATATCCCACAATCTTACTTAAACGACCACTTCACTAAAACTTTACAAGAAGATGATATTTTCATAGTTGATACAATGTCATTTGCTTTTGGTTTATCAGATATAAGTTTTCCAAAAAATGTTAAATTAATAACTGGTATGAATTATGGATCAATTGGTTATGCATTACCAGCAACTTTTGGAGCAACAGTAGCATTGAATGATTTAGGTACAAAACAAAGAATTCATTTAGTACAAGGTGATGGAGGATCACAAATGACTATTCAAGAATTAGGAAGTTTCATGAGATACAGTTCTATTTTAAATATTCAACCAAAAATTTATTTATTAAATAATGATGGTTATACCATTGAAAGAAAAATAAATGGAGCAACTAGACCATACAATGATATATGTGGTAATTGGAAATGGTCTAAACTATTAGATGTATTTGGTGGTAAACAAGGTATAACTCATGATTCTTTCATATTAAATAATATTAAAGAATTTGACGAACATTTCAATGATGAAACAAACTCCAATAGTGATAATAAAAAATTACAATTTTATGAAGTTATTGGTGGTAAATTTGATGTATCTTATAGAGTTGATAATATGATGGTTAAAAATTAAAAAAATGGTATATAAAAACAAAATGTTAATAGAATTTGATAAATAAAATAAAAATTATGTTTCAAATTGTTTTCGCGCGCTGTTTTGGACTCTTTGAATAATCTACAAATTAATATCTTCAATTGAGTAAAAGTTATGCAGATTAGGACTGTAAAATATTTTTCTTTTTCAATATAGAATCGGGCTAGCTTTTGGCTATTCTAATAGAAAAGGTAATCAAATATCGTACGTAATGCTCTGAACATCATTTTTAATATGTTAGTAAATTTATTAACAAATCTTTTTATTACACAAAATATATTATTTCTCATCTCTTAGTTAATTATTTGAAAAAATATATTTACAACCAGATTTACATACAACCAACCTATTAAATAACTAGTAAATTATGGCAGGGTCCCAATTAAAACAGCTAAAAGCTGCTTTGAAAGAAAAAGGATTAATAGGTCAAACAAATACCAACAACAAAAAATCAACTAAAGGAAAAACATCAAGAAGAAATGAAACAAATAGGGATTTACAACAACAGAACTTACAAGAAATCAGAAATAATTTTAATAAATTTGATCAAAGAATAAATAGAACTAAACATGACATATCAATAGCGACAAAGCAAGGTATGGTCAAAATTGGATCGAAACAACATAATGAATATGCAGCCAAAAATGGAGCAATGCAAAAACAAATCAAGATGCAATATGATATGGAAAAAAATCGTAAAGGTAAAACTGGTGGGATATTAGATAAAAGATTTGGTGAAAATAATTCTCATTTATCTCAAGAAGAAAAAATGTTGGCTAGATTCACAAGAGAAAGACAAAATGCAGGAGGTAAAAAGAGGGGAATGTATTCATTAGAAAGTGATGATGATAATTCAGATTTTGATGAAGATGAGCAAGATAATGGTGGTTTTCAATTAACACATTCTGGACAAGCTTTATCATTGGATGATGAAGAGACTATAAAATATGTTGATGAAGATCAATTACCACAAAATATAGATTCAGAACCACCAAGAAAAAAATCTAAAAATGAAGTAATGAAAGAAATTATAGCTAAATCAAAATTTTATAAACAACAAAGACAACAATCATTTGCAAAACAACAAGATCAAATAGATGAATTAGATGAAGATTTTGGAGATATAATGGATGATTTGAGACAAGTTCAAACCACATTACCAAAACAACAATTTTCAAATAAATCAGAAAAAGAACTTGATTATGATAATAAAGTAAGAGAATTAAATTTTGATAGAAGAGCGGTCCCTGCAGATCGAACCAAAACCGATGAAGAATTACAAAAGGAACATGATGAAAAAATGAAAAAATTAGAACAAGATAGATTGAAAAGAATGGAAGGATTTGTTGATGATAGAGAAGCAGAAGGTGATGATTTAGATGATGATGATGGATTTTGGGGTGGTGATGATAGTGAAAATGAAGAAAATGGGTTTACTATAAAAGATGATGGAGAAGATATTGGAGATGAAGAGGAAGAAAATGAGGAAGATGGGAATGGAGGAAGCTCAGGAGGAAGACCTAAAACTTTAAAAACTCCAGCAGTTATTATGCCAACAACAATTGAAGAATTTATAGAAAAAATGTCAACAATTCAACCATTACAACAACCAAATTATATCAAAATATTATGTGAGACATATAAACCAAATTTAGCTCAAGGAAATAAAGAAAAAATGCAAAAATTTGTATCCATATTATTTGAATATATTTTATACTTATCAAATAATTTTATAAATTTTGAACCATTTTTAAAAATCTTAAAAAACTTATCATCATCATATAATGAACAATTGGTTGAATCAATGAGATTATACATACTGGAAATTTCTACTAGAATAAATGATTTAAAACCAAGTGATTTAATATTTTTTGTTATAGTTGCTTATTTATTTTCAACTTCTGATCATTATCATTTAATTGTTACTCCTTCAATAATAATAATGAATCAAATATTAAGTCATTTAATTTATCATTCAGACAGGATTGAAAAATTAGGTCAAGGTGTTTTTATAATTGATGTTTTATTAAAGTATCAAAGATTTTCTAAAAGATTTGATCCTGAAATTTTAAATTTTTTGGAAACTTCATTTTTAAAATTATGTCCTGAACCTAAATCGATTAATCAAGATGATTTATTAATATCAAATTCAAATTTCAATAATTCATTAAATTTGTCAAAATCTACTAAATTTAACGTAGAAGAGAATAAAGAACCAATAATATCAATACAAGAATTGTTTTCAACTTCAAAACAATCATCAACTAAACTAGCTTCAAATTTGCTTATCAAATTATGTTACATAATGGAAAAATGTATAAACACATGGAGAGATAATTCATCAATAATAGAAATTTTAAAATCATTTATAACATTACAAAAACACTTAATAAAATACACATCAATACCAACAACCACCCACTTAACAAAATTCCATAAATTATTAACATCAGCACAACAACAAAGAAAACCATTAAAATTACAATCACATAAACAAATTTCAATAGCAACATATGCACCAAAATTTGAAGAAAATTTCAATCCAGATAAAAAATCATATGAATTAAATAAAGATAAACAAGAATTAAGTAAATTAAAACAACAACTTAAAAAAGAACGTAAATCTGCCCTTAAAGATATTAGATTTGAAAATAAATTTATTGCAAGAGAACAAATTTCTGAAAAAACTAAAATGTATGATGAATATCATAAAAAGATGGCTAATATTGTAAACACTATTCAAAATACTGAAGGTAGTGAAAAGAATCAATATGAAAGAGAGAAAAAACAAAGAAAACAACGTAAATAGTATATTTTATAAAAGTATTTAGTTGTAATTGCATATACATATACTTGGCTTTGATTTGAGATTAAATTTATTGTAGAAAAATGAGATCTGAACTCTTATCGATGAAGTCCTCAGCTTAGATTGGAAATGCAGAGACTCAAATATTTAGATTCAAGATTAAAAAAGAGATCTATCTAGATTTTAAATTTTAAAACCCAGATTTGGCAGTCATTTTATCTAGATCGCAGATTGTGAAAAAAAGTTGATAAACCATTTTTTTTATTAAAATTTGGTTGCAAAATACAATAAAAAAAATTTTAAGAGTTAAAAAAATAATTTATTAATAAATTTAGCTCCGAAACATCCTTATCTTTTCAACTCTAATCTTGGCGCCATCTCTCAATCTGAATACGATAGTTGATTGTAGAGTAAATTCAGTATCAACAATTAGACATATACTCTAGATCTTGCGAAGATTTCCAAATAAGATTACTTATAATATTGAAAGTTATTTGAAAAATAAAATTACGTTTATATGAATTAGAAAAAATTAAATTATAAAATTATATAAATAATATAAAACAAACAAATAGATTTTTTTGAAAAATAAAAAAAATTAAAGGATATATTAAAAATTGTATGTTATTATATCATTATTAGGTCTCATGAATTAAAAATATGAATTGAGGGTATATTAGATAATGTTAAACATTAAATTTTCTCTTCTTTCTTTTTATTCTTTCTTTTGTTCTCTTATGATAATTTTATATTAGGTTACGTTTTTGAAGTGTGAATTGATTTGAGTGGTGTTGATGATTTTTTAATTAAGTTCGAGTATTGGTATTATGAATATGTCATTTGTAAAATTTCAGAAGCTATTATAGCTCTTTTTGATTTGATGATATTTAACTAAAAAAATTTTCAAATTTATACTTGTGACATAGATGGAACACCAGTTCTTGGAGTTGATCTTGATGATGAACCAAATAATCCACCTTTAAATAATCCAATTAAACTGAAAATACCACTAGCAATGAAAATAAAGGTTGAAAAATATAAAAATGCAACTGAAGCTTGAGCTTTTCTACATCTACCACTTGAACCTTGAGTAATATTATTATCATCTAAGTAATCTTGATTAGAACATGAATGAACTCTAATACCAGCAGCAATTGCAGTTGCAGCAGCAAAAGTGAAAACAAAATTTAAGAAATCAAAAACAAATAAAATAACTGGCCATGCAAATGCACTAATGAAAAATGCAAAGATACCATATAATGATGAAGTTAAAATACCAAATGCAGCAGCAAATACACCGAAGTTAATTTGTGGATTATGTTGAGTATAAGTTGTGGCTGCTAATGAACCAGTTAAACCTAAAGCAATGGCTAAGAAAATGAAGTTAAAAGCTCTTAAGATGACGTCTCCGATAGCTAACATTTTATTATTATATTATTTGTAGTTGTTGTTGTTGTTGGGTTTTTAATTAATCGAATTAGTAAAAAATTGAACTTTTTATGAGTTGTGGTAGGTATTAAATACTATGAAAAAAATATATTAATTCCTAAAGTTTTGAAATATCAATTGAGTTTTGAGTTATAAATTAAAGATATGAAATCTGAAAATTGAAAATCTCTGTTTTTTTTTTTCTTTTTAAGATAGAAGAAGATTGATAATTGAACTAAATAAAAAAGTAAGTAAAAGAAGAAAATAAAAAAATTTAGAATATGAAATTTAAGATTGGTTATTAGTTTAAATATATATGAATTATTAAACAAGATAATATTAATGATTTTTTTAATTAAGGGATTTTAAATTGCTACTTTATTAATAATATTTTAGTTTGATAATATTTAATTATTATTGTGTTAATAAATTTAAATTTTTAATTTGTTTTGGATGATTTCTAAAACGGAAAGTTTAATAATAATTGTATGGGATTATGTAATATTTTGTATCGCTGCTTAGTAATTACTAGTACAAATGTTTACGTAATTTAATCTTTTTTTTTTTTTTTTTTTTCAATTAAAATTAGAGAGAGAGAATTATTAAATTAATATTTAATATAATGATCATTCGAATTTAAATTATTTTCTTAATAGTTTGCTTAATTATAATATGTCATTTAATAATTGGAATATTCGGTTACAATTCTAAGTATTGATGATTGAATCATCTTACTTCTTGAATCATTAAAGAATGGTCAGTTTATAGAACGGCAGGAGTAAAATTCCACACCCATCTCTTTACAAATTCACTCAAATTAATTTTTAAAATTTTTAAAATTCTATAGACCAAAATTTTTGAACAATATGCTTTATATTGATAAATTAATAAAAAATTTAACCGGCTGAAACCATTTATTAAAGAAATTGATTTTATATTTTTTGTTGTCATTAATTACAATTTAAGTAAATATAACGGTTTGGAAACTTTTCTAATTTATTTGATGTAATAATTTAATCAATGAATTTTATTAGTTTTTGACATTACTTATCTCTTTCTTGATTACTATATCGTTAATGATGTACATAATTTATCGAAATAAATAATAGAACAATTCATGTAAACCATTTTATATATTTTATTGTATGGAATAATATACTTTGTGTAAGATATGACAAATAGTTTAATTATATAGTACATTATGTTTTGATTATATCTAATTTAGTAATAATTATTAACTATTTAGGTTTATTTAATAATAGTATATAGAAATTTTACGAATATGGAAAAAAATGAATTAAATTTTTAACTAAAATAGTACATTTTAGATAGTATCAATTAAATCTCGTGTAGACCTGAAATTCTCACATACCACATTAAGATTATCTTCATAAGAGTTTTAAATTTTTGATGCCATTCAATATCAATCTCTTTACTAATTTATTATTTAATAAATCTTTATTTTTCCTCGAAAAATCTTAATTCTATTTTAAATTTTTTTTTTTTTTTTTTTTTTTCTTTTCTTTTTTGTCAATTGATGAAGAAGACAAAAGTTTTCGACACTACTAAAAAAACTTAATCTTATAGAATCAGCAATATTAATAAAGGCTCATCCAATATGAAAAATTTGTAATTAATTGAGTTTTTATTAGCAAACATCATGCTTAGGAGCAATCACAATAGTCAACCTTTACAGTATTTGATATTTTTTTTCTTGAGTGTTCCTGAAGTTGACATTTTTTATTTTTCAATTATGTCATAATTTTTTTATTATTTTTCTCAAGATTTAATTACCGAGATTCGAGAATTTTCATCATTTGCTACGATGAATATGTCTAAAAATCTTCTTTAATAGTTGCTTTTTTTCACAGTTCATCCCTTTCATTCGATTTAACTGAGCTATATTGTTGTTACTTCAAGTTTAATTCATTCTCACTATGAGATGAACATCCATATGGTCCAATTAAGGTATATGTGGAATCATTTAGTATTGGTAACTATACAATCATTTAGTATTGGCAACTATACAATTTTAGTGTCATAAACTGGCTTTTGTATTCTCATGTGTATCTAGAAAATCAAATGCACGGCTAATAATAAGAACTTCCAGTGAATACAAACACTCTGAAAATAATACGACTACTAGTCAATTAGGAACATTGTAGAACTATAGACACACACAAAATTTTATATCCGAAATTAAAGTTTTGTATAAAATTTTAAAATTATGAAATATTACATATAAGATATATAGAGGAAAAAAACCTCACACAAAATTTTTCAGCCGTGAGTAAGGAATTTTTCATTTTTTATCGATATATATGACGTAGTTTAAAACACTTAGAATATAATGTTGTAATTAATTCGACTTGGCAGTTGTTGTAGCCTTATGTCAGTCACAATTTAACTCATTTACTAAAAAGATTCCTTATTGTTTGACCCCAGATTTCGGACATTTAAATTTGAAGTCCGATAAATATAATTTAGGTGTTTCAAGATATAGTAGATTCAATGTAAAAAGTTTAGAGAGACTAATTCAATTAAGAGAGATTGAAATCAAACATTATCAAAAATCATCTTCAACTTCAGAGTTTATAAATACTCATATATATTTAAATTTATTCAATTTCTCTAATTTTAGCATCAATATGATCTTTAAAATATCTTCCAACTTTTTCATCAACACTAACTTGAATAGGTTTTAAATCTTCATTATTTAAAATATTTGGATCAGCACCTCCTTTTTCAACCAAATAAACAGCAACATCACCATGACCTTCAGCTAATGCATGATGTAAACTTGTCCATCCATCATTATCTTTTGCATTTACTGGTACTTTTTTTTGAAGTAATTCTTGTATTATAGGAATAGATCCAATTGATGATGCTCTTATTAATGGTGTATAACCTTTTTTATCTTTTGTTTTACAATTTGCATTAAATTCATTAATTAATGTTCTGACGTAATTTAAATGATTTTTGGAAATTGCTAAATGTAATGGAGTTGTACCTAAATCAGTTTTAGAATTTATATCTGGTGGATTATTCATATGCATAAATAAATTTAAAATTTCAATATTTCCAATAGATGAAGCGATATGTAATGGAGACCAACCACTTAAATCTACGTATTCATCAATGTTGGTGTCTGGAGAACATGAAATTATAAATTTTACTAAATCTATATTATTTGCAGAAACTGCCCAATGTAATGGAGTTCTTTCATCTGAATCTTTTTGATATAAATGTTTTGGGTTTTCTGTTATTAATTGTTTTGCTAGATTTATTTTGCCTTCTTTGATTGCATTTTGGATTGGATAATCATTGTTTTCTGTATCCATTTCGAGTAGTTAGTCAGCGATTGAGTGGAATTGGTGTCAATGAATGATTTATTAGTGGCGAATTATAATTTTAAAAATGTGATTTGAGTAGAATTCCATGTTTCTCCACAAAAACGCATTTTTTTAAAACACAATTAAATTTACTAAACTTATAAAGGACTTAATAAATAGCATGAAAAAAGGGCTAAAGAGGATCAAATTGAACAAAATAAAGTATTTATTATTTATTATAAATGGTTGAAAGGAAGAATTGAAATTTTGTTACATAATCTAAATTTAAGGCTAGTGATATATAAGGTGCTAGCTAGCTTTATTTTTTGTTGTTGTTGGATTGCAATGATATTGCAGAATTGTCCTTGATCTAAGTTTCTTCTTCCTCTCCAGAACTAGTATCTGAATCAGGTGGTGGTTGATCGAAATAAGGAATTGCAATAATTGTGGTTTGTAAATTTTGTAAATCATTTAAATTCGTTGATTCATTATTCGTAGGTATGATGTTGTGACTTGGAAAGTGAGAATTGAATTGTTCTTGATTCAGTGGTTGATGATTAATTGGGAAAGCCAGTTCCAAATTTGGTGGTTGGGAAGTAATACTAGTTTGTCTATTACTATTATTTAGTTGAGATTTTTTACTTTGACTAGTTGAAATTTTTTTGATCATATTTGCTGAATTGCTATAATGTTGTGAATACTCTTTTTGTAAACTTTCTAGGTAAAGTTGATAATCATTTGATACTTGTGATTGATGAGTTGTAGATTTCGATGAGTTAATGGAAGATATTATTGATTGTTTTCTTAATTTAGGTGCTGTTGATGTTAAGTTGGAGTCATTCAGTGAACCCAGCACAGATGGTGAAATTATATTATTATATGGAACAATTGTTATATTTTTATTTTCTTCCATCATTTGATCATTAGAATGATCTGCTAAATCTTCTTCCTCATGATCTTTTTCATTTGGTGATAAATCATTTGATGTAGTTGATGCTGGGGGTAATGGACTTATTGGGTTATAATTTTCATCTAATTGATCATAATGTATTTTAGTTGATTTAAATTTATTTGAAATTCTTGCATTATTACAATGGGCGTACATATAATCAACTTCTTCCAATTTTAACCCTTTTGTTTCATATACCGTAAAGTATACAAATATTGTCCCTACTGCATTCAAACTACCCCATATGAAAAATATTTTACTTCCAATAGCTGCGGTATGTGAGCCTGTATCAATCAAATATGGAGTAATATATGCAAAAATCAAGTTAACAAACCAGTTTGTTGCAGCTGTTAAAGAAACAGCTTTTTGTCTAATAGATATACCGTAAATATCTGAACATAATGCCCAAGTACAACCACCCCAAGTACTTGCAAAAAATAATATAAATACACATGAAAATGAAACACATAAAATAGCATTCACATGTTGTTGTTGAATACTTACACCAGCAATTGCAATTATGAAGTTAGAAACTGCCATACCAATACCTCCCCAAAATAACAATGGTCTTCTACCAACGGTATCAATTAGAATTATACCAGGTATAGTAAAAACAACATTTACAACATAAGTAATTAGTGACATTATGTAGTAATTCAGAACCCCAGTTGAACTGAAAAAATTAACTCCGTAATAGAAAATAAAATTAACACCTGAACATTGTTGAAAAAATTGTACTCCAACACCCGTCAACATTCTTAAACCTTGTTTATGTCTACCACCACCACTTCTAAAACAATCTAAAATAGTTGTTTTACCAAAGGATCTTTCATAATCATAATTAGCTTTTATTTCAACTAATTCTTCAATCAAATCATCATCATCAGCTGGTAAACGTCGTAGTTTACAAAGTGCTTCTAATGCTTTTTGTAAATTATCTTTTTGTACATAATAACGAGGAGATTCGGGCAAAAACAACATACCAGTTGTTAAAATTAAAGCCCATAAAAACTGTACTCCAACAGGTATTCTATAAGAACCGGAATTTGTCATTCTTCTAGTTCCTTGGCATATTGCACTTGCTATTAATAACCCCCAAGTTATAGCCCATTGATAAGTAAAAACAATAGAACCTCTTACCCATTTGGGTGATGCCTCTGCTTGATATAAAGGAACAATAGCTGATAGTATACCAACAGCTATACCAGATACAAATCTACCAACAGAAAGTAAAGCTATTTCAGTAGAACTAATTTGTAATATATTTCCAATATTAAAAATGATACCAGCACTTATTATAATTGAAAATTTTCTACCATAATTATCTGAAATTAATGGTGCAATTAAAGCTCCGCATAATGTACCTAGAGATAATGAAGCAACAATGATAGCTCTTTCATGAGTTGAAAATCCTATTCCATTACTTGGAAAATTTGTATAAACAAATTTCATTTCTAATAAATCATTTATTAATCCTGTATCATATCCATACATAAAACCACCAACTGCTGCAACTAAACCAACAATTAAAGCTGAATTTGATGAACTCTTCTGTCGCATTTTTCTGTAATATTCTTCTTCTATTGTATTATCATACAATAGCTGATCTATATATGACCATAGCTTCATTTTGGCAATTTAGTTTCTCTATGGTTATATGGTTGAATACATGAGTTTTGAAAATTGAAAGAAGTGGTTGTAAATGTATTCTTGTTTTGAATGAATGAACAAATATTTCTCCGAATAAATATTGGATACAAGATGTTTATAATAAGTAGTAGTAAATATCTTATTTAAATAGGTTTTGATATAGTTTTGACTGAAAAGACGTTGTTAATTTGAATCTCTAAGATTAAGTGTATAAATGATTAACTATCTGGGGTAAATTATACAAAAATTTTGTTGATCTCTCTTTTATTAAATTTTTTTTCTATCGTATTTAATTTTTTTATTTATTGTGTTTTAATTTTTATTAAGATTCATTCCTCTCCATATTATTAAATTACAAATATTAATAATAAATTATTATAAAAGTTTTAGACAAGAAATTATTATAATTAATGATAGTTCAAATAATTGAAGTCAAATATAATTAAAATATGTCAAATTTGATTAATTATTTTCGTTCGAGAGGTTTATTGAATGTATTACTTGTTTAGAAACAAAGCATTCTCTGAACAAAAGATTGCAAATTTCATGTAAATAAATACATCAGTCTATATTAAGTGATCTGATATATCTTATGGAATTAGCTTCTGTTAAATGAAGATGTAATAGAAAAATAAATTAAGAAGTCTCTTCTATAAGTCCATTTAAACTAATGACTTTTTATCACTTGATTTTAAATTCGTCTTGCTCAAAACTCATTCATGAAAATCATATTGTTCAAATTTACGAGAATAGGAAAATAGATTTATCGTGGAAAAAATTGAGGGGAAAGTTTAAAAATTTGGTTGCAAAAAAAAAATTCTTTTCGTTAGTCTAGTATCAGAGATACTTTAATTGCTTTTATAGCCACTTTAAAGCTTGTTTAAGATTTTATTTTGTAAATTCTAGTAATCTCAATGAACTATTATAAAAAAATATGGAAACATTTTTTAAAAGCAGTCTTGTATCAAGTGAAATCTGACCACCTAGAAGTAAAAATTATAAGACAGCCTGGCAAATAAATTAACATTTATGAATTTTAACATCAATCTTTTCTGTGAGAAATTTGTCAGTTGTAATTACTAAATTAAAAGATTCAAAGTTATCATCAAGTTGAATATAATAACTTTTATGGTTGTAAACTTATTATTTACTATTAGTATATATTAATAGTTGATAAATATTAATTAAATTATTATTAGATTTAATTTATTTAAAATTACAAACTAATTTTTTTTTTTTTTACAACCAAAATTTTTTAAATTCACTTACTTTCTTATGATTAATCAACTATAATGCAATCACCCAAGATTACAGAAGATGTTAGAATAAATAATAATGGAGAGGTTAAACTAAAAGATATCACATCAGAAGTAAGACAAAGAAATAAAACCATTGAAGATGTTAAACAAATATCACCACCTCATACAAATAGAAATATTAATATTTTTACAATTTTCATTCAATTAACTCATAGATTATTTACTTATAATGTTATACCATCAATAATAGCAACTACTTCACAAACTTCATTATCACTTATTAGTATGATTTATTATAACATTATTCATTTTATTTTAATGAATTTATTTTTTACAATTGCAATTTATAAAAATTTTTTATATATTTATAGAAAAAGTTATTTAAAATATCTAACATTAATTTATTATCATAATAAATCACCACAAGTTATAAGAGATGATGTTAATAAATTAGATAAAATTCCAAAATCAATCTCATGTATATTAGATTTAAAAGATGCTGATGATGAAAATGGTGGTAAAGATGGATTAATTAATCAAATAAGTGAATTAAGTGCATGGAGTTTAAGTTCAGGAATTTCAAAATTAATAATTTATGAATATACTGGTGCATTAAATCAAAGTAGTGATTCATTAATTGATTTAAGTAAATTTATAACCAAAAATTTAATTTCATATTTTGGATCAGAATCAATTCCAACTTTTTCAATTAAAATTCCTCATAAAAATTTAATTTTATATAGTGATGAAATGTTATCAAATTCAAATGTTGCAACAGCTGTAGCCGTTGATGGCAATAGTGGTGCAAATCAAATTAATGGAGGTGGTATTACAAATGTTGACTTAGAAATTGATTTGATTAGTAGAGTTGATGGTAAACCAACATTAGTTGAATTAACCAAAACAATGAGTGAATTAGCACAAAATAAAGAATTATCAGTAAATGATATAACAATTGATTTAATTGATGAAGAATTAATAGAATTAGTAGGTCCAGAACCAGATTTATTAATTTGTTTTTCACCAAGTTTAAATCTAGAAGATTATCCTCCTTGGCATATAAGATTATCAGAAATTTATTGGGAACCAGAAAATATAGATGTAAATTATGCTGTATTCATTCGGGCATTAAAGAAATATTCAAATTGTAAAAAAAATGTTGGTAAATAGAGGAAGAATAAGAATACCAATATTGTAAATACAATAAGATGGTCTTTGATGAGTTGTTGATGATAATAACATATTAAAAACAAATTATATTAATGATAAAATTGCATGTTTTATACTTTTATTTCCTATTGCATTGATAATGATGATAATAATTTTAAATATTGATGACTTTTACTACTATTATCATTATAATTTAATTTCAATAACTATTTATTTAATTGGGCTATTTTGATAAATTACTTAGACTTAAAACAACAAAAACAACTTGTAGATTAGTAGCTCTTGAATAATTAATTTATCAATACTTAAATTTACGATAGAATAAATAAATTAATTAGCGTGTGAGTATTAAATTTTATACTACTATTATTAATAATAATAAAATTGTGTGATCTAATAAATTATATTTATAAATTATATTTAGTGCTACCAAATCAGTCAACGAATTTTTGATAGATCAATCAAAGAAAAAAAATTAAAATTGATTTGTTGTTATTTTCTCCTATTTAATAATCACAAGATCATAGATCAAATTTAATCGGTGAAGTAATACATTATAATACTTATAATCAATTGATAGAAAAACATATTATTCAGTTTTTTATATCAAATCAACGAAGAAGAAAAATCATTGATTTTAGATTAATAAAAGTAAAAAAAATAATTTCAGAATTTAAAATTAGATCAGAGTTTGAATCAAAAAATAAAATATAAATTATTTATACATATTTTTACACTTAAGTACTCAAATTAATCAAATTTTTAATCTTACATTAATCAATTTAATCAATCTTATCAATCGATATTTCATAAGTTAATTAATTGTTCAAATATTTGTCAAGTCGCGTCAACGTAATACAAGAAATTTAACTGATTAATTTTTCTATTTTGCATTTTTAAATTCCAAATTTTCAACAAACAAAATCAATAAAAAAATTCCTTAATACTAGGACAATTTTTTTAAACAAGATCAATCAATTAAACAAAGTAATCAATCAATTATTATAAATATTTAATTCATCAATACATTTTTATTTACACTCATTCATAAACTTTTTTAAAAATTAATTAATATACACTAAATATGGGTTTATCATTTTCAAAATTATTTGCCAATCTTTTTGGTAACAAAGAAATGAGAATTTTAATGGTTGGTTTAGATGCTGCAGGTAAAACTACTATATTATATAAATTAAAATTAGGAGAAATTGTTACAACTATTCCAACTATTGGTTTTAATGTTGAAACTGTTGAATATAAAAATATTTCATTTACAGTTTGGGATGTTGGTGGACAAGATAAAATTAGACCATTATGGCGTTATTATTTCCAAAATACTCAAGGTATTATTTTTGTTGTAGATTCAAATGATAGAGATCGTATTGCTGAAGCAAGAGAAGAATTACAACAAATGTTAAATGAAGATGAATTAAGAGATGCATTATTATTAGTTTTTGCTAATAAACAAGATTTACCAAATGCTATGAATGCTGCTGAAATAACTGAAAAATTAGGTTTACACTCAATTAGACAAAGACCTTGGTATATTCAAGCTACTTGTGCTACTACTGGTGATGGTTTATATGAAGGTTTAGAATGGTTATCAACTAATTTAAAAAATTCATCATGAGTATTAATTTAGGTAAAGTAAAATAAGAGGTTTTAGTTTTAAAAGAAGGCAGATCAAACTAAAATAATTCAAAAATAATAAAACAGCAATTCAATTAATTTAAATTTTTAACTTTGTTCTATTACATATCATTTTAAACAATTTTACATTTCCATCTTGTAGTAAATTTGGACTGTTCGTTCTCTTTTTCGTTTTTCTCTCGTAGAATCATATTTGTTGCTTCTCAGCCTCGTTTAAATTTTTGGTTTTTGCTCGACAAACTCGATTGCTCGACCCCATTTTTTCGTGATCTTGAGATTGTCAATAAGACAAAGATATAATTTGCTTATAAGGCAAAACTATACTACTTTATTACATTATTAATTTGGTCCATCAATACTAAATAGAAATTGATCTTATTTCCATACATAATAGTGCATTATTAACTTCTAATATGAGAGTCTCCGGAATGACCAAATTACAATGGATTTCTACTGGGCACTTAGCCCCAAAATTAAAGGTTTCATACTCATAAACAAACGCTCTATTGATTACCTCTTGCCCCACAAAAGTTGGATCATTATCAAAATCTTATTGCAAAAAAATCAATCACGTGCAGATACAATCAAGTAGGGCTACAAATTTTTATAGTAGTGAGAAAAAAAATTAACTATGTAATGAAAGTCGCACATAATAATTTTCTACTAACAAAAACAATTTTTAAAATTTTCAAATTAAGTTAGATCTATCTTAACGAACAAGTTCATTAAATCAAATATACATACACAATGGTATGTTTCAATAACTAGCATATGGAGTCATACGTAGGGAGTTTATCGATTACCAAACTAAGAGAAGCCAAGAGAAAACAAGAGACGAAATATAGACAACATGGAAAGATAATGAAGATTAAATAATGAAAATAAGGTCATCATCAATTTTAAGGAATATACTAAAAAGAATTTTTACATTTCAATGAAGAGTAATAGTCATGTCGATATTGTTATTAACAGAAACTTATTTTTATGATGACCAAATTACTTTCTATCAAGTCAAAAGAAAGTCAGCTTTTATAATATTCATCATTACTTACCTTCAATACTCATCAATTTCACAAGTCCTATCAACAACCGATCAGAAATTAAACACACAGTAATAGTTTCAAAATAAACTCCTTACAATATGCACTAGTCAACGAAAACAGTAAATACTAACATAAATATTAGGTCGCTGTCAAAACTTACGAATTAAGAACAAAATCAAAAGATCAATTAGAATTACAATTAGTTGAATTAAAAAAAGAATTAGCTAATTTAAAAGTTCAAAAATTACAAAGACCAAGTTTACCAAAAATTCATGTAGTTAGAAAAAATATTGCAAGAGTTTTAACTATTATAAATTTAAATCAAAGAGAAAATGTTAAACAATTTTATCAAGGTAAAAAATATCAACCAAAAGATTTAAGAGCTAAAAAAACAAGAGCAATAAGAAGAAAATTAACTAAATTTGAAGCTTCACAAGAAACTGATAAAGCAAGAAAAGCAAGAATTTCAAATCCACAAAGAAAATATGCTATTAAAGCTTAAATTAAATTAATTAATTAGTTTGAATTATTTAATAGAATATGTAAAATAATAATAATAAAATAAAAAAATTGGAAAAAAATCAAAGTTTTAATTTAATGTTATTATCTTTTTTTTTTTAATTTTGACATGCATGATTTCATGAGAAATAGCTTTTTTCATTTGGAGGTTTGTATTTTTTTGAAAAATAAAAAAAATTATGATGTTTGGTGTAAAATTGTATGATAGTTTATAAATATTAGTTTTTTAATATATTATACTTAATAATTTGGGATTTTACTTGTTAAATTTGAAAAGTTAGACTTTTAAGATATTAATATTTGCGTAAGTTTGGTTCAATTGTGTGTATGCTATTTATGCTATATACTTCTGTTCTTTGACTATTCAGTCATTTCAATATCTTCATTGAGCTTGGTTTTTTTCCTGCTTTGTTGTTTAAAAGCTGTAATTTTAGCTTTTAATTCAACATCATCAAACACGTCCTCTAATTTCAATGGAACTCTATTAAATGGATCAGTTGAATCACTCAACAAATGTGCTTTTATAGTTGATCTATCAATACTAATTTTTGATGATGGTAATACAACTGGATCCTCCATTAATGTAAACATCAAAGGATCTAAAAATTCATCAGGTACTTCACCTAATTCCAATTCTTCATTTTCTTCATTTAATCTATTGTCTTCAGCTTTTGTTGCAAAAATTGAAAGTCCATTGATGATTTTGTTATCAACAAATGTTTTATTTGTTAAAATGGATTCTGCCTTTTTGAAAATTTCTATATTAAAAGATCTACCATCTCTTGATACTGCAATAACAAATTCTTTTTGTAATGATAAATTTACAAATATTTCACATATATCACTTAAAATCTTTTTAGGTTCAAATTTATATTTTTCAGGTTCTGCAACTTTTAAATTTGATGCTTTTGGTCCAACCATTATTGATAAATTATAATCCAACATACCTGCTAATCTATCAACAATTTCAGGTAATACAAACCCTTTGGGAACTTCTTTTGTAAATAATTTAAATAGTTCCATAGTTTCATTAGATAAACCAATTAATGATTTAACTCTTCTTTCTTCACTTTCTAAATTATCATTTAATGTTTCATCATTACCTAATTCTTCATTTGGTTCTTGACCTTGTCTTCTACGATTTTGTTCAACTTGAAAATTATGAATTGAATTTAATAAATTAAAAGTTTCATCTAATAAGTATGTGGTATCATTCAACATTCTTGCAATAAATCTAATGAAGAAATCAACATTATTTTCAGAATAATCTGTTAATTGTAATCTATATTCTGGTATATTCCAAAGTTCTTCTAATATGACTGAAACATAATAACGACTATTGAACTTATCGTAAAATTGTGATGAAGCACCTGTTTTTTCAACCATTACGTAGAAGTCTAATAACGAATATAATATGTTTTTCATCACTAATTTATTCTTATCAAAGATTGGTATCAAAAATCCAGGGGAACCATCTTGTTTTGGCATTGACCCAATATATAAAATTTCAACTAAATTGGATTTCATGTGAGGATTACCAATTAATTCTGGACATCTTAATAAAATAGTTGTAAATTCAATAAACAAAGTTAACTTATCTTCATTTGAAACTAAAGGACAACCTCTAAAATTTGCTGAAAATTTACAATAATTGATCATACCTTCTAATAAAAATTCTGGATAGTATTTCCATGGTATTGGAGTTTTAGTTTTCAAAAAATCGTGATCATCTAATTCTGAAACTTTTGTTATATTAAATATTGGTATTGATAAAGGTTCACGTGGGTATTTATGTTTTGGATCAATTAATCTTGTGATAAATACTGTTGCTCCAATTATAAAATCAAATATTTCCAATTGTAAATCTCTATAACTAAAGACTGCAATTATACAATGAAATTGAGATTTTGATTTTTCAAGATGACTACGTAATGCTGGTAATTGTCTTCTCATCATATCCATATTAGCTGTTTCCATTCCAGGTATTGATCTGCCAGCTTCAATCAATTTAATTCTTTGTTCAAATTGTTCAATTTGACGTTTTAACCTATCAAATTTAATGAATATACCACCTATACCATAATGTAAATAAGCTAAAGTTAAATTAAAACAATCTGAAATGAAATTTGCAGGTTGACCTTCTCCTAATTCTTCTTTTCTTGTTTCACTAAATTTATTTGCTTCTTCTATAGTTGAATTAACTCTTGATTCTTCTTTGATATCAATTAAATTACTTTTGGTGAAATAATCCACATCAATTTTATCAATTTTGACATATGCTGGATAATCTAAAAATGGCATACTCAATTTTGTTAATATTACAGTTATATTAAACATGATACCGTCACCAGGAACTGTATTGAATTGTACATGACTACCTCTTCTTAGATGACTGAGATTGACTAATTCAGCTAACCATGTTAATAAATCTTGTCTTGTTTTAGATGAACCACGGATTAACTTATCAACAATTATAAATAATTGATCGATAACGACTTTGTATTCATTTTGAATAGATTGATATGCATTATTTAACTGAATATATGATAATTTAGTTATATCATCATCAAAGTACGATTTGGAACTATCAGTTAACGGCGATAATCTTAAAATTGGACCTAATAATGATCTGTATTCAAAATTCAATCCTTGAGATTTATCTGGTGGATTGAAACCTTCAATTTGTGAAAATATTGCAGCAACTGGTTTTATTGAAACTAAAGTTTGAATTATTGATAAATAAGTCAAATATCTTTGATCTTTAAAATCCCATTTAACTAAAATAGAACTTATATATGGGAAAATTAAATTTAATAAATCTAATAAAGTATCCTCTTCAAAACTAAATTGTATAATATCAATTAAAAATGGTGACATATCTCCAAATTGACTTATAAATGAATCTAATGCTAATTTTAAATCATTTGATAAAAACATATCAGGTATTAATAATCCCATATTTCCATATCTTACAGCTAATTTTATAATTTGATTTAAAATTTCAATTTTTTCTTGATAATATTGAGCTTTAGTTGGTATTGATCTTTTTTCTTTATATGCTTGACGATATATTGAATATAAATAATCTATTGGTTTTGTTTTTAATGTACCAACTTCAGTTAAAATTTCCATAAAAATCGAATCTAACAAACTTTCATCTAGGATATTATTATTTGAATTTTTTAAATCATGACATAAACTAGGTAAATATATTACTTTATTCGATTTTTCATTTATATTTAAAGTGACGTTGAATAAATATTTTAATTGTGTAATCATCCATTGTGATAAATGTTCTTCTTTTGATAAAGTTGGAGTTGTTGGTTGTTTTGGTGAATTTGTATTTTCTGTGGCAACAGGTTTTTGAGATTGTTGGGGTTGAGTCTCCACTTTTTTAGTTGATGATGTGGTTTGATTTGATTGATTTTGTTTATTATTTACAGATTCTGTTGATCCATTAGTGGTTGGTGTTGATTGTCCACTATTACTATTACTGGTGCTATTATTATTATTATTATTTGATTGTAATGCTGCTAATTTAGCTAGTCTTTTTGCCCTGATCTATAATAAATATATTGTTAGTAAAAAAAGATCTTTTATTGAATTAATTATTGAAATTTTAATAATTACATACATCATCTGATCCAGACATTTATTAAATCTTAATATTAAATTTAGAATGAATAAGTTTATTATTTTTTAAATTGATATAAATTTTGGTTGTAAAAATTGAATCAACTTTCAAATCTAATATTTAATAATTTTGTAACACTTAATATTTTAATTTAAGTAAATTATAAGTATTTATTAGTATTTAAGTATGTATTATGTAATACAGTATACTATTGATTGTGTAATCGTTATGTAATAATAGTATATTGGAATTATGTAATATTAAAGAGAGAGTTTTCAAGTACATTAGATTCAAATGAATTATTATCATATAAGTTTGATGTATTGAAAAGAGATTTAATATCATAAGTACTATTTTTGAGAGATGTAGTATTAGTAATAAGTTATTGTTGATATTACTTTTTTTTTTAGTTTCCCACTAATATTAATATAATTAATAGATTAATATTTTATTCTAGTACTTAAAACTATATTAAATATTTGAGGCTCTCATCAGACTTGTTTAATTTACTATACAGTAAATATTTGACAATACTTTAATACATGAATCACAACACTAGGTTTATTCTTGTATTGATATTCTCTTAATTTCTACATAGTATCCAGCTTAATACCTTAATAATACTACTATTACTACTACTACCTCCACACATACTATTTACTAAAATTTGTTTGTATGAAATATCTTTTAACAGAAGAAAAAAAAAAAATTATTTTTAAATAATAATAAATTTAAATAAATTTCATTCCAAATATAATTTTTATATTTAATATATAATATATGTTTTTCTAGAATTTTGATTAAGTTTTTATATCAAAAGAATATATATTTATACAATTTTATTAATTTACAATTACTTACTTTATGATTAATTTATTATTCAATTCATATATCATATAACAAATTATTTTAGTCTCATATAAATTTTATTTAATAATTAACGATCAAATTTTTTTTTTAATTTTGATTTGTTTTGATCATATAATAAAAGACTCATTATTATTATTGAGTTAACTTTATCATTATTACGATGTCAGATATACCAAAATCAATTATAACAGCTTTAACAAAATATCAAGATAGACCATTTATTTTATATCTTGAAAAAGATTTAATAAAATTTATAAAAAATTCAATTTTAGGAAATATAAAACAACCAGAATATGTTATTCAAGCTCAATATTTAAAAAATTCTTATTATAGATTATTAAGTCATCAATTATGTCATTATTATCAACTACAGCATTGGAATAATCAATCAAATGAAATTGTTGTTACTCCAACTGAAAATTTTGATTATAAATCTTTTATATTAATAATTGAAGATGAAAATAATGAATTTATGAAAATAAGTGATATTGCTCATCAATATCAAGCTGAACATTCTCCAAATACTTTTAATAATCAAGAATTAAATGATGAGAGTACTAGCAATAAGGCCGACATTAATGATAATAGTTCCAATGGTATTATAAACAACAAAGACGACACTAGTAATAATATCCAAGTTCCATCAGATGTAAATAAAAATGTAAATTCAGATAAACCAACAAAGCCAAAGTTCATTGTTAAGAAAATCATCAATAAACCTCAAACCCCTGAAATTGATAGCTCAAAGGAAACTAATATAGAGAAAAAATTAACAAATTTAAAAATTAATGATAATGATAACAAAAATAACGAATCTAGCATACCACAATCAGAAGATTCTGATGTATCAATAACAACTGATTCAACTAATAAATCAACCATAGAAAGTCAGAGAGCTTCAAAAGAAGCATTATATAAGAAATTAAGAGATGAAATATTTTTAAAAGAAGATGAAGATCAAGAAGGTGATGATGAAGAAGAAGAAGAAGATCTCGATGATGCGGAAGATGTTGATTCAGAAGAATCAAATAGTAAAAAAGGTCAAAACTCGGAAACAGATAATCACACATTCACAAAAGACCACAGTCATAAGAGTAAATATCATAACAATAATAATAATTACCGATATAAACATAACAATAATCAATACTACAATTCACATCCAAATCATCATCATAATCACCACAATCAACAACAACAACAACAACATCCATATCAAATGCCAATACAATTCACCTACCCACAAATGTATTCACCACAAGGTTTATCCCCAACTATACCACAAGGTCCAATACTATATAATCCATATTATCCAAATCAACCACAACATATAATACCACCACAAGGTTTTACTACATACACTACCTTCCCAATTCATCATCAACCTCCTTACGACAAGGAAACTGAAAGAAGAATTTTAAATAATCCTTATATTATATTACCAGGTGATGATGGATCAAATGATAGGTTTACAAATAATAGCGGTAATATTAAACAACAACAAAAATTGAAGAAGATTTACAATAATAATAATAGTAATGGTTATACAAATGGTAATACTAATGGAAATTATAAAGGTAATAACGGTAAACATTAAGATTTCAAGATTAAATAGTCTCTATCAATATACAGTAACCCAATGTTTATACAAAACTCAACAAAAGTATTCGCTTGGTTGTAGTATATTTTATTCGTCTAAATTTATTTTTAAGGACCAAATAATAATTCTCCTTAAAACGGAAATGTTTCAGATCAAAAAATTTAAAGTGAGAAAGCTTAAGACAAAAATAAAAAATTAAAACTCGTCTATTATTTTTATTCTCACTTAATTTAATTAGTTTGACGTGTTTTATCACAAATCAATAAATCTTTTGATCTACACTCCAAAAAAAACCTCATTTTTCCCTAAAAGAACCTCAACACAACAAATGTCAAATAACGAAGACGATTTAATACCAGAAGAAGTAGAAGGATATCACGTTGGTGAAAAAAAGACAATTGATGAATATAATAAATTAGATGCAGAAGATGAAAGTTTAGCAAAATGGAAAGCATCATTAGGTTTATCAAGTACAGGTTCTTTACTCCCCGTAGATCCAGGAGATAAAAGAAAAGTAGTAGTTACTGAATTATCAATTGAATTTCCAGAAGATTCCAATTTAAAACCACTCACGTTCAATTTAGATTCTACCACCAATCCCACAAAAGAAATTAAATTTGATATAAAAGAAAAATCAGTATATCAATTAGTTATAAAATTTAAAATCCAACATGAAATAATCACGGGTTTAAAATATTTACATTCAGTTAAAAGAGGTGGGTTAAGAGTAGATAAAGTTGAAGAACCTTTAGGAAGTTATGCACCAAATACTACTGAAAATCCTATATACATTAAAAAATTTTCTGAAGTTGAAGCTCCATCTGGTATGATTGCAAGAGGTAATTATTCTGCTATTTCTAAGTTTATTGATGATGATAAAAATGTTCATTTGACTTTACCTTGGAGTTTTGCTATTGTTAAATAAAACTTTGAGAATTATGTGATTAGTTGGGATAATTAAAACTAGTTTCTAAGTTACTGGTTAAGTAAATAGATTGGAAATGTTTATAATGAAATGAAGCTTGGATAGAATTAAAAGTATGTTTAAAAGAGGTTAAGTTACTAAGATAATGTAGATATTTTGGTTTCTAATTTTAATATTATTTATTATTATTATTATTAATATTATTATTATGCTATTAAATTAATTTATTATATTCATTATTAGTAAGAATATGTTATAATGCAAATTTTGAAACGCTATTAAAATCTATTTCTTTAATAACGTTTCATTCCTAACTTTTTTGAAGATCCATCTCTCATTGGTACATATGCTGGTGCTTTATTACTAGATTTTGGACCTGACGTTGATGATGTTGTAGATACGTTCGTATTATTAGTTGTTAGAATGAACGGATTGGGAGGTTGATTTTGTCTTGATAATGAAGTTCGACCAGCACTAAATTTTCTTCTTTTAACATTAGTAGATGAAACTGAAGAAGCTGATTTAAACCCACCTAATGAACTTGAAGAAGATCCATTATATTCAGTCAGGAAAGGAGCACCTCTTTCAAAAGATACCCAATTTTTACAATACCCTTTATAAAAATTATCAATATTAAAATTATCAAGAATTGAATTATCTTCAACACCTAACAAGTCATACATTTTTTTTAAATTTTCTATATTTTTAAATGATGATTGATTATTTTCAAAAATTCTTGAATCTTTTAAATCTTTAATGAAAACAGATAATTCATTATAATTTTGTCTCCAAGTTTCATAATGACTACCACTTTCTTCAATGTAATTTGTAATATACAAAAGGGTTTTAGCTCTTGTTACAGCAACGTAAAAACATCTTCTTTCTTCATCAACAGCAGTTTCACCAGTTGCGTATTTTGCAGGTAATAAACCATCAGTTAAACCAGGAATAAATACAACTGGCCATTCTAAACCTTTTGATCCATGAATTGTACTTAATGAAATTTTAGGAGTTGGTGAAGTAGTAGCATTTGAATCTTGTTCATCTTTTTTATCTTCTTCTGATGATTCATATAATCCAATTGATTCAATAAATTGTATAATGGTGTTTCTATTATCTAATACTTCAATTTCTTCATCTTCTTCATAAAATATATCATCTTTTTTAACAAAATCAACAAATTGACGTTTAACTTCTTCAATGTTTTCGATTTTATCTGCATTGGCTTCTGGGTCATCTTCGTATTCTTTTTTCAATCCTGATTTTTCATAAACAAAATCAAATAATTCTTCATGTAATATTTCGGTTGGTTTTGTTGTATCTTTTAAATTTTCAGGTAATAAATCAAACCCACCTTCAATTACATCTAAATAACTTTGTAACCCAGATCTTACTTTTATCGATAATTTTTCACTTGAATGACGATTTTCGGCCAATTGTTTCAAACATTCTCTTGCTGAATTTTGTTCACGTTTCAGTTGAGTAATTGCATCATCTATTTTATCTAAAGTTTTAGCACCAATACCTCTTTTGGGAAAATTTATAGTTCTCATTATTGATATTCTATCATTTGGATCACCACATGCTTTTAAATAATCCATTATTGCAACAACTTCCTTTTTGTCCCAAAATGCTTTACCTCTAACCATAAAATAAGGAATTTTCTGAGATACTAATTCCTTTTCAATAACAGAACTTTGAAAACCTGATCTTAATAATATTGCTATATCATTTGGTTTAATTGGTTGTTGTGGTAATGATAATAAATATTTGATTTCGTAAACAATTTTTTGAGCTTCATTTTCTGATGAATTTGCATTTTTAAAAACTGGTTTTATAGACAAGTTAAATTGTGAATTTAAATTTTTAGTAATTCTATCTGATTCTTGTCTCATTATTGATTCAGAAAATTTCAAAATATCATTAGTTGATCTATAATTTTCATTCAAAGTAATAATTTCACAAGATAATGATTTGGTTTGAGAATAATGATCTCTCATTGATCTAAAATTTGTTGTTTGAGCATCTCTGAATCCATAAATACTTTGATCTGGATCACCAACTATAGTTACATTATTTTGAAATTTTTCATTAGTTAAATGACCTTTTGCAAATGAATACATTAATTGTAATTGAATCTTATTAGTATCTTGAAATTCATCAACTAAAACATGTTTTATAAAATGTAAAAAGGGCCATTTTGTGAGTAATATATTACAATATAATAAACAGTCATCAAAATCTAATTTTTTTTCATCTTCTTGTAATTTTCTTTGATAAGCTTCATATAAAAAATATAAAACTCTATTCGAATCTGGTCTAATTTTATATTCATCAGGTAAATAACCATTTGATTTTAATTTTGAAATTTGTCTTTTTAATTTATTTATATCAATATCATGATATTTTTTGTTGGGAGATTTTGAACGAATTAAATCTAATTCTTTTGGTGTATTCTGCATATAATTTAAAATTGGTAAAGTTAATTCTTTAGTTAAAACTTCTTTTAAATAATGATCTTTATCTCTTTCATCTGCAATATTAAAATCTGATAAATTTAATTTAAATCCATATTTTTTCAAAATTTTAAAACATATACTATGAAAAGTACCAATTAATAATCTTGATATATCAATATTAGTATTTATTAATAATTTATCTAATCTTTCAATCATTTCATTTGCTGCTTTTTTTGTAAAAGTTGTAACTATAATTTGTTCAGGTTTAATCTTTTCTTGTAATAATAAAAATGCAACTCTTGATGTTAATACTTTTGTTTTTCCAGTACCTGGACCTGCTATAATTTGTAGCCTACCATTAACTGGTGATGTCACAGCTTTATATTGTTCTGGATTTAGATCTTTTAAAAATTTTAATTTAGGGTTGTCTATAAATGACATTTTGTATATTTGATGATATTGAATCTTGATCCATTAATCACGATTGAATGAAAAGTAGTTGTGAAAATGTATGATAGGTGAATAATTAAATTTTAAATAATTTATTCATATATATACAAAGTAATTATTATATGTATCATTTATGTTTCAAATGTGTAGCATTAATTTATTAATTTATACGTGTAATAAAAATGTTATGTATAATATTTATTTATTTATTATGATAATTTAATTTTGTGATATGTTTATCATTATTTTACGTAAATGTCTTACTTTGTGTTTCATATTTTGATCCTTTTAAATATACGACAATTAATTAAGATTTAAGGAAGGGCTAACTCTTTCAATTAATAAACAGACTATGATCATTCTATAGATTCAGATACTTATTTTGTAGGATCCATTGAATTTTTCTTTTCATTTGTTACTATCACAAGAATAAATAAAAGTTGTTCATTTAATTTACGTAATTTTGCAACAAAATAATGCACAAAAAAATTTTTAAGCCTGTTTCAGTTAAATAAAAAAAATAAATTCAATAACGGACACCTAGGACGTATAGTTTATTTATCCTGTGAAGGTGATAAGTCATCTTTATTGAAAATAACATATATATGAGATAATCGATTTTGTCATAATTTAAAACTGAACTTACATATCTAAAATTAAAAAAAAAAAAAGCTACCAAATAATTTTTATATTTTGTGAAATATAATACCTTCTAAAGTTGTTAGTATTTATTTTTAGTATGTACATTTGATTCATTCAACTAGTATTTTATCAAACCAATAAGAAGTACTGTATCAAGAATCATAAACGAAGAATATGACTATATAACATGAACTTAATAATAAAGATATTCTATCTTTTTTCCCTACTAATAAAGTATACATTATCAGATGCTATTCTACCGGGAGCTTCAAATGAAACTTTAGAGGTTGCTTTAAGATCTCAAAGAGATATATCAAAACCAATTCCTATTGATCAATTATCAGTTTCTGGTTTATCATTAAGTTCAATATTTGAAAATAATGTTTATAATACTGAAAGTTTATCAAATTTAACTACTTTATTAAATAAGGGAACTCAAGCGATAATGATTGATTTATATTGGAATGAATTTACATCCATATGGCAATTATGTCCTGCACCATTTCCTCAAAATTCTTCTTCAGCTATAAATAATACACCTTCCATTATATGGAATAATCAAACTTATTCTTGTGATTTAGAATTAACAACAGATTATGTAATGGAAGTTATTACTTCATATATAACGTCTACAAATACTGATTATCAAGCTAATTTTTTACATATTTTAGTTAATTTAAAATCAATTCATTATGAAAAATCAAATCAAACTATTGAATTGGAAAATATTTATAAACCGACTCCAGAAACAACTTCAGTTGGAAATTCAACATTATCTGAAACTTTTGCATTAATGTCACTGTATATATTTGGTCCACTGACTTTAAATGATTATCGATCTAAAGTTCAAGAAGAAGAGGAAAATCATGAATTTGTATCATTTTATAATAGATCAGATATAATTATGCCTTCATTAACAACAGTTTTACTTAGTGAATATAAAAGATTAATGGTTAATGTTATTTCAGATGAGACTATTGATTCAAGACGTTCTTATACTATCAATGAACTTGATAAAAATATGATATTTTTTAATGATACTTTACCTACAAATACTATGTCAATTTTGGAGGCTGACGATTATTGTAAACAAGTTTTGGTTCCAACAAATGGTCTTCGTCAATTCAATAATTTGTCACTTTCAACTCATTTTAGATATGTTATTGATAGCAAAAGTGTTCCTTTTACATTGAAGAATATACGAAGATATGTAAGATGTGGGTTATCACCAATTTTCAATTCTACTACGTACAATGTTGGGAATTTACTGAATACAATTAATTCACTGGATATTGAACAAGTCTATCAAGCTTATGCTCCATATTATTTCTGGTCTTGGAGTCCTGGTCAACCAGAAATTATGGAAAATACTACCAGAAACAATTCAGGTGATCCAGATGAACTGAGAAATGTTGCTTATAAATGTGTATATTTACAAAATGATGGTTGGCATGTTGGAGATTGTTATGAAAGATTTGAATTTGCATGTCAAAATAAAACCTCACCAAATGATTGGCTTATTCAAAAAGAAAATAAAAAAACTTATTTTGAAATTGGTAAGGAAGATTGTCCAGATGGGTTTAATTTTAGTTTACCAAGACTGAATATAGAAATGCTTTCACTATTAACTGCTGTTGATTTGCAAAATGGTACATATCCTATTTGGATAGATTTAAATGATATTACTATTGCAACTTGTTATGTTTCTGGTGGTCCTTATGCTCAATGTCCCTATCAAAGAACGGTCACAAGTCAAAGATTTGCTAGAATGATTGCACCAGCTTCAGTTATTTGTATAATTGTTTTGATTTTAATTTTATTGGAGAAAATATTTAGAAAAAATCATATTCAAGCTAATAGAAAACGATATTGGAAAAAGAAGCTTAATGATTATTACAAATTAAATGATTATGAAGGAGTGCCATCTTAATCTTATTACTTCTTCGTTGTTGCTCAATTCATTTCATATTTTATAGACTTTATATACTTTTAACAAGTTTTACCTGCATATAATTTATTCGCATTCAATTATCGATTTTTCCCTTTTTACTAAGAAAACCAGTAATTAACAATACTACTCCATAATTCAAATCTAACCAACCCACTAAAATGAACGATCAAAATTGGAAAAATTTGTCTAATGAATTAAGACGTAGAGCTCAACAAGCACGTCAATCAAGTGGTGGAGGTGCACCAAAAAATCCATTAGCAATCTTTGGAGGAATTGGAGGAATATTAGTATTAGGTGGAGTTGCCATGTTTGCTCAAAATGCATTATTTAATGTTGATGGTGGTCAAAGAGCTATAGTATATTCAAGAATTGGAGGTGTTCAACAAAAGATTTATCCAGAAGGTACACATTTTGTTATTCCATGGTTTCAAAGACCAATAATATTTGATGTAAGAGCAAAACCAAAAGAAATTGCTTCATTAACTGGTACAAAAGATTTACAAATGGTTAATATAACGTGTAGAGTATTATATAAACCAGATATATGGGAATTACCAACCATATATAGAACTTTGGGAACAAATTATGAAGAAAAAGTATTACCATCAATTGTAAATGAAGTTTTAAAATCAGTTGTTGCACAATTTAATGCATCACAATTAATAACTCAAAGAGAAAAAGTTTCAAGATTAGTTAAAGAAAATTTATTACGTAGAGCTTCAAAATTTAATATTGCTTTAGATGATGTATCATTAACTTATATGACTTTTTCACCAGAATTTAGTCAAGCAGTCGAAGCAAAACAAATTGCTCAACAAGATGCTCAAAGAGCTGCGTTTGTTGTAGATAAAGCAATACAAGAAAAACAACAATTAGTTGTAAAAGCTCAAGGTGAAGCTAAATCTGCTGAACTTATTGGTGAAGCTATTAAAAAATCAAGAGATTATGTTGAATTAAAAAGATTAGATACTGCAAGAGAAATTGCTAGTATATTATCTTCTTCACCAAATAGAATTATATTAGATAATGATACTTTATTATTGAATACTGTTGCTGATAGTAGAAACAATAAAAAGTAAATGAAAGAGTGAATAATTATTTTTGATGTACATAGTCTTTATATTAGTATAAAATAAACAAAATCAAATAACATAACATAAAAAAAGAATCAATTAAAAATACTATTAACCACACCCAGTGCAATTCCCATACCGGCTCCAACTGCAAGACCATCTCCAAAACGTGCCCCATACTTCTTCAAATGTTCATTTCCATTGGATTGTGGTTGTTGTTGAACTTGTTGAGGTTGATCACTAGGAACAACAGCTGTTTGTGGTTGAGCTGGTGGAAAATAATTAGAAGGTGGTGGATATTGAGCATAACCTCCATAAGAAGGTTGTGGTTGCATTTGTCCATAAGGAACAGGTGCACCTCCATAATTATTAGTATAGGAATTATTGGAAGAATATGAATTATGTTGTGATAAATTAGGGTTAGGTTGTACTTGTTTTCTTGATTTTTGAAATTCTTGTTCTAATACAGCTTTAACATAATTCGATGGAAATACACCTGATTTTTTACTTTGATCTGTTGATTTATAACCTTTCCACCAATCTTCTGATAAATGTTCTGTTATAGCTAAAATGTCACCTTTTTTCAAACTTAAATCATCAGCTTCTTGAGCTCCATAATCGTAAATGGCAGTACAATATCCAACAGGAATAGGTTCTTTATTTGGTGGTTGTGGTTGATAAGCTGGTGGAGCTACTGTTAGACTAGTTTTAGCTAGTTCATCTGCTATTTTATTTGTTTGATCTTTAAATGATTGATTTGTAGTTATTTGAGCTTGTTGGGAGTAGTTGACCTCTGATTTAGTTGATTTTTCACTGTTGGCGGTGCCAATATCTTTTGGTTTACTATCTTTCGTATATTTTTGAGGTAATGAATCAACTAATTGATTATATAAAGCTTCTGTAATGACATCAGAATCTTTTAAAAACTCTAACTCCGTTCTTATTGTTGTTAATGATCTATTTACTAATGCTGCTGACATTTAAGTATATGATTATGATCTATTGTAGGTTAGTGTTTGAGTGATATAAGCAGTAATATTTTAGTGATTGTCAAGGAAGGAATTAGATGTATATAAGAAAAGGAAATGAAATATTATAAAGTAATTAATATTCAGGATATTATTTTTAGCTTATGAGAATTTGGTTAAGTAATTTTACAGATTAATTTTGTGTAACTTTTTTGTTATCATTTATTTTTAGACATTGATACATTGAGGCAAAGTAAATGAGACAAAACTTTTGCAACTTTTGATTATTCTTTCATCTTATAACTGGATTCTTTTTGGTAATACCTTCAACTAATTCGATAATTTCACTACCATAAGCACCAACTAATCTTGAGTCATTATTTGAACTAGAATTAATTTCCATACTCTTATTCCAAATATGATATATTCTTATAGTTGAATCATTAGTTGCAACACAAATTGAACAAAAATCAGGACTTAAACAAGCACTTAAAATTCTTAAATTACCACTTGCATTTACTTCTAATGTAGGTATCATTTCAGGGTATGAATAACATCTCATTAAATTTGATTTTGTTGAACCACCAAATCCAAAAGTCGCAACAATTTCTTTTTTATATTTTGACCAAATTAATGAAGTTATTTGTCCATCTGTATAATATTCTTTTAATAATGTTCCACTTAATGTATGCCAAAATCTAATTCTACGATCTTTTGAACCTCCTCCTGTGGCTAATAATGATGAAGTCCATGGACAATAAGCTAATGCTTTTATCGCAGCATTATGATGTAAAATAAATTTTAATATGGGAGTTTTATAATCTTTTAAACTCCATATTGTACAACAATTATCATTTGCTCCAACTACTACTTCATCATTAGTAGAGTTAATGGCAAGTCCTTAAAGAAAAAGCTAGTATAATAAAGCAGTACTTAAAGCTTCTATCAGTATATAATTACCACAAATTTGTTGTTGATGACATTTAAACCCCTTAATAATTTCCAATTGAACAGTAAATAAACAATTAATTTTCATTATATGAACTTCACCAGTATCATCACCAGCTAAAAAATGATGAGAATCATTAAACCAAGCAAAGCAAAATACACATTTACCATCTTCGAGTTTAAACTCAGTGACAACATTATTAAAATCTTCTCTTTGATCAATTAACAAGATTTTACCATTTGCAGTAGCTGCTAATATCCAATGTTCAAATGAACAGCTGACTGCAGTTATTAGCTCTTCATTATCATAATTTACTTGATTTACATTACCTTCACTACCCCAAAGATAAATTTTAGAACCTAATCCAACTACCACCCTGTTTGTTTTATGAGACCAACTTATTAAATTTGAATAATAGTCGTTTCTTAAACCAGGTGCTTGTAGAATATCTGAAGCTAGAATTGTTTTTATTTGACTCTTTGTTGTTTTGGGGGAAGATTTATCAATTATATTTCTAATAGAGTCACCTTTTGACAGTAACACTTGGTTTATAGGTTGATGAGTATAAAATTGATTAAATTTAAAAACTTTAGAATCTTTATTAAAGTCTAATGCTTCTGCAACAACTTTTTGATGAACATCAGTAGGACTTTGAATTGAAGAACTTGTACTTCTAACATCTGAGGAAGATGACGAATCTGATGAGCTTGAAACATCTAATGATAGTTCTTATGGGATAAAAGGAGTCTTCCACTAATGAAGTTTGGGAAAAGTTCTGATCAATGTTTGAATTATTTGTATAACCTGGAGAATTGGAATTTGTTTTGTATGCCAGTAATGAGGAAGAAGTTGGTATAAATCTATCACCGATAATTAACGGTTTGTAATTTGACATTATTTTCAAATAATATTAGCAATCAGTTAATGTAAAAATACTTTTTTTTCAAATTAATATGAGTTAAGCTATTTGGAATTCAAAATGATAATGATTTGGTTAAAGTTTGGTTGCCTCTTTTTTTGCAACCAAATTATTTTTTGTGTAATGCTTAATTTTAATATGTATTTTGTGTAATTATGATTTAGTTGATCTCAACTTTGAATTTTATCTACATGATCAAATATTACAACCAAATCATATGCCACTAATAGTACAATCCTCCAAAAGCTATCAAAGACTACTACTAATCAAGTATTTATGCACAATTGCATTTTTAATTTTAGTTAGCTATGTATTTTTTGAAACTATAAAACAAGTGAAAAAACCATTCATTGATGAAATCTTTCATTTAAGACAATGTCAAACATATTGTGCTCACAAATTCAGTCACTGGGATAATAAAATCACAACTCCACCTGGATTATATATACTAGGATTTATTTATTCATCATTTTTGAGTTTTATATCACATGGTCAACTAACTTGTCTAAATTATAATGTATTAAGATCATTAAATTTATTTGGTGGTTTAATTGTAATGCCTATAGCTTTAACGTATTTTAAAAAATCAAATATAAATCAATTTTGGAACGTCAATATAATATCACAGCCATTGCTATTCACTTATTATTTTTTATTTTATACTGATATTTGGTCAACTATTTTTATTATTTTATCATTATGCTTAGTGAATAATAGAGTTAATCAAAGGCCCGTGTTAAGTTCCATATTTGGGTTTATGAGTTTATGGATGAGGCAGACTAATATTGTATGGGTTGCTTTCATTGCTGCTGTTTCAATTGATAGAAAAATTGTAAGACATAGTTCACTGATTGGTAGAATTGGGCAATTTGTTTCCACGAGTTTGAAAAATTGGACTTCATTGATTGGGTACATTGTGAATTTTATATTATTTGGTTTATTCCTAAAGGTGAATGGTGGTATTACTTTTGGTGATAAAGAAAATCATCAAGTTCAATTACATTTAGTTCAAGTATTTTATTGTTTCACCTTTATTAATATTTTCACTTGGCCAGTTTGGTTGAACAAAAGCACTATTAGAAATTACGTTAATTTTTTATCTGGAAATTGGGGACTTAATGCTTTATTTAACGGTTTGAGTTTTATTGGAATTAAATATGTTATAGACAATTTTACTATTGTTCATCCTTTTTTATTGGCTGATAATAGACATTACACTTTTTACATATTTAAGAAGTTGCTCAATCACAAGTATAGTTCTATTGCAGCTGTACCAATTTATCATTTTGCCACTTATAATATCATTTCATGTTTATCACGAGCTAAAAAATTGAATTTGTCACCAATTACAATTCTAGCTTATATCGTTGCTATTGTACTAACGATTGTACCTTCACCATTATTTGAGCCTAGATATTATATTATTCCGTTGATTATATTTAGATTATACATAGCTCCTAGCTATGCTTTTGCAAATGTTTTTGAGTTTCTTTGGCTTAATCTCATCAATGTCATTACAAGTTATATATTTTTCAATTATCAATTCACATGGTTATCTGAACCAGGAAGTATACAGAGAATAATTTGGTGAATCAATTAAAAGAACGTTAAATAGAAAAGAAAAGTCATTATATTTTAATATTTACTTCTTCTAGTGTCTTATCAATATTTGCTATCGTCTTGTCTAATTCTTGTTCATCAACTTCTTCATCAATTTCCTCTTCGGTTACTTCTTGTGATAATGGGCTTTTACTTGGCCCTTTAGTAGGAACTTTTGGTTTTGGTGTTGGTGTTGGTTTTAAATTTATCTCTTCTTCAGCTCTCTCCAGAACTTTAACATTATCAATAAGATTTAAATTATTATTTATAAAACTATCAACCGATTGATAATTTTTATTGTTTAAAGATAGTATTGAGATTTCATTTTGTTTTAATTCCAGTAATAATTCTTTATTTATATCATTCAGTGAATCCTTTTCTAAACTCGACATCCACTTTTTAACAGATCGTCTTTTTAATATTTCTAGATATGGTATTTCTAATTTAGTTTCTTTATCAATAAATACCAACTCCCCTTCATTCCCAATAAATAAATCACCATAGTTATTCTTTTGATTGGTTTTAATATCCCAATTCCCAATTTCTAAATCATTTGCAAAAATTAATAGGAAATCACCCCAAGTATCTGCAATCTTGAATTTAAAATCAAAATCTCTACCAAACAAAATGACTTGACCCCATTTCCCACCCGGAGGTGGTGATAAATCAATACCTATATAATTACCAACTTCATCTGTTACAAGTGGGATCCAGTTTGGTTTTATATATGTTTCATGTATAGTTCCTGGAGGTATACATCTTTGTTTCGGCATATTCAAGTGTTTGTTATTTTCATTGCTGTTCTTAGATGATGATGAATTTGATTCATGTGATGAAACTGAAGTCTTTCGTGAATTTTCTTCTAATGATAAATCAAAAGAAGTTCTTGTCAGTGATAATTCACTACTTGCATTTAAACTTAATTTCTTTTTGTACTGACTCGAACTTGGATGTGATGTAGGTAATTTACTAAGCTCATTTAATTTTTGATTTTGTTTATTTTCTTCTTGATGAATGAAATCAGCAACTTTTCTCCAATTTTCAGTTGAAATCATAATTTCATCTAATGACATTAATTTTAAACCAAATAATAATCCATTCGTTTCAATATTTAATTTATTACCAAAATTCAGTTGACCATCGGTTATCTTGAAAAATTCAATAAGACATTGAGGTAATTTTATATTTAAATCTTTTTGAAAATCTTGTAAATCTGAATTTGTACATTTACTCAGTAATGAACTATTCATATCTGGTGCATTTTTTAATAACCAATTCTTAATATGTCTCCATGCTAATTTCATTTCATGAATACCTTCAGTACTTGTATTAGGTTCATTTGCATTTGTGGTTGTTGTTGTATTAGTGGATTGATCATTTAATTCTAATGATGAACTACTATGTTGTGAATATATTGTTAATAAATTTTCAGAATCTGGTTTATTTATTCTATTAAATGATTTTCTTGAATCATATTCCGAATACTTGTCATCGGTACTTAATAAATATATGAATTCTTGAAATTTTTGTCCAATACTTATTTTTGGCATTTTTTTTAACTATAATTTTAACGAATGTAAAAAGTTAAATTTAAAAAGTATAATATGGTAAATGAGAGGCTTCAATGAATGATAGTAAGTTATGTCGGATGATTAGCGAAAGTAATAGTGAAATTGATAAGAAATATGTCTTGATAATCTTGGTTGTAAAGTAATTATGTACTCAAGGAAACATTTATAAATTATTATTAATTTATTTATTATATGACTTGAATAAATTTATTATTATGAAACACAATATTACAATACAAATGTTAATAATTAAATTTAAAATGTTAACTAATTGTCATTAGACTAAACCAACTAAATAGCGCGTTTTTCTTTCTAAAATCTGGTAGCATATTTGATGCTAATAATAATATTACTTAATTTAGTAAAATTTAATTTTTTATTATCACCCCCATGCCAAATTAATCGAGAGCGTATAAACTCTCGACCAGTTTTACCCGGTGAATGACCACGCAACTCGCGCTAGAAGTGCAAGTTCCATTGAAGCACTAATTGGAAAGATCAAACTATTTAACTATGATAGTAGAGTTAAATACAAAAATATAACCTGGGCATGAAGTAAAAATCTTATTAAAAAAAGAAGTATACGATAAACCAGGTTCCTTTACTCTAGGAAGAATCATAAATATAATCAAAAGAAATTGAAACAAAGAACCAAAAAATATAAAACATATTTAGTAGTTCCGATAAAATGTTTAATTTGAAAAATGTAATTTACAATCACTATCCATGGTAATCAAATTGAAGAAGAAAAAGAAGAAAAGAAAAGGATGGTACTTTGTAAATTTTTAACTGAAAAATTATTTTCTTTATACAACTAAAATTTGATCGCATCTTGGACATGGCTTAAGTGCAGGATTTCAAGATTATTCATACAGATGCATCTAGTCAATGATCATTAACTCAAGAACTACTTACAGTATATAACTACAATATTTTTGCTATAATATTAAACGTTAATTTAAATGAAACTATGTAAAAAATACACTATGAGCCCCCCTGCTGTATAACATATAAAAAGTTTTAACTTTTTTTTTTAAATTTGTCAATTTTTTTTATATATATTTGATCATCAATAGTAGTTTTTTGTTGTTATTGGTTTTTGATTTATTGATTTTGGAATTGTTTTTGTATAATGATATTTGAATGAATTTACCAGTTTGAAGCAGCAGCATCTTCAGCAGCTGGAGTAGCTCCTGATTCAGCCCAATCAACTTCTTCGGTTTCACCAGTCCATTCGGTTTCACCTTCAGTAGCTTGAGTTTCTTCAACTTCTTCAGTTTTACCTTCTTCTGAAGCATTTTGTTCAATTTCTTCTGGATCTCTGTAGAAATATAAATCTGGCATAACTGACCATTCAGTAGTTCTATCAGTAATAATTCCTCTTAATCTTAAAACTTCTCTTGCTAATAACCACCAAATTAAACCAATTGAATGTTTACCTTTGTTATTACATGGGATAGCAACATCAACATATTCTGATGGTGAATCCATATCAGTTAAAGCAATAACTGGAATGTTAACATATGATGATTCTTTAATAGCTTGTGAATCAGTTCTTGGGTCAGTAACAATAACTAATCTTGGTTCTTTGAATGAACGAGTGATATAATTTGTGAAGTTACCTGGAGTAAATCTACCTGCAATAGCAGTAGCACCAGTATGAGCAGCGAATTTTAAAACAGCTCTTTGACCAAAAGTTCTTGATGAACAGACAGCAACATCTGAAGCATTTGGAATAGCAGCAATGATTCTAGCAGCTAAAACAATTTTTTCCCAAGTCTTACCAACATTGATAATGTTAACACCATCTGGTCTGGTTTTGTAAACATATGGTTTGTTGTGAACCTAAAAGTATTATTGTTAGTATAAAATAATTCTCTTGAAATCTACCACAGATCAAACTAAATGACATCAATTATACAGTGATTTCGTGGGTATCTTTTTTAATTAGTTTTGAGTTCTCATGAATTAATTACAAATTATTTATAACTAAAAGCTTGTTCGCTTGTCCGCTTGTCCTTTTGATTAAATGAATATTCTTTTATCATGTCGCCCACATTGCTTTATTCATGAGTCCAAAACTTCACATTGTGAGTTCTCTAAATTATCTATCTCTCTTATTTCTCGTAGTGTAATGCTTTTATGTCATTCATTGTTTGATCCCAATCATTTAGTTTTATTCAACATACTTGAACGTTTTTTGATCCTAAATGAACGTTGGCAGCTAATAATAATTTAGCATCTTCTGGAGTTAAGTCAAATGAAGCTGGTAATGACATCTTGATTATATGACTATTATGAATTATTGGTTGTAAGTATTATATCAAGTTTCAATCAAATCTTATATTTGAAAAATTTTTGAAAAATTACAATTTTTTTTTTCTGCGTATTCACTAAGTTAAACCTTAACTACTACTAAGTATGTGTATTATAAATTTTCTACTAACAAATTGTAATTTTGTGTAATACAATTAGTACGAACTGTTGTTGTTTTCGCGCTACTTTAAAAACTGGGTCGGCTTGCTAACTGAAGCTAAAGCGCGCTTGTCCAAGTACTGTATGAGTTCTCGCGCAGACAATATATTTTTTTTGTTTGTTATGCACTAATAATCTCGCACTACCAAGTACACGGCTCAAACCCTAACGTAAGCTATATACACGTGACTTGTTTTTGTCTGAAACATGAAACATCGTTTGCATTTATTGTTGCAAAAAAGACGAAGGTTGAAGACAGTCGATTCAAGAGAATAGGAAACTTAATTTAAATTAATACTAGAAGGATTTTAAGCAATAGAGTCACTCGACGTGTATTCAGGAAACTAAGTCTACTTAACATATCTCCAAACGCTAGTTGTTTCAGTATATTCTTCTGGTAACATCAAATACATGAACTTTAGATTATAATCATATTTGAAATTTATAATATCACCAGAAACTAGATTTGGCAATATCGAATCTCTGAAATTTTTAGCTCTTTTAAACAACTTTATAAAATTGACGAAAATTTCCAGATAAGTCAATGATTTATTTGATAAATTTAAAAAACTTATGTTGTTTTCATTTTTAACAAATTCAAATTTAATACCACCTTGTAATCTTTTTGAATTTTTGAATTTAAGCAAACAAACAAATATTGGTGTGAAATTTAATATAATTGTAATGTTCTCTAATAAATTATAAATCATTAATGTTATTATATGTATAATTGAAAACATCAAATAAAATGCAAAACTTGTAGGTAGTAAAAAAATCATTATCATAAACAACAAAGTACCAAGTAATAATTGATCAATTTCAAAAATATCACCAGTTTCATAATTATTTAAATTGTCAATTCTATTTCTTAATACATTATATTTTTTACCACGAAACAATTGAAATAAAGATTTTATAATTTCAATTTGTCTTTTATAAACTTTTGCAGCACAACAATAAAATGCAAATATGTGAAAAGTCAACAAACTAATTAAATCAATTAAAAAGCAAATGAAAAAAGAAGCACCACCATAAAAACATAAATTTTTCAGAATAAACAACAATGTCGATTTATTTTGGAAGATAGTTAAACTTTGTACATGATTTTTCCAAAACATTATCGTCCATATATATAATTCCCCAAAAAATTGACCTAAATCTGTATTTAATTTAAAACCTGCTGGATGTTTACTTGATACCCAAGTAATTAATGACATCATATCTTTGAATAATGTTTTGTCCAAAATAGTGGAGTCAATAAAGTTGAATATCTTTTCCTGACGAGTGACTAGTATTGTGTAAATTGACCAACCTAGTAGTATATCATTGAAAATTAGCCATAATGAATTATATAGATTAATGTAATTTGAATTATTAATATTAAGATTATTGTTAAATATTGGTAGTTTCAAATCTTTAATTATTGGAGAATTTTGCTGATATAATATACTTCGGTCGTAATAACATAAAAATTGAATTGGGAAATAATTAAATTGCTTTAGTCTTAAATCAAATTGACGGAATACTTTGGATATTTTTACCAAAGATGGTCCAAATATTGGTGTATTTATAAATTGTATTAATGAGATAATGAATGATTGTATTAATTTTACTAGTGGGATTACAAACCAAGTAATGACAAGCTTGAATATCAAATTCAATAAGCTTGTGCCATTTCTTTTTATTTTCTTAAATAATAATCTATTTCGATGAATTTGATTGATTTTCTCCAAAACTTGATCATCTGATACTGATAGATTTGCTGGATCAATTACCTTTGCTGGTTGATAGAATTTTAATTTTGAATCTATTAATGAGTTTGTTTTAGACTTGGATTCTCCCATGGACTGTAAAAGAATTGGCTCGATTGAAAAATATTCTAGATTTTTGAAGTTTGGAGGATCAAAGTTGATTGTCATGCAATTGATTGAACTTATAAATTGATTGTTTGATTTATCATAATGTAATTGAATGGGTAGCTTGTTAGTTTGTTTATTATTAATTGATCCAACTATCTTTAAGTCTAATGAATTTTTTATGTCTTTAATTTCGACTATTTTATCTTCAACACAGTCTAGAATTATGTAAACATTGTTCAATTCGTACCCTAGTAGATAGACATTGTCATGTTTAAAATATTTCTTCAAATCATTTGGAAAATATATTTGTATGGAAGTAGTTTTCTCATCATATCTAATACTCATTTAGAGAGAATGAATCTCTTCGTAAATATTGTGAACTGTTATTTAACTGCAGATAAAACGTATCTCTTGTAAGCTTATTCACTTGGTCCAGTTGTTCTTTCTTTGATCTAACTTTTTTTTCGATTGTCTGTTCTATTCGATTTTTATCAATATATGGATAATTCTCAATGACAAAATGATTTATAAGTTTGTAAATAATGAAGTGAATTGACGTTATTAGTAGTATGACAATTGTTAATCTAAATGTCACTGAATTAAACCATTGAGACTGGTTTGATTCCATATACAAGCGAATGAGTATTGACAACTTGGTAAATTTACGAGATTGAATTTCGAGAATTTTAAGTTATAGTCTTGTTTCATTTTGTGTTACGAATTTCAGTCAATACAAATTATTGAATGTTGTATTCTACTTTGATCAAAGTGTTCTACTTCTAAATGATTATCGTATTATCTGAAACTAATTTATCATACTACGAATTCTAACTATTCGTGAATTCCAATTTACGACAATAGAATATAACCTGGAGATATTCTTTTTTTACTGTAATTTGGTTGCAAAGTTTTCCAATTTAAGTTTAAACCATTTAAAAAATGACGGTGCTAAGTTATGTTTGAAGACTTATAACATTTATAGCAATTTTTTCTGAAATCAAACTTTAGAGCTAGTCGAAAATATGTGCAAATTGCTGTTATGACTACGATCCCGCTATTTGATTGCACTTGACTTAATGCGGTTTTATGGCTCCAAGTCCTTATATGTTGATATGTGACTCAAACTCTTTATCTACTCATTGTGAAAAATGTATTTACGTATTGGACCCGCTAAGTACGATTTTCGCTTTCTTGTAGATATGTGACTCAATTGTCTAAATTTCAAAACTAAATATAATGTAATTAAAATAATCGAGATACCTAATAGGGAACCGAGAAGCGACAAATTACGATTATGATAAGATCTTGATATTCAAAGTATAAATATGGTATGAAGATCAACTTTTGAATTTACAATTAAAATCATAAACAAACTACGGCTTAACAATGTCAGTAATCATAAGACCAATTGAACAAAAAGATAAAGAAGAATGGATCAATTTATGGACAGGTCCAAAAGGATATATTGAATTTTATAAATCATCAGATAAGATAACCCCAGAAATTACAGAAACAACATTCAAAAGATTTTTAGATCCACAAAACCCAACTTATTGTAATATAGCAGTTAATTCAGAAACCGGTAAATTAATTGGTTTTGCAACTTATTTAACTCATACAAATACTTGGGCTCTCGAGGATTCTTGTTATTTAAATGATTTATTTGTTAGTGAATCAAATAGATTAGGTGGAGTTGGTAGAAAATTGATTGAAAGTGTTTATGAAGCTGCTGATAAATTAGGTTGTGCTAAAACTTATTGGCATACACAATTTGAAAATCATAGAGCTCAGTTATTATATGTAAAAGTTGGTGTTAAAGATGGATTCTTAAAATATTCAAGACCTTTGAAAAAATAAGTTGTTTATATTAGATATTCTAGTTTTAAATATAATATGAATTTATGGTTAGGAATTAATCGGATGCGAATGAATTAATCTTTTACAGATAACTTATTGTTCTTATATTGATAAATGTACAAAGTGATAGCCACATCGTTTTATTGAAATCTTTGTCTATACGTATTTATGTTCCTTGCGTTCAAACTTTTTGATCTTCATTTTTGTCGAAATTTTACATCTAACTCATACGGTGGTGCAAGTAGAGTGTCAAAGATTGATGGTCAATCTTAGTAATTCGAGTGAGTGATTTTCCCCTATACGTAAAATCCTCGTATTGTTCAATTCAGGGAGTTCGAAACTTTGATGCACAATGGTTAAAAATGGAATAATTAGAATATTAAACGCTTCATATATTGCCATCAACGAATGGCATGAATTGTCTTGAAACAATACACAAACACTAGACACTTATCCATTTCACTACATTTATAGATAGATAAACCTTGGCTATGCTGTAAGATAGTGTCAGTCTCATCTCAAAATTGATAAATTTGTCATATCTTGCAAGTAAAATAATTTATTATATTTCAATTTAGTAAAAACTATCTATTACTGACTATATCTTTTAAACGTGTTTAATTAAGACATATATAAATCTAAAATTTATAATGCCATTCTTCAACTAACTAACCATGATTTAGTTTTTGGTCTAAGCTTAACCTTAAATTCTAAAATTTCATATTTGAAACAAATTCAAATATTTACGGGATATAGGGGAATCAAATAATTCAGAAAGATCTCGAATCTGTTTCATGTAAGTTTGAGATTTTGTAAGTTCAATAGATTTGATAAATACTGGTTAAATTAAGTTTTATAAACTTCACAAGATATAGTAATGATTAGTATTACTGTTTGTATTAAAATGTAACATCAATGTCAATAATATTGACAATATGGTAATACTTATTCATCATAGATTCAAGCAAAAGTAACTTAAATATATAAAAATGCTTGTGTTAAATATAATCGAAATAATTTTGTGTAGTAATTCTCTTTCTGTTGCTTTTCATAAATATTTTTGATAATCCTTTTTTTTTTTATATTGTATTTTTACCTATTGAACAATTATTATTACAATATTCAAAGTTAATTTATTTTTACAACCTAGAATTTTAAGAAAGGATCATTTTTTATACAACAACCTTTTTTTCAAACTCAAATCATCTTTTTTATTTTTTTTATATTAAAAATATATTCAATTATTTATAGATTAGTTTAAAAACAATCCAGCAAGACAAAACAAGTTTTATTAATATATATATATATACGTATATGTCAAAAAATAAACTATCTTCACTATCTCAATATGGTACTACCGTCTCCTTAAATAATAAATATAAATCATCATTATCCAAAACAATTACAACTCCAACAAAATTTAATTCAAATATTGGTTCAAATGGTATTGGTAAAATTTTATTTATATTTTCAAATTTTATAAAATTAGTTCATTCAATTCCAATTTATGGAAGAAATGAAGATATTGATGTTGAAAAACATCATGAATTAACTCCTAAAGAATTTTATATCAACTTGTTTATTTCAATGTTCTTAGTTTTAGCTGGTGGTGTTTTCGCTGGTTTAACTTTAGGACTTATGGGACAAGATGAAGTTTATTTAAAAGTTATTGCAACAAGTGGTGATAAGAATGAAAGAAAACATGCAAAAAATGTTTTAAAATTGATTGGTAGAGGTAAACATTGGGTTTTAGTTACCTTATTATTATCAAATGTTATTACAAATGAATCATTACCAATTGTTTTAGATCGTTGTCTTGGTGGTGGTTGGCCAGCTGTTGTTACCTCAACTGTTTCTATAGTTATATTTGGAGAAATTATTCCTCAATCTATTTGTGTTAGATATGGTTTACAAGTTGGATCATTATTTGCACCATTTGTTTTAATATTAATGTATATTATGTATCCAGTTGCTTATCCTTGTGCTTTATTATTAGATCATATTTTAGGAGAAGATCATGGTACAGTTTATAAAAAATCAGGTTTAAAAACTTTAGTTACATTACATAAAACTATGGGAGTTGAAAGATTAAATCAAGATGAAGTTACTATAATTAGTGCAGTTTTAGATTTAAAAGAAAAATCAGTTAGTTCAATTATGACACCAATGGATAGAGTTTATACAATGAGTGCTGATACTTTATTAGATGAAAAAACCGTTGAAGAAATATTCAATGCTGGATTTTCAAGAATTCCAATTCATTTACCTAATGAACCAAATAATTTCATTGGTATGTTATTAGTTAGAGTATTAATTAGTTATGATCCTGAAGATTCATTACCTGTTGCTTCTTTCCCATTAGCTACATTACCAGAAACTGGTACAGATACTTCATGTTTGAACATTTTAAATTATTTCCAAGAAGGTAAATCTCATATGATTATAGTTAGTGAAACTCCTGGTGAACCAACTGGAGCCATTGGTGTTTTAACATTAGAAGATGTTATTGAAGAATTAATTGGTGAAGAAATTGTTGATGAATCTGATGTTTATATTGATATAAATAAAAATATTAAAAGAAAACAACCAGGTCCTTTATCAAAAAGAAATTTAACTGCTTATTTACATAATCTATATCAACGAGGTGGAGCAACATCAAAAAGAAATTCATTAGATTCTCAAATAAATCCACCATCTGATTTAAGAGAAAGATTAACAAGACAAGGTTCTCAAGCAACTGTAATTTCATCAACTCCAAATACAAGAAGAGATAATAAGTCTGAACATTTGACAGATCCATCAACTAGTGTTGATCAAAAGAATTCAACCAATGCTAATGCATCAAAATGGAAAATTAAAAATCCAGCAATGAATCCTTTAGAAACAAGTAAAAAATTTGTTACAATCAAAAGACCAGATCAAGGTACAATTGATTCTGTTGCAAAAGCTGCTTCTCCTGCACCACCAAATTTAAATGAACAAGATCATGAGCATCATGACGTTAGTAATGATTCAAATTTGGTTGGAGTTGTTCATCCAACAGAAGAAGGTGCATTAAATGAAGCAAAAAAGAGATCATTAGATGTAAAAAGAGATTCCTCACAACCACCAAGACATAATAATACTAATAATAATAATAGATTTTTATTACCGGATGAAAAAGAAACAGATGTATCAGATCAACCAAATAATACTACTACTTCAAATGGTAATCATCACAACAAAGATTCTAATAGTGAAGATAAACATTATAATGATGGACATTATGATGTTCAAATATCATCAAGAAATATACCTATACAAAAAACAAATAGAGATAATGAAGGTTTATTAATTCCAGAACAACAAGAATCTCGTAGTTATAGAACAGGAGGTATAATTGAAAGTGTTATAAATGTAGATGGTGTTCATAAAACAATAATTGAAAATGTAAGTGATAGAGAAGATCAAGATGATGATTTAATATTAGATGGATCTATTTCTACATCATCAAAACATCACAAAAAAAATAAAAAGAAAAAAAGATCATCAAGTACAAGATCTGAATCTTTTAATATGAATGATAATTTAAATTTTGATGATAATGAAGAAAATAAATCTTTATTATCTAATAATGGTAGTGGTGATAAATCTAATAGTAGAAATTCATCAATTGGTTCAAATAGTAGTAGTAAAAAGAAACATTAAAAAATTAGTTGAAGTTTTTCATTACCAAAAAGTGGAATCATCATCACTAGTATGTCTGTTAGTATTATCTTTAGAATATTTATTAAATAAATTTATAACAACTTTGTAACTTATATTTATTTAAATTTTATAACGAATTGAATGTACATGTTTTGAAATCATAGCAGTAATATGATTAAGCCTTTTTTTTTTACTGAAATTTGCACATTCACATATATATAATATAAGAATGTGATAATTTGTTATCTAATCATTAAAAATAAGCTTTTATAGTCACTTGTGTAACATTGTAGTTCTCTTAAACCCAAGAATACACATGAAAAAAATCATAATCACATTAATTCTTTCTTAGTAAGGTTACAAAATTAATACTTACGTTACGTGATCTATTAAATTGAAAGTTCATCTTCTTTATTCCATTAATTCTCATACGATTATATATATACAAAGTGAATGATTGTAAATTAAATAGTTAGATATAAATCATTAAAATGAGGCTAATCCGGAATTAACGATTAAACAGTGTAAAAATAAAGCTTGAATCAAAAGTATAATGAAAATAATAATTTATTATTTTAAGAATTATTTCTATTTCGTAATTGATTAAATTAATTTGACAGATTTTGACAGATTTTTTAAATATCAAATTAATCCATTCAATAAATAAGATATTTGTGATCATATTTTGGTTCCTTATTTTAACTTAGAATAGTAATAATTAATATATATATTTTGTTCGTATCTTTGTGTTGACAATTAAGAATTAGTAGTTTAAATTGGTAGAAGAAATTGTAGAAAGTTGAAACCCTGTTTAATAATACTTACTTTACTTCCCTATAGTTCGAATAAAGTTTAAAACAATATGGTTTAATGGACTACGTAATTACTAGTTGATATATTCTTTTAAAGCTGTAAATCAATAAAACAATAGAACCGGTTGTTAATTAAATACTATTTTATATAAATTTATCCGTTATGATCAATGATCTACATAATTAAGTTCTCCAATATAATAGAAATTTTTTAAATAAAAATAGAAATTGAAATTTTAATGATATTTTTTGATTCCCTCGTTTATTATATCTCTTGAATGAATTAAAATTATTATTATAATATTGAACTAGGAACTATTATTAAATTATAATAAATGATTTAAAGATTTAAAATTTCAACAATTTATTTTACTAGATATATCAATATTATTTTAATCTATCTCACAATTGAATTGATAAAAGAAGAGTATCTCTGATTTCATTTAATCAATTTTGTTCAACATCAATATATTTATTCAATTAAAAATACTGATCTATTTTGACATTTTTTTTTCCATTGATTTACATTTCCTAATTAAAAATATTTGATAGACAATTATTCATATATAATTTATAGATCCATGATATGCCGTTTAAGAAATTTTTTACTTCATCATCTTCATCTTCATCTTCATTAGTTGATGATCAATCTAAGAAATCAAATAATGAACAACAACAAGTACATCATCAACATCAACAACATCAACAACATCAACAACAGCCGCAACACCCACAAAGTCAATCACAGCCTCATAGATCATTATTAAATCAAAGGAATAATAGATCAAGTTCTCCACTTTCAACTACAAGTTCAATAAATTCCACAAGAATTGTAAATCCAAATCAACAACAGAAAAATGGTACATCAAATTCACAAAATTATGTAAATAGTAATAATAATAATCATAATAATTTAGCTGGAATAAATAATCAACATTCATCATCTAAACAAAGTTTAAATCATTATAATAGCAATAATAATAATCATCAACAACAATATAATAATGGAGGTAGTTCAACCACATTAAATAATAATTATTCACCATCTTCTTCAAGTTCAGATATGTCTAAAGATTCAAATATAAATGGAAATAATCATCATCATTTATCATTAAAGAGATTTTTAAAAAAATTCAAGAATAATAATAATGATAGTTCAGATAGTTTATCATCTCATAAACATAAACCAACTTCTAAAATTGGTAAACCTGACCCCATTCATCCAACTGCTGATTTGTTTAAAAAATATGGTACACCTGGTAAATTATTAGGTACAGGAGCAAGTGGATCAGTTAATTTATTAACTTCTAAAAATGATCCTAACAAAATATATGCTGTTAAAAAATTTAGAAGTAGATTACCAGCAGAACAAGAAAGTGATTATCAAACAAAAGTTCAAAATGAATATAAAGTGGGGGAATACTTAGTTCATCAAAATATTATACATACATTTGAATTAATCAAAGATTATTCAATAACAAACAAATATATAAAAGATCCTGATTATTATATAGTTATGGAATATTGTTCATATGATTTTTTCAATTTGGTAATGTCAGGATTAATGAATACAAATGAAATATTTTGTTATTTCAAACAAATTATAAATGGTGTTCATTTTTTACATGAAAATGGTTTAGCTCATAGAGATTTAAAATTAGATAATTGTGTTGTTAACAATAATGGTATATTAAAATTAATTGATTTTGGATCAGCTGTACAATTTAGAAAAGAAGTTCCTAATGGTTATTATATTACAGAAAATGATATAATGTTAAGTCCAAAACATAAATTAATTAGAGCAAGAGGTGTTGTTGGATCAGATCCTTATTTATCACCAGAAGTTTTTGAACCTTTAGGTGTTGGGTATGATCCAAGAGTTGCTGATGTTTGGTCCATAGCTATAATATATTGTTGTATGATTTTGAAAAGGTTTCCATGGAAATTACCAAAATTAAGTGATCCATCATATAGGTCATTTGTTGGCCCTCAATTAAATCCAGGTAATAATGTTGAAGATGATATGAATAATCTAACAATAGATTCAAGACATGCTCATCATCCCGTAACAGTTGGACCAGAAAAATTATTAAGATTATTACCAGCAGATTCAAGATCATTAATTAAAAATATGTTAATATTAGATCCCAAAAGAAGATATCTTATGTCTGATGTATCTAATGATCCATTTATTCAAAGTATTAGTGAATGTAAAGTTATTGGTGAAAAAAATGTTGATGAACATACTATAAAATCTGAAAATCATGAACATCATTTAATTACTGAAGATGATTTAAAAAAAATTACTGCGGAAAGAGAAAGAGCTAAAAGATTAAAAGAAGCAGGGATGACTTAAAATAAGAAAGGAAAAGTATAGAATAAGGAAGTAAGGGAAAAAATTTGTAGAGATTTTTAGTTTGGATAAAATATATAAAAAGTTAAAGGTCAATTTGAATAGTTGAGTGATTATTGTAGGTTTTGTTTGTATATCCGTTGACTTTACAACTTGTTGATAATGACCGAAACATTTTGAGTAATTAAAACAATTACCAATTGAATTATATATTTTGGTATTATATTACCCCTTAAAACTTACTGATAAAAAAAATAAAAAACCCAAAAAAAAAGAAAATGTTTTGTGTCATCTAAAAGAAATAGATACAAACAAGAAATTAATAATAGCTGAAGTGTTATCAATTACATATCAACAATTTAGAAACTTGTATTTACTTTATATTAATCATTGGCGCAGCCTTAATATACATTATTAATGATACTACATAAACACAATGTCACAAATCTACTATATAAGATATATAATACCGATTCAGATGAAGGAGGCACAACAAAAGGACCAAGATTACCAAATTTTCTAATTAAAATATCATTATATTCATCATTGATATCAGCAATAATAATATTTATATGTATATTTTTACATTTATTAAATTATAGAAAACCTTTCCAACAAAGATTAATGATTAGAATTCAGTTGATAGTTCCATTATTTGCATTAACTTGTTATTCAATGTTAATTAATCAAACTTCAATTTTTAATAAATTTATTTTGGAACCTACAAGAGAAGTTTATGAAGCTTTTGTTATATATACCTTTTTTTCATTATTAAGTGATATGTTGGGTGGTGAAAGAAATATTATCATAATGACAAGTGGGAGAGAACCAGTAAAACATCCTGGTATAGTGGGGTATATTTTACCACCATTAGATATATCTGATCCAAAAACCTTTTTAATGATAAAAAGAGGTATATTGCAATACGTTTGGTTAAAACCTATCATATGTGTCACTATTATAGTTGGAGAATTAACTGGATTTTATAATGTTAATGATATGAGTTTTAAATCGGTATATCTTTGGTTAACTTTAATTTATAATGCTAGTGTTACGCTAAGTTTATATTCATTGGCTATATTTTGGAAGATATTATGGAATGATTTAAAACCTTTTAAACCAGTAGGGAAATTCTTGTGTGTTAAATTAATTATTTTTGCCTCATATTGGCAAGGTGTAATATTAGCAATATTGAATTTTTTCGAAATTTTACCAGGATCAAATGAAAATAATGGTGGACAAAGTATTGGGATATGTATACAAAATGCATTATTATGTGTTGAATTAATTGCTTTTGCAGTGGGTCATTGGTTATCTTTCAGTTATATACCTTTTACTATATCAAATTTACCATGGGGTAGATATAAATTTTATTACGCTTTAAAAGATTGGTTAGGCTTTAAAGATTTAGTTATAGATTTTCAAAAGACTTTCAAAGGTGATCATTATAAAGATTATAGACAATTTGATTCAGTAGAAGCAATGGTTGCTCACCCTGATTCAAAGGGAAGAATGAGTAGAATTCATCAAGGACTAAGATATCATTATGATGGTAAACATAAGCATTGGTTACCTGATAATACAAGTATTAGTGGTGCTCAAAATATTATACCTAGTACTTCTGAAGTTCATGCATTAGATAATGCATCAATATTATCAAACAATACATCAATGAGAGGTATATATTCACAATCACCTAAAAATTCACCACCTGGATCACCAATCACTATAAGAGAAGAAGATTATTCAGATTCTGAAATTGGTGAAGTTGGTGAGAATTCAATTCAAAATATATTAAATTCAGATTCACAATTATCTAATATTGATTATTCAAAAGAAAAATTCGATATTGATGAAAAAATTTACCAGGATGCTATAAATAATATTAAAATATATTCATTAAATGATCCAGATATTAAAAAAATACTAAATTACCCCATTGTTGATGAAACTTTAGAAAGTCATTTATATGGTTATAAAGTTCAAAAATTAAGAAAACAAAGACAAATACAACAACAACGAAATTTAAAAAATTCGAATAAATCTTCCTTAAATAATAAACAAAGTAGTAAAAAGAAAAATAATGATTTACTACTGAGTAATCAAAGTTATAGATATGGTAGTATAGTTTAATATAATTTGTAATTAATCGTAGTTATATTCATTAGATTCTATTTACAATGTATATTGATTATTTACAGGTTAATCTTCAATTTTGAACAGATATAATGAATCAAGATCATCTTCTTCTATTTTTTTCTGTTGTGTTTGTCTTGGTTGTGATTTTTGAACTTTAATGGGCTCGATCTCCTGTATTTCAGGTTTTGGTTCATTAATTTCTGTTGGTTTGACAACACTTGAGATTCCATATTGTAATCTTGTATTTACGTCACCATCAATTAAGTTCCATTTACATTTGAGTGGTGATTCAGTTAATTCGTTAAGATAAGTTTCGATTTTATCTTTGATTAATTCTCTTTTTCTTATTTCCAAATTTAATTGATCATGATCTTTTATAATGTCCTTGATGTTTGGATTATTCATAAATGATATATTTTTATTTGTAATAATGTATAAATTAAATTTCCCATTTTTTTTCAATAATTTTTCTAATTCATTAAATTTTTGATTTTTTAAATCATTAATACTTATATTCCATTTTATTATAAATTGTTTATCACTTGATTTTTTTTGTTTTGATTTCAATTTATTATCTAAAATTTTCATTGTTTTTGTTGATCCAATTTTTAATAATTCTAATTCTTTTGATTCTGCTAATTCATCATTATAAGATTTTAACATTTCTTGAATCTTGATGATTTTAACTAATGGTAATTTATCATCTCTTTCAATAAGTTGTATACCTTGTTTTTGTAAATTTAAGTCTTTTAGTATTTCGTGAATCTTGCATGTTGATAAACCTTGGTCTGTTACTTGTTGAATTTGATAATTTGTATTGAGATTGTATAATTTTGTTAAGATTGATTTTAGTGCATTTTGAGATGATTCTGAACCTGTTTCTAGAATTTTTTGTAAGTCGAATCTGTTGTGATTGTTGCTGGTTCGGTGATTCAGGTTTTGGTGAGAAGGTCTAGGTACTCTTTTGTTGTTGTGATTCGAATTATTAGTCTTGGATTTATTGTATTGTTCTTGAAATCTATTTGATGAAAGTATTGATGATGATTTATTTGATGATGACTTATAATTTGAATGGTTGTTAAATGGTTTTAAATTCGATGTAGTTGTTGATAGACCTCGTCTACTTAGTAGTAGTCTAATAGGTTGCTTTAACATCTTGTTTTTCAGGTTTGCAAATTGTTATAAGAAAATACCGTTTAAAATAATACTTAAAGTAAAAAATTTATTTTTCAGTCCAAATCATATGTCTCATCATCTCAAAGAATGTCATTATTTTTCTGACACTTGTCTAATTAGCGAAATTAATTTAGTATATCACTAGGCTGTACATAAGAATGTGTATGTACATCAACAAGTCACCAATAAACAAGCTGGAAATAGAATGTGGTTGTTGCACCACATAAGTTTTGAACTTCTAATTCTGATTGTCAATACTTAACAAACTTAATTCTAAATCATAATTTCAATTTTGTGTTAAGAGCTAAAAAAAAAATCTCGTAAAAAACAAGGCTTGTGTAAATTTAAAAAAATAAAGGGGAAATAGAATAAAATGTTAAATTAAAGTATCATAAGTTTTACCTATTAAAGCTGGTAAACAACAAACTCAATGTTGACACTCAAGGTGACTACTTAATAAATTTATAAACAACATAAATGTAGTAACATTCAGAAGAAAGAGGTGACCAATTCTATAAAATCCCCTATTTTGATTGTCATTTATTGTTTTTTTTTTCGATAGTTTAGATTTCTAAAAATAAATTTTATTGTTTTAAATGTAATTAATTTATTAATATAAATGTATAGCCGTGTGTCCTGATGAAACTTATACTCAAAATTTTATAGAAGTAAAAATGAACGAACAAGTAAGTGATAATGAATGGAAGAAATTTTTCACCGCACAATGGATAATTAACTTAATTTTATCAATAACATTTATCACCATAATAATATATAAATTAATAAAGACAAGAGATTTCAAAAATATTATATTATATTTAATAGCATTAAGTTTTTATTTTGCAACAAGATTTACAGCATCAGCTTTAGCTATAGTGTATTTAAACAAAACCGGATATGATACTAGAGGTTATAGTTTATATGCAACTACTTATATTTTTCAAGTTATGGGATTAGGATTAATAATAATTTGTTTTAGTTTGTTGATTAAACACTTTCAAGAAAGGACAGAGCATGATAAAGTTGTTGAAGAAAAAACCAATAGTGCTTTTCATACTCGTTTGAGAAATTCGTCTTCTACAAATTTTGTTGAAAAAAACTCAAGTGATGAGACTGACATTGAAAATACTCCAATTCAAGAAGCTTTATCAAAAGTAGAAAAAAGCAAAATTGATAGATCAGGATGGTTACAATTTTTAATCATTACAACATATACATCAATCTCAATAATTTTGTACATAACTGGTCCATCACTTTATGCAAGTGATCCGTATGATGCAAGTGAAAGTTTAACAAAAGTCATATCCATCATGTACATTATTTCAACAGTTTTAATGATTTTGTTTTCCATTATATATTCACTAAAATGCAGAGACTATAGACTTTCAATTTTGTTGGTAGGTTTAGCATCAATCATTTTATTAATTGAAAACATTTATTTGGTAATTGATGCTTTTCAAGCAACAGATGGAAGTTACAAATTGTTAGGCTCAAATGCAAAAATGGGAATTTTCACATTATTGCCACAAGCTTTCTCAACCATTTTGCTTGAGATTGCATTTTTATGGTGGTAAAATAGCTCATCTAATCAATTCTTTAATAAATCAATTTTGGTTCAATTTGTTGTACTCATTTTTTCAATATACACATTCCAATAGCTAATAATTAATACTAATACTTAAAATTTAATTTAAATTTTAATTTAAATTCCAAAGTACTCACTTTCGAGGTAAATGTTATTTAGATTAGAACTTTTTTATAATTGTGAGTATTGTAATAAACTATAAGCTCTTGCTCTCTTATGTACGGCTAATACAAAATCAAAAAGGTGGGGTACAATAAGTTTGTGTAACAAGTTAAGTTTAATTTCAAACACTTTTCATTCAGAAAATATAATTCACGAAACTTAATCTTTCATCAAAAAACTTTATACTAATCTTTTATCACAAGCAAGTTAAGAAAAAAATAGAACAATAAACGCCATATTGAATTATGTAACTAAATACTGAATCTCGGAGAATTAGGTAATTAAGTAGATCTACTTTTTCTTCTACAAGATCTTAGCAAGTTAATGTTAGATCTAAATAGGTGCAATTACCTGAAAAACAATAATAGTAAATTTAAAGTTATCAAGTATGTACACTTACACCTCATAAATCCATCCACTTTAAACTTATGTAAGCATTTTTAATTTTGTTCTTCTGTCATTTGCCTCCAAATATTAAAGTAAACAATAGAGTAAGATCCAAACGTTTACAAATTTGTTCTCTTCTTCAAAAATTAAAATCAGATCTGCAATTATACTAATCACATACTTTGCTAGTTGCTATTCAAAATAGATTACCTTTTCCACCTTCCCCTTTTTCTCAGAAAAATGTTGGCAATAGGAGAATAGCTCGGAAAATACTATAAGTTTTTGTTGATTAAATGATTTCGATCGGTAGTAAAATCCAACAGCTAGGACATTGGAAATACGCAGTTCCCTTCCCGGCCACAAGTTCTGAATTTTTATGAATAAGTAAATGTTGGATCGGAAATACTTTGTTTCAAATTTAGCAAATAAAGGTGTAACTTCTAGTTTTGCATCATATAGCATTTGATATTTAAAGGGTTTTAATTTGGTTGTAAATAATCAAATACTTTTCCGCGCTCTATATAAAGTTTTTGGTAGGAAGTGTTTCAACAAACCTAATTGGGAAAGTATATACCGGGTTCATGGATTGACTTTTTTTAATAGTATTTTATCATTTACTTGAGCGGATATAGGACTACAGGTTTTGAGTTTGAAGTGGGCATAAAAATTGATGAGATTTCACACTATGAGTTTTGACGATCAAGCACTGTATGTTTAAATAGAGATTTTCAACTTAGAAGCATTTTAGTCAATATTATAGAACATCGGGAAATTTTTAGCCCTATGTCAAACACTTTGAGGATCTATTTGTCTCATTTTTCTTCTTTTATGGCTTTACCAGTCTGGAAATACAAAACACATATATTACACACATATGGATCTGGCAAACTCGTCACCTTTTTGGAATTTTGTTAATTGAGTTTTTCCCTAAAATCTTTAAGATTGAGAATGATAAATAAAAAATTTATTAAATTGTTTAGAGGTGGGAGAAGGTCATCTAGCAATACTCCAGTCTAAAATTTATTCATTGGTTTAAACCTGACTTTGATTTATGTATATTGAATGATATATTAGTACATTTAAATAGTCATATATAAATAAAAAATATGTCAAATATTTAAAAGAAAAAATAAAAAAAAAAACAAAAATAAAAAATAAAAATTAAATAACACAAAACCAACAGCCTCCCCATTTTTTTTACGATTATTAAAAATAAGATGGAGTAAAAAAAAATATAATTATAGGGAGAATAATCTATTTTGTGTATTTGTCATTTTTTCAGATGTTAATTTAATTTTTATCGGTTCCGGGGTGGATGTGTAAATTAATATTAGTACCAACAATCAATCCAAATAGAAAGAATTAAAATGTGTAAAAGATAAAGGGGGGTGATGTTACACAATTGTTAATAAATGATTGTATTTGTTGAGATGTAATCTTACGGATTAATGAATTTCAATTTAATGTAATGTATGAGAAGTATTTAGAAAACTGCATAAGTTTGTTATGTATCTATAAGTATGTACATAATAAAGTTTATTGATGATTGTTGTTTACAATCTTTATGTTTTTGTTGAAAAGTGTAACCAAATTAAAATTTTCATCTCCTTGTAAATTTTTGTATATTATTAAATTTTAAACTTTAAACTTTTATTTACACAAAAACTTTAATTTTTTATTATTTTAATTTGTGGGAATCCAATTACGAATTTAAATAATATTACTAAATGTACTCATATATGATATACGATATACCAACTGTGTAAACAAATACAATTAATTTTGAAGAAAGTGAGTAGAATCTCATGTGCTGGTTGAGTAGAGTAAATTGAAAGATAGAAGATCTATCAGTTCATATCATATACATTAAATACTCAGATCTCAAATCTAGAGATTCCGTAATGGTAGATCTGTTCTAGTTCTAATTTTACAAAGTCTTTTTTCAATTCTATTGTTTTAAGATAAATCAATTGAATTGAAGATTATTTAATTTATTAAAAATCTAATCCAACTTTTTTTTTTATATATTGTAATATTAATTTTCTAATTTAACCCCATAATTTTTGTTTAATTTTTATTATAGACCAGCTATAAAAACCTACTTTATACTTGAGTGTAATTTAATTTAAATGAAAATGTAATTAATTAATGCATTAAATGTAAAAGATGTAATTAAAATGAATGATAAATGATGAACAATGCAAAATAAAATACAAAATTTGTAACAAAATGAATTTGATGAATGTAATAATGTTTTAAACACAATTTCTATCTAAAAAATTATAATCTAATGAAATATTATCTATTATTTCTCTCATATTTATAATATAATTAAATGATACTTTACGTGATTGTTGTTGTTGTGGTTGTTGAAATGTAGATGTTGAAGTTAATTTTGGTGAACCTTTTAAACATGATCTTGGAGGTGGTTGTTGTTGTTGTTGTTGTTGAGATTGTTTTAAGTCTTCTTCATAATAAGAACTTGATAAATTCGATGTTGTTGAACTTTTTCTTGATGATGAATTTAAACTATAATTTGAAGTTATTGTTGAATCTGAATCTAATGATGATACAGAAATATCATCATCATCTTTATTGTTCTTGTTGGTAGTGTTGTCAATATTAATAGCATTATTATTAAATTTATTAATGTTTTCATCAGTAATTGTATGATTATCAATTTCTTCCTCTTCCTCTACTTCTACTTCTACTTCATCTTTCTCTATCATTATTTCATTTTGATGTGATAAATTAATTAATGAAGATAATGATGATTCAATTTTTGGACCATATAACCAAGTAATATCTGAATTTTTATCCCAATTTATAATTAATGGATTTAAAAATTGTAAATCTTTATGATTTTGATATATCCTTCTCCAACATATATTTTTTAATCTTTTATAATAAAAATAATTATTAAATTTATAATCAGGATTTGATTTTAAATATTTAATAAATAATAATAAATTTTGATTGTTTTTTAAATAATGATCTTGATTTTGCTGATTTTGAAAATTATTAATATCAAATTCAAAATCATCTGAATTTATATTGTTGGTTTCTGTTGTTGTTGTAGGTACATATTCTAAATAATCTATATTACAATTAAATTTAGTATATAGATAAGTGTTTGATAATTTTGAATTTATTATTGTGTCATCTGTAAAATAATACATCTTATTTTAATATATTGTTTATAGTGAATAATATATGTTAAAGATATTACTCTTTCCTTTGTACGTGTTCTTATTAAGTTACTTTGATATTGATTATAAAAATGTTGATGTTTAAAGACTGTTGATAAAAATGTAAATTAACTAAATTTTAAAAAAACGTTAAATTAAGAAAATCTGAGAATAAAAATCTGTTTATATTTATAATAAATATTTAAATTAGTTTGAGCCATTTGAATTTTATTTTTATTTTTTTTTTTTATTTTTTTTGTTTTTTTTATTTTTTTTATTTTTATAATTAAATTATAAAATGTTACACAAACATTTTATTTTTTTTTTTTTAATTTAATTTTAATTATTAATTTTAAAAATGAGGAGAAATTAAAATTAAATTGAAAAAATATAAAAATATAAAAATAAAGAAACATAATTAAAATTTGGGTAAAATAATAAATAAGATAATATCAATAGTTATGATAATATTTTATTAAATATTTACTACTTGAATTTCATTACTCCAATAATTATATCATTAACTAGTAGATTTTCTTAATTCTTCTTTACATTGAAACAAAAGAACTAATAAGTAATTGTAATTAATAAGCTTATTAAAGATTGAGGAAATTGTTGTCTAATATGAATTTTATATTATTAAAAACTACATTGCATTATAAATTTACTTATCCATCATACTAATAATTATTGAACAGTAACATCGTTTACTATATAAAAAATTAATTTAGTACTGAGGCAATCGAATTATACAACAAACTCCTTTAATCCATTGCTATATATTTAATATTTAAACGGAAGTGTGACATTCTTTAGCAATGAAAAAAGAAATAACAATTAAGTAATGGAAATAAGTAAAAATCTTGAAGATCTACTGAATCTATATTTTGGTTAATTGAGAAAGTGACACATTTTTAATTGAATATAAAAACTAGAAGGTGGAGAGTTTCAAGATATTACATAGGCTTAAATAAGGCTTATAACAAATTTTGTTTTTCAATTTTGTATTTATATTTTTATCCTAATTGTGTAACTTTTTTTTTTTTTTTTCCTTTTTTTGGTCCGGTTAACAATTGAAGCTAACAGATTTTAGATTTAACCTCTTGATATTACCTAAATTTGTATAGCTAACAAAATAATGGATACACTAAACTTATGTATTTTGTTTCATCGGATTTCATCACTCCTTTTTATACTATTATCCGCTAATTTAGAGATTTGACAAGAGATATATGTCTCCCTCCTTTTTATTATATAACTTGACTGAGGTCACTTACTCTAAGAAAAATTACCTAGAGCACCTAATTCTAGAAGGCTCCTGGTTTTGGCTTATATTCGAGTCACAAATGGAAATTAACATTGACATTCTTTATAAGTTTTTATTAAAGTTTAAATTCATAATTAAAGTTTTTAAAAGCGAAGCTGAAATATTATTCTCTATTGAGATAGGAACAGAATTACGAAATTAAGATATAAAGTAATTATAATAAAATCATTTAGGCGTTAAGTAGTTTATTAGATATTATTATTTTTTTGAAGGTAGTTGACTAATTTGTATGTTACTAGTCAATTGATCTTGTATCTAGATGATTCTTACTATCTAAACTGTGGAGAAAGGATCTTAAACATCATCTTTCTTCCTTCTATACGCAATATCTAGTACAAGTTTGAATTATAATATAACGCGGGCGGGACAAATTATAATACTCAACTGAATGAATAAATATATTACACTTTGTTGTTGCATATCGCATTAAAATTTTGAACAATATAAAAAAAGGAAAAATTAAAACAAAAAACTAAAAAGTTTAAATTTAAATTTAAATTCAAGAATAAGAAAAAAATAATTAATCCGAGAAATGTAAAGACGCTTAAATGTTTTTGCTTCTCTGCTTGTCTCATAACGTCAATGCGGAGTAAGAATTAATGATTCGATTATTGTAATAAGAAATTTATAATTACTGGTTGAATATCTAAGATTGAGACAAGCTAGATCAATGACAACGAAGAAACTCTTGTTTCTCTTGAGACTTTTCTAGATAAAAGATGTCATCATTCACAACACATTTTTCGCCTCGCCTTACTATTGAATTTTATTTGTTTTTTTCTTGATGAAATAAATCAATACATTTCAAAATAAGATGATCTATTTTTTCACAATTTTCTTATATGATCATCTAAGGAGTTAACGAGTAACAAGATCTCAATCGTTCAAGACCAGATTACAACTCGAATATATGTTACAAATTATTGGTTAATGAAATTTTTTTGGTTTTGATTTTGTCTCTGGTTTTTTTCAATCATCGAGTCCGATATTTCCCCCACACCAAAACTTTCTTTTAGAAATTTGAAAAGTTAAAAGCTTAATCATTCACAAATGAAGTATATATCAAGTCTATTGTTAGTATTGTTCTGTTTTCTCTAATCGAATTTATTTGACTCCAAGTTGTGGGGCAGTGATAAAGCAAAATATGTAAAATGTATTTATCCTTATTTGAGTTTATCCGTTTTAGTTAACATTTGTTCTTTTACATTGTCTTTCTGGTTTTTAGCTCTTTCGCTTTCCATATATAAGTATTATTTTTTTAGTTTAAATTTAACAATTGTAATTAACGATTTAGAGTAAATAAATCGAAGTTTGACACAAAACACTGACATTTGGAAATGAATAGAGAACATAAATTTTTAGCTTCTTTTTTCCCATCACTTGTTGCAACACCTCGATAGCAGTTCTCCAGGTAAGCACGTTTGGGATGACTGTAACAACTGTGAGCATTAAACAATCAGCTCATAAACAATAGGAGAAATCATCAACGGATCTGTTGAACATGGATAAAATTTTAACCTATTTTGTACAAAATAATAAATTATTTTTTATTTTCTTTTTTATTCACTTGCATTATTATAATTTTTAACTTTGTGTTATAATTTTAGGATAATTTAAAAAAGCTAAATTTAATTTTTTTTTTTATACACACATTTTTTTATTTTAATACGGCAAAAATTTTAACAATATTTGTTAATTTTTTGTAAAAAAAGAAACCTAACCATTTTGATATGATTATTTCATAACCATAATGATTTTTCCAAATAAAGCTAGTAAAAATTTCAAATGGAGGCGAACTTGTTATTTGTTTACAAAATTTTTACTTTGAATCCAATTTTTTTTTTGGAAATTCTAGAAGTAGTCGAAGATTTTGTGGGGTAGTATATTTAGTATTTTTGTTACAACATTTTTTAAAGCTTAAATTTAGTAACTTTTTATTTTCTTTATGATTATTCTACTGTTTTAGTTTAATCGTTTTGACCGTTTTGATTACTTTAAACAGTAATCGTACTTTAAGTTTTACAATTTTATATGAATTAGAATTGATACTATACCTTTTTTTGTTAAAAATTTGATAAGGTGGAGCTTTTCGTGTTATTCTCAGTCTCTCGACTAATAAACACTGAGATTTTTATATTTCTTTTAATCATTGAACCCCAGCTTATTGTCAAATTTACACCATCGCTTGTTCTGTAAGTAATGACAAATAGGTCTAAGGAAAAAGATTTGACCATTAAATAAGACCCAAGCTTTGACTTTATATCTACGGATCAGGTTTCGAAGCTTGGTTAAAAAGAACTGACAGAAAGATCTAGCACCTTGAAATTGATGCAAATGGAGGGGAAATCAACGTTCTTTTTCGTGAATGATTCAGATCAACCGTACGTTTCATGAATTTGGGTTTAGTTCGTACATGATCATCGAAAAAATACATATCATTTACAACATGAAATTTACTTCCACGTAAATTCTACATCAAAAGTTTTTGATACATGAGTTCAGCGCAAGGATACCTTTATTATAAACAACCCGAATAGGAACACCAAGTCAATGTATGAAATCGAGAAATACTAAGCTTTTTCGTTTTGTTTGCTTCTTAAATATAACCAAAAGTTATTGGTCAATAAATTTCTAAGAATTTTAAAAGATTATATTGATTAATGACTCTTTGTTGTATTTACAAGTGGAGTAAAATAATTTTTGGTCAACTGCTAATAGTAGAATCATACGGTATATAGAAAAAGCAGTATAATTCTAAAATTAGCCAGATAATAATTTGGCACATTGACGTAAAATTGTTTTTAGACATATAAATTTATTGACATTCTTACATAATCATTTATTTATATTCTATTTATATATGGCATCAATTTTTCAGTTAAAACTAATATTACTAATTAATAAAAAACATTAACGAAGCCATACTTTTTAGTAATATAGTTAATATTCATTACAAGTCTTTTCAAATAACGCCAAACATGGCACCTTCCAATTCTGCTTTTCATAATGATGATGTAAAAAAACAACCTAGTAATTCCAATTTAAACACTTATGGAGGAGCATCTCCAAATTTAAGACTGCCAAATTCATCAAGTCCACAACACTCACAAACTAACAATAATCCATTGCTAAACAGTCATAGTAATAGTAATTCACAATCAAATTTAAATTCAATGATACGTCCATCAATGCAGAGTTATAACTCAAATGAATCTCAAAGTTATGATGATCATATATCACAGATAAATCAAAACTCAAATAAAAACGTTGACTTAAAAACAATTGGTAAACATTTAGTAAGTCCTGAAGACAGTCTAAAACAACAAGGTGGAGATATAACTCGTAGATTATATCATCAAATGGAAAACGTTGGAGATGATCATTCTGGAGCAATTAGTATAAGAGATCCTAAAAGAAGAGCAAGAAGTTCATCATTTTCAACATATCTAGAGGAACAAAGAAGAGGTTCAATGGCGAGTGATATAAATGTTCCAGGTGGGTTTAGAAGAGAGTTTATAATTCAAAAATCAATAAAGAAAAATGAAGAACCACCAAATTTCTTGTCTAGAAATTTCATGGAATTTTTAAGTATGTACGGACATTTTGCTGGGGAAGATTTTAATGATGATGAAGATGAAGAGAAAAATGATGATGAAGAAGATGAGGAAGGTACAACTACTGGAGATTCAAATTATGAAGATGTATTTGATGAAGAATCAAGTTTATTACAAAATGAAAGAAGGTATTTACCAAAACAATTACCAAAAATGAAACCACAACCAAAAGGTGCAGCTTCAATACCGAAAACTTTTTTCTTACTTTTTAAAGCATTGGTTGGATCTGGTATTTTATTTTTACCAAGAGCTTTTTATAATGGTGGATTAGCTTTTTCAATGGTCACTTTAAGTATATTTGGTTTATTAACATATTTTGCATACATCGTGCTTATTAAATCAAAACAAATTCTAAAATTGACATCATTTGGTGAATTGGGATATAAAACTTATGGGAATCCATTAAAATATTGTATATTAATCTCAATTATACTAAGTCAACTTGGATTTGTTGCTACATATATTTTATTTTCTGCTGAAAATATGATTGCATTTATTGATGGGTTTTTATCAACAAGACCTGAATGGTTGAATAAAGCTAATGCTGTGTTGGTACAATGTATTTTATTGATTCCTTTAACTTTAATTAGAAATTTAACTAAACTTTCAGTTGTATCATTAATATCTTCAGTGTTTATTGTTATTGGATTATTAATCATATTTTATTTTTCAGGTTTGAAGATTTATTTAGATGGATTGGGACCAAATATTGAGAATTTTAATTCAAGCAGTTGGACTTTATTGGTAGGAATCAGTGTAATCAGTTTTGAAGCAATTGGGTTAATCTTACCAATAGAATCTTCAATGGCTCAACCTGAAAAATTCCCAATGGTTTTAGCAATTTGTATGTTTATAATTACTACATTATTTGTTGCGATTGGTACTATTGGATATACTGCTTTTGGTGATAAAGTAAAAGCAATAATAATTTTAAATTTACCACATGGCAACATAGCTGTACAATCAATTCTTGTATTATATTCAGCAGCTGTATTTTTATCAGCTCCATTACAATTATTTCCCGCGGTTAAAATCGGTGAATCTGTTGTATTTAGACATAAACGTAAAAATGGTGATGGTAAATTATATTATCATTCAGGTAAAAACAATCCTCAAGTTAAATGGTTGAAAAATGGATTTAGAGCTATTTGTGTTATAATCATCTGTATTACAGCTTATTTTAATGCTGATAATATTGATGGTTTTGCAAGTTTTAATGGTAATTTTTGTTGTGCTCCTTTAATTTTTATTTACACTCCATTAATTCACTTGAAAGCATCTTCCAAAAAAATTGAAAAATCAACTTATGATAGAATTTTACCAATTATTGATTATGTTTTAATTTTTGTTGGTATTTTCACCGTTATTTATTCAGCTTATCAGCTTGTCACCTCAAATTAAATAGAAAAATTAGAAGTATATACTTATAGATAGATTTTTATACTAAATTGGTAGTTTTCATGGGTTTCATAATAAAACATTTACAACTAAACTTTTGTTTCAAAACTTGTTATCAAAAGAAATGTGGTAAAAAATTTGAAATCATTTGGTAGTAATCTCGTTTGATAATTTTTATAAACAAAGAAATTTAAACGTGAAACATAAATTTATAAATTTAGAGATACAGACACGAATTTCGTAAACAAATTAGTTTATCAAAGTTTTCAAAAACTACCTAAATGCCATGCCTGAATCTAAGAAAAGAAAATCAAATGGTAATGATGATATAGCACAAGAGGAGAAGAAAGAATCACCATCTATCAAACCTGTAAAGAAATTAAGTTGTCAAAGATGTAGAAGTAGGAAAGTTAAATGTGATGGAACACTTCCTTGTTCTGGTTGTCTTAAAGCAAAAGTTGAATGTATTCAAACAATCGCAGATATGAGAAAGAAACGACCAAGTACAAATTATGTTGCTAAATTAGAAACTCAAGTTGCACATATTCGATCTTTTATCAACGATCTCAAAAAGTTAGATCCTGAAAAACAAATGGAGTTATTAAGAAATACTGATTTAATTGATTTATTAGAAACTGAAGATCTTGACTCACAAGCTAATACATCAACCACATCATTAGCTGATCATCATGACGATGTTGATGAAAACAAATCAATTTATGGTCCAATCTCAGTTTATGATAACAACCTTACCACAAATAATATAAATAATACTAAATCACTGAGACGTGAAAATGAAATTAATATAATTAAGAAAATGAATAAAGATCCAGAAATTTTAAAATGTATACAATTATTTTTCACATGGCAATATCCAGATCATAATATGTTTATATTTAGAGAAGCTTTTCTAATTGATTTTTTCAATCCAACCTCAACAAGTTTATATTGTTCGAAAATTTTAATATTAAGTATATGTGCATTAGGATCAAGAATGGCTGATGATCCAATTTATAACAAATCAAAGCAATTCTATAAAGAAGCAAAAACTTTATTACTTCAATCATTAAGTCAACCATCAATAACATCTTTGCAAAGTTTTATGCTTCTAGCATTTTTTGATATTTGTAATGGAATGAATTCAAGTGGATGGATGCTACTGGGGAATGCAATGAGGATGGGATTTGATATTGGATTTCAATTGAACCCAGAAGTTTGGTTTGTTAAATCTAAAGAAAGTTTAAATGAACTTGATGTTGCTATTAGATCAAGAATTTATTGGGGTTGTTATATGGCTGATCATTTTATTAGTTTAGTGTTAGGTAGACCATCTATTTTGAAATTGTCGGATGCTTCAATACCAGAAACTAAAGATTTACCGGATTTGGAATGGATTGATGATTTCACATATACTGGATATGAAAAGAAAAATGGTAAAGTTAATAATGGGTATAAATCATATATTGGTGATCCATTAAATCAAATTATAAATCTAATCAATATATCGGATAATATATTAAATGATATTTTCACTAAAACGGATATTGATGATCAATCAAATGAAGAAATTAACCTTGAATCAAGATTAGATAAACTATATGAATATAATTCACAAATAATGAATTGGAAGCAGAATTTACCAGATGATTTAAAATGGGAAAAGATTACATTGGCTCAAAGTGCAGAAAACCCAACTTATTCAGGTATACGATATTACTATTATATTTTATTATTGTGTTTAAATCGTCCCTTTGTTGGTTTAGAAACTCAAGCCGTAAATGATTTATCATCATTAACAATCTGTTTAAACGTTATAGAAGATTTATATGAATCAATTCGTAAATTTGAATCAGAGCATGGATATAAAAGAGCATCTATCTTTATTGTTTATTCATCAATTTTATCAATTTCAATTATTTTATTAACCAATTCAACTTTTTCACAAGTAAATGAACATAAAGAGAGACTTCAATTTTTTATGGGTGTTTTATTAGGATGCTCAAAAACTTGGAAATTAGCTGAAAAATCATATAATTTAATTAAAGATAAATTAAAACAAAATTATGTTGGTAATAATAATAGTATTGCTGGTTTTTCAGATCCAACTATATCAATTGCTAAAGCTGCATTTCAAGCATCTCCAGTTTCAAGTGTTGATTCACAAAATTTTACAAATGTCTTGCTTGATGATAATATAGATTTTCTTGGTGGTCCACCTGTTTTAATGACTTCTGATTTATTTAATGAAGATTGGGAAGCATTATTTCCTGATTATATTTTTCATAGTAAAAATTGATATACGTAGATGAAGAGATAATTTATTTTTGTTAGCTTTTTCATGCTTATCACATTTTTATCTAATAATTTATACAAATCTATAATTGATTAACCATCATTAACTTTTGATGACATTTCAGCTTGTTTAACTAAATTTTCAGGAGCATCAAAAGTATCTAATTTAAGTTCAATTAATCTTAATTTATTATTTTTAGCAAATTCTTCATCTTTAAATAATTTTGAAAGTTCACCAACTTTTTCAGCCTTATGAGTTTCATAATTATCAGATTTAAAAGTTTTCAATAAATCAGTATATTCCCATTCTTGAATTGCATTATATTCGGCATCTCGACCATGAATATATCTTTCAATAGTAAAACCATTATTATTTAAGACAAAAATGTACAAGTTATTGTGATTTCTTGCCATTGTTGAAAGTTCTTGGACTGTTAATTGTAAAGAACCATCACCTACGAACAAAATAACTCTTCTATTTGGATCAACTTCTTCAGCTGCTGTTGCTGCACCTTGAGCACTTGGTACAGTATACCCAATAGATCCCCAAAGAACTTGTGAAATTCCAATAACTTTTTTAGGAAATTGAGTTTGAATGATACCAAAATTAGAAGTACCAGTTTCAGTAATTACAATATCACCTTCTCTTAACCAATTACCTAAATTAGACCATATCCAAGCTTGAGTTAATTTATTATCATCGGGTAATTTAACTTCTGGAATTTGTTCCCATTTAATTTCTTTTGGTTCTGAATTATCAACAAATTTTTTCAATTCTGGGGATTCAACTAATTTTCCTAATAATTCTTTCATTCTAATTTTTGGATATTGAGCATTTTTGATCTTGGTATAATCTGAATGGAATTCAATAACTTTTGAAGTGTCTAAAGAATATGAAAAAGCACCAGTGTTAAAATCTGATAAGACTGCACCCAATGATAAAACCAAGTCAGATTCTTCAACTAATTTTTTGGTTTCTGGATATGATAAATCACCTAAATAAACACCAATAAATTTTGGATCTTCTTCATCTATATCTCTAGAACCTTTAGCCATTGGTGTAACTGCAAATTTATATTTAGTTAATTGAATTAATTTATTTGCTTCGAAAGTAGCATTATGTCTATTAGTACAAGCATCAACAATAATTACTGGATCTTTAGCTTTTGAAATCATTGAAAAAATTTCACCTAATACTTCAGTTTGAATTTTTTCATCATTTGGTGGTGGAGTTAAATTTAATGGTTGTTCTAATCTCTTTTTTGGAACTGGTGAATTAAACAAGTTGGATGGGAAAGCTAAGTAAGTTGGTCTTTGATTTATAAAAGCAGCTTCAATAACTCTATCAATTTCTTTTGGTGCTTCATTTGGATCACTTAATACAGCAGTGGCTGCACTAACAAAACTTGCAATTTTATGGAAAACTGTAAAATCACCATTACCTAAAGTATGATGTAATAATAATTCCTTTTGTTGTGATGCAGTTGATGGTACACCAACAATATGGACTAAACCAACATGTTCAGAATAAGAACCTGCAATAGCATTTAAAGCTGAACATTCACCAACACCAAAAGTTGTAACAAGTGCACCAATTGCTGAACCATCAGCTGATGTACCATTTTTGACTCTTGAATAACCATCAGTTGCATAACCAGCATTTAATTCATTAACACTTCCAACCCATTTCATACCTTCAACATCATAAATTTTATCTAATAATGCTAAATTAAAATCTCCTGGTACTCCAAATACATTTTTTATACCAATTGGTTTTTGATTTAATCTTTCGAATAAATATTGACCTAATGAAATTGTTTCTTCTGACATTTTTTGCAATTATAAAGTAGAATTGAATTCAATTGTTGATGAATATACTACTCAATTCAATTGATGTTGAATTTTCAAATGAATTCTATTAATTTATAAGGGGGTTTTCATAATTTATATAAAAGTCCGGAAAATTAAATTTCAACTAACCATAAAATATTTATAATTGCTTTAATTAATGAAGTTTATGTAAATGGATCCCAAAATCGCAAAGTATCAATTTTTAACTCAAAAAGGTATTCGGGGTTTCAATTTCCATATGATTTTCTTTATGTTTAGCTGGTAAATGAGCTGCTCCTAATTCATAACCGTTTGTTCCTGATTAATTGATATTATTATCTTTTCTTGTTCCTAAATTATTATTTTTTTCTTTTGCTTTTAGTTTATTTGATTTGTTTCAAGCCAAGCCGCTTAATACCGTAGCCGCATAACACCGTTCGATAAAAATGAAACGAATTCTTTATACAATTGTTCTACAAATCATCAATAGGCAGGTGTTTCGTGAGTTGAATTAGAATGATTGTTGCTAATATAGTATAGATCGGATTTATTAATAATGTTATTAATGTGAATCGAAGAAACGAAATACGAGAAACAGAATAGATAATCGTAATTTATTATTTTCTTCTGCTTAGTCAAAACAATTAATCCGTACTACGGTGTATCAAAGATACAACAAAGTTTCGAACATAGAGATTGAGCCCAATTCGAGTTTCTAATAAAGAGTAAATCACACGAGTCTGTTGAGCTGGAAGACAATGCAAAAAAAAACTTTGAATGCCCAATTATGATTCCGCCCAGGATCGAACTGGGGACGTTATGCGTGTTAAGCATATGCCATAACCAACTAGACCACGGAACCAATTTCTGAGCTAAAGAATTACCTGGTTTTTTTAGTTTTATAAAATTGTGCCCTTAACCCGTACAAAACTATCCCATGTGGTTTTTTTTTGGTTCAATTCAAATGCACTTTAATTTTCACTCCATCATAGCTTAAGGCACCATGAGCATCCGGTGTACCTTATATAGCGATAGGCTTATAATTGATTATATTAAATTGTATGCTTGAATTCATGCTGAACACGAGAAAAATGAAAGAAAGAACCATAAATTGATAAATTCGTTAGATTTGTCATGATTTTTGTCATGAAAAGGTTTAGCATCAAACCACTGACCAAAAGAAAAACAAATCTCAATCAATCAAGAACCTAAAATTTGGGTATTTAAGATGGTAAATATTATCCTAGAGCTGAAAAGCTGGAGACTGATTGAGATCACCAATGTCATTTGGTTGTAATTTTTTACTATATTTTTGCAGCAAAACTTGGTCAACATTAAACAAATTTTTTTTCATCGAAGCGTTCAAGCATTTTCTTTACACAAGTAATATATTTATATCAAACCGCAAGAAAAATTCATCATTCATTGCTCACTTTAAACCAGATAAATTGATCAACAAAAAAAAAAGAGCATTCGATTGGGTAGATCCCAATATCATATACATATACATATTCTACTTACTTGTCTCTGGACTGGCCCACTCATAATTTCCTCCAAACTTGGATTATAGGACCACTAAATTTCTTAGTATATTAAGACCTTTAGACCATTAAATCTTGAATTATAACAACCTGAGCTTTAGATTTTGGGTTAAGCAACTACAATTCATATAGAGCATTGTCGTTGCTTTCAACTCAATTATGATCTCGAATATACATTTACCAACAAAGTAGCAAAACAGATTTCAATTAAACTCAAATCAACTTTCAAACCCAAGATCTTGATCTAAAATTAAAATCATGCTCAGATATAAATATTTGCGCACACCCCTTAATTAAGTGGGGTAATTAGTGGAACCTAGAAGAAAAAAAAAAAAGGACAAACAATAGAACTAAGATGTTTCAGATTTGATCTATTAATATAAATTACAAAGCAAACACAAAAAATTATAAACCAATTATAAGATTGAAGTACGCCCTAGTAAGTTACCAATTGATGAGTTACAAAATGACTATATAAAACATTAAGAGTCCAAATCTTCACCCTTATCTTATCTAAAATCTTTACCAAGATAATAATATTTTAGTTAATTGAAAATTAGTAGTCAAAAATATGTCAAAACCTTATCTCCGATAGTAATTATATCAAATCTCATTTTTATTAGATTTTGATAAAAATAAAGTACATATAACTGATGTAATTGTTTTACATTACCTTGAAGTACAAACAGTTTAACAAAGTTATCATTCATATTAATTACAAAACGTTTATGAAATAAGTAAACCAGACCAATTAATTTTTTAATTGATAATATCAATTAATACCTTTTAAAATTTTGTTGAATAAGTTTCAGGTTTAAGGTTTTTTCCAATCACAATATAAAAAGCTTGTGATCGAGTTTAAATCGAGAAAGAACACGGTTTAATAAAATAATCATTAATCAAATTAAGGTTATTAAGAAGCATTTCAATAAAATCAACAATGATAATTTGAGATCATTTCCATAATTGTTTAATTTTTTCTTTGTTAAATCCAGGGGAATTATTTTAATTTTGAACCCCATTTTTTAATAACAAATATTTAATGCCTTATCAAAACATTGTACAAATGTACGTTTCAAAATCGACATTATACAATATCAATGAAGTAATTTGAAAGCAATTAGGTAGGTCTAATAGCAAAGAAAAAAAGTAAGTGAAGGTCATCTCTATTAATTTCAAGATCTCTTTGATAGATCTTTGAATAAACATATTCGAAATCATCAAACCATGTTACTTTTAATAATCATTAGACCTTTAATTGATCTACATTTATTGTATTAATTGTATTATGTATTATGTATTGATTATTAAATTACTAAATATGGAATTAAATTTATTGCCCAACAAAATATTTTTAAATTTAATTTTTAATTTTTAATTTAACGTATCAAAATTAAATGGTTATATACAGTATTAATTTAATTCACATATATAAATACAAAATATTAAATTAATTTAAACAACCAACCATATCTTCAATTTTAAAATTTTGATAAAAGATTTGTGGTTGAAGAATATTGATAATACTTCATTAGACTTAATTATAAATTTATTTTTTAAAAAGATAGTAGACTCATTTTAAAAAAATTATTCATTTTTTTAATTTTATCAAATTTATTAGATTATTCAGTTCTTTTCACAACAATTAGACAATAATTCAATTGATTCAGTTTCACTGTTGAGATTTCATTGGTTTTTTTTTTTTATTTTCATCATTAGCATTTCAATATTTAATTTTTTATTTTCACTTCAAAAGTTTAGCATAACTATTCAAAATGACAACTTCCAGCACATCATCATCTGAACCAACTAATCCATTAGCTACAGGATTACAACAAGATATTTCAAATGCAGATTTTGATATCAATATTTTACATGATCCATTCATCAATCCAAATGTTGATTTAAAATTCCCATTACCAATTGATAAAGAAACTTATATAGATGGACCAAATAATGTTAAAACTTTACATGAATCATTTAATATTTTACATTCAGCTTTTAGATTTTTTACAGGTGGAGAAAAATATGATAAGATTTATTCAAATAATGAATATAGATATTTTATGAATAAACATTCAGATAAATTTAGACATACATTTAAAAAACATATGGATGATCAATTGGAAAAAGATGATAAAAAATTAGATGAAATTATCTATAATTTAATTAATCAAGAATTAAATATGAAATTAATTAAACCACAAGATTTTAAAAAAAGATTTGAAGAAGTTAAAGAATTCATGGTTAAATTTTATAAACAAAATAATGATACAAATTTACCAACTTTCCCATCTCATCAATTTGTTAGATCTGCTTATGTTACTGTTATGACAATAATGAGAAAATTATTTCCAAAGGGAGTTTGGGTATCAAATGATGATTTATCGAATTTATATAAAAAATATTTGAAAGATCCAATGTCAATTATTTGGACTCCTTCTCATCAATCACATTTAGATTATATTATATTACATTTAATTTGTGTACGTTTCCAAATGGCTATACCAACTGTTATTGCAGGTGAAAATTTAAATGTTGCAATTGTAGGTAATTTATTAAAAAGTTTAGGTGCAATTTTTATACCAAGATCATTTAATAATGAATTATATACTGAAAGAAATTTAAATAATGTTATTGAATTTATTTTAGTTAATAAAATTCCATTTGAAGTATTTATTGAAGGTACTAGATCAAGAGATGGGAAATTATTATTACCAAAATATGGTATATTAAAATCTTTGGTTTCTATATATTTAAAACAAAGAAATGAAGAACATAAACCAAATTTCGATATGTTATTTCAACCAGTTTCAGTTACTTATGAAAGAGTTTATGAAAATGATCAATTTTTAAAAGAATTAAAAGGAGATGATAAAACTCAAGAAAGTTTATTTGGTATATTAGGAGTAGCAACAAGTGCATTTTATCATAAAGAAGATAAAATTATTTATGATAAACAAGGATTTAATGATAATACTGATAGAACATTAACTGGTAAAATATTCGTTAAATTAGGCGAATCTTTTACATTAAGTGAATTCATAAATAATGATGATGTAAAAGATGAAAAAGAAGTTAATTTAAAAAAATTAGGTTTTAAAATCTTGCAAGAAGTTAATAGAAATTCATTTATACCAGAAATTTCAATAATTGGTTTAGCTATTCAAGCATATAATTATTTTTCACAAAAATCATTATTTACAATTGAAGAAATGTTACCAATTTTAAAAATTGTATGTCAAGTTTTATTAAAAGAAAATGACTCATCTGCTACAAATAAAATTATATTACAAGATATGCTTAATTTTTCAGATGAGGATTTGATAAGTGTTGTTAAATTTGAAATTGTTTCATTTTTTAGATATATTAAAGTTAATGATAAGAAAAATTTAATTAAAATTGAATCACCAATTGAATTATTATATTATAAAAATTTAACTATTCATTTAATTATTCACAAATGTATCATCATGTATATTTTGCTTTTATTAAATAATGATGTCAATTGTAATAAGATTGTAATTGGGAAATTATTTTATATCATTACAAGTTTTTTAAAGAATGAATTTTTATTTGATTATGATGAAAATTCTAAAAATGATTTAAACTATATTTTAAATGATTTAGAAGAAATGGGATTAATCACCAAAGAAAAATCAACAGATTCAGATTTTGAATATTATAAAATAAAAGATGAAAAATATGTTAGATTATTTGCAAATTTAGCTCAACCTTTTATGGAAAGTTATATAGTTTTAATTTCAAATATTTTAGAAATGACTCATAATTTATCAAATAGATATGCAGCATCAAGACAACAAAGACAACATTCTAACTTGGTATTAGATGATGATGAATTAAAATACCCTACAACAAAAGGTTTATTGAAATATATAATAGATCAATCAAAAAAGAAAGCACAATTCCAATCCCTCGAATCCATAAATAAACAATATCTTGTCAGTGATTTATATTACCTTAACCACCTTAATTTAATCAAAATTTTCAAAAATAAAGCTAAAACTAAAGCATTTGTTCAAATTTTAAATCCAAAAGATCTTTCTATATTAAATGAATTTTTAAAACAATTATTAAATTTATCACAAAAGAGGGATTTTATTACTAATGAAATTAATATTAATTACATTATTGACATTACTAATAAAAATAAAGATAGAGATTCAGATGTATTGAGAAGAAGTAAATTATAATTTTAGATTAAATAGAATAAACTAATAATAATAATAACAATAATCAGTCTAAAAAATGATGTGTTATTCTCTATTTTATTCTCTATTTATGCAAATGATTCATCTTCAACTTTATCAATCAATTGTAAATAATAATAATAAAACCCAACAATATGATAATGAGATGACAAATTAACTTTTTCATTAACACTATGTTCACCACCACTACCTTCATCAATAAAACTAGGTATATATCTATAAATATTTTTAGTTAAAATCCAATAAGATTTAGTATCTGTATTTCCACTTGATAAAAATGGAGCTACTACAAATGGTGTTGTAGTGGTGGTTGTATTGATTAAGTTCTCAAATAAATAACGTATTGAACCTCCGAAAATTTTCCAACTTTCATTTAATGGTGATACTGGTGCTGGATTTAATGGTTCTACTATATTGTATTTAAAGTATCCATTTTCTGTAGGTTCTATAATTGTAGTATTTTCTATTATTAAACCTAAATTAAATTTATTAGCTACTTTAACAATATTTTCTTGATATTTTGCAACGGTTTCATCGACTGAAGATTCAACTGCGATTCTTGAATTTACTAAAAATGATACATGTTCAGGTAATGCGTTTGATTTAACACCACCTTCAATAATATCTATTGCTTGAGATGTAGTTATTAAATATTTAGTATCTAAATTTTCACTTAAATATTCAACAACTTTTGAATTAGATTTTTGGTCGATTTGAGATTTTAAAATATTTGTTTTTAAATTTTGGGGAATTTTTGAATGTTCAGCTAAACAATATAATTGATTCATTAATGGATTAACTTTAGTTAGTATTGGTTCAAATGGTGATGATTCAATTTCGTTAATTAATTGAGCAATAATTCCAATAGATGTATGAGATTGAGGAACACTTGAATGACCACCAGGTGTGAAAATCTCTATAACTGAATTCAAATGACCTTTTTCACCAGTAGCAGGTAATATAAAATTTGTACCTTCAATTTCTTGATATCCAGCATTACCTTCATCAATAATTTGTAAAAAAGAATCTTGACCATAACGGTTTTCTAAAAATTTACCAATTTGAAAAGCTCCATCTCCTGAACTTTCTTCATCATAACCAAAAGCTAAAATTATAGTTCTTTTAGGTTGAAATTTATTTTCATCTAATAAGAATTCAATAGTATTTAATAATCCAATTAATAAATTCTTACAATCTAAAACACCACGACCATAAATAAAATCATTTGAATCAATAAACCCACTAAACGGTGAATGATCCCATCTATTGACTGTTGATCTATCAACTGGTACTACATCTTGATGAGCGGTTAACATTATTGGTTTTTTATCTGAATTGGAACCTTTCCAAGTATATACTAAACCTAATTCATTTACTTTTTCAACTTTTAAATTCTTATAGACTAATGGGTATGTTTTTTCTAAGTAAGTGTGAAATTGTCTAAACGTATTCCATCTAGTGTCATTTTGACCTTCTTTAGTTGGATTTTGCATATCATCGTATACTTCAGTTGGGTAATTTATTGAGTCTTGAAACCTTTTATTTAATATTTCATGATATTCTTTGTTATGTAATATATAATCTATATTTTCTGGATTTGTTACGTATTTATTTGGAATTATTTTTTCAAGAATTGGACATAATTCTTCATCTGGTACTCCCATTGTTACTAGATTTTGAGAATAAATTGATTTTCCAAACCAGAATAATATCATAAATCCAATTGTGTAGAATACTAATAACCAATTGTTTTTCTTTCTTGGCTTTTCATTGTGAAGTGGTAAGTCTGACTTGCTCCAGTTATTGGAATGTACCGCTTTTTCATCTATTTGATTGACCATCTTCAATTAACTGAATTTATATAGATTGAACAATTTGAAGAATGGTATTAATAATTTGGTAAAATACAAAAATTCTATTTACGATAACGGAATTATCGCTACCATGTTTTTGGAATTGTGTTTGTGTAACAAGAATAGAAGTTTCAAAATTTGTTTGTATGAATTTAAAAAATTAAAAAAATAAATTTTTATTTTTAAAATCAACTTTGAGATGAATTAAAAATTGTTGGTGGCAATATTAGTCGATTATAATTGAAGAAATCACATCTTTTTGTTGATCTAATTTCTCGAATGGTATTATCTCATAGTCTTTTATTTCGGCTTCGTTTAAACTTTCAATTTTAAGAAATTTTGCCGTCGGATATTTGTTTAACTATTAATTTTGTTTATGTCTTACGATAACTAGAAATAAAAATTTACAATAATGTAGCATTGATTGCACTTTTGGTCCTACCGTCTTAACACTCGAGATTACGGTGATAAAATAGCTTCAACATCCCCGTCTAAAGAAGGTAAACGATGTAGAATTTAAAAGGGCTTTATCAGTTTTTTTCACATCTTTCCTCAAAATATCTTTCTTTCGCTTATCAATTTATGACTCAAATTAAACACTTGAAATTTGACTTCATAATCCTCCGACAAACGCTAAACCTCTGAAAGCAATTTTCAATACGTTCTATAAGTATACCTGTAGTTGACACATGTTTCAAAATTTTTCTTATCTCTCTATCTCTTACTTCAAATAATTTCTTATGACTCAAATCATTAAGCGTAATTTTTATGACTAAAGATAAATTAATTTTGTGTATTGAAATTTTATTCATAATAAAAAACGGTGATTTTCTTCTTTGTTAAGAAAAAAAAGAATTTTTCAAATTTTTCAAAATTTTTCAATATTACAACCAAACTAATTATTCATTCATTTAATTTTTAAAGACTTATAGGAGTTTTTAAATTTAGTAGATAAAAATAGACTAGAGAAATAAATTATGTGTGGTATATTTGCATGTTATAGAGTTCAAAATGTTGATGACTTTAAACCAAAAGCATTACAATATTCAAAATTAATAAGACATAGAGGTCCAGATTGGTCAGGTAATATTATATGTAATAATGATACTATATTATGTCATGAAAGATTAGCTATTGTTGGTTTAGATGCGGGTGCACAACCAATTGTTTCACCAGATGAAAGATATACTTTAGCAGTTAATGGAGAAATTTATAATCATATTCAATTAAGACAACAATTTAAAGATTATAAATTTAAAAGTTTAAGTGATTGTGAACCAATTATACCATTATTTGAAAAATATGATATTGATGCACCTAAATATTTAGATGGTATGTTTGCTTGGGTATTACATGATAAAGAAAAAAATAGAATAGTTGCAGCAAGAGATCCAATTGGTATAACGACTTTATATTTAGGAAAATCTTCAAAATCTCCAGAAACAAGATTTTTCAGTTCAGAATTAAAATGTTTAATTGAAGAATGTGATTCTATTGAAGCTTTCCCACCTGGTCATATTTATGATTCAAATACTGATAAAATTACAAGATATTTTCAACCTTCATGGTGGGATGGATCAAAAATTCCAACTACTCCAGTTGATTATACAAAAGTAAGAGAAACTTTGGAATTGGCAGTTAGAAAAAGATTAATGGCTGAAGTTCCTTATGGGGTATTATTATCTGGTGGTTTAGATTCAAGTTTAATTGCTTCAATAGCTGCAAGAGAAACCCAGAAGGCAAATGAAGAAAATTTAAAAAACCATCATCATAAGGGAATAGATGCAAACAAGGAATTATCAGGTGTTGATGTTTCAGGTTCATTACATTCATCTGCAGGTTTTAATCAATTACATTCTTTTGCTATTGGATTACCAGGAGCTCCCGATTTAATTGCTGCAGAAAAAGTTGCACAATATATTGGTACAATCCATCATTCACATACTTTTACTTTAGAAGAAGGTATAGATGCATTAGATGATGTTATTTATCATTTAGAAACTTATGATGTTACAACTATAAGAGCATCAACTCCAATGTATTTATTATCAAGAAAAATTAAAGCACAAGGTGTTAAAATGGTATTATCAGGAGAAGGATCAGATGAAATTTTTGGTGGATACTTATATTTTGCTAATGCTCCAAGTGCTGATAGTTTTCATGAAGAATGTGTACAAAGAGTTAAAAACTTACATTATGCTGATTGTTTAAGAGCAAACAAATCTACAATGGCATGGGGTTTAGAAGCAAGAGTTCCATTTTTGGATAAACAATTCTTAGAAGTTTGTATGAATATTGATCCAAAGGACAAATTAATAACAAAAGATCATATTGAAAAATATATTTTAAGAAAAGCATTTGATACTAAAGAAAATCCATATTTACCAGATGAAATCTTATGGAGACAAAAGGAACAATTTTCAGATGGTGTTGGTTATTCATGGATTGATTGTTTAAAAGACACTGCTGAAAAATTAGTAAGTGATGAAGATATGAAAAATCCAAAACCAGAATGGGGTGATGATATTCCTCAAACTAAAGAAGCTTATTGGTATAGATGTAAATTTGATAAAATGTTTAATAATTCAAAAGCTGCTGCTTCAACTGTTATGAGATGGATTCCAAAAGCTGAATGGGGTTGTCATGCTGATCCAAGTGGTAGATATGCTACTACTCATGATCATAAAGTTGATCAAGAATAAAAGAATTAAAAATAAAAAACGTTATACTGTTTATAGATTTTGTATTTTTTTTTGATATGTACAAAGAAAAAAACTGCTAATTAATATTTTAAAATATTTATTTTCTTATTTGGAGGATAAATATGCTTCAACATCTTTATGATCTCTTTCAAACCAATGAGAATTTATTTTAATATTATCTAAAGCTTGTTTTAATGCTCTTTCAAAACCGTGAATATTTCTATTAGCGAAAAATTGTTCAATTTGTTTGAATTCTTGTTCAGTTTGATAATTTCTTAAAGTGATTTTAACAAATCTATCCAACACAACCATATTTGTAGACATGATCTTATAAAATTTAGAATCATAATGGTTTAAAAAAAATTCCAAGAATTTATATTTTGTTGATGTGTTTATACTTAATGGTTTTCCTAAATAGTGAGAATCCATTGGTGGGATAATTTCAGGATTAATTAATGAATTTAATAATTTATCAACAAATTCAGATTTAGTTGTTGAACCTAATGCAGTTAATGCAATTTCTCTTGAATCTAAATTTGTTGGATTTGTAACTTGTTTCATTATAGTATCGAATTGATCTTGTGTAAAGTCTGGTGAAGATGCTAATGTTGAATAAACGAATAATACCAATGATGGATGGATTTTCTCTTGATTACTAAACAAATCTAATGCGTAATTGTAAACTTCTGGGATATTTAATTTCCCAGCTCTTGTTAAAATTTCAGCTCTAAATTTAACTTGTAAGAAATTTGAATCATCAATACCGGACTTATTTATATCTTGAATAATTTCAATAGCTTTTGATGAGTAAATATTTTGTAAATATTTTATTATTTGAAGACGTGATTCATCATTTGCAAAAACAGTTGCGAAATTACTCAATGTTTTACCTAATTCTAACCATACAACATAATCATTACCTAATTTTGGTGTTATTTGATTAACAAATTTTAAAAATTTAACTGTTGAATTATTACCTGAACATGCGGTAGCTGCAAAATCTGCTATAATACCAACTTTATCTCTTGTTGAAAAATTTTCAAAATGAGCTATAACATTGTTTTCCAAGATCGTATCTGAATAATTAACTCTATATACTCCTGATGTATCTTTATTAATTTTGAATTGTTTATCACCTAATTGAAAACCTTCAACCACGTGATTTTTTTCTTCAAATGAATCAATCCCAATTGAATTTCCACTCAAAGTGTTTAATGGAATCCACCAAACTGCCTCATTTTCTTCAGAAGTAACATCACCACCATTCAAAAATCTAGATTGACTAAAAACTAAACCTTGGTCATTATTTTCAACATTAACAATAGGAAATCCAACTTTTTTAATCCAAGTTTCCATTAATTTATCAATAGGTTTCCCACTAACTTCACCAATAGAACTCCATAAATCATGACTAGTAGCATTTCCATATTTATTCTTTTGTAAGTATAAAGCAACACCTTTTAAAAACACTTTTTCACCTAAATATTTAGAAATCATTAAAATAGTAGATGCACCTTTTAAATAACTTATAGCATCAAATACTTGATCAATATCTAATGCATCAACTACTGGAACTTCAATAGGATGTGAATTTCTTAATCCATCTAATTCCAAAGCTTGTTCTAATGAAGTACTTACAAATTCACTAAATATATCCCATTCAGGATATAAATAATCCACAGCGGCGTAACCCACCCAAGTTGCAAACCCTTCATTAAGCCATAATTCATCCCACCATTTCATAGTAACTAAATTACCAAACCATTGATGTGCTAATTCATGAGCTACAACATATGCTACTTTTTGCTTATATGATGGATCTGATTTTGTAGGGTTGTATAATAATGCAGTTGATCTATATGTTATAAGACCCCAATTTTCCATTGCGTTATGGGAAAAAGAATGAACTGCTATAAGATCTAATTTTGGAAGGGGATATTGAATTTCGAAAATTTTTGAAAAATAATCAACTATTTTGGGAGTGATTTCTGATGCTAATTTTGCATCTTCAATGTACCCACCTCTAGTAGTGTATATTCTAATAGGTAATGGTTTACCATTGTATTTTTCCAGTGTAAATGATTCAATATATTCAAATTCTCCACATGCCCAAGCTAATAAATAAGTAGACATAACGGGAGTTTTTTCAAATTCAACTACTTGTTGACCTTCAGTGGTAGTGGTTGTAGATTCAACTGGTGTATTACTTATTATTGTCCAATTTAAATCACCTGTAATTTTAACTTTGAATGTTGATTTCAAAAGTGGTTCATCAAGACAAGGAAATGCTCTTCTTGCATCTGTTGCTTCAAATTGTGTACTTACCATTACTTTTTCAACTCCATTGTCATCATAACTTGATCTATAGAATCCTGCCATATTTGTTTGTACTACTGCGTCATATTTGATATTAACGTATAATTTTCCTTGAGTAACTTGTTTATTGAATTTTACAACAAAATATTCTTTTGATTTATGTTCTTCAATTGATTCAATTTCAATTGTTTCTTTATCATTCTTGATCTCAATATTTTTCTTTTTAACAGTAATATCTCTATAATTTAAATATAATTCATTAGTTGGTTCTATAACTTCTAATTCAATTGAAACGTCACCTTCAAAAGTATCATTCGTTAAATTGATATCATAAATTGATAAGTCATAATGAATTGGTTTTAAATTCGTTGGTAATGCTTCATAATACGGTCCTTCTTTAGTTGCACACATGATTCAACTAAAGTTGGGGTAATTTTGTTCAAAATATTGAAAAATTCCTAAAAATAATTCCAAACTGAATTTAGATCTGGACTCGATCTGTCAAAAAAAAAAGAACTAAAAATAATTTGTGGTCTGAAAATACTATTTCACGACATGACAATAAATAGACTTTTATTATATAAATTAAAATTTGAGATCAGAAATGAATTAAATTTCTTACAATTGACTTATTTTAACAACAATTTTTTTTTATTTTTAAGTTTCTATTTAATTATATAAATTTCAAGCAAAATTCAGACTATCAATTCACCTTTCCATCAATTTAATATGAAATACCATTAGCTTCCAATAACATTTTCAAACGATCATTTTCATAAATTAATGATTCTACTTTAGTTTCCAATTGTGTCATTCTTTCCATTTTACGAGCTCTTGATCTTCTTGCAGCTTCAGTATTTTTAGCTCTTTTCAAAGCAGCACTATCTTCAATTTCATCAAATACAATTGGTTGTAAAGATTGTGATCTTTGTTTTTTTGAATATGTAACACAACCTAAATGATCAACTTTTGTTTTTTTACTAGTTGGTTTTTTCATATCTAATTGAGGAGTTGGTAAAGTTGATGAAGGGTTTGGAGTAAATAATTGTTGTTGTTGTTGATGACGTTTTGATTTTGGATAATCAATTTCATCATCTTCAAATGATCTTTTAGTGGTGACACTAGTAGCAATTGTACTTGCCAATTCCAATTCTGGACTTGAAGCAGATGTAGTAGCAGCTGAAATAGTTTCATCAGATAAACCATTTGGTGATGGTTCAATTAATAAAGCGTCTAAAACTTCATCTCTTGGTATTAATGATTCATCATCATTAAAATAACCTTCTTGGTTAGTGGTATTGTTGATAATTTGGTCACTTGAATCTAAAGATAAAATTGGTTCATCAAATTCATTAACAATATCAGTAGTTTCTTCACAATTTTCACCTACTGAATTGAAAACATCCTCATCAAATAATGCAACCCAATCATCTTTAGAATTAACTTTAGCACCATCAACAATAAAATCTAATTCATCAAACATAGGAGTATGATCAATCATTACATCTTTTCCATCTAAATTTGAACTAAAGACGGAATCCAAAACACTTGAATGGATTTGAAAAGGTGATGCAAAACCTTCTTCACTTTTAAGATTATTGTTAGATTTATTAATCATTTTGTTATTAACAATTTCTTTAGATTCAATTGGGAGTGAATCTTTTGGAAATCTATTAATTGTAGTAGTAGCAGTAGCAGTAGTAGTAGACATTTTTGTAGTAATAGTAATAGTAGTAATATTATCTAATAATTTAAATTAAAAATTTGTAGTAATAATAAGCAGTATAGCAGTATAATAGCAGTAGCAGTATCAGTAAATAATCTATAGTTTATGATATAATAATAATAAAATTTATATAAACTCTTGTAGTAGTAGTAGTATAATCACCATAATGGGACAGTAAATTAGGGAATTCTATTTCAACATTTTTAATAAGGTATAATAAGTTTTATAATCAACAAAGTAATTTTATGATTAATTGATCTCTTTTTATTTATATATAATAATAATAAATAAGTTTTAATAATTGTAAAAAACAACAAATAAATTTAAGCACACATTGTAAAATTGTAAGCTAATAAAGTAATAATTGGGGAAAAATAAATTAAAGTAAAGTAATAATAGTAGTTATTTAATTAATTGATTGTTGTTTTTATAATGTTGATAATTGATTTGAAAAAAAAGAAAAGAAAAAAAAATTTTCAAAAAAAAATTCAAATTTAGAAAGTGGGAATCAGTTTGGTTAAATATTAAAATATGAAAATATTGAAAAATTTTTCTCTTATTTATTTGTATTACAAATGTACTGTATATAACAACTTTTTCGTATATTTTTTCTATTGTATTGTATAATTATAATATAATAATAATCAATAACAAATGCTACCAAACAGTCACATAATGAAAATAAATTGGAGTAAAAAATTTGCTTAAATATTGAAAAGTAATCTCTGACTCATAATTTTTCAAACAATAGAGATCGATAAAATAAATATAAGGAGATAAACAAACCAAATTATTAATTGATAATCCAACTTTAAATCAAATTTACTTTCGAGAATGTTCCTGAGCTTAGTATAAGTACTTGACAACCTGTCAATTGAGTTATAAAAGAGGACAGCATTTTCATACATTTTCTACCTGTTCCTGTAGGGCTTTTAAATTATTTTTTGTAATCTTGTATCTAAATTTCATATTTTTTATTGTGTAGGGTCTGAGATTCCGTAAATTTTTAAACCGCTGACGGAGACGGACTGATAAGAGGAAAATTAGGATTTAAGAAGGTAACTTATTAGTACGGCACAATTGAACATGGATCGGAAAAGTACAACGCTTCCGTAATATTTATTTCACTGAAATCTCGAGAGCTAATATTATTATTAAAGATCTAGGGCTCAAATCGATTGATCTAAAAATTTTCGTAATCTAAGTATTACTTAAACTCATGGTAGCAATAAGAAAGTACAGTGATTAATTGACAATTACAATAAATACCAGTAAATGCTAAGCAACAGTCTAAATTCCTGAACTTTAGTTGATCAGTAAACGTATATCTTACAATAATTCTTGAAAAATTACTTAGTAAGAGTTAATTAAGTATTTGTCACTAGGATACTTTCAATCAAGACGAAAATGTGAGGAAAAGCTTGTAAAAGCACGTGACAATGCACGTGAGCAGAATATCTATATTCAAGTAAGTGTAATAAGATTAGATAGGATTCTAATTATCCATGAAAGATTTCAAAACAAATTATAATTATTCTAGTAAAGTTCCCAAATCTAACATTGTCCGATTATTTGTAAAATATTCTTCTCATATAATCTTGTTTGGTAGAAAGCTACACGAATTTGCTAATAAAGTTGACAAAAATTTCAAATTATTGTATATATCTACTTGAAGGCTTCTTTATGATTGTATAATATTCCTCATTATTATCATTTTACAAATATTTTTAATCATCATGCATATATTTGATATATATAATTCTAGATTATACAAAAATAAACCCAAATGCTCTATTTTTTACTGATCTTTAACCATTTTGATAATTTTGATTTCTTTTTATCTTCGTCACCATCATTATCATTTGCACTTGATTTTGACTTGCCGAAAAACAGCTTTGATTTATGATGATTATCATCAGGTAATAATGATCTATTCTTTTCCAATTTTCTTTCAGGTAATTCATCTTTAGCTTTTATAATTAAATCTTGAGAAGTATTATTTAAAAATGGACCTTTTGAAGCTAATGAATTTTCCCAAATTAAAATAATTTGTTCATTTTGAAATTCTTTTAAATTTATGAGTAACTCATTGTTAGTGGTAAATGATTGTGTTAATTTTGTGAATGGTGGATAACCTAATTTTAAATTATAATTATTTAAAAATTGAGGTAATAATAAATCATCTATTCTTTTTATAAATTGACCGAATTTCAATGAATTTATATTTTCTAAAAAATTTAATTGTAAAATGGATCCATCGGGGAATTTAATTCTAATTAAGTATTTAGTAGGTAGTTTGGAATCTTTTGGTTTAGTTCTTTTTGCTGAAGCTCTAATTACATTTTGATAAGTTTTTGCTTGATTTACAGTCATGTTATAATCTTCATCTGGATTTTGATATTGTTGTTGGTTTGAGTTGTTTGAAGTTGATGATGGAATGTATAATTGTGGAGTTTCTTGAAATTCTTCTTCTTTGTATACGTATGATGATGATGATTCTATCAATTCTGCAGATTCTGTATTATTTTGTTTTGATGGTATATCTGAAACAATTAAATTTGGGTTGTCTTGTGAAGTTGGTGGTTGTTCAACATCTGTCATTTCAACATCTTCATTTTCTTCATTTGTAGTAGTTTTTTTCAATTCATCATGAGTTTGTGCATATTCTTCTCTATGTTCTTGTTCTTTCCTTTCTTTAGCTAATTTTTCTTCTTCCAATTTTTTGCGCGCTAATTCTTGTTGTATATATAATTGATTAGCTTCTTCTTGTTTTTTATTTAATTCAGCTATTTGAGTTTTGGATTTAATTTCTTCAATTCTTATAACTACACTATTTGCATTACCTACAATTGATCCCAATGTTGTTTTTTCATAGTTGATAAAATCTATTGTTAAATTTAAAATTCTTAATTGAGTGTTTTTAATGGGATATTTGAATGATTCTACTAATTGTTTTAGGGTGGTTGTTGCATTAAATTTACTTATTGAGGTACCTTTTGAACTTGTGAATTTAACATTAATTTCTTTGTTTATGTCAATTTTTTTCAATTTTAAAGTCAATTTGGAGTTATTGATAAGATTGGTTAATCTAATTGGAGTTGAACTATCTAAAATTTTATCATTGTGATATAAATCTCCAGTGTATGTAGTTGAGTCAATTTTAAAACCAGTTAAACATTGTGAAACCAATTGTGAAATAGTTTGTGATTTGCTTGCAGTAAATTTTTTTGAAGTCGTTAAATAAGTTATATTCAATGATACTGTGGCCATTTGTTTATGTTTACGTTAATTGTTTAAAGGAGTGACAACGTTCTGAGTTTTTGATAAATATTGATGGCAAAATCAATTGATTACAACTTGAGCTAATAATAAATATTATTATATATCTTAATTGACCTGCACACACGAATTGTTTTAAATTTAGTTTGTATGACATAAAAAATAAAATTACGACACCACTAGAATGTATGCGTCACACATTCTTATAAATTTTTTTTTTTAAGCCGAACCACTTAATATAACTCTAACTTTTAAACAAAGGCAATAAAATTTTGATAAACAATAGTTAACAACCACTATCCTTTCGTTTTTTTATATAGTTTCAAAAACAAGCAAATACAAGCAATATAGTTTCAAAAACAAGCAAATACAAGCAATAATGTGTTTATGTCTTTCAGACCTTTGTTTAATAGTATTATCAATATTTTTCCCTCCATTACCAGTATGGATAAGAAGAGGTGTATGTTCAACTGATTCTTTAATAAATATTTTATTATGTATGCTTGGTTTTTTCCCTGGATTGATTCATAGTTGGTATATTATAGCAAAATATCCACCACATTTACAATACGATGAAAATAATAAAATATATTATGTTTATAGAAACGATTTAGAAAATCAAACTCAACATCAACAAGCTCATTGTCATCATCATCATCACCATTGTGAAGGTGAAGAAAGAAGTATTAGAAATGAACCAAACGGTGCACCACAAATTAATTATGGTGCTGTTAATGAAGGTAGTAGTAATGGTAGAGTTGGTCAAGCACCTCCTGAGTATTCAGAATATGATAATAAAACTCAACGTTAAAGGATAAAAATTGGCAAATGAAGAGCTAGAGTAAGGTGGGTTACAAAGTATTTATAATTCTTTAATGGTTAATTAGTTGGGTATTATTTGTTTAGTTTTTCAAAGTAGATAATAATAAGTGTTTTAATTTAAATAAATGTTTTAATAATTTTAAACGATCTGAGGAAAGTAGAGATTATTGTAGAAATAGGTAAAGCTTGGTGAATCTAGCGATCCATCACTACACTACGTCTGAACAGAAAGCAGTCAATATAATGGTTATGGTATTACTACCTATTTTTGTTTGTAAAGTAATAAAATATTATTTAACAGATAAGGAAAAAAAGATAAGAATTACTTTTAACATTCCACCAACTTTAAATAACCGAAGAATTATGTTACTACTATAAACCTAGATTAAATATTCAACAACTAAAGTATATAGATAACTACTCACATCAAATTACAAATGGCATCATTAATAAGAGACTCAATTCAAACAATGGGTAATCCCAACTCTACGACCACCCAAGATCAAGACATAATAAAATCAGAAAAATCAATAAATTCAATATCTTTCTTAAAATCATTAAAAGATTGGTGGTCTTGTCCTTCTCCTTTGATTTATGATTCTACTCAAAATTTACAAATTGATAAATATGAAAAAGCGAAATTGAATAATCGAATTATTGAATATGAATTGTTTAGAGCTATATTACCTGAAGAAATATATATTAAGAACCCAGTTGAAAAAATAACAGAAGGGACCAATTCTGATGAGTCGTCAACTACAGAAACAGAAGATTTAGAAAAGATAAAGCATAAAGTATCTGGAGAATTAATAGATGTTGAATTAGATGATGGAACATTTATACATGAATTTTATCTAAGTAATAATGAAGAAACCACTAAAGAAATTCATATAGTGATAATACATGGGTATATGGCAGCTTTAGGATTTTTTTTGAAAAATATAGAACCATTAGTGAAAATACCAGGAGTGAAATTACATCTAATTGATTTACCAGGATTTGGGAACTCTTCAAGACCAAAATTTCCTATTGAATTTTTAGTTGATCCACCGACAAAGAAAGCTAAAATACAACAAATATTAGATATTGAAAATTGGTTCATTGATAAGATTGAAAATTGGAGGATAAAACGTAACATTACTAAATTCAAATTAATAGGTCATTCAATGGGTGCATATTTATCTTGTTGTTACTTGATGAAATACAATCTCCAATCAAACCGTGAAAATTTAGTTGATCAAATCATTATAGTAAGTCCAATGGGTACTGAATCAAATCCAACAAGTTTAATAAATGATTCAAGATACGACATTAACTTACATTTTTCAAGTAATGCTCTTAACGAATTAAAATTTGAAGATCATGAAGCTAATGGTGAAGAAATAATTATAAATGAAGAATTTACCACGTTATGGGAAAAGTTAGGAGCACCAAAATTCCCCAAAAATGTTATATTGAAAACAATATGGGAGAATAATTATTCACCTTTCCAAATTTTACAAAAAACAGGTCCATTATATTCCAAAATTTTATCATATTGGTCATTTCAAAGATTTAAAAATTTCCAAACTACATCCACAGACAAAAATGAAATAATAGAATTAATATTAAAATTACATAATTATTCATATTCAATTTTTAATCAGTATCAACAATCAGGTGAATTAGCAATTACAAAATTTATAACTTCAGAAATATTAGCAAAATTACCATTATGTGATCGAGGATTAGTTGATTTCTTGGTGGATCATAATATAGATAATTATTGGATTTATGGAGATAAAGATTGGATGAATTATAAAGGTGGTGAATATATTTTTGAAAAAATCAAGAATAAGAATTCAAAATCCATTACAAAATTTGAAATATTGGAAAATGCTGGTCATCATATTTATTTAGATAATCCTACATTATTCAATCAAAGAATTATTGAGTTTTTTAAATTATAGATAGATAGATGCAAAATTTAGATTATATATTGGTTTCTAGATATTAAGTAGATTATTAATAGATTCTTCATTAATTTCACCAGATAATAAATTTTTAACACCCTTTAGAAAATTATAATTTTTATCATCAGTACTAACTTCAATTTGTTTTTTCAACTCTTCAGATATTTTAAAAGCATTTGAAATTACATCATTAGGTATACCTGCCAATTTAGCAACATTTAATCCATAAGAATTATTAATAACACCTCTAACTAAATTATATAAAAAAATAATTTCAGGAAAATTTTGATTTGGGGTTTGAATTTCTTCAAATCCCATATGATAATTTATAACTTCTCCTGGATATTCATCTTCAATTGTATGTAAACTTGGATAATGAGTAATAAACAAGATTAAAGGTTTATAATCAATTTCAATTAAATATTTTAATATAGCAAATGCTAAACTTATTCCATCAGTTGTGCCTGTACCTCTACCAATTTCATCTAATATAACTAATGATCTATTAGTTAATCTATTAATAATTTGACTACATTCTGACATTTCAATCATAAATGTTGATTTTCCCTTTAGGATATTATCAGAAGCTCCCATACGTATGAAAATAGAATCAAATATCCCCATTTTAGCAATAGAACAAGGTAAATAACAACCAATTTGACACATTATTGTAAATAATGCTATTGTTTTGACATAACTTGATTTACCACCCATATTTGGACCTGTTATAATTAATGCTCGATTTGTATCATATGAAATATTAATATCATTAGATACATAACTTGAATCGTTTTTCAATTGTTCTATAATTGGATGTCTTGCTTGTTTTACATCTATTATTAAATCATCAACTAAATCGGGTTTAGTCTTGAGATTATTATTGGAATAATAACTTAATGATAATAAACAATCTAATGTAGATAAATGTTTAACTATAATAGATAAAAATGAATATTGACAATCTAAAATTTGACAAAATTGTAAAAAAGATAAATCACATTTTTGAATTAACATTTCTTCATGATATGATTTTAATTTAATTAACTGAATAATTTGCTTATTTCTAAATCTACTTACTGTTTTTGTTGAATTAATTTTTATAAAATCCGAAGATAAATTTGAAACTAATGGACCATTTCTAATTTCTATAAGATATGGTTCTCTTTGAGCTGTTACATATTGCAATTGTGGTCTTTGTAATAATACTCTGATTTTGGTTAATTCTTTTTCAAATTCGGATTCAATGTTTTTTAAGTTTTCAAATTCCTTTTTAATATCTTCGAATCCTTCTCCATTACTATTTAAATTGAAAAAAGTAGTCTTTTGAACAAAAGGATCTTTTGATTCATTCAATAGGTATGATGGATTAATCATACTTATCAAATTGTATATAACATCAGTTTTGGATAATTTTAACAAGTCCTTTAACATTTCTCTTAAGATATTAGATTTAATTTCAAAATTTGAATCAGTGATTGTTTTTTCAAACAGTTTAACTAATTTTAAAACATCATTAAAACTTTGTAACATTAAAAATATTTGTTTTCTATTAATTCTTGTTGAATGGGTAGTCGCTGAATAATGAATCTTGATGAGTAATTCTTCTAGGTCTAAGTTCTTACCTATTTTGACAAGTTGTTGTGATAATGAATCTATAATATGATTAAACTTACATAATTCTTCTACTGAATTTAATCTTTGTTGAATTTGTTCTTTATCTATTAATGGTCTTGAGATCCATTTATTCAATAATCTATTACCAAATCTTGTCTTGGTATGATTTAATAACCAACATAACGTACCTCTATTTGAATTGGGTTCAGTTGTGTTTACAAATATTTCTAATGCTGTTAATGTGTTTGCTGGTAAAATCATATATTTTCTTGAATCTTTGAAAGTTGAAATATTTTGAGGAATTGTGAATATATTGTTTAATTTAAATTCTGATAAGTATTCAATTAAATGTAATATACATTCTTGAATTGATAATGAGTAATGTGTAATGTAATAATTCAACATTTCATCATTTAAGTATGTATTTAATTTCTTCATATTTTGAGATTTAGATTTATGTTCTATTTTTAAATCATGATTTATAAGCTTTAAACATTTTAAAGTACTTGAATTAATTTTTGAATCATTATTTAAAACAATAACTTCACTAGGTCTTAAATATAATAATCTAGTTTCTAATTCATCTCTATTAATTAAATCATGAAATTCATCATAAATGATTTCTCCAGTTAATGGTTGTACTGCAACCACCGCAAAATCTTTTTCATTAATTTCATTAATACATATAATATAATTTGGATTTTCTTCTTCAATAGAATTAGGTATTAAATTTGAACCAATAAATTCATCACTCATATATGTACCTTTTGTATATACTCCAGTAACTTCTCTTTTCATTAAATCTCCTGATTTTCCAACTTTATCAATTTCTTTTATAATAGCAGATTCCATTTGTTTAACAATTCCAACTTTTACATTACTGTTTAGTATTCTTTGTAAATTGATATGTAATCTATTATCAGGGAATGAACAATATGAGAACCGTAAATCTTCTTTATTTTCAATATACATTATATTTAATACTCTTGAAACATGTTGTGCTGATTTTTCTCCAAATATTTTATACTTATAACCAACTTGAATTAATAATATTTTGTCAGGATGTTGTGATGTTATTTCTAGGATTTGATTTTCTAGTGGTGTTAGTTTCTTTTTGGGGGTAGGTTTGGCTACTTTACGTGACGTGTATGTGTACTCAGTGGTTCTTTTTTGAGGTATTATTTGATCTTCTTTTGAGTTGGTGAATTGAAAATGATCCATTGATGTTGATGTATTAGTCGGTGGTTCTTTCGGTGGCGTTGTGATTTGTTCTGGTTCTATTGGCTGAGCGGTTGGTTGATATATTGGTTTTGATACTTCTTCTACATTATTTTCTACCTCTGATTCAGGTGTATTTAAAGTGTTAGATGATTTTAAATTTATAAATTTGAATTTTTCAATCCCATTATTTGTAGAATTTTCTGGCGAAACTTTAGGAGGTTGTTGTTGAGTAGGTGATTTTGGTTTTTGAGGTGTGAAGAAATGACTTATTGAACTTTGTTTCTTCTTAGGCGTCATTTAATGTACGTGAAGTTTGATTCAGGTAAAGTTGTAATACCAGATCAAAATTTAATTATTTAACGTAGGCGCGTTTTCTAAATGTTTCAGAATTATTTTTTGTAAAATGCAACGAATTTGTTAAATAAAAAGTCTATATAAATACCTATACACTAAAAAGTGAAGAAAAAAAAAGCCCATCCAAATATTCCAAAATAAGCGTCATTATTAAAGTTGTAGTCTCTGGATGTTGAAATAAATTATCTAACTCTACTAAAACTAACTTTATTAATATTATTACTTAATGAATTTAAACTTGAATTTTGATTAATAAATAAAGATTGATTGTTTTGTTGGGAAGTAGTTTGTATTGTTGGTGAATTACTGTGTTTGAATGATGATGAAGATGATATAGAAGGTAACGTGCCTGACGAATTTGATTTCTTCAATATCATTTCATTTTGGGGGTTGTTGTAATTGTTGTTGTTGTTGTAGTTATTATTGTGATAGTTTATCGTAGTGTAACTTGAACTACTATTGTTTTGACTGTTATTGTTATTGTTGTTGTTGTGGATCAAATGTTGAGAATTTGAGCTATTCGAGCTTGAAAAACTTCCACTTGATGAAGTAGTAGCTATTGGAGGGTTTTGATTATATTGGTGATTACTATTGTTTGAATGATTACTATTATAACTATGAGATCTTTGTTTAGTAGGGCTAGTATCTAAATGATTTAAAGAAGTTCTACTTGAATTAAAAGCAACTCTTGCAGCAATAGAAGCAGATGAATTTTGTCTTGTTCTTTGTAAATCTTGAATTCTCATTGATGATTTTAATTGTGGTGATGGTTGTTGTTGTTCTGAATCATCTACAATTGGCCAAAATACTTTTTCGGAATTTATTGATGGTAGTTGATTTGAAAATGAACTTTTCCTTCTTGTTATAATTCTATTATTTGATATGGGAGAAGTATTTGTATCATTTGATAATATAGATTGTGGAGAATTTGGTTCAATAGCTTCTTGATGGTTGTTTAATTCTTCATTACGGTGGTGGAGATGATGGCTATAGTACCCGTTTGATGATGATGAAGATGGTGGCTGTTGTTGTTGTTGTTGTTGATTTGATAAACTACGAATTGAAGGGGATATAGTTACTGATTTTAAAGAAGGTGTTTTATTGATCATCGGTTGAGTAGTTATTGGAGTTAATGGTCCAACCATAAATTGATTATGAATTGATGAACAACCTGAAAGACTTGGAGTTGAAGGTTTTGTATTTGTTGAAGATGATGTTGTAGTTAAATTTAATGCAATTGGCTGTTTATGTTGGTGTTGTTGTTGGTGATTATTGTAAGTAGTATTAGATCTTTGTCTTGCTGTTGTAGTTGTTAACGGGGTTATTTGTGATGAAGCATTTTCCAATGGTAAAGACAGTGAATGTTTACGATTACCATTTAATCTCTTATATTCTTCTTGACATTGTAATGACATTGATACTATTGGACTTGATAAAACTTTATTTTCACCATCTAAATCCAAAGACATTTGTGAATGATTTTCAGTATTTAATCGTAGCATTGGTGGTAATTTATTATCTGTGGTGGTTGTTGATTCAACTGAATTAAATTCATGATGTTGGTGATTGTTGGTTATTGTTGTTGTGGATGATCTTTCAAAATCGAAATTATTTATTAAATTATTTTTCATTTCTTCATATTCTTGAATTAATTTAAAACTTGATGAATAATCTTTTGCAGTCCAATCTTGTAAATTTTTTAAATTTTCAAAATTTTCAATAGTTTGTTTAGCTAATTCTTTATTTATTGAATTTATTAAAATATGATTTATAATTTCTTTTAAACAATCTAAATTACCAAATTGAAAACAATAATGTAAACAAGTATTCCCTAATTTATCTTGAATTAAATAATTAGACCCAAATTCTAATAATAATTTACAACCTTGTTTAAAATTATAAATACATGAATATTGTAAAGGAGTTTGTTCCAATTCTCCACCTTTATAATTTAACCATAATTTACCAGGAAATTCTTGTAATAAATAATGTAAAGTTTGTAAATGATGATTTTCAATACATAAATGTAAAACAGTTATATTATCAAAAGTTAATAAATCTAAAGTAGTATAATCATTTTGTAAATTCCCCAATGTCTTATTTATAAATATAATAAGATTATAACAAATTAAATAATGACCATAATAAGAACTATAATGTAAATTTGACCAACCTTTATTTGAAGAATCAATATTTAACCATAAATCGGGAAATCTGGATAATATTCTTTTTATAATTGGTAAATTACCTTCTATTATAGCATTTCTTAAACGATTTGAAGGATCTAACATTATAACATTATTGATGTATTAATAAATTGAAACATGAAGTTCAAAGTTAAATAAGATGAAGTAATTTAATCAATTGATGGTTGTAAATAAAATAAAATAAAATAAAATATAAATGTTGATAATATAATTATAATAATTATAATAAAATATAAAAATTGAAATATTATAAAATGTCACAAAGAAATTATTTTTTATTTTTATTTTTTATTATTATATTGCGATCTTAAGATTATAGACGTGTTTTTTGTTTTTCTTACTATAAATGGATTGAAAATATACTTTAAATAAATTTGTTTTAATTGATAATTGAGAATAATATGATTCAAGACTGATCCAATAAAATAGATGAAACTGTAAATAATATCAAATTAATCCAATTATGTATATATTCTTTACTACCATATAGTTGTACTATGTTACCTTTATTTGAAATTTAAATTAAAAAAAATTAAAAATAAAAATAAAAATAAAAAATTTCTGCACATAATAAATTATTTAATTAAAGGGAATAGAAAATTTCATCTTCTAAGAAATAGTTACAATAATAATAATAAAAATTTCATACTTCCGTTAAATTCTATTATTTTAATCTTATATTTGAAGTTAATCTTTATTATTATTTATATACAATAATAGAGACCAATTATATATAATATAAACTTGTTATAATTAAGATGAAATTCTCATATTTCTTAAAATACTTTATTCTTAAATATTGTTCATAACAATTTAAACTTAAACTTTTTAATTGTATAAAGGAATAACTCGTACTTTTTGAGGGGGAAATAAAATTTGTCCGTAAATTTAATTTTTATTTTGAATAAAATAAATATAATAATAAATTTATTTTTGCTATTCGCCTTGAAATATAAAAATTAAAAGATTACAAGAAGATTAAATGGAATAAAATAATTCCATCTTGTATTCCAAATTTCAATATTTAATCTTCTTATTATCATCATAAGGTTTTGAGTATATTTCATATTTTGATAGTTTAATAATTCAAATTTCTTACTTAAAGTTCCCTTAATTTCTTTTTTAATTAGATCTAATACATTCTTTATTATTCTTTTTCTAAATATAATAGTATCTTTTCTTGATTACAATTTTAGTTGAATTAAAGATTTACACTTTATGTACATTATGTACGTACAATACTTGCGATGTATATGCGTAACAAGTTTGAGTTATTTTGATGTAAAAATTGTACCAGATAAGATTGTACATTTGTAAGAACTTGAGAATTTTGTTGCTACTTGAGCTAATTTCTTACACTTGGGTAATTTATGAAAATGTAAACACGGACCTTAAGCCCTTTTCTTGGCTATAAAATATTAAAATTTCTGTCTAAAATTTGTTTATGTGTTTACAACCTGTTGTTACATGGACACTTGCCATATTTACTGTCTCAACAATTGATTATAAGATATCTACTTTAATAAAAAGACACTACTTTCAAATATAAACACTTAGACAAATCTGACTAGTTTTAAGTACATTTTATATAGTTTTATAGAACAACTACTCATGACTACTTATTAATTAACAACCAAATTGATATATAATTAACTTGAATATTTTTAATAATCCAAATTAGGTATAAATACGAACAGAAGATCAAATATGTTACGAAATTAAAGATCTTATTGACAAGACACTCTTTATGAAGAAATACTATAAGGAAATAACAAAGTTTAATCAATTACACTTGAGACTAAGGTCAAAGTTAGAATCAAATTTTGATTTTTGGTTTTACAACCTCCTCTTTGCTTCTTCGAAAACGAGGAAATTTTGATCTTTTTAATTAAAACATTATATTATGTTTTTGCGTACTTTTATAAATAATGTTTATTAATATAAATATATCTCTATCAAAAATCGTTAAAAGAAATTTTGAGCTGGATAAGTATGGTGTAGTCTTGAGGATGAGATGAGAAAGTTTGAAAAGATATATGTAAAGTCGTGAATAGATATTTGATAATTAATTGGACATGATTTAATTATTCAAATTTAAGTTTTTGAGTAGTGATTTCATTTGGACACCGCAATGAGTTCATGAATTGAATGAAACTGATTGATTGAAGGAATAAAAGTATAGTCAGTGTTTTTCTTTAATGACGGTATGAATTTAAAATCACTATGTTTTGTTGATATGATTGGACATTATGAGTTAGATGTGAATGAGTTGAATTGGAAATTTGATATATAATGATGATTCTTTATTTCAAAGATAAGTTCAATAACAACTTTAAATCTAATGATGTTCAAAAGGTAATTTCATACCAAATATAACAGGACCATCTTCTTTAATTCTATAAAATATCCAAAACCACATAGTTGCACCCATTAATTTAGCACCCCAATAGATATGAGGAGCAACGTGAGGTTTAGCTACTGGTGCATGACGTATATATTTAGCAAAATGTCCTGCTGCCATTGTGTATGTTGTTGAGTTGGTCTATTTTTTATAGATTTGATTTGGTTTAGACTGATAGTACTTTATATTTTTTTTCCAGTAGTAATGTTTTTTTTCTTTACTTTGGTTGGTTTAAAAAAATTATGTTAGTCGTGTAAAACTTTCAAGACTTTCGGTATGTAAAGTCTAATATACAGTAAAAACAAAATTGTTGTCGTTTTGTGTATAATTGATTTGTCGTTTTAGTTCAAATTGATTTGTCGTTTTGGTAAATTTAATCTGTCGTTCTAATGAAACTAATCTGTCGTTCTGTTGTAAATTGATCTGTCGTTATATAGTCAATATTTTGGCGTTTCTTAACTATGAAAAAACGAAATTAATTAATAGTAAAAGTGCGACTAAAATTTCTCCCCTCAAGCGACAGATTAATTTGATGTAGGGCGACAAAACAAATCTTTCAAAGCGACAGATTAGATTCAAGAAAACGACAAATCAATTTAAACTAAAACGACAAATCAATTATACACAAAACGACAACAATTTTGTTTTTACTGTAAGTATTTACGAACTTTCCAGTTCTTTTTTCAATACAGGCCTAATCGATATTCAAGTCTAATTCCCCAAAGAGTAGAAGATGGAATGAACTACTGGATAGGACTATATTGATGAATCAACTACAAATGAGAGTTTTTCCTGATCTTATTTAATATTTAAAAGTTTTTATTGAGTGTGAATTCGTCTAAAGAAAACTGACTTTGATCTTTGTTTTTCAAAAAGCAAGGGGCATGTAAAACAATAACGTTTTATTTTTTCATCACTCTGAATGTTCATTAGATATCCATCTAGCTAGCTAAAAACAAAGAAAAAATTTAAGATTGAGAGTGAGAAGGTTATTCATGTAATTCACTTACATTTTCGTAGATGTTTATAATCAAAACTTATTTTGAATATCTTCTGTTTTTGTTCTGTTTGTTCTATTTTTGTTGATCATGTGTGATCATAGCGTGCTTGTATGTTAATAACCACCTTTTTAGAAATGGTCAATCATAAATCATCATCAACAATAGAAAATCTAGATTTAGATTATTGGTTATCAATTGATTTACGAAGTTAATTTAATACTAATTAGGCATTCAATTGATAAACTCCGATACCTGTAATTTTACTTAAATTTGAATAGACCAACAAAACTAATGCAAGGTTGCAATAAAACACTTTCCCAAATTGTGTTTATGAAAGGAAAGTAATTTTTTCAATTGGCTTTCCGAAGCATTAATCAAATTGAATAAAGATTATTATGTTTTAACTAAGATCTTTTACAATTCTTTCCCTTTGATCCTCGCAATGCTATTTGATTGTTAAATTACAAAACAGATTTGGATTATTGACAAATTTAGATAAACGAAAGTTACAAATTAAAATTTAGGCTGGTTTTAGTTAAATTGCCTTTAAAAATTTTGGAGAAAATTGGAAAGATCATGATACACTCTAAATATCACTAAAAATTATTTACGAATTTTTCTTCACTGAATGCCTGTTTTCAATATTTCTTTTAACCTATATCTTTTCCCAATAGATTTTCAAAGCTACAACCAAAACAAGAGTAATTGATTTTTTAGGTGCAGAAAGCATGTTTAACATTACGAGTTATGAGAATTTCGGAACTTGTTTAGTTAATTAATTGTGATGATCTCAATACTTTTTATTTTTAATTTTACCCCTTAATTTAACAGTTCCACATTGTGATTAATTTTAATTACAATTAATTGTAGATCTTTAATATAAGAAAATCTTAGAACCTAATTAGGAATCCAATTAGGGTCTGTTTGTCTTTATGTAGAATATATCATTTGATAGAGCCAATAGAGACAAGATAAGTCATTAAAAAAGTTGTAAAAAAAGATAAATAAAAAATGTTTATTAAAAAAGAATTGAAGGTCTAAAAATTAATTATTAGAATTAAAGATAAATAAAAATGAATCACATTTGAAAGAATCTCCTAAGTTCTGTAATTTTCAGAATAATTTATTTGTCTTGGTTCAGAAGATGCAGATGATTGTGATGAAGTTATTGGTTGAGCATTTGTAGAAGTAGTTGTTGTAGAAGTGGGCTGATTAAGATATGGAGTTGTAGTTGGATTTGGAACTGTAGAATTATAAGTGTATTGTTGTGGGTATTGTTGTGGTTGTTGTTGTACCAAAGGCTTATTTTGATATGAAAATTGTTGATGAGTTGCATTTCTTGCATCACCACCTACCGGAACTTGAAAAGTTTGATAATTTACTGGAGGTTGTTGAGTTATATATGTGGTGGTTGTAGTTGGGCCACTAGCATTCTCTAATTGATTACCAGCAGGAGTTGCAATAACCATTTGTTGAGTTCCAGAAGTTGGTAATTGTTGTTGTTGTTGAGGGTTTTCAATATTTGAAGTCGAACTAATGGAATTATTTTGAAATTTTTTAAAATCTCTTTCATGTAATTTATAATGTCTTGTCATATTTGATTTAACACTAAAAAATTTCCCACATTTTATCCAAGGACATTTAAAAATTTTTTCACCAGTATGGGAATAATAATGAGTTTGTAAACTTGATGGTCTTTTGAATTGTTTATTACAGATTCTACATCTATTTCTTTCTGCTGTTTGTGGTGTCATATCATGTACTGTAGCTGTATGTCTTCTTTTCCTATTCTTTTTTGAAGGATCTGTTGTGGTTGATGATGAGCCTGGTTGAGGTTCATTGTATTGTTGATCATTGTTTACTGGTACTGAGATTGAATTTAATGGTGATGTATTTGATACAGGTTGCTGCTGTATTGGTGGTGGATATTGATTATTATTGTTGTTGTTAGGTATATTATTTAACGGTGGTAAAGCAGGTTGATATAAATAATTCATATTTTGTTGATCACTTATATTACTATTATTATTATTTGAAGAGCCTGAAGAATGGGAGGATTTATTTGATGATACAGAAGCTCTTGAGTTTTGATGATGATGTAAATAATAATTTTGATTTAATGAAGAGTTGGTCTTTGGGAATGAAGGTTGACCATATTCTGGAGCAGATTGATGAGAAGTTACAGAAGTTGCATAAGTATTTGGTTGTTGTTGTGGTTGTGGTTGTGGTTGTGGTTGTGGTTGTTGCGGAGGTTGTGGTTGAGCTTGTAAATAATAGTATTGAGGATGTTGTAACTGATGTAATTGTTGAGGTAAATGTTGTTGATTTAATTGAGGTGGTAAAGTTTGCGGTTGATTATAAGTATTTTGTAAATTAAAAGATTGAAATTGTGGATACTCCATAAATTGAGGAGTTGAAGAATAATAATTTGGTGGTATAACTTGAGTATACATATTTGAATTTGGAGAAATATTTAACGTGTTTTGTGGAGTTTGAATCACCGTTGGTGTTGGCTGTTGTTGTTGTTGTTGATTTATATTTCTCAAATCTTGATTAGCAGATTGAAAATTTAAAGTTTGATTTGGAATCGGAGTATTTATATTTGGATTTGGATCCGAATTAGTATTTATACTTGAATTAGTGTTTGTATTTAAATTTGAATTTGAATTTGAATCTAAATTACTTTGATTATTATAATTAATTGAATTATATGATTGATCTATATTATTATTAATTGAGTTTTGGTTATTTGACATTACTTTTTCTTAATACATTATCTAAACTTTTTATTCAAAAGTTATATTCCCATTTTTCTATATCTATAATGATCGAAAAAAAATAAAAATGTATGTATTGAATTAAAATATTATGATGATCCTTTTTTTGAAACAAGTAGTATTTGAATTAAATTTGAACTAAGTGGTAAATTAAAACTTTATATTTATGTATGGAAATTCAAAACTGAGACAAAGTCTGTTTCTTATATATGTTTATAAATCTCCAGATTTATTATCATTCTTTAATTAAAAAAAGTTGATGATATATAAGTATTATTAAATAATATTAATTTTGTCACAAGTAATTAAATAATTTTTTATTTTTTAGTTTTAAAATGATAACACAAATTCAAATTGATCAACATTCAAAAATTATTTTAATAAATTATACATAAAATTATATTTATATAACAAAATTAAAAATATTAGTTGATTATACATAACTAGCTTATTAATATAGATCTTAGTCTTAAAAAACATAGTTATAAAATCAAAACAAGGATTATGAGATTATATTTAAAGATTAATTAGATTGTCTATTTAAAATTTAAAAAATTAAATAATAAGAAGCCGAAGCCTAGCTATTGTAATTAACTCTTGACGTAAAAAATAAACCTAAATTAATTGTCTGAATTGTGTTTCTCGGATAGCAGCTAATAAATAATTTATCAATTAATTAAATAAGAACGTGTATTAAGATCAATCTCAAATTTACATGATGATCTAAATATTGAAAATAATAAATTTAAGGAACCTTTTTTCTGATTAGATTTTTTGAGTAATAAAAAAGACCCTAACTTAATAAATATAACCATAAATAAAAAGGGATTTACAATTTTCAAGTATATGTATAACATTAGGATCCTTTTTACATACAAACTTATTAATAGTATTATAAGTGATTGAAGTTAAGCGGTAATGTTGAATGTGTTACTTGAAACAAAAAAAAATTAAATTTTTTTATTTATTTTATTAAAGAGTGCATATACCAAAAATAGATTTCAAAAGGGAAAACAACAACTAAAAAAATGATTTGCGATTTACTTAAAATTAATTTTAGTACAATTTTTTTTTTAAATTCATATTTAACAAACGAAAATTAAAAAATTGGAGTGACGAAATTACATTAATTCCGGAAATTGCATACAAATTTGAGTGTTTTTTTTTTGGTATAAAGGTCTGGGTCTTTTTTTAAAAAACATATTAGCTAGCGATTTTTAATTTAATTTTAAATCTATTATTTACATACGAAATATTAAAATTTGATTGTATTTTTTAGTTTAAGTCAAATTTACATCAACTAGCCAAATTGATTAATCGTATAGTGAAGCTTAGTATAGGAAATGTAATAAATTAATTGTTACAAGCAACAAACGTACCATTAAATATTAAGTCCACTTTTCACAGGCTTTAAACTTTATTACTGAAGTAAATTAAGTTTGTAATGATAATATTATTTTATTTGAACCCTTTTTTATAAAAAAAAAAAAACAAAACTATTAATTTCATTTTTTGTTACCTGCATTGGTTTTGAATTTTCGTCTAATTTATTTAATAAAAAAAATTTTTTTTTTATTGTTTACAAAATTTATAGTTTAAAATCGCCCTTAACGCTTTATTATTTATTTTAATCAAAATACATCTGGAACTTTTTGTTCTAGTCATCATTTCATCAGAAGCTTTGTTTTGGATCTTGGTTAAATTATTAAACAATATACATCTAGTTGATAAATAAATAACCGCTTTTTTTCGTAAATGAGTTTGTAAATTAATGTACGCACTTATTCATAAAATTCGAATTTTTTGACCTAATTAGTCAAAAAAATTCATCAAGAGTGATCTTTTTTCAGAAAAGATTTTTTTTTGAGGCGTATGAATTATTATTTTACATGGAATTTTCATTAAAAGATCATCCTTGCAGTGGAATATTTGTTTTATAAAGATGTACTAGAATTGTCAAAAAAAGTTCTTTTAAGAATTTAAGTTTTACGATAAGAGGAACCTTTGAACTAAAGTTTCATCGTGGTATTTGAAATATAAAGCTTATTCTTTATTCGGTTGAGTTGACACAATTTTAAAACTTATAAAATATACAGTTTGAATAGCAAAGAAGGAATGGCTGAATTTCTTTGTGTTTCATCTTCAGTCTGAGATGTTTCTCTCACATGTTTTCAAAATTTGTAAATATGTTCGTGACATACGAGAATCAAAGGGTTAAATGTATCGAAATTAAGCCTGATCGACATACTAATATTAGTTAAAGATATATCGAGATCAGATTTATAATTGAGGTGACGATGATTGATCTTTATAGATAATCATTAATTTACAAAACTAATTAATTCGTATCTGATAAAGCACCTGCAATTTGTTTTCTTCGTTAATTAATCGATGATTTTCTATACATCTAAAATTTAGATACTGAAAAAAACCCTCCCCTTAAGATTTACAAAAACGTTTTTAAAAAAGCGACAATCTCTATTTTCCAAATTCACGAAAAATAGAATCGTCTAAAATTGCACTAGAAAGCTTTTCTCAACGTATGAGAAATTTCAAGGAAAACCTATTCCGGGTTCATCAAAGAACCTTTGTTCTAAAGTTTGTGTAAACTTAGAATGTAAGGAAAAAAATTTGAACAATCAGTATAGAAAAGTATGGTCGCTGATCTCTTGTTAATAATAAGTTCATCAAATTTTATAATAATTACATATACGATTTTAAGTTCTTTGTTCTACAAGTATGTAAATTCCACAATTGCTGGCATCTATAAGAGCAATTTAAAATTTATTAATGAATCAAAAGTATATCCTCAACTAGAATATTCATCAACTTTTACCAATTAACTTCCGGAAATATACCGTCAGTTGGCAATTAAAACTTAGGAGGTTAAATGGAAACAATATAATTAATTATTTAATCCTTATCTAAACATATTGGTTATATTAAAATGGATCTGCAAGAACAAATTAATTTAATTTAGCTTTTTAGACGATCAATTTTTAATGTTTTTTATTATTGTAAATCATCTTCTTTTTAACTTTGTAATTAAATTTTTTTCACATGCTAACGCTTGAAAGATGGAGAAATAGAATTCATTTAATAGTATAGAGCGTTTATAGATCCTAAATTCAACTCTGGACATCACTCATTATAAGGACTTGTTGAGAGGTAAGTAAAATATCAGTTAAAAATAATTTTTAATAAAGAAGTTAGTCTTAAATAGCGGGGAGTATTTCATACCGAGCATTGTAAATTTGATATAAATATATCACAAAATCCATAACTAACAAAAACCCTTTATTTTCTTTAACAATTTTATTTTAAATAAATTGCAATACTCAATTTACCTCAACATTCTACTTTAAAACTCCACCAATACTTTTGCCCAAAACAAGTAGCTTAATAGTTAATAACCAAACAAATACTTCAATTCAAATAAACGTTTTAATCTCCAATAGAAAATTTAAAATTAGATTAAAATTACTCCGAATTGTTTATATTCATAAAAACTGCACTAAAACTTTTTTTAACTCGGAATTTCGCTAATAGGTAATAAACATACAGAAAACACTTTCTCTTTGTAAAAAGTTGTGAATTGTACATTGTGCAATATAAATTATTTCTCTACAATTATTGTTGTCTTTTTTTTTTCAATACATAATCTGTATTAAATGTCCATCTAGCTTGCTAAGTATGAAGGATCAAACTAAAAATGAGAGGGTGGAAAGTTATTTATGTAATTCAATTAATTTTTCCTAGCTGTTTGTAACCAAAACCTATTGTTAATTTATTTTGTTTTTGTTCTGTTTGTCGTTCTGGTTTTGATCATTACGTGCTTGTATACATTATTCTAAGTACTAATTACTTATATTCTTCATTGAAGTTGTTAATATTTTCTCTCTTGTTATTGAGGCTAGCGTTTAATGGTCGTTTTGCTTCTGCGATAATCAGAGCTTTGAGGATCGAATGTAGACCAAAAATGAACCACTTGCTCATCATTAAGCTGGACATTTTATGTGAGTTTTTGAATAAACAATTTTTAATTAAAGAATTTCTGAGTAATGAATATTTGACACTTTCTTAATCTTCATCCATTAAGTTGTGATGGTAGAGAAGGCTTATGAAAATAAAACTAATACAAATGTTAATGGGTTTTCGCAAAATTCTACAATCTTGGTGTTAATTTTGTATATTCATTTCACTCAATAACCATGAAATGTGTATCAGAAGTGGCCGATGAAATACTACATTAAATGCCGAGTAAAGGATTTCCAAAACATCGATAAATTTTTAAAAACTGATGTAATTTCAATTTTCTAATTTCTACTAAATCATTCTGTATAATAAAGATCACTTTGGTCAATAGAAATTGATAGTGATTTAATCCATTTTCCAAATTTCTTTATCTATAAACTGAAGTTCTTGTAACTTGTTACGAGAACAAGCTATGAAAAAATTTAAATTGTTTACATAAACTCTCATATCTTCTTGTATCTTGTAGTAACCGTTCACAACGAATGAACTTTGCGAAAAAAAACTTGATATGAAATTTGATTTGGTACTCCAATCTTTAAAATGAAAGACCTAAAATCGAATTTCAGAAAATTGAACTGAATTAAATTTACAACGTAATAAAATATATGTAACAACCGCATATTTGAAGTAAAACAATTATAAAACAAATTTCTTGTATCATTATAATCACCACCTATATACTCATAAAAACTAGTCAAAGTAGTCTTCTCCAATTCTAATAGATTCACCTCTATAAGTACACTCTTTGTATTCAATTACTTCATCTAATAAAGCTAGATTAACCTACATGAAAAAAGTAGTCTTTTTATTTCTAAGACTTTTGGACTCCAGCAAAATAATCAGAATAGTAATCTAAAGCCGCTACTGCTTTATATATCTCCGTCACTAATAGTGAGCTAAAAATTTATATAAAATTTAGATATATCATACATAACGGAATTATAAAAAATAAAAAAATAAAAGACCTGAAATTGATTACCAAAAGAGATGAAAAACTATTGATTCGGCTATGATACCTTAACATCTTGAATCTGAATGATCAGGTTATTATCATAGATAGTTCTCAATTGCATTTAACTTGGTCATATTTGATAAGAGAATAAAAAATACGTACTTAGTAAGATATAACTTACACAAAATCAAAGAATTTCGAGACTACAAAACATATTAAAAACTTCATCGTAAAAAATAAACCTCGAATTATCGAAAGATTTATATATTATTTATTTATATATTTCAGGAATCAAACACCAAGTAGATCAAAGTTAATGAATCCTAAAAAAACTATTGAACATTTAGCTCAAGTTTTAAAAGTTTTCTTTTTATGAATAACTAACAAAAAGTATCTGCTTAGACATTGCAATCTACAAACTCTAATATAACGACAGTACAGTGATTTTGAAGCTCACCCCTTTCCCAATTGAATCAAAAGATATCTTGATTAGATCACAAGGCTTACTAAAATTAGTGTCGGTGAATTTCGAAAAGTAAACAAAAATCTAAAGCATAAAAAAATTTCTATTTATTTGATAAATTTCTGTTTAAATTTCAACTTACCGATCTGCTTGAGAGATTTTTTAGTTTTTCACTCTATTGTCGCCCGTTTTTTAGTTTGAGACAATAAAATTTAAAATTTGATCTGAATTTTTTCAATGCTTATTTGCTAGATCACAAAAATTGAAAAGAATTTGCGGGAACATCAAAGCACTTCCCGTTTGAACCATTAAAAGTTAAAACTCTTCATGCATTGGATGGAGATTGAGCATTATTTTCTACTACAAGAATCAGATCAAAATGTTTTTAAATTAGGTGAGTTTGACCCCTGAAAAAATTAGTTTGTTTTAAAGTTTTTTGTTAAACCTACTACGAATTGATTGCTACTCCAATTTAGGGAGATTACCGACTCAACGAGAAAACATGTTTTATCTTCGAGGTTGTAAAAATTTTGTCAAATTAAACTAATCATGCACTAATAAAATGTAAATTTATTTTCATAGTGTTGAATCAAGTTGTATCTTAAACATGATTAGAAATATAATATCATGGCTGGTTTAATTATAATAAATTATTATTTTTGAAATGACGTTTCAGTTTCTAAAATTAGATTTTCTCTGTTTACATCAAAATATATATCGTTGATTATTTTTTTTTATCTCATTTTCATTGATGTAATTACGGATAAATTAGCGAAAAACACAAGAAAAAACACAGTTGCTTATTTTACGTCAAATCTCATCTTTAGTTGATAAGAAAAAGTAAACAAGAAACTGTTTGATGATTAGAGAATTTCAGATCTAAACTTTGTTTCGGATCTCTAAACCTTGTATAATTATATTTTTCATTTTACCTATTATATTTTTAACTCCAATTAAAATTGTTTTACCCCTTTCGTTCATCTAATTACTTGCATTAAAATATTATATATGAATTATTACGTAAGAATGTAACAAGTGATTACATAATACATATACTTTGAAAATTAATTTTGTGTAACGCATTTTGTAGTTTATTGAAACAACCAGCACAAATCAAACTAACTAACCAGCATAAATCAATTAAAGACATGATCAAGTTTATCGATCTATAGTTTCAACCAGCACAAATCACAATAAGATCATAATTTTCTTAGCAAGTTTTCCCCTTGATCTTGACATAATTGATCATTTATTTCTCGGCCTCAAATGATCAATAGGCTCAAAAAATTTAAAAAATAATGTTACATTTTTTAGTAAAACTAATCTATCTTTCATACACAAAATTTGATACAATGTTTTTTACTAGTGTTTATGATGTGAATATTTATCTGTACTTGCTATGTTTTAATTTGTTTAAATTTTTTTCAATATTATGCAAGTAATTTATTTCGTAATATTACATTTTTATTATTGTCTTTATTAAGTTATTGATTTTTGTACTATTATTTATTATTTATTATTTATTATTATTATTATTAGTTAAAAAAATAAAAAGTGCTGCAAAAAATTATTTATATAAAAAGGAGAACGTTTTACTTATTAATTTATATAATTTTTTATTATTTTTATATTCATAAGTTTCATCTTATTACTTTCATCATATTATCAATTGACAACCAAAGATCAATTGAACTGTAAATAAATAAATAAATAAATTAATCATCAAATCATAAATAGTTTTTCAAATCAAATCAAATAATATATAAAAATGAAATATACTACAATCGCTTCAACTGCTTCATTTTTGACAACCATTTTAGCAGCAACTGTTCCATCTGCGCCATGGTCAACTTTAACTCCAAAAGCTTCAATTCCAACTGATGCTACCACAAATTATTCACAAAAATTCGGTATTCAAATAGTAACTGTTGAAGATGCTTCTGCTTTAGCTACTGAAACTGTTGCAAATTTATCATCAAAATTAGAAACTAAATCAGCCAAATTGAAAAGAGCAGTTGCTCAAATAACAGATGGCCAAGTTCAACATCAAACTACTGCAGCTCCAGTTGCTCAAATCACAGATGGTCAAATCCAACATCAAACTACTGCAGCTGCTGTATCAGTTATAAATCAAATCACAGATGGTCAAATACAACATCAAACTACTGCAGCTGCTGTTGCTCAAATTGGTGACGGTCAAATTCAACATCAAACTACTGCTGCCGCTGTTTCAGTCATTAATCAAATAGGAGATGGTCAAATACAACATCAAACTACTGCTGCTGCCGCTTCTGTTGTAAATCAAATTGGAGATGGTCAAATACAACATCAAACTACTGCTGCTGCCGCTTCTGTTGTAAATCAAATTGGTGATGGTCAAATACAACATCAAACTACTGCTGCCGCCGCTTCTGTCGTAAATCAAATTGGTGACGGACAAATTCAACATCAAACCACCGCTGCTGCTGTAAACCAAATTGGAGATGGTCAAATTCAACATCAAACCACTGCAGCTGCTGTTAACCAAATTGGTGACGGTCAAATTCAACATCAAAATTCAACTGTTGCTGCTGCACATCAAATAAGTGATGGACAAATCCAACATCCAACTACTGCTACTGCTGCTCATCAAATAACTGATGGTCAAATTCAACATCAAAATGGTACAGTTGCAGCTGAATCATTTACTGCTGCACCAACAACTCCAGCTTCAGGAATTCAACAAGCATGTTCATCATCAAACAATTTAGTTATGACATTAAAAGATTCATTGTTAACTGATGGTAAAGGTAGAGTTGGAGCAATTGTTGCAAATAGACAATTCCAATTCGATGGTCCACCACCACAAGCTGGAACTTTAATTGCTGCAGGTTGGTCAATTTCAAAAGATGGATTTTTACAATTAGGTGATTCAACTGTATTTTATCAATGTTTAAGTGGTGATTTCTACAATTTGTATGATGAAAATGTCGCTGCTCAATGTAATGCAGTTAAATTAAGAATTATTGATTTTGTTGATTGTTAAATTTACTTAACTAATTAATAAATCAATACTATAAAAAAAGTTTTCTACGGTTAAAAATATATTTAAAATTTATGGGAGAATTATTTTCTAGGAATTTTGGGATGGGCATTATTTTTTCGGTTTTTCATTACGTCATGTATTCTATACGTTTTCTATATAGATCTATTATTTAAAAAATACTAAGCATTATTAATTATCAAGATACTTTCATTTTGTCTTTTTCAACTTATTAAATTCGTATTCGGTGATTTAAATTATTAACTATATCGAGTATTTTCTCTCGCAGCATCTTGCATTAAATTTGAGTTCGTATTTGAAACATCGAGTTATATGCAGGTTGACAGATTTTACAATAAAACTTTAATCTTTTGAGTATTGCCATTTGTGGATAAGTCTTTATATGCGAGCAAAGTTGATGAGCGAACGTCTTGAAAAAAGGTTGGCTTTCAAGCTGGCTAGGGAATTCAGAAATCTGCAAAATACGAATTGTCAATGTTCCCAATTAAGAATCTAAATAAAATTTTGATGCAAATATGTTGCAATTTTTTGATAATATCATAATTTACTTACCATTTGTATTAATTTTGAATTATTTTGAAGAATTACGAAAACTTCTATATTAAGAGTTATAAAAAAGACACTACAAAAGCAATCGCTCAAAGCAGATAAATAATTTCTTCTACTTCATTCATATAGCCTACATTTAAATCACAGCTAATTTATCTTTCATAGATGAAGGTCTTTTATTCCCTTCTAATGGTTCACAAGCCTTTTTCTCTTTTTCAAAGCTTCATTTCCACCAGTTAACAAGTTCAATTGTTAATTCACACCTTGTTTTAAATTAATTGTGATATTACCGAATGTTATTGTTCTATAACTTTGTTCTTGGTCTTATTTTCTAATCTCGTTTGAGTCTTCTTCCCTTTCGTTAAAAGTTTTTGATAAAACTGGACTGGAATTGTTACCATATTGCCGTTTAACTAGATTTGATGATACATTACCGTCAACTAAATCACTTGTGTTGGTTGATAAATTTGATTCAAAACTTCAATAATTCAATTTTCTTCAACTTCAGTTGAAACTTCTACTTTTTCATCAAAATCTCTATCAGATATGCTTGAACCATCATCACTTTCAGCAAAACCTAAATAGTCTCAGTTTCAAAGTTGATCTGAGGGTAATTGTCTCTCTATTTGTGAAACATGCTGAAATATTCATACTTAATTCAAAATTGTTAGTGATACCAGAATTACTTGATTACGTGATAGTTGACGGTTTATTAAATATCAAATCTTAGTTGCAAACTTTTTGTCAGTTCTGATCTCTCCCAGCTTTCACGCAATTTATTCTAGAAGTAATAAATCATTTTTTATTCTTGATCAACCTGAAACAAATTTATTACATTTATTAATATATTTTTATTTTGTGTTAACAATAATTTTTAAGTCAGTTTAATGTCTACAGTATTAACAACACCTAACTAAAATCTGTGCATTACATTCAATAAGTAAAAGCATGTTGAAGAGGTGAAGAAGTCTTTTGAAAAAATAGTGCAACATGCTAAATGCGTGCAAACAATTCACCAATATATTTTATATAATCTATAAACCCATAAATCTAAGAATTTCTAATTTTTCTAGATGCAAATCTTTTACTTTCTCGCATTGGTTCACTAAATGATCTATGTCTCTTCAATGAAATTTCATTATCACCCAAAGAAATATTTAATTGTAAGTTTTCTCCTGTTTCCAAATTTATTGAAATACCACTGTTCATTGTAACTTGTGTATAGTCTTGATGAGTGTTAGTGTTTGAGTTATTTAATGATGCAACTGATTTAATTGCCAACTTATTATGTTTGCGATCTTGAATTGTTTCTTCTTTATCTAGATTATAATAGCTACTAACTACAGCAGACTCTTCCAGAACAGCAACATGAGCTTGATAATTTCTTGACAATTTAAAACATTTTTGCACTTCATCATAATTAAAAACCAATTGATTTAAACAATGAGGTGAATTACAATTATAAATAACTTGATATCCATCTAAATTTACTAACGAATAAGTTTTATCGTATGCATTTATTTGTAAGTAATTCATTATTTCAGTTTTGGTTTTGAAAGTTTGTTTTATATGGGGTCTACTTGCATTTATGTCGCATACGTAATGATCAGTTGTCATTTTTCTGTGGTGATATTGATTAATGATATGACTTCTATTAGTTGTGGATGTATTCAAGAAAATGTGAATTTTTGATAGACGTGACTTTTTATATACTTTGAAAGGGATGAAATAATTTTTTTTTAGCGTTAATCAATATTTGAAACACTTTATTATATTTAATATTAACTAAATTTCTCGTTCCTTGTTTCAGATTTTTTTATTTTTTAGTTTCACAAGTCCCATAGTTAATATTCGATTTTCCTTTCGATGCCAGCTCAATGAACAGTTAACATAATCTAAGAGATGGTATTTACGAGATTGGTATTTACGTGAAAAAACGCAAAATCATCGATAAAGCTTAACATATATGAGTGAGACTTTTTATTCATTTTTAAATCTAAAATTTACGATACTCTAGTATAATAACCTATTTATTTATATAAGTAACGGTAGTGTACAGACTTCTCTTAGGGTTATAAATACTTAAATTAGTTTCATCACCATATCTTAAAGTAACAGAATTGAATTTTGAAAAAGGATCATTGGGGTCTTTAATAATTTCAATTTCTTTAGATTGAGTAATATCTCCCTTTTCATCAAATTTATCCACGGGGAATGAATTTTTAGATGATGTTTGATCATCTTGATCCTCGTTGGTTGGTAGTGGAGTTTGATGTTTTCTTGATTTAGTTAATACGGGGATCATTGGAGGTTTTTGATGTCTTAATAATGCCCATTGAGTGTTTTTGAAAAATGAATGATTTTTTATTTCTGATGCTCCTGTTTTGGATCCTAATCTTTTTTCTTCTTCTTTTATCAATAACTTTTTTATAAGACTTTTGCAATTTGATGATATCACTTGTGTATCAGGGTACTTTATGTCCTTCTTTAGTACATTTGCAAATGTTTTCTTTCTATCATGACCCTTGAAAGGTGTTATACCAAATAACATTTCATATATGAATATTCCTAAAGTCCACCAATCAACAGCACTTGTATGACCTTTACCTCTTATAACTTCTGGTGCTATATATTCTTCAGTCCCCACAAATGAATTAGTACGGAATCCATCAATACATGCTTTTGTATCTATAGTGGGACCATGCCTTGGAGAATTACCACCAGATGATAAATGCATACCGTTTTTATTGAATGAGATCTCGGGATTTTTTGATCTTTCACTTTGTTTCGATAAATCAAAATCACTCAACATAATATGACCTGATTGATGTAACAATATATTTTCAGGTTTTAAATCTCTATATATGAATCCCATAAGATGTAAATATTCAAGAGCTGCAGTAACTTCAGCTGCATAAAATTTCGCATCATTTTCTGATATGGTTTTACTTTCTCTTGTTTGTAAAGCTCGGAAAAATTCTCCACCCATACAATATTCCATACAGAGGTATAAAAATTCTTTTGATTGAAATGAATGGTATAATGTTACTATAAATGGATGATTTGAAGTTGCTAAAATTTCTTGTTCTGCTAACGCTCTCTTGATCTTGTTTCTTTCTATCATTTCTTTCTTACTGAGAATTTTCATTGCATATAATTGATTTGACAGTTTTTCTCGTACAAGATATACTTTCCCTACATCTCCTTTTCCTAGTAACCTAATTTTTTCAAAACTGTCTGGTCCAACTTGAACTTCAACTTTTTTAGTAGCTGAGTGAGAATAAGTTCTATCTTGGGTTAAAGTTCTTGGACGTGTTGTAATTTTTACTTCTCCTATATGCTCATTTATATCAAATGGTTTTTCAATTTTTTCTGTGCTCTCATTTGTTTGTTTTGATTCATTTATTAATTTGTGAACTAATGGAGCTGAAGCTACTCTCCTTAACGCTCTTTGGAATGGTGATGGAGGTGGTGTTAAGTTGTTCTCTTGATCAAATGGTTTTATCAGTAAATCATCATCTACAGTTGTTGTTATGTTTGGAATGACAAGTGTCTGGTTTTTAGTTGGTGTTTTAGGTGGTGGACCCGGTTGTAATACTTCTTCATATTCTTCTGATTCTTCACCTGATGATATTTGATTATAATGAATTTGAGGGGGTTTTAATATACCATTATCATTTAATGAATATACTGAATCGTTATGTCTTAAAGAGACTGATAATTCTGATTTATTTACATTTAAAAATTTAGGTTGTGGTGGATTAGTAGTTGTATTAAAATGTGGTGGTAAACCTTGATGTTTGAAATAAGGATTTGAATTTATTACAGGACTTGAAGTTTCCGTGATATCACGTTCTGGTTCATTTGTTATTATTTTAGGTAGTTGATTGGAGTCTGCTTTGACACCTGGTATACTTGTAGATTTTTTATGTCTATTATCCTTTTGTGACGGTTGTAAGGGACTTGATGAAGATCTTGCTCTATTTTGAATTGATTTATCATCTGATAATGAAGATATCGATGATGAAGGTAGTCGAAATATATTTTTGAATTTGTATAAACTATTCCCATTGGTGTTATTGTTGTTATTAGTCTGATCATTTATATTTTGTTGTGTCTTGTTATTATCTATTATATCAATTGACTTATTTTGATTGTATTGACTATTATTGTTGTTATCATTGTTGTCTCTATTAAAAAAAAATCTAGTTAATGAAATTGATCTATTTCTATTTCTTGATGATGGTCTCAATTCTGGACTTGCTGAATTAGAAGTTGGTGAATTGTCGTTATTCTTTGATAAATTTAGGTTATTGTTGGTCTTATTAGTATTTTCATTATTATAAAATATATTGACCATAGCCTTGTATGTATTGTAAATGCAGTTACTTAAATGATTGATTTAAAAAATGATTTAAAAAAACAGTTTTGACTAATGTAATATAATGCTATAATTTATGATGGTCTAGTACTAATATGATATCAATAGAAACCTAAATAAATGATGTTTAATAAACTGTAAATTTATGTGAATAATTGTTCCTTTTTTTTTTCAATTTTATAAATTTAAATTTAAATTTTCCAAGTGAGGGTTGGTAACAAAATTTAAAACGGAATTATTTTAAATGTTCAAAGCAAGCAGTTTAAAAAATAATTATAATTGGAAACACAACAGAATGTATATAAGTAATTTTTATAAAAGACATAGAATAAGAATTCAAAATGAATTGAGGTTTTAACTAAAACTTATGTCTGGTAGATCAAGGGTCCTACTACTTAATTCTAGTTGATATTCAAAAGTGTAATAATAGTTTCCTTTTTTAAATAATACTAGGTTTATTATGCAATAATACTTAAAATTATTTATAATAATATTTGATTTCTCAAGTTGAATTAATGTCGGAAAATTGCGAATTGTGACAAGAAATTGTTTGGATTTATCAACCATTAACAAAACTACATAAGGTTTTTACAATTACTTCATGGATTAACTTTGAAGTGTTGGGTTTGTATTATATTGATCTCTATGGAATTAATTACAATTAAAGTACAACTTAAAAAGATGAAAACTACTTAAAGTACGCTATTATAAATAATCTTTAGTCCCACTATTGATTAAAAAAAGTCATAACCAGGTTTGCTAATGCTGCAATGAAGCTCCAGAAGACTATAATTGGTGATCTCGACTCGCCGGACTTTCTATGCCTTTACTTTTACGTAATATCCCATTATCTATTTAACTCTTTCCCCTAGATAATAATTGTATTTAATTTGCAAGATGAGGTGGTAATAGAAAATTAGGTATTGAATTCTTGATATGATAAATATGTTGACAATTTTTACAAATCATTTTACCTTCCACAATTTGAGTTTCTATTAATAATGTATGTAAATCTTTTAATATTATTTGATCGTCTTCCATTATCGGATCTAATCCTTCAGGTTTTGTTGGAGGTAATGATTCATTCCCCAAATCTTTTGCTACTGATATTATTGCATCCCAATCTAATTTATCTAACATATGTGTTATGAATACTGGTTTAAACTCTTGTTCTTCCTGTACTAATTGACATTCTTCATATTTTAATGGGAATGATTCTGTAGATGATTGACATCCTTTCACTGCACATTTGACAAAATTGGTTGTAAGGAATTTCATGATAGATTTGTGAATGGATTCTTATTGCCCAAGTTGAAACGTTGTAATTTTTAATGTATGAAACATACAAAAGATGTGAAAAATTAGAGATGGAATACTTGCATATAAAACTTGGTGTCAAAACATTATTTCATTTTGTCAAAGAATTTTGCGACAAGCTTTTATTTTTCATAAAAACATTTTTAGTGGCAACCAGTTTCAAGACTTAATTAAGCTCAATTCAATTAAAATTTGTAACACTCCACATCAATGTCATTACAAAAGCTAACAGCAGAAATATACTCACTTTTTGAAAAAGAAGATTATGCGAAATGTCAACAGTTATTGCCACCTATAAAATTAGAATTAATTAAACATAATTTATTAGTACCATTAGATTCAAATACACAAACAAAAGATCAAATAAATGATATTAAAATAGCTCAAAGAGTATTAGAAATTGGAGCATTATCATCATTACTCACAAACAATTATAATGGATTTGAAAACTCATTTGCTCAATTAAGACCTTTTTATTCAAATGGTAAAATTCATAATATAAATAAATTACATTTAAATACTGATTCAACTAAAATTATATCATTATATTTATTATATTTATTAAGTCAAGGATTAATTTCAAAATTTCACATTGAGTTGGAACTCATCTATAACTCCAAGCAATATGACGTTGAAAATGACAAATACTTGAATTTACCAATCAATTTAGAAAGTAATTTAATGGAAGGTAATTATATAAAAATATGGAAATTATTAAAAGAAGAAAAGAATTTACCATGTAAAGAATTCAATCATTTCATTGATACTTTGATAAATGCATTGAGATATGAAATATCAAAAAGTATTGAAAAAACGTATGATTCAATACCAATTTCAAATTGTAAAAATCTATTATATTTACCTCAAGAAACAAGTGATTTACAATTTGAAGAAATTTTAAAAGATAATTTAGATACACAAAATTGGGAACTTAAAAATGGAAATATTATTTTTACAAAACCAGAAAATGAAACTAATGTTGATAATGAAACTATTATTAAAAATGTCTTGGGTTATGCTGAACAAGTAGAATCAATTGTATAATGACTATAGAATATTATAAATATTTGTAATGTTATTCATTTTTCAAAGATGCGTAATAACCTTTATAAGCTATGTCCAAATCATTCAAAAAAGAATCTGAATCTTCTTGAGATAATTCTTTTTCTAAATTATTTATCTTAATTAACCAATTAATTAATTTTGACTTTCCTGTAAACTCTATATCCTCATTAAACTCATTTAAATTAACAACTAAATCACTTAGCAAAGGATGTAATTGTTCTCTTGTCTTATAATTCAATTTGATTGCGTCCATACATGTTATGAAATTACCAGTTATTTCTGCAATTAATCTTGCTTTAGCAGTATTGTTGGTGTTGTTGTTACCATTACCATTAACGTTCACAGTTTGACTAGTTTCCGATAAATGCTCAATTGTTGAAGGTACTCCAGACTCCAATCTCTTAAGAGCTAGTGGATAATTTAAATTAAATTTTTGCATATATTCCTTTAGAAAATTAGATAGATCAGGTAATAAATTTGGTAATAAATTTTGTAATATGGGAAATTTTGTATCATCAAAATTCTTAATTAGTATTTGGTACTGACTTATTAATCTGTATGTAGTTGATGTATATTTTTCTTTATCTGTAATGTAGTCCTTTATGAATGAATTCTCCAACATTTCGATAGTTGGTAATATCGAACATATTTCTCCTAGTGCATCATATACTGATTTATGCGTTGTACTTTTGATTATTGATGATCTAGTTATTTCATGATTATATATTGCTGAGTTTGAGGATATAGTGAATGAAGTTGAAGCTGTTGGGGCATATTCTGGTGGTAAACTCATTTATTCATTGATAAGTCTGATAAAATAGATAACAATTTTGTGCTTATTCAGTACATATAATTTTGGTATAATATGTTACGAAACAAAAATTATATTCAATTAATCTATAAACAGAACTATATTTTTACTTCTTGAGTCTCCAAAACTATCTCCATCATAACCCAATCTAATCCAGTCTTCTTTACAATATCTATAAACTATAGGGGGGGATTTATATCTACTCATCAAAGAACAAATATCATTATAATTTCTTGATGCAAAAAATTGATCAATAAATTGCTTACCAAATCTTGCTTTCGCAACTTCACATTCATGAATTATCCATTGTAATAAGAATTCGCTTGATTGACGATTGAATGGACATATTGTTATAGGAAATTTTATATCGAAATCTTTTGATTTTGAGAATTTTAATTTAATTATGATTTCAAATTTTATTGAGAAAAATCTACCTTGGGTTGTGAAACTTTGAATGTGGGTTATTGGTAATCCTTCTACTAATTTTTCCATTAATTTTTGATTTGATACATTTGTTGGCTCTATTATTGTTGTATCATAGTCATAAGTAACTTCTTGTGAGTTTATTGACGGTTCTTCTTGTCGATATATATCTAGAAAATCATGATCTGTTGGGAATGGGAATGTAAAAGTTGTCGTTGTTCCCTGAGTATTTAGTTCTTGATTTGAATGTGTCGTAGTTGAATAAATTTTATTCTCTCTAACTGGTGGTAAACCGCCATCATAACATTCAAGGTATTCTTTAACTTGAAAAGTTTGTTGCTTTAGTGAAAGGTGCTTTTTGACTTTGTTGTTGGATGAATTTGTCATTAGTTTACATATAAGATTTAATTGATCTCCAGGACCTATTGAACTATTTGGTATTGTAACTTCTGCTATAACTTGATTATCAGGAGAATTTCTTAATTCAACAACTGGTTCGTTAAATTGTCGATATAAAGGTAATGTATCATATAATTTAATAACAACAGGAAACATTTCCATATAAGAAACTTCGGTAGTGCTACTTTCTCCAGTTGTCACCTTCACAGTTAAATAATGTGTTGTAATTGAGCCAAAAGTCGTCAGACATCCAGATGATATAACGTCACGGGGAATAGGTATCAAAATAGGTAAATCTAACCCCAAAACTTTCTCACTAAATCCATTTATTGGTTTAAAAGCTAATGGATCTTCAAAAATCTTAAATTCTTTAAAAGCATCATTTGATCCAAATTTTGTGGGTACTGTAACTTTTTGTCTGGTCAATAAAACTATAGAGACTGAACGTATTAAAAAGGGTGATCCATTGCTTGATCTAATTTGAATATTTGCTTCTATTCTTGGTATACTTCTACTAATACCAGGACATCCATAAACTATTGATGAGGCTGTTGATTCTAGAAAAATATTTATTGGATATTCTTGTTTTTGTGCTGATGAGTTTGATGACACTTGAAATAGCATTGGGTGTAATTCATTGAATCAATTATGTTGGTGACATTAAATAGATATAGAGTTTGTTAGATTGAGTAATTTTCGTGTGTGTTTATACTTTATCGAGAATATACTTACATATATTTTTTCTTATGAAACTTGTTTCAAATATAACATATTTTAATTATATATTATCTTTTTACATTTATACATAGCAAAGCCTATTTCTTATACAAGAGTAGTTCATAGAATCCCAGGGAATATAGCCCATTGAATTTTAAAGTCCTCTTTATATTTCAAGTGGTAATAGTTGTAGGTTTCCAAAGCAGTAATTGATAAATTAGTAATCACAAATAGCCATCCAGCTATAAACATGAATGAAACAGTATTGAACCCATTTTTGAGACTAAATAACATCAAAATTGTATAAATTATAACTTCATAAGTATAATGTGGTGATGAGGAATACTTAAAGTTAGGTAACGAATATTTTTGTAAATTAGCTAATTGATAATGAGTAACAAATTGTTGAACTGAAGCAATTCCAAAAAACGCCATTAATATATAATCAACTATAGTTAATGCAGCACTTGTTCCACAATTACCTTCCAACCCCAGGTATGTAGCTGTTGAGATCAATACATAATGAGCCATACCAACTAGATAATGACTTACATTCATTTTAGAAGTTGGTGAAAATTTAGTAACAAAAAAGCTTTCAAACATTCTTCTTGAACCTTGAGCCAATAGTAGTTTGTTAATAATTTGTAAATTTTTATAAGTAGCTGAATCATTTAACCCCAACATCGATTTATGACATTCCTGAAAATAAGTAGCAGTAGATAAAGTAAATAAACAAATATAAAAATGAGTAAACCACAGCTTTTGAACAACTGCATTATCAGCTATAAATTGAACTATTTCTGATGAAGGTGATGATGGTGAAGAATTGGTCTTCAAATCTGCATTTTTGCCATAGTCCAATAGTTTATTCAACGGTTTAACAAATTTAACAATTAAAACTCCCAATGTTAAAGCCAAATATGAAATAATAACAAATATTTGTAAATGATAAATTGTTATATACATGTTATATTTGAAAAAAAAATTGATATCTTTGAAATATAATGATCTTGTTCTATATTTTTTTAATTTAATCAAATACTTGTACTTTTCAGATTCCACTACGACATATCATAAAAGTTTGTTAATTGTAGTTTAATTTTAATTTGAGATATATGTTAAGTTTATTTTGTCTCGTATATTTTTCAATTTATGAAATTTTTATAAGAGAGTTAAAATCTGTTTTACAATTATATTAGGGGGTATTGGTCAAAAGTTATGGATTAGATGTAATTATCATTAAAGAACGAAAAATATAGAAATGAATATTTTTAATAGAACATTTTAATATATTAATATAAATATATCTACTATAAAAATAAATACTTAAACAAGAATCGAATGATAGTCATCATTATGATAATGAACAAATTGTTATGATTAAAAATAAACAATGAAGAAATGAATAATAATTTTTTGTTTGAAATTAATACCGAAACATGAAGAACTTAAATAAAAAAGTCTTTTAAATTTTGAAAAATTGATTTTCTAATCAAGAACAGGGTATGAAAATTAAATTAGGTAATATTACCAATGACTCGCTGAGCTATTGTGAAATCTTTTTAAAATATTAACTCATTATTAATTTCAGTTAAACAATAATTGATAATAAAGCAAATAATCCAGCCAATATTGATGAAACCTTAGTTGATGAACCTGAACCTTCATAAGCTGGGACACTAACTGCTGAAGACGAAGGAGCAGCATTAATTGAAGTAGAAATACCTGAACCAGAGCCACTACCTGATCCAGTACCTGATGATCCACTACCTGATCCACTACCTGGTGAACCACTGCCTGATCCAGTACCTGATGATCCAGAACCTGATGAACCACTACCTGAACCACTACCTGGTGAACCACTACCTGATCCAGTACCTGATGAACCACTACCTGATCCAGTACCTGATGAACCACTTCCTGATCCAGTACCTGATGAACCACTTCCTGAACCAGTACCTGATGAACCACTACCTGAACCACTACCTGATGAACCACTACCTGAACCACTACCTGATGAACCTTCACCATTATTAGAACCTTGACCGCCATTATTTGAACCGTTGCCACCTGAAGGAGTTGAAGTGGCAGTACCATTACCATTACCGTTGCCAGTACCAGTACCAGTAGGATTACCGTTTCCATTTTCTGTTCCAGTAGCATTTCCATTACCATTGGTGTTTCCATTTCCATTATTGTTTCCACCGGTTGGAATTGAAGTAGCAGTTCCTGAGCCAGTTTCAGTAGTCTTACCATTGCCTGAGCCAGTTTCAGTAGTTTTACCATTGCCTGAGCCAGTTTCAGTAGTTATACCATTACCAGTACCTGTACCTGTATTTCCATTTCCAGTGCCTGTGGCTGAAGAAGTTGAATTTTGGTAAGGAGCTGTAGGAATTATAGATGATTGATGTGGGAAAGTTGTAATAGTAGTAAGGTATGAGTTTGATTGACTAACAATTCCTGATTCAGTTTCAGTAGAACCATCTGAGTTAGTTGTAGTCCAAGTAGTTGTGTACTCGGTTGTAAATGGAGCTGATGAAGATTTGGATGTTGATTGATGTGGGAAAGTAGTAATAGTAGTAAGGTATGAGTTTGATTGACTAACAATTCCTGATTCAGTTTCAGTTAAACCACCTGAGTTAGTTGTTGTCCAAGTAGTTGTATATTCAGTTGTAAATGGAGCTGATGAGGACTTGGATGTTGATTGATGTGGGAATGTTGTAATAGTAGTAAGGTATGAGTTTGATTGACTAACAATACCTGATTCAGTTTCAGTAGAGCCATCTGAGTTAGTTGTAGTCCAAGTAGTTGTGTATTCAGTTGTAAATGGAACTGATGAGGACTTGGATGTTGATTGATGTGGGAAAGTAGTAATAGTGGTAAGGTATGAGTTTGATTGACTAACAATACCTGATTCAGTTTCAGTAGAACCATCTGAGTTAGTTGTAGTCCAAGTAGTTGTGTACTCGGTTGTAAATGGAGCTGATGAAGATTTGGATGTTGATTGATGTGGGAATGTAGTAATTGTAGTTAATGAAGTATCTGATTGACTAACAATTCCTGAATCAGTTTCAGTTAAACCACCTGAGTTAGTTGTCGTCCAAGTGGTTGTGTATTCAGTAGTAAATGGAGCTGATGAAGATTTGGATGATGATTGATGTGGGAAAGTAGTAATTGTAGTAAGGTATGAGTTTGATTGACTAACAATTCCTGATTCAGTTTCAGTTGAACCATCTGAGTTAGTCGTAGTCCAAGTAGTTGTGTATTCAGTTGTAAATGGGGCTGATGAGGATTCAGATGAAATAATACCACCAGTTGAGCTTGCGCTTGATGAAATTGGACCGGTTGAGCTTTCACTTGATGAAACTGGACCGGATGAGCTAGCACTTGAAGAAGAAGGAGCTGATGAACTTTCACTTGATGAAGATGGTACTGATGAAGAACTTTCACTTGATGAAGCTGGTACTGATGAAGAGCTTTCACTTGATGAAGCTGGTACTGATGAAGAACTCTCACTTGATGAAGCTGGTACTGATGATGAGCTTTCACTCGATGAAGATGGTACTGATGAAGAACTTTCACTTGATGAAGATGGTACTGATGATGAGTTTTCACTTGATGAAGCTGGTACTGATGAAGAACTTTCACTTGATGAAGCTGGTACTGATGAAGAACTTTCACTTGATGAAGCTGGTCCTGATGATGAGCTTTCACTTGATGAAGCTGGTACTGATGATGAGCTTTCACTTGATGAAGCTGGTACTGATGATGAGCTTTCACTTGATGAAGCTGGTACTGATGATGAACTTTCACTTGATGAAGTTGGAACTGATGATGAGCTTTCACTTGATGAAGTTGGAACTGATGATGAGCTTTCACTTGATGAAATTGGACCAGTTGAGCTAGCACTTGAGGATGTAGGAGCTGAAGAGCTTTCACTAGAAGAAGTTGGGATAGATGATGAACTTTCACTAGAAGAAGTTGGGATTGATGAACTTTGACTAGATGATGTTGGGATTGATGAGCTTTCACTTGATGATGTAGCTGAAACGGAACTTATAGATGAACTTGATGAAGATAAAGTTGAACTAGTAGCAGTAGTTGAAGATGAAACATCAGTTCCTGGAGCAGGTGGTAATTTTTTACAAACACAATTACTTGGACGAAGTGAACCGGCTGGAACAGGACCATTATATTGTAATGAACCTAACAAAGTAGTTGGTAAACCAGCACCTGTATCGGTAACAACTTGGAAATTTGAATTAATGTAACCAAGACCAATATCAAATTTTTGTGATAAAGCTAAACCAGCAACATTAAGACCTCTTAAAGTTAAAATACCAGTACCAGCATTATAATCCCAAGCTGGAGCACTAAGGAATGGAATTGCAAGTAATGGAATACTAATACCAACTCTATTTCTATTACCATAACCATAAACCTTATAAGTACGTCCTGGAGTACTGACAGCTTCAATAACAATGGAACTTTCTGAATCATCTAAATAGAAAATTTGATTAGGATCAATTGGTGAAACTAAAGTAGCTAAATAAATAGTTGAATCTTCATAAGCAGCAAAACAACCATTACCAGAAATACCACTTGTTTGTTGATAAAAACTTCCATATAAACAAATTGTACCAGTATTTGAGATAGATGTAGCAGGTAAACCAAGAGTAACAGCTGCAGCACTTCTTTGAGTTTGATAAAATACAACTAAACCAGTATTTGTCCATGAAGCAGCAGTTAAACTGAAAATTGAACCAACAACTGCACCATTGGCACCAAAATATATTTCACCATTATTAGTAAATGATAAACCAACTAAATTATAATTAGCAGGAAGCAATGATTTAACGGCGTTAAATGCAATAATTCCATCATTTTGAATTTTATTTAAAACACCTAATAAAGTAACTTGTAATCCAATTAATGGATTAACTGATGAAATATATAAACCAGCATCTGGTTGAACAGTTAAATCACCAACAAAAGCGGAAATAGCATTATCAATGATTGACCAATAAGCACCTGAATGAATAGTTATAGCACCGACATTTAAATCAATAGTATTTCTTGAAATAGTGTTTGTTGTAATATCTAAACCAGCAATGGCTTGAACATAAAAGAACAAAATTGGGTATAAAATTTGTCTTAACATATTTAACTCAACTTATTCTATAATTTTTAACGAATGATTTTATTATTTAACGAATGAATTGAATTGATGAATGAGTCGAAGTTAAAATATGATGATATATAAATAAAAAATAACCGAAACAAATCATCTTGAAAAAGTATGTGGATATTGATATATATTTATAAATTTTTTAGATATTCCTATTCTAAAATTAATTTCACCAAATAATCTTAAGAATATTAAGGATATTTACAATTTGCCTTGAGATTTCAAAATTTGTATTTATGATATACACATATTGCAACAATTTTTAGCATTCTTAACGTGAAATACACAATCCCAAATAAGAAAACAAATATCCACAATTAAACTTTTTTAATTCCTTATTTAATCAGTATTTAAGTTTAATAATATTCGTAATTGTTTCTTTAGTAAAAAGCAATTGTATATTCTGTAAATTAGATTCATTATATTTTTGTTGGTAATACAAAATTAGTTTCATTTATTTTGCAACCTATATAATAAAAACATTACACAAACCCAAAGAAAAAAAAATGTGATATAAAAAAAATTTAAAATTTAAAATTATTACACAAACCAAGTGAACCCTACAAATTTAAAAAAGTTTATTGTTTCAAAAATATATTATAAATAATAATTGTTAGAAAATTGTACATTAATTCCTTATTTTATGATTCTTTTAATTCTTATAGACTTAAAACTAAAATGAAAGACTTTTTACTTAATATGGAGATTCGTCAAATTTCGCCAATATTTATTCTGTATAATGCATTACAGTATATCATCCATATATTTAAGATCGAAACGTTTAAATGTATAACAAATTCAAGCGTTCGTTTCAATGCAATTCTAAACAAGAATAACAATAACAAAATAGCCTAAAGGGTTGTTAAGCCATACCACAGTTTGGAAAACTAATCATCAAATTGAATTTGCTATCTATATTGTCTTTCATCTGTATATATATTTTTTTTGAATATGAGGTGAAACTATACATAATTGAATAGAGAGTAAACTTCCTAAAAATAAAGGACAAAAGAAAATCGCTCATAAATAAAAATCTCACTAATACTTAAGAATAGTCGATGCTGCATACATCCTTTGAAGAATTTGTTTTATTCAAGTATCCAGTAAATAAATGATTTTCCATGATCGACGACCTGCCAAAAAAGAATAGTTCAATACCTAAAGTAAATTAAACTTTCTCTTTTGTTCTTTATTACAATACACCATGAACAAAGTAAACATCAATAAGGTAAACAAAAACTACAACATTTTTCGTGTTTTGTACTTCTTGCTTAGCCATTAATGATTATTTCTATTATTTTACAACCATGAATTAAAAGCTAATTCAGAATTAAAGTTAATTTTAGACACTTGTTAAATCTTTAGCTTTTACTTGATTGGGAAAGATTTAGTTGTTCGATCGATCTTGTAACAAATAGTTGCATTAAACGAAAAAGTTCTTGACTAAGTATGTATTATAAAGATGAGGTTTAATTTCAAACCAAAACTTTTTGCAATAATACGAAAACATAAAAATGAAATTATCTAGGAAGTAAAAACATTTTCAAAGACAATACAAATAAATCAATTTGTTGAACAATTTATTTTTTGACGGTAATTGGTCGAAAAATTAATCTGAACACAGAACTGAAATATGCATTTTTTAATTACAAACTTAACAACTCAAAACCCCAGTTAATACAATTATATTGGTTGTGAGACTTTAATTAGTGTCTTAATTATCATCGTATTATTAACATGTGCATACTCATAACTATAGGGTCTTAATTCGTTATAAACAACAAAAGCAGAGTCTATTCAAACAAATTACAATTAACATTTAATCGACGATATACTACTTTATGATTTTTGTACTCAAGTCGAGTTTGAAACGTGGATCAGCCTTTTCAATGTGAAAAAATTCGAGATTCCAACATAAATGAACGTTTGATTGTGTATGAAATTAGCATCAGTGATTAAAATTATGCATAATTTAAATTTTGCCTTACTTGAATTCTTTGTTAGGAGTTTATGTTTAATGAGTTAAAATTTCTTACTTATTAAATTATTTTCTTTGTTCTTTATCTTATTTTTAAATTTTTATTTTTATTTTTACTGTTGAACCAATAAATTGATATTCCTGAAAATTGAAAATCTTGAACTTACAAAAGAATATTCCAAAAAAATTGATTTACTTAATTAAAATGAGTCGTATATTTTGACTTAACATAATTACGGGATATTAGATCTTGGATTGCATTACTCAAAGCTTTTTAATGAATCGCTTGCAATAAGTTTGAAGATTTAAATTTAAGTTAAGAATCAAACGACATGTATTTTGAATTCTATTAAGATATTAAAATTATTAACAAGAAAAATTTTAAAGTAAAAAAAGGGTTTAATAAAAATTAGACGAAAATTTAATTGTTTTACAATTTTAAACTTTTTAATAAAAAGTTTAATTATTTATTTATTTATTTATTTATTTATTATTTAGATTAAATTTTTTAAGCATCAAATGATTTGGGGGGTGTTTTTTTTTTTTTTGTCTATTTTTCATCATAGAATATATTTCAAGATTAATAGCAATGAATTATATAAGTGATTCTCATTCACGTAGTTCAATTAAACTTTGTTATTCAAAAACGGCAGTCCTTACCTTGATTTTTGAAATTAAGGTTATAACTGTTGATCAAAAAGTTTAATATACCAATTTACAAATTGAACAAATTTTGAGCAAAAATGAGAGACAAATTTGCACATGAAATATTGTACTTTAATACTAGTTACATGAAGAGTACAGTGTGTTAAACAATCGATTGTAATGCATTTTTTAAGCCAAAATTGAAATTATTTTATTGATGATATAACGTCACTAGTACTACTTTACATTCATTTGATTAATATATTTAAAATAAAGCATCAAGTATTTTCAGACAATACATTGATTCGAGAAAGTTTTATCTCTATAATGTGATGAAATTACTTTTGTTTTTAAATATTTACTATCGTAAAAGTATAAAATCTAAAACAACCAAAATATTTCATTTTACTTTTAAGAATTATTACTTTAAAAACTGATCTACAATTTGAGCAGAAAGAAAAAAAAAGGTAAAATTGAGTGTTCTAAAGAATATGTACGAATCGAATACATTCTGAAAGGTTTTTACGACACGTTTGCATTAATTTAGTAAGTACATTGTTAATCCCTAAAGTTACCTCAACAAAATAACCAGTTAAGTCAGGGCTCGATAATAACGTATTTCTCTTACAAACGTATTATTCTTGCAAACCCAGTCTTGTTAAAAACATTAAAAAATGGGCTGATTTCCTCTTCAGATTACTGTTAACATTAGATTTATCTCCACTGAAACTGATTATGATCGTGAAGTTTATCGCTAAGTAAAATTTTAGCTAAAAGTGCAACATATAACACAAAGTTTACGCATAATTACTTGCCGATCACTAAGGAATTATTTGTTTGAGAAATAAATATACTAATCACAGGGAAGAAAAGAGAGTTGGCTCTGCTGGATGTATTTCTAATGATTTCTAGAACTTGATCAATATTGCATTTCTTACATTAAGTACCAACAAAATTGCATTTTTCATTCGGTTTCTTTTGTTCTTATTTGGGTCTATTAGTTTTCTCTTTTTTGGGTCTTGATGAACGTTTGCTTTTGTATTATATCACTTAAGAATTTTCTTCACGACGATAACAAAAGTCAATATGCCCATTTTTTCATTAACATTGGCATTGTAGATTTAACCTAGATTTTGAGTATTTACTCGTCTCAGACTTGAAATCTAGATCTAAGATTTAAATGGTTAGATTTAAAAAAGTCTAAAGATTCCAAAAAGTTACTACTTTGGGGTATGGGGAAAAAAATACACGGCCCAAATCACAAAACTTTTTTACATGACAAGTATTTACTACAAGGGCGAAAACTGTCACTTTCATTTTCTTCCTGTCGATGAGGTATATACCAAGAATTACTCAACAATAAAGAATGACAATTGCAAAGAATCAAAAGATGAACTTTCTAATTCAAAAACGCAATCTCTTCATTAATTTTATTAATAAATTACACTCGGGCGGGGTTATCAGAAATTTCTAAAGTACTAAAGGTAGGGAAAAACAATAGGAGTGAAAATTTAAGATTTAGCAAACTGTTGATTATACCATTAGTGACTATTTCTAAATATGGTATCTAAAACAACTCAACTGAAATTGTAAATCTTTTTTCTTGTAAATAAATTTATGAGATATCACATTTTTTGATATTGTTATATGCAGTATAAATGCATAAATAAAAATGTATTAGATGTAATTGCTTTTGGCATTGTTCTAAGAAATATTTTGTTAATACTATAAATAAATTAAAATATACTTTCTTTAGTTATAAGACCCTTCTCATCATATGTGAACCAAACATTACACAAATTTAGTTCTTTTTTGAATAATTGAGCAATAAAAAATTAAATTCATCTAAGATAATACAATTTAAATAAATTAGATCTTGCAGTGGTTATAAGCAATATCTCAATTTAAAATCTTCAATTTTTTTGATCTGCGTTTACATAATGGAAATGTAAGTCAATATATGTATACAATATTATTTAGTTGATCTTTCTTTCTTTTACCTTAGTCAATTCTTATTTATTGTAATTACGGAAAGACGTGGAACCTTTTTTTATTTTTTTTAATTTTAGGAAACCAATGTCCCTTTTTAGAAAAAAATGGTATTTTTGTGCTTCGATTTCACTATTTTAAAATGTATTGATCACAATATAATATAATAGAGACATAATTTAGGGTAAAATTTTATAGAATGGTAAGACAATTTAAAACATATTCTTACTAGCCATTCTACTAAATTGTTAAACTGAATTTTCTTTCAATTTCTACATGGCCATTAATTTAGATATGTGAAATTTTTAGTTAATTAATTTAATTATTGAAAGGCAACGATTCTGCGACTTAGTATATCTAATCAAAAATTCAAGTTTAAATGCTAAATTTATTTTATTCTCAAAAGCATTTCTTAATGATGCCTTTCAATTCCTCGAGAAGTTTCAAGACGTGAAATTGAAATGAACGAATTTTAGTATGTATTTATTATTCATGTAGAACTGACTATTTCTTTTTTATTTTACAATATTACCTCGTACAACAGAAAGGGAACTCATCAATTCTTAACCTTTGCATAAAAAATCATAGGGAATTAATGTCCCTTTTTTAATACATGCTGCATAATTTTTTCTTGCATATAATTTACTCTTAAGATAATTTTTTCTACACAAAAAAAGCCACCATAGTTAAAACTTAGTAGAAAAATTACCCTCTAATTTTCATTAGCGATAAACTAATTTTATAAAACAAATAAACGAATAATTTGACAAGATTAATCTAAGTTGCTTTAATCACCTTACAGTTAATTCATTCTAGAATCGATTAAGGCAAATTAAAGTTCTTCGGAATAAAAAAGAACTACTTGAAAAGTATTTTAAATTAAAAAAAAACATAAACCAGATTACAGGAAATTTCAAGAAGTGTTTTTACTACCCAGACTTCCGTACAGTTAGAAAATATAATCTATCACTTTCATAAGCAAAACACAAATTATTTCCAATCTGAGGCAATAGAATTATAGTCATTATTAGATTAGATGATCTCGCTAACCGGGACATGGTTATAGACTTTAACTTCCAATCAAAGAATTTCCAGGACTCGATGGTTGTGATATTTCGGAAAGAAGGAGAGGATTCAATCTATGCTAGAGATTTACAAAACAATTAGATTTTAATTAAAAAGATTAATCCCTTTTTTAATACCTCATTTCTATTGTCTAAAAAATACCATAAAGGATGTTAACAAATATTTTACCGGATATATGTAGATGCTATATATAACTACTACATTTCGTAAAATTGTTAGCTCATTAATCCAGATTGTTGCTCTATCCTTTTTTTTCCTTATGCATGTTGTTAAGCATAACATGTTTCTACTTTTCGAACCACATAATTTTTCAATATCCGCATTTTTAATCACAACCCTTATTTTCACCTAAAAAAATTTTATACAGTGTCAAATTGCAATAATAATGATAAAAGAGAAGATAGAACAATTATATTGACTTCACGTTCGTTTCCAATCAGTGATCCCAAATTGTTGAAATTGAAGTTTCAAGCACTAGGAGCTATTCGGCATTTCTGTTCCTATCATACAAATGTATGTAAAATAAAAGGGTAGAATCATAAGAAGCAAAGCAATCTGACGAGCGGCCAAATTATTATCTAGTTGGAGAGTTAATCTTGATGACCAATATCGTTTATTTCACTGTTAGCTAATTTTAATGACCAGATAAAAGATAGTAATTGTAAAAATTGAGATGCAGATATTTTTGTAGGAATAATATGACTAGGTTTGAATAGATTAGAACAAATTTTAATCAAAAAGTTCATTTTCATTGACCAGATAGCTAATTCATACAAACTATGGAAGTACTTTTGAATTTAATTACATTAGTGTAATTGTGATCTGTTTCAAACAATAAATCTCAAACTTGAATTTTAATCTTATTTTGGTGCAAAATTATTCGTTTCATAATTTTTTTGGAGCAAAATTATTCATACCAACCACTCTCTCAAATGCATATGGTGATACACTGAGTCATTTATTTGCTGGGACTAAAACCGAAACCCAAAGCTAATTCTGTTTGCATATTCTGTAGTTATTATTATCGGATATGTTGTATATATATTATCAATATGTTAGGATGTGCTACTCGGTTTTTGTGTCATTAATTCTTTGTAAAACATTTTATATTTTTGTTTGGTATTTGACGTTTTAAAGTTTAATTTCGCGACAAAGACTTGAAAAACAATCATCAAGAGGACTTAATATACGCTTTATGTTCACTCTATTACTTTGCAAAAACTTTTGCAGATTCAATTAAAATTCAAGCATGCTCAATTAACATGATTTTGAACATAATCTATCTCATCTATAAACTTTTCTATAAGATTAATAAACTTCTAAAATATATCTACCATCTTCTTTCAAATCTTCGATTAATTTACCAACATCTTTAATTTCTTCACCAACTTTCTTAGCAGCATTAATTAAAATGTCTGATAAACATTGGGTAATATCTGGAACAGGCCAAGTTGGACCACAAAGATAGAATCCTCCCTTTTTATTAACAAATGCATCTGTTAATTCTTCAAGTGATTCTCTAATTCTATCTTGAATATAAATTTTTTGTGGTTGATCTCTTGAAAAAGCAGCACCAATATGAGTTAAAACACCAGCATCCTTATAGGCTTCCCATAATTCTCCATAAAGATACTCTTCTTTTCTATGTCTTGAACCCATAAAAAGATAAATTTCACCAATTTCCATACCTTGTTGCTTTTGCCAAATTTTTTCCTCTAAGAAAGCTTTGAATGGTGCCAAACCAGTACCTAAACCGGACATAATAATTGGTTGCTTTGGTGATGGAGGTAATTTCATAACTGATGGTTTAACACTAACTACTAATTCATCACCAATTTTCAAATCTGATAAATATTTAGAACAATGACCATATCTTAATCTACCTTTTGGATCAATCCAATCAACAACGACAATTAACAAATGAACAGAATTTGGATGCATTTTTTGAGAGGATGCAATTGAATATTCTCTTCTTTTTAGAGGTGCAATAATTTTAACTAGTTCATCAAAAGTTGGCCTTGCTGTAGTGAATTCCTCCAAAATATCAAAGTATGAATCGAAATTAACATCTTGTCTCTTTTTCAATTCTTCAGCACCTTCACTACTACCTAATTTTGTTAATTGTTCTTTTTCTTTTGGATCTGTTGCAAATTCTGCTAAAGCTTCATAAAATCTTTTCGGTGGTTTACCCAAGAAATCAATTGATTCTGATAAAATTTGTCTAACACTTCTAATTTCATTTAATTTAAAGTTTTCTTTATTGGTCATTTCAATAAATGAATCACCATCAAGTCCATAAAATTTGATGAATTTTTCAACTTCTTCGGAGTTATTTCTACCATGGATACCCAAAGCTTCACCAAGTTCATACCTCAAACCAGTTCCAGTTATGTCAAATTCAATATGGAAAATGTTTCTTGAATATTCTGTTGGTGTTAACCTTTTATTTTCTTGAACTTTAACAACAAAATTTTTAACTGGTAAATCAGGTCTTAAATCTTTCTTGACATTAAATGCATCTGAGAAAGCAATTTTTTGAGCAATACTATTATAAAAGGTATTATTGACTTCTTCTGATTTCTCAATTGGAACTCGAGGATTGGCAATTAATGAATTTTCATTAATGAAAAATGGAAGTGGTTCTGTTTCTTCTTCTGGTACCTCTGTCGAACCATTTTGATTTATATCTTTCACGTCCGATTGCTCTTTAGCTTGATTTTTTTCATCTTTGTTCTCAACCTCTTGTGTTAAATTTTCCCATTCTGGTGAAACCTCGATATCCACAATTGCTTTTTTCTGATCAGCAGCTTTAATGAAATTATCTAATACAGTAGCTAGTAACTCAAATGATCCTCCATTGGCTTGTAATAATTTATTCACAATAAAATTACCTAATTCTGGTAATGTTGCTCTCCAAAATGCTAATTGTAGTAAAAGTTCAGCAGTCAATCCTTTTGTTCCGTTATTTGTTTCATCTAAAGCATCGACAACAGTGAAATCAACAATAATTAATTTGTTGTGATTCGAGGCTAAAGTCTTCTTGAAATCAATTGGTAATTTTTCAATATCAATTTGTTGTTTATTATTAACCAAGATTACTTTACCACCAGGCTTGACAGTAGCTAAAATGTCATATGAATTTAAAAGAGAAATATCTTCGATTAAAATAACATCAGCAGCATCAACCGAGGCGTATTCCCCATTGGTTGAGATTAATTGAGATTGGAAAACTCCTCCTGATTTGGAATTATCGTATTTATTTCTAATAGCAACATTTTTGCTATTATCTAAAGACAAAGAAAGTGCTAATTTATCAGCAGTATCAACGACCAATGTATTGTCTCTACCCCAAAACAAATAACTTCCTTCAGGTGAGGAGTTTGCATTAAGAATTTCATCTTTAACACCACTTTGATTGGCCAGTTTTGATAACAATTTATCAATGTCAATATTTTTATCAAATTTGTTGATTGTTTTGGCAATTGTAATTCGAGTCCAGTTGAAATTGTGAGGATATTTAAACTCTTCAATACTAAGGGAATGATATCTATTACCCAAAAATAAAGAAGCACTTAAATCTGCTTTTAATTGATCATTTTCAGTGGATAAAACTACCAATTTACTAGTTGAATCAGGAACAATTGCTAAAAATTTTTCTTGATTAAACGGTACTGGAACTCTAATTTGAATTAATCCAAAATCATCATTTACCAAATTTTTCCATTGCTCACTGATGTATGTTCCATAAACAACAAAAACTGTCTTTGCATTTTCATTACCGAGGTATTCAAATTGTGAGTAGTTTTTACCAGTAACTTTACTCAATAAGCTAAAAGCATTATCAATCGAGCTGTCTAAATTTGAGGCCGAGTCTAATAAATTTTGATATAATTGTCCAATATCCTTAACAGATATCAAGTCGTCAAATTTTCTGAACTCTTTTGAAAACTCGATACCATCAAACAAAAATATTGACGGTTTACCTGAAAGAAAAGCATAAAAATGATTTAAAATTGCTAAATGTTGTATTTCATTACTAAAACTTAAAGGTGTAAAAACTGGAAAATTCAAATCTCTTGCAACATTTAATACTCTGCCATAATTTGATACTAATGAATCATCAACAAAATCAATAGCAGAAACATTTAAGGATAATGGAGCATTTTGTCCATACAATGAATTTCTCATATAATCAATACCATTTGCCCCAACAATAGCTGAAACTGGTTGACCATTCGTACCATTTTTTTTAAAGTAACCCAAAATTGCATTTGAAGCACCTGATCTGACTTCAAATTTATTATAAAATGGAACAATTTCGAATGCATTTGGTTGTTGATTATGTAACCAAAGTTGAATATATGAATCAATTAAATTTTCAACACCAATAGTTTCGTAACTGAATATTTTAGAAGCAATAGAGTATATAGCTTGATTTATAATGGTAGTAGCAGACGTGTAACTAACTCCTTTTATCAGGGTTGGATCAGTTGTTATTCCAAATGGATTTGATTGAATTATACTTGAAATATTTGAGCCGATAAAGCTTGAACTTTCTCCATTCTTATTTAAAGAAGATAATGATTCTTGTAAGGCATGAGGAGCCATGATAATTTTGCTGAGTTAACCTTATCAATAAAAAGTTTGAGGATAAATGATGTAGTTAAGATTCTTTCCTTCGTAAAATATAGAATTTTTCATATTCCCAAACTATTTACTTACTATAATCTTTGTATTAAATCACGTGCTAGCAGCAAATGGTAAAAAGCTTCAAGCCCCCTATTTCCCCTTAAGCACAAGAAGAGAAAAAAAAAGGTAGCACAGTCATATAATAATTTTACTCACGTAAAGTTGATTTACTAATTTCACAACTCGTCTATAAGTTGTTTCATAAGTTAATTAACAGGTTTAATCTTTTTATTAACTCTCTTTGATTTTATTATACGGGACAAGTAAATTTGGTCCAGTACATATATAAAATCTTTTTTCGAAGTAATAGATGTTATGAATGAAGACAAATTATGCAAATAATTAAACAAAAAGTTCATGAATTATTTCTGGAAGTAAAAATAAGTTAAAGTCAATATCTTATAATTAACTGTTTATACATGACTATAACATTAATCTTTAACGACTATAACAGTTTTTATTGGTATAAATGTTTGAATCTACAATGATGTTAAATCAGACTCTTAGTATTAACTAAAACTAAAAAAACACTATAATGATATAAAAAATTTACTATTAAATCGATGATTTAATGACCGAAAATAAACTAAATGTCGAATGAATGAAATTGAAAAAATTATTAGGTATAGATTTTCATGAATCAGCAAAAATTCAAGCTTTCTTGTTGATTTTGAACATTATTTATGGAAAAAGCTCTCTCCTGACGACTCAAAATAAAATCATAAGCAAGGGTATGAAAAAAACTTGATTAATTTTAAATTTAAAGCATTATGGAAAGTATAGTAAAAATTATACTTAAGATTGATGAAACTTTCATGACTGCACCTGAACCTTGATACGTACTAACAGTTAATGCTGATGTTTGAAGGCTGATGGATTGTTCACTCAAAGTTGTTGAGAAGCTCGAGCTGATAAGTTGTTGAGCTGAATGAATTGATTCTGAAATTGAGTCACCAGCAACAGTTGTATAAGCTGAATTAGTTGAAGTACCAGTGCCTTGATTTTGAACTTGGTTTTGACCATTTGTTATTACAGTATCGGTAGATTGATTTTGATTATTTGCAGCTGAAGTGGCTTGAAATTGACCTTCACCTTGACTATTTGAACCAGCAGTGTTGGTATTTGCATTTTGAGCAGCAGGTCTACTAAAAGCTGGTTGATCAGTAGAATCAGAAGAAATTAAAGTTGGAGCAACTCCACCTCCGACAGCGGATGATAATTGAGGAGCAAATGTTGAAATTGTAGTTAAAGGATTACCAGATTTTGAGACTATTCCTGACTCTGTAGCAACGGATCCATCTTGGTTAGTGGTTGTCCATGTAGTAGTGTAATCCCCACCTCCAACAGCGGATGATAATTGAGGAGCAAATGTTGAGATTGTAGTTAAAGCATTAGCAGAGTTTGAGACTATTCCTGACTCTGTAGCAACGGATCCATCTTGATTAGTGGTTGTCCACGTAGTAGTGTAATCCCCACCTCCAACAGCTGATGCTAATTGAGGAGCAAACGTTGAAATTGTAGTTAAAGCATCACCAGATCTTGAGACTATTCCTGACTCTGTAGCAACGGATCCATCTTGATTAGTAGTTGTCCATGTAGTAATATAATCTCCACCTCCAACAGCTGATGATAATTGAGGAGCAAATGTTGAAATTGTAGTTAAAGCATCACCAGATTTTGAAACTATTCCTGACTCTGTGGCAACGGATCCATCTTGATTAGTAGTTGTCCATGTAGTAGTGTAATCTCCACCTCCAACAGCTGATGATAATTGAGGAGCAAATGTTGAAATTGTAGTTAAAGCATCACCAGATTTTGAAACTATTCCTGATTCTATAACAACGGAACCATCTTGATTAGTGGTTGTCCATGTAGTAGTAAATATACCAACACTAATACAATCAACATCATCTCTTCTACAAATAATTGGTCCTGAAGTAATTGTAGGGAATTTTGATATAGTCGTTAATGAGGTTCCTGATTGACTAACTATACCTGATTCTGTTTTAACTGATCCATCTGAATCTGTTAAAGTCCAAGTTGTAGTATACTGAGTAGTAACTGCTGGTTCAGCGGAAGCTGGGAAAGTAGTGACAGTAGTTAATGAAGTTCCTGATTGACTAACTATACCTGACTCGGTTTCGATTGAGCCATCTGAATTTGTTAAAGTCCAAGTTGTAGTATACAGAGTAGTAACTGCTGGAGCAACAGAAGCTGGGAAGGTAGTAACAGTAGTTAATGAAGTTCCTGATTGACTAACTATACCTGATTCTGTTTTAACTGATCCATCTGAATCTGTTAAAGTCCAAGTTGTAGTATACTGAGTAGTAACTGCTGGTTCAGCGGAAGCTGGGAAAGTAGTGACAGTAGTTAATGAAGTTCCTGATTGACTAACTATACCTGATTCTGTTTTAACTGATCCATCTGAGTTCGTTAAAGTCCAAGTTGTAGTATATTGAGTAGTAACTGCTGGAGCAATAGATGCTGGGAAGGTAGTAACAGTAGTTAATGAAGTTCCTGATTGACTAACTATACCTGATTCGGTTTCAATTGAGCCATCTGAATTTGTTAAAGTCCAAGTTGTAGTATATTGAGTAGTAACTGCTGGAGCAACAGATGCTGGGAAAGTAGTAACAGTAGTTAATGAAGTTCCTGATTGACTAACTATACCTGATTCGGTTTCAACTGATCCATCTGAATTTGTTAAAGTCCAAGTTGTAGTATATTGAGTAGTAACTGCTGGAGCAACAGATGCTGGGAAGGTAGTGACAGTAGTTAATGAAGTTCCTGATTGACTAACTATACCTGACTCGGTTTCAACTGATCCATCTGCATTTGTTAAAGTCCAAGTTGTAGTATATTGAGTAGTAACTGCTGGAGCAACAGATGCTGGGAAGGTAGTAACAGTAGTTAATGAAGTTCCTGATTGACTAACTATACCTGATTCGGTTTCAACTGATCCATCTGCATTTGTTAAAGTCCAAGTTGTAGTATATTGAGTAGTAACTGCTGGTTCAACGGATGCTGGGAAAGTAGTAACAGTTGTTAATGAAGTTCCTGATTGACTAACTATACCTGATTCGGTTTCGATTGATCCATCTGAATTTGTTAAAGTCCAAGTTGTAGTATATTGAGTAGTAACTGCTGGTTCAACGGATGCTGGGAAAGTAGTGACAGTTGTTAATGAAGTTCCTGATTGACTAATTATACCTGATTCGGTTTCGATTGATCCATCTGAATTTGTTANAGTTGTTAATGAGGTTCCTGATTGACTAACAATACCTGATTCTGTTTCAACTGATCCATCTGAATTAGTGACCGTCCAAGTACTTGTAAATTGAGTAGTTACTGGTNATACCTGATTCTGTTTCAACTGATCCATCTGAATTTGTTAAAGTCCAAGTACTTGTAAATTGAGTAGTTAATGGCGGTGGGAAAGTAGTGACAGTAGTTAATGAAGTTCCTGATTGACTAACTATACCTGATTCGGTTTCAACTGAGCCATCTGAATTAGTGACTGTCCAAGTACTTGTAAATTCAGTAGTTACTGGTGGTGGGAAAGTAGTAACTGTTGTTAATGAGGTTCCTGATTGACTAACAATACCTGATTCGGTTTCAACTGATCCATCTGAATTAGTGACTGTCCAAGTACTTGTAAATTCAGTAGTTACTGGTGGTGGGAAAGTAGTAACAGTTGTTAATGAGGTTCCTGATTGACTTACTATACCTGATTCTGTGGTTGTAGCTCCATTTTGATCAGTTGTTGTCCAAGTTGTAGTATACGAAGTTGGAGTTGAAAAGAAGCTAGTTGTACTAACAAATGAACCTTGACTATTAGTACTTATATCAACAACACCAGTTTGAGTCCATGGTTGACCATTTGAGTTGGTTGTAGTTATTGTTGTTGTGTATTCTGTTGGTTCTGAGCCTGGAATTGGTGGTGGTGCTTTACAAGCTCTGCATTGTGCTGGTTGACCAGGGTTTGGTGGTGGTCCATTATATCTAACTGATCCTAATAAAGTTGATGGTAAACCTGCTCCATTATCTGTTACAATTTCAAATTTTGAACTATCATATCCTAATCCAATATTAAAATTTTGTGATAATAAACCTGCATACAAATGGTTAGTAAAAATAAACTCTCGTAAAAAAAAAATATGTCTTGCGAAAATTTGCAACCATTAGAAATGGACAAGTACAAGTTAATCACGTGAAAGTCATATATCAAAAGTTGGTTCAACATACCTGCACCTCTCAATGTTAAAATACCAGTATTGGAATTATAGTCATAAGCATTACTAACAAATGGGATAGATACCAAAGGAATACTTAAACCAATTTTATTAGCTACTCCGTTAACTTGACCAAAATTACGAACGTTGAAAGTTTGAGGCGTAGACAAAGCTTGAACAACCATTGATGAAGCACCGTCAGCTAAATAAAAAGTTTGTCCTGTTGAAACTGATAATAATGCATTGAAAATATAAATTGATGAATTGACATCAGCAGTGAAACAACCAGTACCTGCAATTGTGGTTGTTTGTTGATAAAATTGATTGTGAAGACAAATTTGACCATTATTATTTATAGTTAATGCTGGAGTACCTAAAAGAACGGCTCCTGAGGTTCTTTGATTTTGATAAAAAACTAATAATCCATTGTTATTCCAAGTAGCTGATGTAAGACTGACTGCACTTGGTACTACCCCTGATGATGCTAAATACATTTCTCCGTTATTTGTAAATGATAACCCAACCAAAGTATAAGTTGATGATGTCAAAGAAGCCAAAGAATTTAACGAAATAATACCATCATTTCTGATTGAATTTAATACACCAGCCAAAGTAACTTGTAATGCTAGTAATGGTGATATACTTGAGATATATAAACCAGCATTTGATTGAACATCTATACTTGAAACAAAAGCTGAAACAGCATTATTAATAATAGACCAATATGCTCCTGAGTGAATTGTGATATCCCCCACATTCAAATCGATAGTTCCTCTATCAACTCTATTCAGTGTAACATCCAAAGCTAAGGTCGAAGTTATAAGTAACCAAAGTATTAAATAAACTTGTTTAAATAACAACATTTCTTAAGTTAAATAAAAATTATTGTTGAATTTAAGTGGTTGGGATTGAGTGAAAAGACAATTTAATTTGGAAGATGAAAAGTTTTTGAAAAAAACAAAATAAAGAGACAATTTATGAATATAGGGATATGTATTTCATATATAATAATTAGTTTTGAATTAAGACTTTGTACATTATTGAAGTAATTGTAGAAGANAAAAAAAAAAAAAAAAAAAAAAAAAAAGTAAAAACCACCTTAAAAATTTAAGTTTTATAGATTAAAAATAGAAACTAAAACATAAAACAATTGAATTTAAGATACTTCACATTTACAAGTTGGAAAAATTACTAATTTCTTGCCCACCACCGTAAATGCTTAAGAAATTATAATTACAAAAACAATAATAATCAAAATGCATATTATTACCTATGAAATTAGTCTCAAAATTTAGAGCAAATTTTTTTTTTTCATCGAAAAATTGAAAAGGGCTTCAAATTAAAATATCAATTAAAATCATATTATTTTGGATGCAAGTAGCTTTGCAATAGCTGGAGTTGTTATGAACAGAACAAGAGTCTTGAACTCATCATACAAGAACCCTGACGTTGTGAAAGTATGATAGTTCTCTTTCAACTTGACCGGAAATGTACCCTGAACATCAAACTCAAAAATTTCTTTTGTTAATTTTAGGCGGTTAAAAATAAAAATGAAAATAATGACAACAAATTTATCAAACTGAAAGCAGAAAAAAATCAGGTTGTTCTTTTACAAGGTAATTTATATATTTTGGAAGAGCTAAAAAAATACGATGAGCAGCTTTTCACAGATAGAATAAATTAAATAAAAGTGTCAATGTCCTCACTGATGACTTGAGAACATCTTAGTAAGTAATTTCGTCGCTCATTGAGGAAGGCTGAATTGTCTCTATGAAAATTGACTGAAAACTTTGACTTAATGGTGAATTATGATTGGATGCCGGAAAAGGAGGGGCATACTCTTTGGAATAGCAAAATCGCTTTCATTCATTGTACTATTCTCAAGTTTCATCTACATTTCCATTTTTAAACTTTTAAATCTAGAGGCGAGATTTTAGGTTCAAACTTGTTCTACTAAAAGGAAACTCCAAAGTTTAAAGTTAAAACCAAAAAATTCTGGTTGATTAATGTTACATTTTTTTGGGGTAAAAACCCTGGATACAAAAATTTAAACTTTAGCTGTTTTAAACTTTAATTTCTATTTTGTTTTATACTTTTTTGTGTAACGTTCAAATCAGCAATAAAATCTCTTGAAAAAGACAGAAAGTGCCTTAATTAGACAAGCTTATGAAGGGTCATGAGTGGTTATTGTGCTTCGATTCTGCATAAAACAGACTCTTATAATATAGCTCTCCCAAAAATTGTATTTCTTTGTTTCAAAAAGGCTAAAACTAATAACCCACTAAATTATAAAGGATTACTCATTATAGTTATTGTGTAACTAGTTCAAAACAATACTTTTATTAAAAGAGGATTCAAAAACCAGTAAATAATATACGAACCTCGTAACTTTATCTATTAATGGGGTTAGTACTCGGATCCCTAAACTGAAATCTTCTAGAAGCAATGATATAATTTTAACTTTCAAACCTACATTAACACGCATGAGATCAATGTGTCAAGTACGCATTAAAGATCACTGCGATCTTCAAGATTAAATTGGCAAATCTTTTCATTACGATGTATCGATTAAAAGGGACATTACCTTTGCAAGAAAATTACTACATATATAGCAGTCGAATTCCTGAAAATGCAACACCAGTACATTGAAAAGATTGTCAGCCTATATTCTAAATAAAAGTAGGATAGTCACAGAGAACTATTGAAGTTGCGAAAAAAATCTTTCCCAAATAAGTAGTACTGAACTTAAAGAGTACTACTAAAATTTAAATTTGATCCTAAAAGATAAAGCTAATACTAAATGTTGCAAAGTTAAGAACCAAAAACTCACCCAAATTATTGCCCCACAATAACAGATATTTTAATTTTTCTAATTTTCTGAGTTTCATAACAACAATGATATAATTTTCATGCCGCATGTGCATGTTGGTTCATCAAATTTCAGTTCACTTTTACTATATAATTCATATAAAATTTAGATTTTAGTATCTGCATGATCTAATTTTTCACTATCTAAAATTTTAATTTCAGGTGGTGTAAACCCCATTTATTGCTACATGGTTTAATCAAGATGAAGATCCTGTTTGAAAAAAGTTAGTTGACTTACTCAAAAATAAACTTAAAATAACCATGTTTCATCTTGAGATTTACTTTAAGATCTGCTGATATCAAAATTTGAAGAAAGACAATATAATTGTAAGGTTTTAAAAGACTTTTATGTACGCGATTAAAAGCTTCAGCATTCGTTCACTAGGGACTCGTGGAGTGTAATTAGTTACCATAGCTGTTGTTAGTCTCGTCTAAAAACAAGCAGTTTAAAATCAAGCAAACAATATTAAGTAGTATCAAATTATTTCTGGAAGAGAAATTATGTATGAAAACTTTTCAATTAATGACCTATTTTTTGAACTAAAAAATTTAAAATCCACAACCTTTGGAACCAAAATTTCCGTTTAAAAAGGTAATAAATTATTATTTCAAGTTGCTTTATCATAAATAATATAATTGAAGAGACTAGAATGAAAATAGTGGAAGAAAAAGGAAAAAGAAAAAGAAAAAAATTAAAGTTTAGATCTGAAATTTCATTAAATTTACACAAACCTAAATTTTTTTAATCAAGGGCGTATATTTACTCATTTTACGAATTAATATTTTAATTATTTTCTGAATAAAGGGCTCAGTTGGCTTATTTATTTTAAATTTGTGTAATGTTCGTAACCAACAACTAATTAATTTGAATTTAATATTATAGTCTCTAACATCTGAAATTGGACCATAAATTTTCAAACCCCTCCCGTATCATTCATTTTTATTAAGAATTTCTGTATCATTTACATTTAATAAAAATTCATGCTCAGAAAGTCAAAATATGAAATATGATTTTAGCTAAGAGTTACCTAGGATTTAAAGATAAAAAATTTTCACCGTGTAATTCCATTAGTAAATTTTATAGTAGTCATAAAAGCTTCACTCATGTAATGTTGAATGTAATTGAAAGACTTCTTTCATCTAAACTTTTCAAAAACATAGTTTATAAGACAATGAAACCTCAATTTTTTGTGGTTTCAAGTGAGATCAATTGTTCCTCTTTACAGTTTCCGTAAAAGATGAGCTTTCATAATCGCAACTACAAATTCTCCTATTTGATCCCATGTTTTTGAGCTACTACTCACCAAGAGTATAACTCAAGTTAATCATACCCAAGTTTTTCAACTTAAATTCTTCTAACTAGAAATAATTTGAATATATTGTTTTGCATGCAAAAACTCGAGACAAGCTAACATATTCGAGGTTTATTCTTCATAAAAAATTTGGTGAAAATTTCATTTGAAAATGTTGTGATTATAAAAATTTTATTAAATCTTTGTGTCCATTTCCACAGCCTTCAATATTTAGTTGTCCTTTTGGATTTATTGCTCTTTTGCCTTTTACTTCAATAAAGCGGTAATTAGTATAAAGTTTCGGTTGAAAAAGAATAAAAAATTGATAGCACAATTGTTGTTAAAATGAGGATTTCCCAAAAAGTATTTACTTAGGTGATTAAGAAGTAGCTTCTGAAAAGTTTTGACTCTAAATTTTCTATACTTTGCTTTACATCTTAAAACCATATCTGGAATTTCATAAACTTTAAATTTTAAACATAACCTTTGAAATTCACTTCTCTGGTATTATGCGTAAGTAAGTAAAATCTGGTCATTGAGTTTACCACGTAATACTCAGCAAGCTCCATTGCTCACGCTGTTTCTTATTGACCTCTACGCAAATTGAGCAAAATTTGCATGAAACTCGCTTATAAATTATTAATTCGCAAAAATTTCGTCTATGATGGAACTAGACTTGCTCTTCTTTAATGTTCAAACTTATGCTTTTAGACTTATGAGCTGTTGTCTGTTCTTATATCCACTAGCTGTAAACTCGATTTCGATTAGGCTAATTGTAAAGCTGAAGAGTCTTAATTACACAAAAGACCTCAAATTTTCTTTATGGATTAATAAATTTGCAGACTTATGAACAAACCTTAAATTTTTGACTATAATTTCTAATGGTGTGTCTTGTTGCAAAAGTAATTAACTAGAGTTGTAATATAGATGATACACATTTCTACTTAGAGATTTAAAAGAAATCATTAAATTTTTTAAAACAAAACTAAAAATATTTTAAAACTTATAAACTAATACACAAGATATAAATAAAAATAATTAAAAAAATAATAAACCGAAATGAAGAATATAAAAATTCTTATAAATGAACAAAGTTCAACGATAGAATTTGAAAATTTTATGAAGTTTTAAAATTGAATAACGTAGATTGAACTGAAAATAATTGTGTGGTATGTTTTTTATTACCAGAACGGCAACAACTTTTAAAAGCTTAAGTGTGGGGTATTAAAATGCTAAAAAATTGTTATATTTTCTAAAGCATGATTGAAATGACAGTAATAAATATAGTTAAAATGGATGATATCTTCAAGACTGAACCCGATCCTTCATATGTAGTAACAACTGGAGCTGTTGATTGAGGAGTACTTGATGATTGTTGGCTTAAAGTTGTAACAACAGCTAAGCTACTTGATTCGCTACTGGGCTTGCTACTTGATTGCCCATAAGTGTAATATACTGATCTCAAACTTGACTCAATAGTTTCGGATTGAACACCAATCGATGACTCTTTACTTTGGTTGGTAGTTGAAATAGAAGTAACTTGGGTCACACCTTTAGTTTTTGCATCTGCTACGGAGGATGTAGCTTGACTCTGACCATTTACTTGACCATTTTCTGAATAAGTAGCTTGAGTTTGGCCTTCGTTTTGACCACTTGCTACAGCAGAATTTTCACTTTGAAAGCTGTATACAGATAATGTTGGTTTCTGTGCGTTAGATCCTGTTGAAATCAAATTGTTTGTAGCAGTGGCTGATGAACCAAACTCTTGACTCGAAGTTTGTGTTTTAAAACTATGACTGGCTATCTCGGTGGTAGTAGCAACAACAATTTCTGTAGACCAGGCACCTGTTGCATGTTCAATGCTTAATTTACTCTCATTGTCAGTGTTAAAGCTTAATTTGGTTGATTCCGGAACAGGCGTGTCAATATAAGTTAATTCAACACCTTCCACACTAGAAGAAAGCAAAGTAACCGATAAAACAGTAGATGATGAAGAATTCCAGTATGGACCATAAGTCGATTTGGTTGGTATTATTGAAGCTGTATTAAATGTACTTTCTGTAGTGATTGAAGGACCAGATTTTGAAATAATTGTCGATTCTGTAGTCATTGACCCATCTAAGGTGATGATAGTCCAAGTAGTAGCTGCGGGTTCTGCATCGACCGATGATGATAAAGATGGGAATGTGGTAATTGTAGTTATCGAAGAACCTGATTTTGAAACTATTCCTGATTCCCTTGCAGTTGATCCATCTGATTTAGTGGTTGTCCATGTAGTAATGGATTGAGTTGTAACCGTTTGATCAATGAAGGATGAGATTGTAGATTTGATTGCAGAAGACTCTGTGGAAGAAACTATTGTTAATTCTTCCGATAAAGTCGTTGATGAGCCAGCTGAAGCAAGTAATGAAGGTAATGATGACATATAAATTGAGTTTGAGATTGATGATAAACTAGTAGACAAAATCTCTGCTGTGGAAGTCAATCCACTTGATACTTCTACTGATTGAGTTGTAAGCACCGATGAAGCACAATCTGTATCATCTCTTCTACATATAATTGGGCCAGAGACGTTTGGTTGGAATGTGGCAACCGTAGTTGATGAGGTACCAGATTTTGAGATCATTCCTGTTTTTGTTGCAATTGAACCATCTGATTTAGTAAATGTCCAGGTAGTAGCCACAGGTACTGCATCGACTGATGAGGATAATGGTGGGAAAGTTGGTATAGTAGTTAATGAACTTCCAGATTGACTAACAATACCTGAATCTGTTTCTAATGAGCCATCAGATTTTGTGGCAGTCCAAGTTGTAATATATTCTGTGGTAAATACTGGTTCAATTGCTGATGAAATTGCTTCAATCGATGATGAATTTGCTTCAACTGATGATGAGGTTGCGTCAATTGATAATGAAACTGCTTCAATTGATGATGAAACTGCTTCAACTGATGATGAACTTGCTTCAACTGATGATGAAATTGCTTCAATTGATGATGAACTTGCTTCAACCGATGATGAACTTGCTTCAACTAATGATGAACTTGCTTCAACNTCCAGATTGAATAACAATACCTGAATCTGTTTCTAATGAGCCATCAGATTTTGTGGCAGTCCAAGTTGTAGTATATTCTGTGGTAAACACTGGTTTAATTGCTGATGAATTTGCTTCAATTGATGATGAATTTGCTTCAATTGATGATGAACTTGCTTCAACTGATGATGAACTTGCTTCAACTGATGATGATAATGGTGGGAAAGTTGTAATGGTAGTTAATGAGCTTCCAGATTGACTAACAATACCTGAATCTGTTTCTAATGAGCCATCAGATTTTGTGGCAGTCCAAGTTGTAGTATATTCTGTGGTAAACACTGGTTCAATTGCTGATGAATTTGCTTCAATTGATGATGAATTTGCTTCAATTGATGATGAACTTGCTTCAACTGATGATGGTAATGGTGGGAAAGTTGTAATGGTAGTTAAGGAACTTCCAGATTGACTAACAATACCTGAATCTGTTTCTAATGAGCCATCAGATTTTGTGGCAGTCCAAGTTGTAGTATATTCTGTGGTAAACACTGGTTCAATTGCTGATGAAATTGCTTCAATTGATGATGAATTTGCTTCAATTGATGATGAACTTGCTTCAACTGACGATGAACTTGCTTCAACTGATGATGATAATGGTGGGAAAGTTGTGATGGTAGTTAATGAACTTCCAGATTGACTAACAATACCTGAATCTGTTTCTAATGAGCCATCAGATTTTGTGGCAGTCCAAGTTGTAGTATATTCTGTGGTAAACACTGGTTCAATTGCTGATGAATTTGCTTCAATTGATGATGAATTTGCTTCAATTGATGATGAACTTGCTTCAACTGATGATGAACTTGCTTCAACTGATGATGATAATGGTGGGAAAGTTGTAATGGTAGTTAATGAACTTCCAGATTGACTAACAATACCTGAATCTGTTTCTAATGAGCCATCAGATTTTGTGGCAGTCCAAGTTGTAGTATATTCTGTGGTAAACACTGGTTCAATTGCTGATGAAATTGCTTCAATTGATGATGAATTTGCTTCAACTGATGATGAACATGCTTCAACTGATGATGAACTTGCTTCAACTGATGATGAATTTGCGTCAACTGATGATGAAATTGCTTCAACTGATGATGAACTTGCTTCAACCGATGATGAAATTGCTTCAACTGATGATGAACTTGCTTCAACCGATGATGATAATGGTGGAAAAGTTGTGATGGTAGTTAAGGAACTTCCAGATTGACTAACAATACCTGAATCTGTTTCTAATGAGCCATCAGATTTTGTGGCAGTCCAAGTTGTAGTATATTCTGTGGTAAACACTGGTTCAATTGCTGATGAAATTGCTTCAATTGATGATGAATTTGCTTCAATTGATGATGAACTTGCTTCAACTGATGATGATAATGGTGGGAAAGTTGTAATGGTAGTTAATGAACTTCCAGATTGACTAACAATACCTGAATCTGTTTCTAATGAGCCATCAGATTTTGTGGCAGTCCAAGTTGTAGTATATTCTGTGGTAAACACTGGTTCAATTGCTGATGAAATTGCTTCAATTGATGATGAATTTGCTTCAACTGATGATGAACTTGCTTCAACTGATGATGAATTTGCGTCAACTGATGATGAACTTGCTTCAATTGATGATGAATTTGCTTCAACTGATGATGAACTTGCTTCAACTGATGATGAACTTGCTTCAACTGATGATGAATTTGCGTCAACTGATGATGAAATTGCTTCAACTGATGATGAACTTGCTTCAACTGATGATGAAATTGCTTCAATTGATGATGAACTTGCTTCAACTGATGATGAACTTGCTTCAACTGATGATGATAATGGTGGGAAAGTTGTGATGGTAGTTAATGAACTTCCAGATTGACTAACAATACCTGAATCTGTTTCTAATGAGCCATCAGATTTTGTGGCAGTCCAAGTTGTAGTATATTCTGTGGTAAACACTGGTTCAATTGCTGATGAAATTGCTTCAATTGATGATGAATTTGCTTCAATTGATGATGAACTTGCTTCAACTGATGATGATAATGGTGGGAAAGTTGTAATGGTAGTTAAGGAACTTCCAGATTGACTAACAATACCTGAATCTGTTTCTAATGAGCCATCAGATTTTGTGACAGTCCAAGTTGAAGTATATTCTGTGGTAAACACTGGTTCAATTGCTGATGAAATTGCTTCAATTGATGATGAATTTGCTTCAATTGATGATGAACTTGCTTCAACTGACGATGAACTTGCTTCAACTGATGATGATAATGGTGGAAAAGTTGTGATGGTAGTTAATGAACTTCCAGATTGACTAACAATACCTGAATCTGTTTCTAATGAGCCATCAGATTTTGTGGCAGTCCAAGTTGTAGTATATTCTGTGGTAAACACTGGTTCAATTGCTGATGAACTTGCTTCAACTGATGATGAACTTGCTTCAACTGATGATGAACTAGCTTCAACTGATGATGAACTTGCTTCAACTGATGATGATAATGGTGGAAAAGTTGTGATGGTAGTTAATGAACTTCCAGATTGACTAACAATACCTGAATCTGTTTCTAATGAGCCATCAGATTTTGTGGCAGTCCAAGTTGTAGTATATTCTGTGGTAAACACTGGTTCAATTGCTGATGAAATTGCTTCAATTGATGATGAATTTGCTTCAATTGATGATGAACTTGCTTCAACTGACGATGAACTTGCTTCAACTGATGATGATAATGGTGGGAAAGTTGTGATGGTAGTTAAGGAACTTCCAGATTGACTAACAATACCTGAATCTGTTTCTAAGGAGCCATCAGATTTTGTGGCAGTCCAAGTTGTAATATATTCAATTCTGAATGGTGGTGGGAAAGTTGTTATAGTAGTTAATGAACTTCCTGATTGACTTACGATACCTGAATCGGTTTCAATTGAACCATCTGATTTTGTTGTAGTCCAAGTTGTAGTATATTCAGTTCTGAATGGTGGTGGAAAAGTTGTTATAGTAGTTAATGAACTGTCTGATTGACTAACTATTCCTGAATCGGTTTCAATTGAACCATCTGATTTTGTTGTAGTCCAAGTTGTAGTATATTCAGTTCTGAATGGTGGTGGAAAAGTTGTTATAGTAGTTAATGAACTGTCTGATTGACTAACTATTCCTGAATCGGTTTCAATTGAACCATCTGATTTTGTTGTAGTCCAAGTTGTAGTATATTCAGTTCTGAATGGTGGTGGAAAAGTTGTTATAGTAGTTAATGAACTGTCTGATTGACTAACTATTCCTGAATCGGTTTCAATTGAACCATCTGATTTTGTTGTAGTCCAAGTTGTAGTATATTCAGTTCTGAATGGTGGTGGAAAAGTTGTTATAGTAGTTAATGAACTGTCTGATTGACTAACTATTCCTGAATCGGTTTCAATTGAACCATCTGATTTTGTTGTAGTCCAAGTTGTAGTATATTCAGTTCTGAATGGTGGTGGAAAAGTTGTTATAGTAGTTAATGAACTGTCTGATTGACTAACTATTCCTGAATCGGTTTCAATTGAACCATCTGATTTTGTTGTAGTCCAAGTTGTAGTATATTCAGTTCTGAATGGTGGTGGAAAAGTTGTTATAGTAGTTAATGAACTGTCTGATTGACTAACTATTCCTGAATCGGTTTCAATTGAACCATCTGATTTTGTTGTAGTCCAAGTTGTAGTATATTCAGTTCTGAATGGTGGTGGAAAAGTTGTTATAGTAGTTAATGAACTGTCTGATTGACTAACTATTCCTGAATCGATTTCAATTGAACCATCTGATTTTGTTGTAGTCCAAGTTGTAGTATATTCAGTTCTGAATGGTGGTGGGAAAGTTGTTATAGTAGTTAATGAACTTCCTGATTGACTTACGATACCTGAATCTGTTTCTAATGAGCCATCTGATTTTGTTGTAGTCCAAGTTGTAGTATATTCAGTTCTGAATGGTGGTGGAAAAGTTGTTATAGTAGTTAATGAACTGTCTGATTGACTAACTATTCCTGAATCGGTTTCAATTGAACCATCTGATTTTGTTGTAGTCCAAGTTGTAGTATATTCAGTTCTGAATGGTGGTGGAAAAGTTGTTATAGTAGTTAATGAACTTCCTGATTGACTTACTATTCCTGAATCAGTTTCAATTGAACCATCTGATTTCGTACTTGTCCAAGTTGTAGTATACTCAGTTCTGAATGGTGGTGGGAAAGTTGTTACAGTAGTTAATGAATTTCCTGATTGTGAAACTACACCTGAATTTGTTCTGGTTACTCCACTTGCGTCTGTAGTGGTCCAAGTACTAGTAAATGATGTTGTAACTGGTGGTGGAAATGTTGTTACAGTCGTGAATGAACTTCCTGATTGTGAAACTATACCTGAATTTGTTCTGGTTACTCCACTTGTGTCTGTAGTGGTCCAAGTACTGGTAAATGATGTTGTAACTGGTGGTGGAAAAGTTGTTACAGTTGTAAATGAACTTCCTGATTGGCTCACAATCCCAGATTGAGTTTTAGTAATACCTCCTGAAATTGTTGTCCAAGTACTAGTAAATGAAGTTGTAACTGGTGGTGGAAATGTTGTTACGGTTGTAAATGAGCTTCCTGATTGTGAAACTATACCAGAGTTTGTTTTTGTTGCTCCACTTGCGTCTGTAGTGGTCCAAGTACTAGTAAATGAGGTTGTAATTGGTGGTGGAAATGTCGTTACAGTTGTAAATGAACTTCCCGATTGGCTCACAATCCCAGATTGAGTCTTTGTTGCTCCACTTGTGTCGGTAGTGGTCCAAGTACTAATAAATGAGGTTGTAACTGGTGGTGGAAATGTTGTTACAGTTGTAAATGAACTTCCTGATTGTGAAACTATACCTGAATTTGTTCTGGTTACTCCACTTGCGTCTGTAGTGGTCCAACTACTAATAAATGAGGTTGTAACTGGTGGTGGAAATGTTGTTACGGTTGTAAATGAGCTTCCTGATTGTGAAACTATACCAGAGTTTGTTTTTGTTGCTCCGCTTGCGTCTGTAGTGGTCCAAGTACTAGTAAATGAGGTTGTAACTGGTGGTGGAAAAGTTGTTACTGTTGTAAATGAACTTCCTGATTGGCTCACAATCCCAGATTGAGTCTTTGTTGCTCCACTTGCGTCTGTAGTGGTCCAAGTACTAGTAAATGAGGTTGTAATTGGCGGTGGAAAAGTTGTTACTGTTGTAAATGAGCTTCCTGATTGGCTCACAATCCCAGATTGAGTCTTTGTTGCTCCACTTGCGTCTGTAGTGGTCCAAGTACTAGTAAATGATGTTGTAATTGGTGGTGGAAATGTTGTTACAGTTGTAAATGAACTTCCCGATTGGCTCACAATCCCAGATTGAGTCTTTGTTGCTCCACTTGCGTCTGTAGTGGTCCAAGTACTAGTAAATGATGTTGTAATTGGTGGTGGAAATGTTGTTACAGTAGTAAATGAACTTCCTGATTGGCTCACAATCCCAGATTGAGTCTTTGTTGCTCCACTTGCGTCTGTAGTGGTCCAAGTACTAGTAAATGATGTTGTAATTGGTGGTGGAAATGTTGTTACAGTAGTAAATGAACTTCCTGATTGGCTCACAATCCCAGATTGAGTCTTTGTTGCTCCACTTGTGTCTGTAGTGGTCCAAGTACTAATAAATGAGGTTGTAATTGGCGGTGGAAATGTTGTTACTGTTGTAAATGAACTTCCTGATTGGCTCACAATCCCAGATTGAGTTTTAGTAGTACCTCCTGAAATTGTTGTCCAAGTACTAGTAAATGATGTTGTAACTGGTGGTGGAAAAGTTGTTACTGTTGTAAATGAGCTTCCTGATTGGCTTACAATCCCAGATTGAGTCTTTGTTGCTCCACTTGCGTCTGTAGTGGTCCAAGTACTAGTAAATGAGGTTATAACTGGTGGTGGAAAAGTTGTATACGTAGTTTTTGAAGTTCCTGATTGAGAAACAATTCCAGATTGAGTTTTAGTAGTACCGCTTGAAGTTGTTGTCCAGGTTGTAGTATATGAAGTTGGAGTTGAGTATAAACTTGTTGTACTGACAAATGAACCTTGACTATTAGTACTTATATCAACAACACCAGTTTGAGTCCAAGGTTGACCATTTGAGTTGGTTGTAGTTATTGTAGTTGTATATTCAGTTGGTCCAGAACCGGGAATTGGTGGTGGTACTTTACAAGCTCTGCATTGTGCTGGTTGACCAGGGTTTGGTGGTGGTCCATTATATCTAACTGACCCAAATAAAGTTGATGGTAAACCTGCTCCATCATCTGTTACAATTTCAAATTTTGAACTATCATATCCTAAACCAATATTAAAATTTTGTGATAATAAACCTGCACATAGACTGTTAGTAAAAAAAAAAACTTTATTGGAAGTTTTTGGCTCTCGAGATTTGCAACCATTAAAATTACTTAACAATCACGTGACCGATAAATTGATAATGTAATATAAATTTAAAATAAACATACCTGCACCTCTCAATGTTAAGATCCCAGTACTTGAACTATAGTCATAAGCATTACTAACAAATGGAATAGAAAATAATGGAATTGATAAACCAATTTTATTTGCAACTCCATTAACTTGACCAAAATTACGAACATTAAAAGTCTGAGGAAGTGATATAGCCTGAGCAACTATGGAAGATTGACCATCAGCTAAGTAGAAAGTTTGTCCAGTTGAGACAGGTAATAAACCATTAGAAATGTAAATCGAGGAATTTACATCAGCGGTTATGCAACCAGTACCTGCAATAGCTGTTAATTGTTGATAAACTTGATTACGAAAACATATTTGTCCATTATTGTTGATTGTACCAAGTGGTGCACCTAAATTTACAAGTCCTGATGATCTTTGATTTTGATAAAAGACTATTAAACCATTGTTATTCCAATTTGCTGAAGTGATGGTAATTGCACTTGGTACTACACCTGATGATGCAAAATACATTTCTCCGTTATTTGTAAATGATAACCCAACCAAAGTATAAGTTGATGATGTTAATGATGCTAATGAATTAAAAGATATTATTCCGTCATTATTGATTGAATTTAATACACCAGCTAAAGTAACTTGTAATGCCAATAATGGAGAAATACTTGAAACATATAATCCTGCATTAGGCTGAACATTTATGCTTGAAACGAAAGCTGTAATTGCAGTATTTATGATTGACCAGTAAGCACCTGAATGAATTGTTATATCTCCGACATTCAAATCAACTAATCCTCTATCAACTTTATTCAGTGTAACATCTAAAGCTAAGATTGAAGTAAAGAACCAAAATATTAAATAGAAATGTTTGAGAATTAACATGATTCAAATAAATTCTTATTGCCCTTTAAAAATCTAATTAATGTTAAGTGATTGGATGAAAAATCTTGAAACTAGTTAAAATATGATATAAAGTTTCAATTAAAACGTTTAAAAAGTCTGGAGAAATTGAGATTATTTATAAAAACTATAATAGATTACATTGGGTCAATTCTATATACATATACTAATTTTTTCCCAAGTTATAAACGTTTAATATTTTGGTTTGAATGGTATAATTATTAAAAATCTATGATCCCTTAATTACAAAAACCACCTTATTTTAGATTAAAATAAATAATTTTAGCCTAAAAAAATAAATTATTTTTTTTTAATTAAAATTAAATTTTTAAAATTTAAGACAAGTTACATTTACTGAGAAAAAAAAAATATTTTAGTCAAAATTTTAAACTAAAAGAAATAAATGAATTTAAATCATCAACTAAATTTTACGACTAAAGTCAAATTAAGTTAAATATTTATTAAAATTATAGTTTGTTAATAATTCAAAAAATTTAAATCCAAAATATGCGAGATTTGTTAATTTCTTTCATGTGAATAATAATTCTATATATCCATTAAATTAAGCATGGAATCTAGATTACTTACTATAAGTCTGTTTCAAATTGTTTAAATGAAAAAATCATTCACACAAACTCAAAACTTTGAAGTAACAAAATTTGAAAAACATAAATATCGGATTGGTAAAAAATTGATCAAAGAATATAGAACTGTTTTTCCAAATGTCCTACGCAATATAATAATTTATTTTCCAACACTTTTAACTTGTTGAGGAGAAAATATAATAATAGGTAGGGTCCGTATTATTTAACAATAGAACGGCACAAAATTATTGATGTGATGAGTTTATTTTTGTGTACGAGTTTTTATATTTGATTGAATTTTGTAGCATCAATTGCTAGAGGTAAATTTAAGTAATATTGCCTGATGGTACAATACTTCCATTGAAAATTTCTGTGATGGTAAACCTCATGTGAGCTCAATTATGAAATGATACTGCTAAGGTGAACAATAGCTTAGAATTAAGTATCAATTGACACAAGTAATGATTTTAGGATGTTGATTGCCAATTTTTTTAATTGTAAATGCGAGTAACCATACATCAGTTTGCGAACCACAAAAAATTTTATTGTATCAATCTCTTGGAAAAAAACTTTTTAGAACTGAATGTGCTTCACAAGTACACATTTTATGAAATTAGAGGAAATTAAGGTTTCTTTTTGGATAAGCGAATGTTTCTGAGTCTAGACACATCTTGTGATCGTAGTAGGATCGCAAATCTTGAAGATTTGAACTGTAAATTTACGATTGTGGTTGGATCAAAAGTTAAAATTCGTAAAGAAGAACAAGAAGAATTAAAATTTATAGTTGATTTGATGATCAAAGATTTACTATTGTTTCGACATCATAATTAGAAAGAATAATAAATCTCAGAGAATTTAAATACTACAAATTTACTGTTTAAAGTAATTTTAAAGCCAATTGTAAATCAAGGTGCTAAAGTTTAGGTTAAAAGCGATTCCTGTTGAGGTTTTAAAATGTTTAAGACCCTAGTCTCCTATTTAATTGAGTCCACCTTAGAGCTGTAATGACATAAGAATGTGAATTGGTTAAAATTTGCTGCACTAAGTCTAAAAAAAATTTATATTTAATGTGCATCAAAAATAAATTTCATTGCTTTATTTTTGAATAATGTATAAACTGTGGACTAATAATCATGATTAAGGTCCTTTAATTAGAAAAACATTCCCTCAAGCAATGACTAAACTATCTTTCTTTTCATGTGGAAACACAATTAATATTAAAGGGAGATTTAAAGTCTTGAAATTGAGTAGAATTAATCATTTACTCTAAAAAATTGAAGTTCTAGTTTAGGGGCTTTTTATGTTACACAAAATTGAATCACACTAATTTAATAATGTACACAAAACAAATCAACCATGCATTTTGTGTTAAAAACAAAATTATACTTTTTGTGTTGCAGATATGCAAGGGTAAAATTAAAAGGGTAAAATTACTAAAAGAAATTTGGGTCAGATTTTTAAAATTATCGAGCTCATAATCTTCCATACGATTTAAAGTATAGAAAACTACTCAAAACAGTATAAAGACTAGAAATAACTTAGGTTTTTACCCTTATTACTCATTCTTATTAAAAAAATTATAAATAATATTAAATAAAAAACTTAATACAATGATTCATTTTGGTTTTTTATATATTCTCTATTTAAAAATGTACTTACCTAAATAGGACAAGAATTTCAAAAGAGTGCTATGAGACAAGTAGGATTAATCTTGTTCAAAATTGATGTATTATAATTACAATTACAATTATATCAAGAATCATGGGAAAACTTTAAAATTTATTATTTTATTCTTTTTTTCAACTCTGTATCATGATTGAGCTTTCCATAAATAAGTTTTTTAATTAAAATTTGATAAAGTTTTAAAGCTTATCATTATATCATTAAGTGCTTCTTAGTAACAATTTGATCAATTAATATCTTGCTCTTCTCACTAAAATATGTTCGTTTATCAAGAATTTTACCGATACATTGCCCCACTTTTATTTATGTATTTTTGATTAAAAATTATTCTACATATTTAACAAATTTGTAATTATTGTAAAATTAACTTTCATAAAATCCGATTTATAAAAATTTTACGAAATTTAAAAAACCTTAAATTTTTTTTTGAAATTTTTTACACCTTGAATAATTTGTGATAATTCATAACCAATTTTGGTTTTACCTTATGTGAGGTTTGTAGAGTTTATTGGGGTAGAGGGTTTGTTTTGTAATTGAGGAATACAATTTACTTACCTAAATTTTTTCCAGATCAATGCTTTGAACATTACTAATTTGATCAGCTATTTTTCACTTGAATTTTTAAAGTTTTAAACGAATTTTCAACGGTTCATTGAAATAAGCTTTTTCTAAATAATACGTCAAATTTAGAAATGTTAAATTAAAATAAAATAAAATATTGAAAAATGAACAAATAATATTACTACCGTTAAGAGAAATTTAGCCAGAAAAATTCAATCTAAATTTGAAATCTATAAATCTAAGTCTGAGATTTCAGCTAATAAATAATCATGCATTGGAACTTTTGTAGGTTTTTTAGTAATGTTCTTCCGGAAATGAAATTCCAGAAAATTTTTAAAAAGAAGGTAAGTCCAAGTTCTAGCAATTTGTCGGAAAGAACAATAAGATTTCTTTAAAAGGGTATAAACGAAATTCTGAACTAAAATGTTACTGTAGAGAGAATAAAGTCCATAGAACAATTTTAATGGCAATTGAGATCTGCAAAATTTCATATTAAAGTGACTAAATTATTTTATGATACTTAGGCTAAGAAAATAAACGAAAAATATTATATGAATATATCATACTATTAATATTCTTTATATTCTATATTCTTATCATATTAAAGAATATTACAGTACTTTGAATAGTCTGTAATCTCAAGGTTTTGCTAACTTCTAAGTTACCTGAGTCTGGATGAATAGTTTAACGAAAAACATCAAGTATTCGAAATTTATATCTCTAAGGCGGTCAGAAAATTTAAAGTACTCATACATAATTCCACTTATCGTAATTTATTCTACTTTGCAAATCTCCTCGTAATTTTTTTCTACGCGCACAATAGAAAGTTAAAAAGAATAAAAAAATCTATTATTTAAAAAGAAGTACCCTATATTTTATTACATTTCCAACATTTACGAATATAAAATTCTCAAAAATTTCGTCATTTATGAGATTTCATAATTTTTGAGATCTTTCGTCATATAATGCTTTACTTTTTAAGCCCATATTAAATGAAATATTAATTAGGAAAAACAGTTATCTATAAAACGTGCGATCTTTTCTCTATCTTTTTTCATAACTAAACGATAAGGCGTTCACAATCAGTCAATATCTTCAAAAGTCAGCACTATTGCATATTCAACAAGTAAAAGAGCAGGTATTAGTCAGAACTATCTTATTAGTAGCACTAACCAGTTTTGTCTCGTAATCATATTACTTAAAACAGAAAAATTGTAAATCTAGTGTAGATCCATGCATTGTCAAAACAATACTAGTCTAATTTTAGCGATTTACTATGTTTGTTTCAATGTAATTCTGACGTGATATCTGCAAATCTGTAAAGTAAAGTTATAAGCCATAAGGGAGTGGGCTGGTAATTAATATCAGTACAAGTGACGAAATGAAGATTAGATAAAACTATCTTCTCATATTCGAACGTAGAGATTCAATCTAGACTTCAACAAATTATTTTTCCAAATTCTACAACCCTTGTTGTTTTAATTTAATGAGTGAATACCTTTACGTATATTCTTCTATAACATAATAATACATCATTCATAAATTTTTTCTATTTTTTATTTATTGGCTGATTTCTATTCTGTGGTGGTTGTTGTTGTTGTTGTTGAGGAGGAGGTTGAGGTGGTCCATTTGAATTATTAAGTAAAATTTCTAAAGCTCTTTGAGGTGATGCAATATTATTCAATTGACTAAATTCCATTAATTGTTTTAAATTACATAAAGTATCATTAATTTGTAGATTTCTAATACTTGATTTATTTAAACCAAATGTTAATTCATTTTGTTTTGTTATTGAATTTTCATATATTTTATTTATCGGTTGTTGTGATGATGATGAAATTTGTGAAAAATTAAAAAGACTTTCATATTTAAGAAATTCTAAATCCATCCATTCTATTCTAAGATCTCTACTCATTAATACTTTGAAACCACCAATTAATTTTGTTATTGATTCGTCATTATAAGTGAAATGTAATTCTAATTTTGATATAACTATAACTGATCCATTGTTTAATACTTGGAATTTTAAATTTGGTAAAAAGATTTGAAATTTTTTAAGTTGTGAGTTCTCGATACTTTTTGTTAGAAAATGAGGTAATGATGATACACTTAGTTCAAAATGATTTGGATCTGAATTTGGTGGTGAAGATGAGTTAATGTTGTTATTTAGTGATTTTAAAAATGAGAAATTTAATCCGGTGATTTCATTTAATGGTTTTTGATTATTATCTTTTAATTTGGTAAAATTTAATTTCAATGTAGAATTTGATAAAAAATAAGCAGGTATAACTCTTTGCCAAAATTCTAAATTTTTTATATTTTCAAAAGTTTCATTCGTTATAAAATCAATAAAATCTAACACTCTCATTGCTGCTGCATTACCTAAATTTCTTTTTATTATTCTAGTGTTAAGTTCTTGTTGTTGTAACATCTCGTTTGGTTTAGGTTGTTGGTTTTGTAGTGGTGGTCCTTGTTGCATTTGTTGAGGAATTTGTTTTGGAATTTGTTGTTGAGGATGTATTTGTTGTTGAGGTGGTTGTGTTTGCTGTAGCTGTTGTTGTTGTTGTTGTTGTTGCATTTGTTGTAATTGTTGTTGTTGTTGCATTTGTTGTTGTTGAACTAGCATTTGTCTTTGAGCTGGTGATAGATTAGCTAAATTTATATTTGGAGGTATTGCAAAATTATTAAATTGGTTTGGTGGTGGAGGTTGTTGTTGATACATTGGAGATTGTTGCATTGAAGGGTTGATTCTATTTTGTTGTTGATTTGGTGGTGGTGGTTGGATTTGAGTTTGAGGTTGTATTTGTTGTGAATTTTGAGGTGGAGGTTGTTGATTTCCAATTATTGGAGTATGACCTTGAGAATTATTATTTGATTGATTTGGATTATTTGGTTTTTGTAATGTATTTCCATTTTTTTGTGATTGTTGTTGACCATTAGTTTGAATAGATTGAGAACTTGTTGGACTTCCACTAAAATTTGCATTTCTTTGTAAACCAGGTCTTGTATTATTTGGTAACTGATTGTTGAATGATTGACTAGGAGTCATATTGAATTTTGTAGGTCCTTGTTGTTGTTGTTGTTGAGGATTATTATTTAAGTTCCCCGGGGTTTGTTGATTATTTATGACTGGTGATTGAAATTGTTGCTGTTGTTGAGATTGTTGTTGTGGTTGTTGTTGAAATGGTATACCATTGAAATTCCTCTTATCACCTGAATTTGGTGGTTGTTGAAATTGAGTTTGAGGAGTTTGATTAAACATCTGCTGCTGTTGCAGCTGTAAATTATTCATATGAATATATCAATTTGTCGATAAATCTCCTTTCTCGTAAATTGATTATTGAAAACAAAATGATTTAGTCTCTTGTTTGGAATTTTTTGATAGTTTTGAATTAATTTGTATCTTGTTTAATACATTTAAGAAATTGAAAATTGAAATATTATTTTTTTTGTTTATTATTTTTTACAGTTTTGTAACCCTTAATGTTTAATTATACGAATTCTTTTTCAAATTGTAATCAAGAAGCTATTAAAGAAAGGACTATTCTACAATATTTGTATAACAAAGATCATATCATTCATTCATTATAAGCTAAAACAGAATTACCTTTTAAAGTTGTAGTATTATTAACATATCGTATAAAAGCAGGATGTTTTAACATTGGTCTTCTTTCTTTATAAAAAGAATTTAATTCTTCACCTGGTGTACCTTCTCTATCATCAGTTATAATTTCTCTTGATTTAGTAGCTCTTCTTTTCAATAATTTATTTAATGTATCTCTTTTCTCTTCTTCCAACATTTTATTTTTATAATCTAATCTTTTTCTTGCATTTTCTGCTTTTCTTAAAGCTACTTCTTCTTCAGTTTCAATTTTTGTTTGTTTTTTAGCTTTTGATTTTTTACCACTTGCATCTAATTCAAGATATTGATCTTCTAAACCAATTGATGTTTCAGTATTATATCTTGCTCTTTGTCTTTCTGTCATTTTTGATATATCATTTGCTGAATTTATATTATATTCATTTTCTTCATCTGTTAATATTAAATCAGGATCTAAATCTTGTGGTTGAGTTTTAGGTTCTGGAATGGTTCTAATTTTAATTTTTTTAATTGGTGGTGGTATATCATCAACATCTGATAAATCATCTGAAAAATCTAGACCATCGTCTTGATAATAATTTACCTGTCTTTTCCTACTGCTTCTTGTATCGTCTTCTGTGGTTGTGGTAGTTGTTGTTGTCGAAGAAGTAGGTTTTGAAGTTGTGTCAGGTTTCATTGTTGGTGGTTTGATTTTAATTTTAATTGATTTATGTGGGGCTGTTTTAATTGGTTCAACAACCTTAACTTCTCCAATGTCTTCATCATCTTCTGCTTCAAATTCATCCTTCGGCTCTAAATCTTCTTCTATGTCGTCTATATTGAAATTTTCATCATTAGCTGGATCTTCTTCTTCACTCAGTTCTAATAAATCGTCTTCTTCTTGTTCATCTTCTTCGTCTTCATCCTCGTCTTCTTCTTCATCTTCATCTTCATCTTCCTCGTCTTGTTCAACCTCTTCTGCTAGTTTTGATCTTCTTCTTTCTCGAGCAAGCCTTGAAATTGAATCTTCACCATGATATGGTTCATCAGTACCTTCGTCTTCATCATCATCATCATCATCATCGTTAAATTCGGAGTCTACTGCTGGTGATTCAGTGTAATTATTATTCAGGTCATTATCTTCTTCGCTGCTATCTACTATCTTTGGTTTAGCCATGCTAGTTGATATGGAGTTAATAATTGATTTCGTAGTTGGTTAATTGAATTTGAATTCTTGAACATTAAATCAAATGTCAGAATATGTTATTAAATTGTGCGTCTTTATATTTTCAGACACTAAATTTATTTTTGATTTTTTACCACGGCAGTCAATCTCCACAAAATATATTACTTTTGATAATCCAAAACCAAAGATCATTAATTCAACTTTACAGCTCTAATGTCATCAGTGCCTATATTAACCATTCCAGAATCATCATTTGATCCATCAGTATACAACTTGCGAAACCCAAACTCAAAATCACAACTACTAATATATTTAATAAAATTAACTCATGGAGCATCATTATCATTAATTATTACATACGCAATAGGATTATTCATACTAAAACCTTTATTAGAAACAAAAAATGAAAGAAGATTAGAGTTGTTAGAATGTATAAGAAACAATCTAAGAGATTTTTACTTAAAAGCTATTACAAAAATAAGTTATATCCCTATAGTGGCAATAAGAAGATCAAATAAATTATATTCAGACGCTATATGCCAAACAGAATCATCATCAAAAGATAAAGAATTAAATGATAAATTATCTCAAACTGAATTACATCTCAAATTGAAAAAAATGTCAATATTATTAAATGAAAACGTACGTACTTATAAAATGCAAGATATGTCAAATTATAAAAGTATCAATTATGCAATCAAGGATTTACAAAATAAATCTGACTTAGTTTATTTTGATGATACTGAGGTTTTCATGATTGATAATGGATATGATAAATTGGGAAATAAAATAAAAAGGAAAAATATTGTTGTTGATACAAAAAATGAAATTAGAAGTATAAAAGGTTTGTATATGAGTGGACAAGTTTAGATAGGTCTGCTATACATTAAATATGACTGATATGCACTAAAATTTACTTTGTATTCTATTATAATTTGAATTGAACTCTTCATTATCTCTATCTGGTTTTTTATTTCTGTGATTAGTTGATAATGACAGTCGATTCGAGTTTCCAAACCTATTTATTTTTCTAGCACTTTCATCTCTTTTAGCTTCTTGTCTCTGAATCATTTGTTTTTCTTTTCTTTTCATAATTCTATCTTCATCAACATCATTAGGTACCCATTTACTCTTTAGTATTCTTCTAACAGCTTCAGGTGATATATGAAAAAATTGAGCTAAATCAATAGTTCTATATTGGGGAAAAGTTTCTTTTAGTTCTTTTAATTTAATCATTTCTTGTCTTGTTAATTTTTTTTGTGGATTCCATCTTTCATATTTAGATTTTTGAGTTAAATCTCTCTTAATCCATGGTGGTAAATTTGATTTAAAATTATTGATCATCTTTTTGTGTTCTTCCATTCCTTCTAGTAGGGTTTTTGGTTGATGTTTTAAAGGTTTTTCTGGTTTGGTTTTAAGGTTGGTTGATTCATTTTTATCTTTATTATTATTTACAAGGTTGATTTGATTAGATTTTGTGGAATTAGGTCTTATTTGAAGATACAGTAGTGTATAATTTGGTTGAAGCCGTATTGTATTCTTCAAAAGTGACCGTATTTGACTTGATATGGGTATCATTATAAATTTTTGGTTGCCAAAATTATACTATAATTTGAATTAAATATAATATAGATGAGTTGCAAATAATTTATCTTAATGCATATAAATCTAATTAGTATGTAATTTCTACTATGCAGTACTGTCGGCTTAATTTTTACAACAGAAAAAAAAATAAATTATGAAATATGAAATGTCAATTAAAAGACACGTTAATTCTATCAAAGCTACAAATCAACTTGTTAAATTATCAGACTAAATAGATCTTTTCAATCCAATTGTTTCAAATTTAGACAAATATACAAAATGATAACGGATGATCAATTAAATACAATAGCATTAACTTTTGGATTTGCTTCAATAATATTAATATTAATATATCATGCTATATCAACAAATCTTACCAATTTACAAAATAAAAAGACTCAATAAAATTCAAACGGATAAGCTGGAACTTATTTAATGGTAGTTTAACATAGAGACTGGGTAGTTACAAAATTGGGTAAGTCTAATTAGGATCTAGTTGACTATATAGAGATAAGAAAATAGTATAATTTGTATAAAATGGATATATGATATAAAATGATTGTTCCTAAGCACAAGACTTATCAAAGTTTATAACTCTTATTCACTTTAATACAAAAGGTTAGATCAAATAGATTGATTGTATAATTAAATGTATAAGATAAGTAATATTATAATATAATATCTAATAATTTCGTAGTAATAAATTTGGTAGTCCAAATTTTTAGATTATGAGACATTAAAAAAGACACATATTGTTAACCTTAATTTTAAATGGATTAATGGAATAGAAGGGAAAAAATGTTACATAAAATATATAATCAGTAATAATAATTCATTCTGATCTTTAATGAACTTTGTTGTATCTATTTATCATTTTGTAGACCGATTAAAGAAGAATGAGTATAATTGATGACTTATTATCAAGATCTTTAAATTATAAAGCCTCATAATATATTATATAATACTCTCCTAATAATAATTGTTTGGCTTAAATTAATTTTTAACAAATTAAAAAAAGAAAATAAAAAATTTAAAAAAGAAAAAATTAAATTAAAAATAACAACAACAAAAATAAAAATATTCATCAAAGAAAAAAAGATCAAAGATTAACTTTTATTAATTAAAATTTAAAGAGAAGTAATTAAAAAGAATCTATAGAAGAATACTTTAAAACTTTACTATTATTAAGGAATCAAGGGGTTTATTAGGATAATCATTTCTATTATTACTTTACATTAATCATATTACTATCTCAAAATTATTTGATAAAACTACTGAAACATAAATACATTCACTTTACATTTCAAGATTCAATAACAATTTATTTAATATAATCTAATAATTTATCTTAGTCAATCGCTTCTTATGTCAATTCTTAACACAATAATAATTACAAATAACTAATTAAACTAGAAAAATGACTACAACTGAAGGAATTGATCTAGACCGAATGAATATAGACACTAAAGATACAAATAATTTACAAAATCACGATATAAGCAATAACATTAATAATAATAACCAAGATGTACCTGAAGAAGATAAAATGCATATAGATAGATCTTTATCAAATTTAAATCAACATAGTCAACAACAACAAGCACAACAAGCACAATCATCTTCAAATCAAAATGAAAGAAATGGACAAGATAAAGATCAACAACAATTACAACAACATCAACAACAACAAGCTAATATACAACCACATCAAACGCAACAACAGCAGCAACAACAAGTACAACAACAACAACAAATACAGCAAAATCAAATAAATCAAAATCAACCTCCTCCTCCTCCACCAGAAGCATTTACAGTACCAGTTGATATAAAATGGGTACAAGGTGGTGAAAAAGTATATGTTACTGGTTCTTTTACAAATTGGAGGAAAATGATTGGATTAATTAAGCAACCAGATGGTAATTATCAAATTACTTTAGGTTTACCAGTTGGAACTCATAGATTTAGATTTGTTGTAGATAATGAATTAAGATTTTCAGATTTTTTGCCAACAGCAACTGATCAAATGGGGAATTTTGTTAATTATATAGAAATTACTCCAGAAAATGTTGAACATCATTTAGAAGAACAAAATAAATTACAACAACAACAACAACAACAAACAAAAGAAGAATCAACTATTGAAGATTCACAAAAAGATAATAATGAAAATAATAATTCAAAAAGTGGATTTTCAAGTAGAAGATCATCAACTTCAAGATCAAGAACAGATTCAATGTGGAGATTAACTAATGATGATGATGATATGGGTAATGGATATTCAAGATATCATGATTCAGAAGAAAATGATGGATTATATAAAAATTATGAATATATTAATGATATACCACCAATTTTTACAGATCCAAAAGTAATGGAACAATATTATGTTGCAATAGATAAACAATCAAGATCAAATAATGGTCAACAACAAGCTTGGTTACATCCACCTCAATTACCTCCTCATTTAGAAAGTGTTATATTAAATAATTTTAATAGTAATGAAAATAATTCTGGTGCTATTCCAATACCAAATCATGTTGTTTTAAATCATTTAGCTACTACTTCAATAAAACATAATACTTTAGCTGTTGCTTCAATAGTTAGATATAAAAGAAAATATGTAACTCAAGTTTTGTATGCTCCATTATAAGGTGATGGAATGGGTTTTTGAATTAATTATTAGAAAGGTTTATTAGTTATAAATTATAAATGTTTTTATGTTTTTTTTTTTCATTTTTTTTTTGGAAATACTTTATATATTAATTGTTTTAATTAGAGTAATGTAAAAATAAATAATTTTTAAAATTTATGGCGATTGTATAACTCTTATAGTTCAAACCTATTCATTTTGCTTGTTGAGTTACAAAAGTCTACAATTTAATAATACTTACTACTCAATTATATTTTTTATTATTTCAAAAAAGCTATAAAACTAAACCCAAAAAATTACAACTTCTTAATAATCTGAAGAATCGTTACCTCTTCTATTTGAAGATTCATAAGAATCATCATTATCATCTTGGCCATAAGATGAAGATCCATATGAATCATTACCACCTCTTCTATTTGAAGAATTTGAACCATAAGAATCATCATTATCATTTCCATAAGATGATTTTTTATTTGATGAACCATAAGAATCATCATTATCTTGACCATAAGTATTTGATGTTGATGAACCATAATTATCATTACCACCTCTTCTATTTGATGAACCATAAGAATCATCATTTGAATCACCATAAGTATTTGATGTTGATGAACCATAATTGTCATTACCACCTCTTCTATTTGATGAACCATAAGAATCATCATTTGAATCACCATAAGTATTTGATGATGACGAACCATAATTGTCATTACCACTTTTTCTATTTGATGAACCATAAGAATCATCATTTGAATCACCATATGAAGATTTTTTATTTGATGAACCATATGAATCATCATTATCTTGACCATAAGATGATGAACCATAAGAATCTCCTTTTTTATTAGAAGAACCACCATAATTATCATCATTAGTATTACTTGAACCATAATTTGAATCACCATAAGTATTCAGTGATGAAGAACCATATGAATTATCATTATCTTTGTTTCTTCTTTGAGTGGTTGAATCATCATAATTTGATGATCCATATGAATCATCATTATTGTTTCCACTTCTTCTTGAAGAATCTTTATCGTCGTCTTTACCAAATCCGAAAACCATTTTTTTTAGGTTAGTTAGTTAGTTATAAATTGCAAAAAAATAAAGCTAATTTGAGGATTAAAAAAAAAAACGAATTACTAAATAAAAAAACGTGGAATTGACTGAATATTTATAAGAAAGTCTATCCTTTTAATAATTTTGATACATGTCATTAAATTGTTATGCTTAATTCATACTTAATTTCACATTTTCCATGTATGCTAAAATTAAATTCGGTTATGAAAATTTCAAAATTTAAAATATAATCCCTTAAACTTCAGTTACACAAAAATAGAATTATTATTTTGTTTCAGGAATTTAATTTTTTTAATTTGACGTAAAAAAGTAAGGAACTTTATTTTTTTCTTTCAAATAATTGGATCCAAATGGTTCTATTTTTTTTTCATGAAGCTACTGACGTGTTGGTTGATACCAATTGAGCATGGTCCAATGATGTTACTGATACTTATAGTACTTTAAACACAATTAAATTGGGAATAGTCAAATCTAAATTAAAATTTCAATTAAAACTGACTGCCACACAAAAACGTTCGGTACTTAACAAAATTCCAATTTAACCACCACATAAAAATTGACTCAAAACGTGTACCTTACCTCATATTAAATTTTCGTTCTTTACTTAAGAATTAATAGAAGATGAAATTCTTTTAATTGTTTGGAATTATGAAAAGAATATTATATTTTATATGCACGAATGATAAAACTAACAATTGAAATGTTTATGTTTGGACCAAAATTTAAGTTTCACTTAACTACTACACGACGACGTGGAGTTTTATATATCCGTGATAATTTTTGATTTGGACAACTTGAAATGTGGAGACTTAAGTAGTTTCTTCAATTGTATTATCCCAAAATTATTTTAAATATTCGTAGCTATCTCTCTATGAGGATGACAAGCATCTTCTTTGCAATCTGATTGATTATTTTGTAGTAAGTCAATTAAATTAGTTTCAATTTGAATTGATCAACCAAATCCAAATATAACTTTATAGTGTACACAAAATTACTAGGTTGCTTTATCCTTGAACTATAATTATATCAATTGATCTCCTTTTTATCGGAGAATCTCATATGTCCATTTTTATCATTCAATACGCGTCTAATTTAAATAATAAGCCTTGTTTATAAATTTTGTCACTTCTCAACATCAATATGTTAAATTAACTTTTATGTTTGAAGTTTTGCATTAATTGATTATTTATCCTAGTACTATGTTAAATGATTAATAAAATTGCACGTATATAAATTGAAGATACCTTATAAACATTTCCATATCTTTCATACTGTAAGCATTTATTCTCTAACGTGAAGGAAAGAAAAATTTAAGGTATCTAAATAATTGATTGCATCACAGTTCAAAGTAAATTTTTGGTAAGATTTTGGCACAAATTTTGAGAAAATCTGAAATTTTTTGAATAGTATCAAAATGGTAATTCATTTTTAAGCACAGAAGTTGTTAATTCTTTAAAAAAATTTGTATAATGCTCTCGGTTACTCAGAGCCAATTATTTAAGAATGAATTGATACTTCTCTATAAGATTTGGTTGCAAAACTTATAAAGATTTATCAAATTCGCACGCAAAATTTTATTAAGAAGATCAAAGAACAAAAAAAAAACTAAAAGATGAAAAAGTCAATATCGAGATACAAAAGATTAGTACTACAACTCAAACAAAATCTCAATTGATTGTCAACACCACCAAAAAATTGATTTTTAAATATGTCTGTAAATATTTTCAAAGATCAAGTTGAGGAAGATAGAGCTGAGAATGCTCGTATGTCAGCATTTATTGGAGCTATTGCAGTTGGTGATTTAGTTAAATCAACTCTAGGTCCAAAGGGAATGGATAAATTATTACAAAGTGCAAGTAATCCAGATCATGCATTAGTTACGAATGATGGAGCAACAATATTAAAATCTATACCATTTGAAAACCCAGCAGCAAAAGTCCTTGTGAATATATCAAAAGTTCAAGATGATGAAATTGGAGATGGTACAACATCAGTTACAGTATTAAGTGCAGAATTATTAAGAGAAAGTGAAAAATTAATTGATCAAAAAATCCATCCACAAACTATTATTGAAGGTTTTAGAATTGCAAGAAAATATGCTATTGAAGCATTAGATAGAAATGCTACAAATAATGGATTAAATCCTGAAAAATTTAAAAAAGATTTAATTAATATCGCTAAAACTACATTATCATCGAAAATTTTATCACAAGACAAAGATCATTTTTCAAAATTAGCAGTTGATGCTATATTAAGATTAAAAGGTTCAACAAATTTAGCAAATATACAAATTATAAAAAAAGTTGGTGGGAAATTATCAGATTCTTATTTAGATGAAGGTTTTATATTGGAAAAAAAATTTGGTATTGGACAACCTAAAAAAATTGAAAATGCCAAAATTTTAATAGCTAATACATCAATGGATACTGATAAAGTTAAAATATTTGGAGCAAAATTTAAAGTTGATTCTACATCAAAATTAGCAGAATTAGAAAAAGCTGAAAAATTAAAAATGAAGAATAAAGTAGATAAAATAAAAAAATTTGATATAAATGTATTTATAAATCGTCAATTAATTTATGATTATCCAGAATCATTATTTACGGATTCTAAAATAAATACAATAGAACATGCTGATTTTGATGGTGTTGAAAGATTAGCTTTAGTAACAGGTGGTGAAGTTGTAAGTACTTTTGATAATCCAGAAAATGTTAAATTAGGTCATTGTAAAGTAATTGAAGAAATTTTTATTGGTGAAGATAATTTTCTTAAATTTTCAGGTGTTGAAGCAGGTGAAGCGTGTACTATTGTATTAAGAGGAGCTACTGAACAAGTACTCGATGAAGCAGAAAGATCATTACATGATGCATTATCAGTATTATCACAAACTACAAAAGATACTAAAACAGTATTGGGAGGTGGATGTGCAGAAATGTTAATGGCAAAAGCAGTTGATCAAGTAGCTGCTAATGAAACTGGTAAAAAGGCATTAGCTATAGAAGCTTTTAGTAAAGCTCTTAGACAACTACCTACCATTTTAGCAGATAATGCAGGTTATGATTCAAGTGATTTAGTTACAAAATTAAGATCAGCTATATATAATGGTATATCTACTTCAGGTTTAAATCTTAACGAAGGTATTGTTGATGATATGAGAGAATTAGGAATTGTTGAAAGTTATAAATTAAAAAAAGCAGTTGTTAATTCTGCTACTGAAGCTGCTGAAGTATTATTGAGAGTTGATAATATTATACGTGCTAAACCTCGTACTGCTGATAGAAATCATTAAAGTTAATAATTTTTAATATATACATATACATTCTTGTAATTTTAGTATTGTAGAATTTTCACGATAATTCTTAGTGTAAACAAACCACAAAATCAATCAAAACAAAAAATAATCAAGATTAATTGAAACAAAACCAATATAATGTTTAACAACTAATGAGTCAACTACCAGAAGACACAATAGAAACAATAACACAAACCCTCAAATTATACAACTCAGTAAAAATAAATGAAATAATAATATTCACTAAAAACTTACAATATATAGGAACTTACCCTGAAACCAAATCCAAAAAAGATGAAGATGTTAAAAAATTAAAAGAGTTAATTGAATCAATTGGTACTAGTGAGAAGAAATTGGTTAGTTTCAAAGTTAATAGTGATGCCGATGAAAATACCGAAGAGAGTGGGGAATACATTACTCATTTTATGGAAAAATTTATTATGGTTTATAAATTAGAGAAGTAAATAAGTTCATTTATTGGATTATGGAGTGTAAGCCCAATCTAAAATGTCAAATGTCAGCTTCAACTAAAGGGTGTGATTGTTTACGATGTTCTGATAGTTTTAATTAAAAGAAGAGCCCATTATATTTACTCAATTGGTAGGAAAGAGAATATTTCAGTTTTCATGAAGTAATTAGATGGTGAAGTTTAATCATGGTCATAAGGAAATACATAATTAGTGATTTGTTAACAAAAATTGACATTCAGTGTCTTACAATATTTTGTGTCATAAGCATAAAGTCTTTTGCAACCAACTAACTTTTTTTGATATGGAAAATTACCAAAGAATATAAAAAGAAAAAAAGTGATCTAACAAATATCAATGTTTATATTCAATGTCCCTTAATAAGAACTTCAAAAAATGAGGGTTGAACCAAATACTCCAATCTCAAAAGAAAGTCCACCAGAAGTTAGCTTAAAATTAATTAGGTCATCATCATCATCAACTCATGATTCCAAAAATCAAGATCAACAAAACTCAGAAACTCATGAAGACGATTACGAAACTAAAGACATTATCTACAACCCAGACGAAGAGTTGTTTAATTTCAATACCATCGAATATACGAAAAGAAAAAGAGCATATACAAATTACAATTCATTTTCAAATTTTAAAGAATTAGCAGCATTTTTTAAACTAGAAAATTCAACACTTGAATATTTAAATAATAAAATAAATCAATTTAATCAATACCAAGCTATAATTATTCCTAATAAACAACTTTTAGAATATATTGATAGTGTTGAAAAAACCAAGTTATTTTCTCCTGCTTCTGCTATTGATTGTTTGATTCCTGCTAGTGATGATATCGAAACCGAAAATGGTATGCATGATGATGGTGTTGATGCTACAAAGAAAAATGGTTCAGATGATGTTGTTAAAGAAAAAATTAGATTACCATTAGGAAGTATAACCCAGTACAAATATGGTAAGTCTACTGATGAATCCATTGAAAGCAAGAAAAGAGATGGTGGTTCAGCTGATGTTGATGTTCCTCGATTAACCATCAACCCGTCAGTTAAAGCCCCAAAAGATGATGATTCTGTATCGAAGGAAGATAAACTCCGGAAAGGTAATGAAGATAGAAGAATTGATGCTAGTCCAGTTGATACTAAGAAGATAGAACCAATCAAATTACCATTAATTGACATAACTCATTCAACAACCAATTCATCAGTTAAAAAGGAATTAGATAAACACAATCAAAAATCACTAGATAATCATCCACTTTATTGCGTAAGTTCATTTAAAGCAAGTCATTTAAGAAAAAAAACAAATCCTTATAAGGGATTACAAAATAATGATGAAATTTCACCAAAAGTTGATCAAGAACGGCCATTATTTATACCACAAAGAAGATCAAGAAATTTAAAAATGACCAAATCAAATAATTTAAATGGTAAAGATCAATTTAAAAATGAACCAATTAATAATCTTTTAAGGGATAATTCATTAAATTGTTATCAATTACATATGGATGGGTATAATTCTTCAGTTGATCAAAAGTCTTCAAATGGTGGCACTTGTGATGTTGATGGAAAGTTGCAAAATAAGAAAAAATTTATTGAAAAAAAATGAAGTCAAAAGCTTGTTAAAAGTATCAGTTTTCCTGTTTGTAATTATCTCTGTATAATAAAACGAAATTTCATAAAAGCATTAACTTTCTTTACTCAATCTACAATTATTATAAATCTAAATTAAATAAAGTATATTCTATAAATACATAACGAAACGAACTATATATAAAAAAATTTATAAACGATGTAGAATGATAAAATTGTATGAAAAAGATGTTTGATGTAATGGTTTGATCAGGTTTAAATTTAAGGAAACCAAAAAATACTTAATGAAAAATAAAAATATGCTAGATTAAAATTCTAAAGTTCTAATGAATAATTGAAGTTGATGCAAAAAAAATCAGTTTACATTTTTTTCTATTTCTTTTTCTCAATTACGAAATCATAAACTTGTGATACTTTTTTCGTAGATGTTGATGGTGGTGGTCCATTAGGTCTTTCAAAATCTTCATTACCTGATCCAGAACTTGATGTAAAAATTGTATCTGTTTCTATTATTCTTTCACCTATTACTTCATTATTTTGTACATTATTATTGTTGTTGTTGGTTGTTGTTAAATTACTATCTCTTCTTTGACTTATTGAATTTCTTCGTGAAGTTGGTGGAGGTCCAACCGGTCTACTTATATCACCAATATCATCATTACTATGATTTTGTCCTTCTAAGTCACTAGGTAAATTAGTTGCACCACCACTACCATTATTTAAATTATTATCACCACTACTTGAACTATTAGAACCATGTCTTTGATGAGTTGCAGGAGGATGTTGTAAAGCATTTTTAGCATTTGGATTAGGATGAAAAGTTCCAGAAGAATCATAATAACCCATATCAAATTCATTAGCATGTTGAGTATAAGTAGGTACATAAGCAGAAGGTAAATCAGGATCTCTTAAATGATCAGGTTGATCATATTGATTTTGTGATTGTCTATAAGAAGGTGGTGTCATCCATCTTGTACCATACAATGGTTGTTGACCATGTTGACTTCTTTTTTTATTTACTCTTATAGTTCCTAATATTACTATTATTACTAATACTATAAATATTGCAAAAAATGCCCATCTTGCTGAATTTGAATTTTCCCAATAATTATCACCCCAATCTCTTTTTGTAAAATTATTTGCCGTTGATGATATTATAAAATGATTTATTATTGCCATTATTTGTGAACTTTGAGATTATTTTATTTCGGATATAATAAGTAGTATGAAATAGGTTATTAATGAAAATTACTGAATAAATTTAATTTAGTATTAATGATAGTTATTGAATATCGATTTTATTCAATAAAAATATAGTTGTTGAAATCTAAATTTTTCCGATCTAATCTAAAAATTAATGTTTATTGGATCTTAGATAAATAGGGTTGATTTAATAAGAATAACTTAAACTTTAATCAGTATAAAATTTAATATTGATTTTATGATATTGATTATTAAAAGTTGATTAATATTTGATATAAATATTTGAATTCCGAATACTCTTTTTAATTTAAATAAAAGAAAAGAAAAAAAGTTTAAATTTTATAAATATTAAAATTAAAGAAAAAAAAAAAAAAATGTAAGAGAATGAAATTAATAAAAAAAAAGATAGGAGTTATAAATAAATATATTTATAAGATTAAATTTGTATTAAAGGATAGAGAGATAGGTTTAGTTTAGTTTAAAGATTTATTAAATGAATCGTATAAGATTTAGATGATGATTATAAATATGATTAACGATTATAAAGTAGATCGTTTTTAAATATAAATCAAATCATCAGTGTAAACTTTTAATCAGAAGAGGCTTGTGCAAAAATGTCTTAAATAACAATAAACTCCATTTTAATTCCATGACTTTACAATACAAATTTTTTTCATACCAAATGGAAGTTTGAATCGTATCTTAAATTTAATGTTTTCTTGAATAGTAATAGACAAGGCATTAGACATTATGAAAATTAATTTTACGGTACGGATAATATAAAATTTAAATTTAAATTGACAGTATTTTCTTGTTTAAGATCATTTCATATGCATATTAAAGGAATAAATAGTTTTCTTTATTCTTATAAGGGTTTTTATTTCTTATTTAATTTTTTATATTTTTGACTATTTACTCCCAAGAAAAAGCAAAATAAATTTTAGATTAAACAAGTTATACAATTAAATTCAAATAATTGAACGTATTAATTAATTATTAATTTGACTATTGATTTACTACATCGAATATTGGTACCAATTTAAGTAATTTTTAGAAAAATGAAAGATCAAATTTTTGAAAAAATGTGTTGATTAAATATTTTTTAATTTTTTAACTTCAATTTTAAACGGATTTATTATTACTAAAAATAAAAATTTTAAATCCGATCTATTTAATTTAGTGTAATATAATGATTTTCTCTATACTTTTTAAATTTTCTATTTTAAAGTTTTGCAACCAAATTTTTAAACTATTATTAGACAACTCATATACTTTTAATTTGAGATGAAGTTGGTTGTAAAATCTATACAAATATGTATTGAAGACAATGATTCATTGTAAGTATATACGGGAAGTAGAGATTAAGTTTTATACATTTGAAACTTTCTAACTCAATATAAGATCTATATTAGAAGTGCTTAATAAAATTTGGCAACAAATTGAAAATTGCATTAAAAATTATGATCACTTTTGTTTGATTTTATTCAAGAATCAATCAAGAAGGAAAGTCAAAACTTATTATTCAATTTCAGATATACCTTATGAACTTTCACATTTAACTGCAATTATAAAATTAATTAAAATTGTAATTAATCATTTAAGTCAACCAAATAATTTAACAACTATAAGAGATATTTATTATCAAGATGTTGAAATTTTCAACAAGAAACAACAAGAATGTAAAAAATTATTAATTGATGTATTTGAAGATTCATTAAATTGGTCATTAATTAATGATTTAAATATACATCCAACTCAAAAAGGATTATTTTTTGATAGTTTTAGTAATGAACCAATGCTAATTCCAATTAATTTTGAAAATTATTTTGAAAATAAAAAATTTTGTATTAATGATTTAAAAATTGTGGTTGTTGAAAAAGATGCTGTTTTCCATTCATTTTGTCAATTTCTTAATCTTAATTCTAATAGTGTCAAGGAATTAAATTATATTATAATTACTGCCAAGGGATTTGCTGATAAATTGACACTTAGATTCTTGTCATTTTTAAATTCAACTTATAAACCAATTGCAATTTATGGTTTCTTTGATTCTGATGTATATGGTATAATGATTTATAAACAATTTAATGAAAATTGTGGAAATAGTAACTTAAATTTTAATGGTATATTTTTATTTGACACTAATCCTATTAGTTGGTTGAATATAACCAATAGAGATTTTAAAATAATGAGTAAAATGTCAAATGACATAAATTCATCAACTCATAGAGAGTTATCAAGAGGTATGTTTTTCCATAAAAAAGTTGAAATGAATGTTGTTTCAAATAAAGATGGTAAAGATGAAACAACAAATTATAATCAATATATTTTTAATAAAACCTTTAAATAAAATTGTCTGTCTGAAACACGTGAATTGAAAATATGTCAATCGAAAAAAAAAAATTTCAAAGATTTCAACAAATTTTTTTGATTAATTGTACGTTTTTGAATACACATATTTTTTTTTTTTTTCGAATCAATTTCATTTCAATTGTTCAATTGATTTACTAATTATTCTCAATACCAAAATGTCATTCACAAATCGTCAAGTAGGTGGTAAAAACACTTTAGATTATAAATTATTTTTTGAAAAAGATGGTAAACCAGTTTCACCATTTCATGATATTCCATTATATGCAAATGAAGAAAAAACCATTCTTAATATGATTGTTGAAGTTCCAAGATGGACAAATGCAAAATTAGAAATTTCAAAAGAAATTAAATTGAATCCAATTATTCAAGATACTAAAAAGGGAAAATTAAGATTTGTTAGAAATTGTTTCCCACATCATGGTTATATTCATAATTATGGTGCTTTCCCACAAACTTGGGAAGATCCAAATTATACTCATGCTGAAACTAAAGCAAAAGGTGATAATGATCCATTAGATGTTTGTGAAATTGGTGAAAGAGTTGCCCATGTTGGTGAAGTTAAACAAGTTAAAGTATTAGGAACAATGGCATTATTAGATGAAGGAGAAACTGATTGGAAAATCATTGCAATAGATGTAAATGATCCATTAGCTTCAAAATTAAATGATATTGAAGATGTTGAAACTCATTTACCTGGATTATTAAGAGCAACAAATGAATGGTTTAGAATTTATAAAATTCCAGATGGTAAACCAGAAAATCAATTTGCTTTTAGTGGAGAATGTAAAAATAAAAAATATGCAGAAGAAATTATTACTGAATGTAATGAAGCTTGGGAAAAATTAATTTCTGGTCAATCTGTTGATTCTCATGGTATTGATTTAACTAATACTACTCTTGCAAAAACTCCTAAATTTGATGATAATGTTGATATTCCAACCGCTTCTCCTGCTGAAGCTGCTCCAATTGATAAATCTATTGATAAATGGTTTTTCATTTCTGGTGCTCATTAAATTAACTATATAGTGAATTAGTAATACTAAATAATGGTTTTAGTAATCTATGATATAAATTACATAAATTGAAGGACTTAAGAAGTTTATTTTTTAAAGATCATTATACCCTGTTTAAATAAGCAATTACAATATCTGCATAATTTTAATCAGCCTCATTACCACAATTAATTTATAACATTTAAAGATTATCTACTTGTAAGTTAACTAATATTAATCGGTTTGTAACTTAAATTGGATTAAAGTCCGTTATTCAGCCTTTCATTAATTCTCTTAGATATGGATAAAAGTACAAAAAAATAATATTATACTATTAACCGGAATTAACAAAATATTCATAACAAATTTACTAATCTCAATTATAAATCAAATATCTTATCAGAAAAAAAAAGATGTATATATAAATATTATCAACAATTCATCACATATCTGAAAATTTCATTTGATCATTATAATACAATTCATATAACAATGTCATTAGAAAAAATCATCATAATTGGTGGTTCATATGCCGCAATTTTAGCATTAAAAACAATATTATCATCTAAAACCAAAAAGTTCGATATAACAATCATTTCCCCAAATGAATATACTTTTTTCAATGTTAGTGTACCAAGATTGTTAATAGATAATTCATTAATTGAAAAAACTTTATTTCCAATTAAAGAAGTTGTGGAATATTTAGCTAAGGGAACAGGTAATAAAGTTACACATATAAGATCAAGTGTTGAAAAAGTTGAATTTGATACTAAATCAGTGATTGTTGCTAATGGTGAAAAATTAAATTATGATTATTTAATAATTGCATCTGGTTCAAGATCAACTTCTCCATTATGGAAATTAGATTCAACAAAGAGTAATGATTATAATTTAGATTCAATTAAAGAATTTACTGAAAAGATTAAAACTGCTAAAACCATAGCAATCATTGGTGGTGGTGCAACTGGTGTTGAAACTGCTGGTGAATTAGGTACTGAATATTATGGTGAAAAAGATATAACTTTATATACTGGTTCATCAGGTCCATTATCAGAAACATTACCAAACCATGTTGATTCAGCCACACAAAAATTAAATAAATTAGGAGTTAAAATTATAAACAACGAAAGAGTTAAACCAGAAGGCAATACTATTATATTACAAAATGGTACCAGCGAATCATTTGATTTGGTTATAGAAGCATTTAAATTAATTCCAAATACTGAATTTTTATCAAAAAATTATTTAGATGATCAAGGATATATTAAAACAAACAATTATTTTCAAATCCCCCAAATAAAAGATGTCTTTATTATTGGTGATGTGTTATCAATTGGTTTACATTCAATAGTAGATTTATCATATAATCAAAAACCAATATTTGAAAAAATTATAGAAAAAGAAATTTTTAATAATAATAGCATAGTATTAAAAGAATATCAAAGACCTACAACACCTACCTATTTAGTACCTATTGGAAAAAATGGAGGAGTTGGAGCTTTTTATGGTTGGAATTTTCCTAATTTTTTAGTTTGGTATTTAAAATCAAAAGATTTTATGATTCCTAAAGCAAAAAAATTTTTAACTTAGTTTACAATTTAGTTCATTTATGGAATATATTTTCATATTTTTTTTGGTTTTTATAGCTATTGTTAAGCTTATTTTTAGATTAATATATATATGACCAAATTTAAGTTTATTTTATTTGTAATTCTTTTTTAATTTACTTTTATATGATTTCGAATGTAAATTTATATATTTCCGAAGAAGTGACACAAAATCAACCCCACCCTCCCTGTAAAAAAGTTTTTCTTATTCAACTTGGAAATTTGGCAAATTTTTACACACAAATTTTCAAAAAATCTCGAACCAACTTAAAAATTGGATTGGTACCTATTTTAGTTTATTTTGAATGTTATTCGTATGTGATTTTTTTCACCAAATTGAGCTGAAGCAACAGTATATCGGAAATCAAGAATTGCCGACACTTGAAATATTTTGGTGAACTTTGAAAATCTAATTTTTGAGAATTCTTTCTTATTATTGGTGTTTCACATACTCTTATGTATATCATTCGAATCAGGAGAATTTTCTCTTTCATATGAGGGTCTTATCTCAAAAATGAAAAATTTAACCGCTCTAGTGCCTGCTATATAGGACACTGGGGACGGCCCAACATTTCACAATTTTCAAAAAATTTTTTAGATGTCAAAGAATGAGACTGCAATATTAATGTTCGAAAAGTAAATGTAATTTGTATGAGACTTTTTGTTCCAACTACTCCGTGTTAGTCAATATTTGAGCATAACGACAAAGCAATTTTCATAACTAATCTGGGAAAGGAAAAAAATTTGAAAGTTTTGGTGAACACTCAAGAGTTATACTAATTAATACATCTAGTTTAGGGAACAACTTGTGTGGTCGCTAGTCAGGGAAGTTTTATTATATAAACCAACTTATATAATCCATAAAGTAACTTCCGTAGGTATTATGCCGATATATGCAAGGTTGGCTATAAAAACTTGTGGCTAGTAAAAAAATAAGGTTTTCGGTCGATAAATATTATTCCTAATTCCATTAGGATTATTAAACAAAACTTCCTGTTCAAATGTCAGCAATACTTGAACTAGCATGTAGTTGATAATGCTTATTAATTATGGATGACATACATGCAGCTGCTGAATGGGCTTACTAATCACACAATCCTGACCATTTAATATAAAAAGAGATCAAAATTGCAAATGTTAAATTTAATCTTCTTAGAAATCAACTGATTCAAGCAATTGCCAATTTAAACTGCTATTATTGATTCGCATTAAAAAATTGAAATGTCTGCTCAACCAGAATCTGTTTTTGTCACCGGTGCTACTGGCTATATTGCTCAACATATTGTTAAACAATTACTTGAACAAGGATATAGTGTGATTGGTTCAGTTAGATCAGAAGAAAAAGGAAAAGATTTAAAATTAACAATTGCAAAGACTGATTTAATTTCAGATTTGTTTCATTATGTTGTTGTTCCAAATATTATTGACAAGAAATCCTTTGATGAAGTGTTTGATGAACATCCAGAAATTAGGGTCGTATTACATACTGCATCTCCAGTTGATTTTACTGCAAAAGATGCTCAAAAAGATATTATTGAACCAGCAGTTCTAGGTACAAAAAATATTTTACAATCAGCCAAAGAACATTCAAATATCAAACATGTTGTTATTACCTCTTCTGCAGTTAGTGCTATTGATATTACTGGATCAGTTAAACCCGATGACGTTGTGACTGAAAATTCTTGGAGTAAACTAGACTTTAAACATTTAAAGGGTCCAGAAGATGCAAGTGTTGGTTATGGTCTTAGTAAAACTTTTGCCGGTAAAGAAGTTGACAAATTTATTGAAAATGAAAAACCAAATTTCACTATAGCTTCAATTTTACCACCTTATGTATTAGGTCCACAAGCATTTGAAGTTAAAGATAAATCTCAGTTAAATTTCTCAGCTGAATTAGTCAATAAAGTTTTAAAGTTGAAACCAGATGATAAAATTCCTGAATTTGTTGGGTTTTTTGTTGATGTAAGAGATGTTGCTCATGCACATATAAAAGCAATTGAATCAAGTAAAGAAACAAATGGTAAAAGAATAGCCACTGATGCTGGATCTTTTACAAATGAAATTATTGCTACTATAATTAATAAACATTTTCCACAAGTCCATATACCTGAAGGATCAGTTAAAAAATCAAATGAGCAATTGAAAGATAAAGATTTTGCAAGAAATTTTTCAAAATCTGAAAAATTATTAGGATTTGATTATATTCCTTTGGAAAAAACTATTGTTGATTCCGTTCAACAAATTCTTGTTGCTAATTAAATTTTATGGTGGTTTAAAATATGAATAAATAGCCTCTTAATATAGCTTGTGAGTTTTGTTTAATTTCATTTGATTGTAAGTTCTGAAACTCTGGCATGAAAGTTTTCCTGTCTTAAATCTCTACTTTAAACAGTCACTCATATTGCCTTTGGTCTATATATACTATACAAAGAAAAAGAGTAGGGGTATTCGAAAATGCAGTTGAAATAACGCTAAAAAAAAAAAATTGACATGTCCTGGCTCAAATAGAAAACCCTCAAAATTTTTAGGGGGTAGTTTTACAGACTCTCTAGCATCAAGAACCAATAGGCAACATGTATGCATCACTAAAGCTTATATTTGTGTTAAATTATGTAATTGCTGAAGCTCTGCTGGTACATGTTATTACTTTTGCAACAATAAATTGTTGACAGCTGTAAAGTCCCCCATTTGAGAATTCTTTAAGGTACCTCATGGTAGTTAAATATTTGTGGTTGTACTGGCAGATAAATAGTGTAACTCCAGTTGCTTTGAAGTAATGATTTTTCATATTTATTCATTTCTTTTCTAGATTTAATTTACAACTTAAGGTTTTATTCAATAGATCTTCAAAAAATCAGTAGTTGAAAATAATTCGTAATTTTCTTCTCCCAAAGTCTTAGCTGTCAGTCTCTAAATAATGTATGTGTAGGGTTCTAATGATCTGTTTTGTAAACTTTATTTGTGAGGCTTTGGCTTGGTCTGGGAGTTGTTTTGTTTGGATCGACTATGGACTGCATTTGTCTTAAGTCTTTGTCAAGCCACAATCTAGATTTATTCTGTTCCTTGTACCAATGCTTAGTTTTAGTCTGATCTTTTGAGTGATATGTTCTCAAACTAATTGGATCTCTCATAGACCAAATGTAGCTGTTGTTGTATTGAATTCATCAAACCAAAGTTGAGTTAGAATCAACTATCTACCTTTATCAAAGAACCAGCCCACTCACGATCATGAATCTCAAGTATCAAAGTCAAAAAGGGTTGTCAGTTAATTATCCAAAACACCAAAGATCTTACTTGCTTCATTCCAGTGTCTAATCCATATCAAAGTCCAGTCAATTAGTCAAGTTTGTCTCCAAAGGTTGAGTCCCAAGTTTGATAAAATCGATAATTTGTTCAATGGGGTCGGAAAAGCGTCTCAGTTAGTCAACTCAGGTATTTCCCATACTTAAGTGGGTGAAATGTCTCACAAATATTTCTCAATTGATGATAAAGCTAGAATTCTGAAGTTAGTAGAATAAATAAATATATCTACATTTGCATGGATAAAAGTAGGTTTCTGTGATCAATTGGAGAAGAAGAAGGTTTTCAAAATGTCCAAAAAATTGTTTTTTTTGTTTGTATTTAAATGGCAAAATATTTGATATGCTAATCTTTAGCTGCAAAATATTTTGCACCTAGTAATAAAGTTGTAAACAAGATGTAAAAATTTCTTTTCACTACTAGTACGTCTCTCGCAAACAACTAAATACAACGAAGCTCAATGTTCCGCTCAAATAATTTCTAGTGAGACTGACTACCTGAGAAATCCTCTAAGTTACAAATTATCTCATTATTTGCTTTAATGCAGTTTGAGTTCAGAATATTTGACCAATTTTCAGACTTCGAAGACGCACATTACACAAAAACAAAATGATAATAGAATTGAAAAGATAAAATATTCTGTCACTGTTAAACTCAAACAATTAAGTTACAGAACCAAGTTCAATTATTATATGGATGATTACAAACAGCTAGGTCCAAATGAGATAATTAGCTCTCATAGAAATACATTTTTTTTTACATTATTACAAAATGAAGGATTAACAATAGTGGATTTATTGCAGAATCAAGAATTATCACTAAATCAAAAGAATTCAAATTTAGCTGAATTGTTCAACAGACCAGAACTAGAAGTTGATGTTTATTATGATTTATTGAGAAAAGATTTTAATGTTGAACCTACCGATATTGATGATATCTTTGGTGATGAAAATGAGAAATATATCAAGACTGGGATTCAGTCAATTGATGAAGATTTAGGTGGTGGATTACCAATTGGTGAAGTTACAGAATTATTTGGAGCAAGTGGATGTGGGAAATCTCAATTAGTATTTCAATTTATCAAAAACTGTCTAAATGAATTGGAAGATTCCAAAGTTGTTCATATATCAACTGAGACTAACCTAAATTCTACAAGATTAAATGATTTTTTGGAGAATGATCAAACAAAAATGGAAAAAATCTCATGTATATATTGTCCAGATTTGATATATCAAGATCATATACTATATACTCAAGTGCCGATTGAATTAGAGAAAAATTCAAGTACAAAATTATTAGTCATTGACTCAATATCTCATCATTTTAGAGGAGATGATTCAATATCAAGCAGTGATATACTAAAAGAAAAGATGGAGTCAATTGTGACAAATTTGGAAGATGATCCAGATTTTGAAGAGTTAAAACAAACTGAGAAAAAGCAGTCGAAGTTCAAAAACTACAAGACTGAAAAATACTCCAAGAGAGTTCAAAAATTATATTACATGATTCATTTGTATAGACATTTAAACAGATTAGCTAAAAAATATCAAATTGCAATTGTTGTTATAAATCAAGTTAGTGATTATGCATCAGATATAAATACAGACTATGGTCAATACCTAATTGAAGATATAGATGATCCATTAAATTATGATTTTCAAATTCCAATATCAGCAGGATGGGATCAAAAATCTATATTTAACTTACTACCTAGACATTTTATAACTACTGATTCCCAAAATACATTACTGAATATTCAAATAAATGAAAGAGATGTAGAATTATTAGATTTAGAAATTGAAAAATCAATGGATATATCAAACAAAAGATACAGGACAACCAATGAATATGATCCAAAAAACAACAAAACCAATGTGGTTAATTTACTCGAAAATCAAAAAGAATTAATTTTAAAATCTTATAATTTAAGAAACAAAAATTCAATAAATAAATTAATTCCAACTTTAGGTTATACATGGTCAATGAATTTACAAAACAAGATAATGGTACTGAAGAAATATAAACCAGATCTTAAAACCAAAAAGGAAATAGAAGAAGAAGCAGAAAATTTTAACTCAATAGATTTAGAATCAGGTATATCTTTTAATCAACTAATGGAAGAAGTAAATTCAAATGGTAAACGACCTTCAAGTTCTTCTTCAAATCCTCAATCTATAGACCTAATCAATAAGACTACAAATTCTTTATTAAAAGGTTGGAAAGTTCAAAGATTTATAAAAGTTATTCAAAGTTCTAATAATTTCTTAAATGAAAGTAATTTTGAATTACATAAATTTGTTATAGAGAAAGATAGAATCACTTAGCTGTATAGATATATATTTATTTGTATTATTACGTTATATAGAAATTGCTGCAATTCAATTGTTTCATATTTGAACTACTCACCAATAATAATAGAACGTGATTTACACAAAATGTAAGTAAGTAATAGAACGTGTTTATCAGTAAAATAGAGTAGTGCAATCAAGAACAAAAATTACGATACTTTGAAATAATAAATTATAAGTTCATAAGTTTAATAAATATAGCACAAAGTAATCACGTATAATAAATAGTAAATATTTACAACCAGCTTTTAATTATATATATCAATAATTTGGCAACAACAACTTCAAATACCAATAACTACAGTCTACAACACGGTATATCAACTATTCAATAAATACGCTTTCTATAATTAAAAAAGATGAAGGTACGAACTTAAACTGATGACGGAATTTATTTCTCCATGATTTTACAACCAGATTTAATACTAACGAATTTACCTAAAGTATATTGATGAAATTGATCTAGAATTAGTAAATCAAGAACTAAATTTTATAGTACCTGAAAATAATCTAAATATAAGAGGAGGATGTGAATTATTTACAACAAAACCAATTGGTTCAGATAGGAAATTATTCAAGACAATAGATAAACATTTAAATCAAATAATAGAAGATAATCAATTATCAAGATCATTAGAAAAAGAAAGACAGAATTCATTAGGTTCAATGTATGGAACAAGTGGTAGTCCAATTGATATACGAATAAATAATCAAAATTTTGCAGAAAGGAAAAGAAGGTCGAGTTCAAATCTGGGGAAATTAAATTTTCACAAAAGTTCAGTAATATCAAATACAACAGATGATGAAAATAGTGCAAATGTAAGTACATCATCATTATTATCAAAATCTTTAAATGACGATAGTATAATAGCGCAAGAAATACCCATTGATGAATCACCATTTGGACCTTTAAAAAGTACAACAACAAGAAGAACTTTTGCATATCTTATAGCTATTTTGAATAATACATTTCCCGATCAAGATTTTTCAAACTTACAACCAACTTTTGAAAATTTTTACAAGATTGAATCACCAGAAGATTTAATACAGAAGTTCAATAATCTTTTAGTTTCATTAGGTAAAAAAGAAGATATTTTAAATTGGATTTGGGATATAATAAATTCTTACATGGAAGTATTACCACTTAAGAATTCATCACCTTATTTATCAGCTCAAGGCTCTGGTAGTCCCACTAATAATCAAGGTTCAAGAAAAAACAGCTTAAACATAAGTAGTAGGAATGGATCAACTTCAACATTAAATGGAGCATCAAGTAATAATTCACCACCAGGTTCTACACCATCAAGTTATGAAAACTGTCAAATATATCAATTCCAACCATCAGATGAATCAATATTTGAAGATTTAACGTATCCACATCAACCAATGTGGTCCTACTACTGGTTTATCTACAATCGAAAAAGAAAAAGAGTAACTTTTTTACATTTAACAGCAATACAAATATCTACAAAGGAAAAAAAACGAAATTCAAAAGATCTCAATACGAATGATGATAAATTAATTCATGAAGATTATGATGATGAAGAATATGATGAAAATGATGAATATATAAATAATGGAGAAGAAGATGAATTAGAGGAAGATGATGAAGATGTAGATGATTTAACTAAGGCTACTACTTTAACTGAAGAAAATGCCGATGTTGTTGGTGATCTTGAAATTTGAATACCCTAATTTTGTATATACTCAAATATGATATGTTTTAATACAAAAAAGAAATTGATTTTCTTCCTCGTTGCTGACTTGAAGAGACCAAATCTACAAAATTTAAGAACTTGTAGCTGACAAATTTATTCTTTTATTAATTCACTACTTTTAATTAATTTTTCATCAATAACTAAACAATTTCTCATATACTCTTTACTAGTAAGCACTAATTCATAATACATGATAAATTTCGGCTTTTTTGAGTTATGTTGAAAATTACCATTATTGTTTTCCTGTGGTTGTTGTTGTTGTTGTTGATATTGGTTTTGTTGTTTGGGCTTTTTATATAAGACAGAAGATGGATGAATATAGCATGGAATTTTCAGTTTGGATTTGGTTATATTCTCATAACAATTTCCCATTGGTGATAATTTGACAACGTTATTGAAAAACCCTTTAAGAAGTACTTTTTGAATTTTAGTAATTTTTTCATCTGTTATTTCAAAAAAATCCGAATCTTTTGTTTTGGTGGAAAGACCAATTTTATCACATTTTTGAATTAATTGAGTATATATGTTTTTTATCCTTTTCATCGTTTTGTGTTGAATGAAATTATCATTACACCATTCCTTCGAGTAATCGTTTTTAATCCAATACAAGTATATGTTGAGTAAAGTTATATGATCACCTTGTGAATGATTGAATTGATTGAACCTATTTTCGTTGAACTCATTGGTAGATTTTTTAGGTCTAAATCTTAAATTGGAAGATTCTGTCAACATTGATATTATTATACATATTTCCTTCGTTATTGCAAATTTTTCACTTTCGATTATACATTTTGTAAGGACTGGATCTAATGGGAATTCATTCATTTTGAAACCAGTTTTGGTTAGTTTACCACCAGTTGTGATTGCGTTTAAACTATATAATAAATTTAAAGATTTGATCAAGTTGGGTTTTGGTGGAGAATCCAAAAATTTGAAATTTAACAAGTCATTAATACCTAATGATAATAATAACAAAACAATTGAATTTAAATTTAATCTTTGAATCTCTGGTTTAGTTGATGCTTCCATATCATTATCAAATGAATATTTTGTAAAAATTCTAAAACATTTACCAGGTCCAACTCTACCTGCTCTACCAGCTCTTTGATCACAGTTAGCTTTGGAGCATGGTACAACCACTAAGCTTTCCATACCTGTTGTTGGGTTATATTCATTTTGTTTTACATAACCTGAATCTATTACGTACGATATTCCATTGATTGTTATGGATGTCTCTGCTATGTTTGTAGCTAAAATTACCTTTCTTGTATCGGGCAATGTTGGCTCAAAAATCTTGTATTGTAAATCATTTGGCAAATTTGCGTAAATCACACAAACATTCATTTTCTTATCTTGTAATTGATCTTTTAATCTTACAATTGATTCATTTAGTTGAGTTTCTAATTTTTCAATTTCCTCTTGTCCTGTTAAAAACACTAATATATCACCAGGTAACGGTTGAGTCAAATGGATTTGGAAAATAGTTGTCATTATAGCATTTAAATAATTAGCTTCTGGTTGTTTTGTATAATGAATCTTCACGGGAAATCTTCTACCGGGTATATTCAATATTGGTGAGTTGTTGAAAAATTCTGAAAATTTAGTAGCATTTATTGTAGCACTTGCAATAATCAATTTTAAATCTTTTCGTTTAATACATAAATCCTTTAGCAAACTTAGTAGTATTTCAGTAGATAAAGTTCTTTCATGAGCTTCATCAATAATTATCGCATTGTATTGAGACAAATTTGGATCATTTAAAAATTCTCTTAATAACATACCATCAGTTGAAAATTTTATAACTGTATTTTGTGAGGTTTTATCATCAAATCTTATGGAATAACCTACTTTATCACCCAACTTTGCATTCATTTCAATAGCTACTCTTTGAGCAACTGATGATGCTGCTATTCTTCTTGGTTGGGTACATCCTATTAATTTTGTATTGTTATTTGAATATCCAGCTTCATATAAATACTGAGGAAGTTGTGTTGTTTTACCAGAACCTGTTTCTCCTACAACTATTAAAAATTGGTTTTCTTTCACTAGTTTCAAAAACTCTTGTTTATATTGGAAAACAGGTAGTGAACTTCTAACATTTTCAATCTCTTTTTGTTCAATTTGTGCAGGTGACTCTGTTTCATCTTCATCTAATATTTCATCCTCATCGAAATTAACGTACTGTGATTCATCGAAGACATACTCATATTCTTTATCTTCTCCAATATGAATTTTATCATCTGTCTGTAATGTTAGCTGTTGAGCTTTTTTAAATTGATCTGTTTCCCAATCTATTTTTGGTTGTTGTCTTTCTCTATCATTGGGTAGCCTTCTATGTAGTAATTCTTTTTTATTTTGTGGATCCGAGTAGTTGTTGTAGTTGTTTCTATAATTGTCTCTTTGGTGTTGGTGTTGGTGCAGTTGACGTTGATAATTGTTCCCATTATTGTTATGATAAGTTTGTGATCTTTGATGGTCTTTAAAAGGTTTAGCCAATTCTGCTTCCGCATCACTCTTTTGTGCAGAGTCCGAGTCTCTGTCATTTCCATTTTGATCTTCCTCTATTACTTCATCTTTTATTATATTGTTCTCCTCGTTATTACTATCAAATTCGAAATGTGTTCTCTTTCTCCTATATCCATATTCTTTGTTTCCATTTGATGAGACCATCTATTCTTGGCCTGGTTTATGTCTATCGTTATCCAGTTGTATAATGGTTGTTTGAATTGATTAGATGATCATCCCTTTAATTGTTGTCAGTTTTGTGATATTTCTAAATTAATTAATTGTTTCATAATTTAGATCAAACTTTTTACATTCCTTTATCTCATAGAGGAATTTGCAAATCAACTTAAAACAACCATTGATTAACTAAATTAGATTTATAAATATTCTTTATGTTTTAAATTATGTCATTGAAACCAAAAGCTAGAAGGTATTCAAGAATTTCTCCAAATCACAGCGATACTTCGTTTATCAGTCCATCAATTGAAGAAAACTTACAAGATGTTACAAGCCTACAAGAGAATTTTAAATCAAAATTAGATCTAGATAATTTAAACATATCAACCGACTCAATTCCAAATAGATTATCTACCGATTTACCTGTAAGGTCACCACTATTATCAAAATTTAGCAATTCTTTATCGGACATTCCAATATTATCCCCTGATCTGCCCTATTATAGTCCATCACCTCAAATAAACGAGCATTCGAAAATGAATACTTCATCATATATCCCACCATGGACAGAACCTTATATAATTGGTATAGCAGGAAATTCTGGAAGTGGTAAAACTTCTATCTCGCAACAAATAATTCAAGGTATAAATCAACCATGGACAGTTTTACTTTCATTTGATAATTTCTATAAATCATTAACTCCAGAAGAAAGTAAAAAAGCATTTCAAAATGAATATGATTTTGATACTCCAAAATCACTAGATTTGGATGCCATAGTTGAAACTATACAAAGTTTGAAAAAAGGTGGGAAAGCGACTATTCCAGTTTATTCATTTGCTAAACATGCGAGAACTGATAGAACTAATACTATATATGGAGCCAACGTTGTTATAGTGGAGGGACTTTACGCATTATATGATGAAAGATTATTATCAATGATGGATTTAAAAATTTATGTTGATACAGATTTGGATATTTGTTTATCAAGAAGATTAATTAGGGATATTTTGTATCGTGGGAGAGATTTAAGTGGGGCCATAAAGCAATGGCAAAATTTTGTAAAACCAAATGCTGTAAAATACATCAATCCAACTAAAGAAGTTGCAGATTTAATCATACCTAGAGGTTTAGATAATTCTATTGCTATAAATTTAATGATTAGACATATAAAGAATCAATTGATAGCAAAATCAAGAAAACATTTGCAAAATTTGAAAAACTTAGGTTTAAGCAATACTTTCCACGTTAAAAGTCTACCAAATTTGAAAATCTTACCAGTAACAAATCAGTCAAGAGGTATAAATTCTATTATTTTAGACGTCAATACCTCCAGAAATGATTTCATTTTTTACTTCAATAGACTATCCGGTATACTAATAGAATTCGCTCAAATGAATTTATTTGACTTTGAGTCAATGGATGTTGTAACTAAAGGTAATCATATATACAAAGGATTAAAATCAAAACAAAATCAACAAGTAGCAGTAAGTATAATAAGAAGTGGGGATTGTTTTATGTCACCTTTGAAAAAGACTTTTCCAGAACTAACAGTGGGTAAAATGCTTATCCAAAGTGATTCATCAACAGGTGAACCTCAATTACATTTTGAAAGTTTACCCAAAAATATAAATGAAATAGGTAAAATAATGTTATTTGATTCACAAATTATAAGTGGAGCAGGAGCAATAATGGCAATACAAGTATTGATAGATCATAAAGTTGAAGAAAAAAACATCATATTCATAAGTTATTTATCAACAGAAATAGGTATAAGAAGAATATTAAATGTTTACCCAAATGTTAATTTAGTAATTGGTAAATTATCATCAATGGAAGAGATTAAAGATGATTGCGACCTAAAAGATGTTCCTTGGTATAATGAAGAAAGATTTTGTGATACTAATTGGCATTTTAGAAATAGATTTATAGATAGTTTATATTTTGGAACTGATTAGTTAGTTATAGTTGGTTTCAAATTAAATTTGCAAATAAAACGCGCATGAGATCTTCAAAGATAAAAATAAATCGCAATCGGATCTCTGGATAGATATGACGTACGTCCTTGCGACTTTCACGACATATCTGGATAACCGAAAAATAAATTTATTATTTCTTTTGATTTTGCAACATCATTTTCTAATAATAGTCATACATCAACTTTCAGTTTGCTAGATCGAACACGAATTAAAATATGAAAATTGTTCAAAATGTTTCATATCGAATAAAATCATATCTATCACAACATATATCGACAACGAATTTACGACTTTCAGCATTTTTAATATCATTAATATCATGTTTAGTATCTGGATCAATTTTATTATTTACATTATTTACCCCATCATTTCATGATATATTGGGATTGACTTATTTACAAATAAATTTTATAGCTTCATTATCAGCTGGTGGAATGTATCTATGTCTACCTGTTTTGGGGTATTTATCAGATTGTTATGGACCTTCAATATTATCGTTTTTATCAGTTTGGTTTTTCGTTCCTAGTTACGCATTAAATAGTTATTTGGTACAATGTGGAAATAATAATGTTATTTTGTATTGTATTACGTTTTGTATGATTGGATTAGCTACTTCATCATTATATTTTTCGAGTTTATTAAGTTGTGCTAAAATTTTCCCCAAACAAAAAGGATTAGCTATTTCTTTACCTATTTCATGCTATGGATTAAGTTCATTAATGGGACTGCAATTGTTGAAATTAAATTATTTCCAAATGAAGGAAAGGGATGTTTTGAATTTAGTTCGAGTTTTCAGTTTTTTTGCTTGGTTATATTTAGTAATGGGAATTTTTAGTTTTATTTCAAGCTCGATAGTTTTAGTGGAGCAAGATGTGTTGTATGACTTAGAAGAAACAGATGTTGAAACCACTCCATTAATTAATGAAGAATTAACTCCACAAAGATCAATAAGATCAGTTGATCCACCAAATCATAGACAAAGATATATTAGTTTTTTAAAAGATTATTCTGCATGGATTATATTATTCTCATTAATTTTAAATATTGGACCTTTGGAGAGTTACCAAAATAATTTGAGTTCTATTACAGCAATATTGGAACCAGTCAGAATGAAATCTAACCTTTCTGATAAAGTTGGATTATTAGCTTTATCATCAACAATAACAAGATTAGCAGTTGGTGGATTAAGTGATATTTTCCACAAGAAGCAAATAAATGCAGTTTGGATATTAGTAGTTGTAATAGTGCTTGGGATATTTGGTCAATGGAATAATAACATAATATTAAATGGTGTATCATATGGCGGGGTATTCACTACATATCCAACAATAGTAGCATCAGTTTGGGGAATAGATATTATGGGATCCACATGGGGTTCTTTCATGGTTGCACCAGCTGTAGGATCAATAGTATTTTCATTATTTTATGGTAAAATAGCTGATCGTCAAGGTGATTCTCAAAAAAATGTTTTAACATATTTTAGAATTACATCATTTGCATTATTTTTAAGTTGTATTTTAGTATTATTAGCATTTCGAATATGGAAAAAAAGAGGACAAGTTTTGGTATAAATAGTAATAGACTTTATGTATTAGAATAGACTTTTTGTATTTATTTATTAATTAAAAAAATTTGGTTCAAAATTTAAGAAATTCAAATTTGAATTTGGATTTAATTCTAAATCTTCTGCTAATCTGTTGAATCTTTTGGTTTTATCTATCCATGAACTAGTTACCATTTCTTCAGTTTGAATTTTTTTGAGTTGGTTCCACATATTTTCTCTTCTCATTTCCATAATTAATTCACCATCACTTAAATCAAACAAATCTCGGTTTTTAGGTGGTAAATTATTAGCTAACAATTTTTCAAATTTCTTTAAAACATCTATTGGTATAAGTAAACATGCTTTTTTGATATATTCATTATTATTCGAACTCAATATTTGTGGTAGATTTTCATTTAATTTCATACCTAGCATATGCATACGACGTAACATAATTGAATATTTAAATCTAGATGAAATGTCACCCAAAATTAATGCTTGTGCATGACCATATTCTCTTAATAATTCGTTAATTCTGTGTAATGTATATACATCACTCATATCTGTCATGACTCGAATATTACAGTTCACCCGTAATCTAATAAATGTAAAAATCAAATTGTTGAGGTGAAGATATATTTGAGTCAATGGCATAATGAATAATGGAACTGAATTTGGTGCATGTTTTTGGAAAACATAAGTATTCAAAAATGATAAATCTTCTGTTAGGATAGTCATTGCTTTCATGAAATAATTTGATTGTGCTTCTATATCTTTTAATTCTTCAAAATATACATATAATGTAAAATAAGTGTAAACTAAATTACACTTGACGTGAATGAAAATTTTTATATCAAGTAATGATACTGGAGTTAATTCATATTGTTGAGTTTTGACATTTATATCTCCCACTGTTTCTTTCAATTCCAACTCTAAATCATCTAATAATTTAGTCAAATCATCAATTTTAACATTTTGGTCAACTGTTAATTGATACTCTGATAATCTCCTACACAATTTGAATAAATTTTGATATTTTTGAAAACTCGTAATAATCTGCTGTTCAACTTTTGAATCAGAACAATTTGCAGAATCAGAATCTAATGTAGGTATTGAACAATCATAAGTTTGTAAATTCGTTGATAAAGTAGTATTAAAAATTAAAGAATTTAAAATATCAAATCTAACAATAAAATGCCATATCTTTCGTCGAAGATTTTGAATTTTGGGTAATTGATGATTAAAACAAATGGGATCTCTATTTAAACCAATGGAATAACACAACTGAACTATTGCACCCATTGTGATTTGTATTACACTTCCTGTGTTGGTATTCTCTGGCGATAGTATTAAATATATTCGAATCATTATCCCTGCTTGTAATGCAGTAAAACTTTGCTTTCTAGTAAAGTCAAATTCTTTCATTATTGTTTCCGCTGCTCTGAAAGCATCGTATGAGACAGGATATTTAACTAATTTAGATTCACTTTGACCATTCATATCTAATAATGATAAGTATGTTAACCTAAGTATAATTAAGTGCATGGCTAATATTGCTAAATCATTTGATGAATCAACATTGGGGAAAGTATTCATGTAATCATCACTTATTTCTGGTCCCAAAATTCTATTTAATGATGATCTAAATTCTGATTCATCAATAATTGGCATTAATGGATATATGTCTTTAAAGAAAATATTCAATAATTTCTTGTTAACCCAAGCTGGTGGAATTAAATTAAAATATGAAGATATTGGATCATTAAAATCAATACCAGGAGAAGCAAAATGCAAACTTTTTTCATTTATACCAATTATAGTTTTTATTTCATTAATATCAATATCTTCTTCAATTTCAGGTATATGGGACGCACCAAAAATAATCCTAGATTGTGTTTTCAACTCCTCAATTTTTTCAGGTTTCAAATCATTTAATATAGCAGAAATATCAAAAACATTAGTATTACCTTTAATAGACAGTGCAATATGATTCCATAACAATTTAGCACCAATATCTCTTCTCATTAACAGCAAGTAAGGAAATGGTCGGTGTGACATTATTAGTGGTTTCCATTCTTGAAAACAGTATTGAAAATTTATTTCACCTGGTGGGATTTTTGAAAGTTTTGATGATTTTTCTTCTAGTTTTGATTCTAAATCTGCTATTTTCTTTTTGATTTTGAGAATCTCCTCTAGTTGTTGACTTTCTGATGATATGTTGGGTATATTTGTGGGTATATTGTTAGATATGTTTGTTGAAGTATTTGTTGTAGGTATATTATTATCCAATTTTATCTTCTTTTTAACTTGTTGTGGTTTTATTTTAGATATTTTAAGACTTTTCATAGATTCAGTATATAAACATTCATGTTTTAATTTAATACAAGTTTCACAAGGTTGTTGTCTATCACATTTTATTTTTCTACCTCTACATCTATCACAACTTAAAACTTTTCTATTTCTTTTTTGTAAAGTTTTGGGTTGTAGGGTTTTGGTCTCCATTCTTGTGTAAGGGTGTTGAGATAAAGCTTTGAAGTTGAAAGTTTTAACGAAGTAAATTCAATTCTTTCTGAGACCTTTTGATGAGTTATCTATGCGTATTTTTGACTTTATATAAATTGACCTGTAATAAATGCTGTATAAATAACAAAGTATTTAAAGTGTGTATTTATTTTATTTTATTTCTTTACATAGCCGTTACAAAATGAATCTCGGATATATATTTAGATTACTTGTGAATCAAGTTTTAGCCGTTTAATTAAATTTATAATTATGTTATTTTAGTTTTATTCAAGACCAAGTTTTATGTTGGCTTAGAATTGAGACTCACTTAATCTTAATTCACATTCATCACACAATCTTTGCTTTGAATGCATAAATCAACTTGATTTGTTACATTTTACATTCAAGGTGATCCTTATGATTTAACACCGATTAAGACCGAGACCAACTCACTTTTCTTTGAATCAAGACTATCAACCTTTGACTCAAAAAATGGTTTCAGGCACTTCAACATAGTTAAGGAAAAGAGCTCTGGCTAGATTTCAATGCGTCACATACAGATATTCAAGACATGCTGATGGTTAAAAATTTAAACTCAACAAAATGATCGTAAATTGTAAAGCATGTTGTTGTTATTTCTGTTTCTGATGTAAAAACAAACAAGCATAATAATCAGAGAATTCTTGAGCTTTTTTAAAATTTACATTTACTAAAAGATAGAAAAGTTATAAGTATTTAATATTGTTTCAAATTTTACATTGTATAAATATGAAACTTGTATCAAACTAAGCTACCAATCAATTTTCAATTTTTTATGACACAAAATTAAGGTTTTGACAATTTAATTAAAACTGTCAAAAATTGAAGAATATTCTTTGCATTACAAACTAATCAATAAACTACTATACAGCATCAGAAGGAACCAAAATTGTTGAAAATGTCATCAACTATATCTCCATCAGCACTACAAGCACTAGACGAACCCCTGAGAAAACAAATAATGAAATTTATAGAATCAGAACAACAAAAATCAAAAGTTCAATCATCAATTCATAATTTTACAGATATGTGTTTTAAAAAATGTAATGCAAATAAATCTATTACTAGTCCCAATTTAGATTTACAAGAAGAACAATGTTTAGTTAATTGTTTGAATCGATATTTGGATTTAAATATTAAAGTTGTTGAAGCATTACAAGGGAAATAAATTTAGGAAGGTGATTTTTTGTAAATAATTATTAAGTAGATTAAAATGTTGTAATATAGGTTGTTTTTTGGAGTATTTCATTGGTCTATATATGTACATAATTCATCAAATTCATTCAATTTATCATATTTTAAAGCTAGTCTTTTTAGATTTGTTATACTTTGTTGAATTAAACTAATATCAATGCTTTTGATCTCGTATTTTTTAATTCTTTTTAAAAGTATTCCATAAGCTCCAATTATATCATAAACAAAAGTATATATCATTGGATTATCAATAGATAGTATTTCATTTACCACATCGATTGCTTTTATAATAATTTTAGGTTGTTGCTCTAAGTAGTTGATATTTGTGATTATATTATTTAAAAGGTAAAATATTTTGGATATATTTATTAATACATCTAGTTTGATTTCTTCAATACATATCGATAATTGATTTAATAAAAATATGACTATTTCAGGATAGTTGTTAACATAAATTATTGATGATAAAATTTGACCTATAATTTCTATAAAATTCAAATTATTTCCAAATTTTCTATCAACTTGATAAAGACATGGATATGCAATAGTAAGTAATTTTAAAGATTCATCTTCTTGAGTGATTGAAGGTAAATGAGTTAAACACTTGATTAAATTTTGTCTTAATGGACCTATTAAATTTTGAATGGATGGAACTTTTTGGATCTCTTTTGACTGTAAATACTCTAGTAATTTACAAGCTTGTAATTTAGCATCAATGTCAAATTTCAAAGTATCAATAATCAACAATAATACAAGCATTTGTATCTCTGAATCATTTTTTACACTCACCAAAAACCAAGCTTGAGCTAATATAGAAGGATCAAATTTTTGTTCTCGAAATGATAATCTTGGTCTTAATGTCAGTTGCTTTTTTTGACCTAATTTAACTAATTTTTCAATTTCTAGTAATTTCGGACGAAAATATACGTTGATGTATTGAGGTAGTAGTGAACTGATGTTTGATTTGCCAATAATTGATATCACTAGTTTAGAATTTTGTACTGAACTCCATGACAAATTTGGATTTGAATGTAGTGATAATATTTGAAGTTGTTGTAGATTTAAATTGATTAAAGAATCATTAAGGTTAGCTAAAGCTTGAGTATAGTGGTTAGATGGATGTGAAAGTTCTTTTAGCTTATCAAAATTTTCAGCTATATTGTCTTGATTTGGGTTGACATCTGGCAATTCCTCTATCTTCATAATTTGATTTATTCTAAAACAATCCAAGAGATATCTCAAAACTCAATTTTTCTAAATTTTACAACCAAATATTCAAATAAATGAAAAACATACTAAAAATATCAAAAGAAGTTCAAAATGCTATAAGACTAAAAAGACCAATTGTATCATTAGAATCAACAATTATATCTCGTGGTTTACCTTATCCTCAAAATCTAGAAATGGCAAGATCAGTTGAATCCATACTAAGAGATCAAGATGTTGTTCCAGCTACTACTGCATTTATAAAAGGTATACCTCATATAGGTCTAAGTGATTCACAACTTTCCGAATTTGCAGAAACTCCTCAAGATCAAATTCACAAAGTATCAAGAAGAGATATGGGGTATGTAATGGCTAACAATTTAAATGGTGGTACAACGGTTTCTCAAACTATGATTTTATCCAATATGGTAGGTATAAATTTTTTTGCAACAGGTGGATTAGGAGGTGTTCACCGAGATTTACCAGGTCAATTTAATATGGACATATCAGCAGATTTAACAGAATTAGGTAGAACTCCAGTAAGTGTAATTTGTGCTGGTCCAAAATCAATATTAGATATTCCCAAAACATTAGAATTTTTAGAAACTCAAGGTGTATTTGTAGGAACATATAATGAAGATCATTTACCACCACAGAAGTTATATTTACCGGGATTTTATTGTAGAGAATCTTCAACATTATCACCTTTTGGATTTTCAAATTTTAAGGAAGCTGCTAATATTACTTTTAATCAAAATTTAATGAATTTACAAAGTGGTAATGTCTTTTGTATTCCACCACCAAAAGAAACAGCATTGAATAGTGAGTTTATAAATAAAATCATTGATGAAGCTAATGAAGAAGCTAGAATTAAAGGTATATCTGGTAAAAAATTAACTCCTTTTTTACTTAATGAAATAGCTATTAGAACTAAAGGTAAATCTGTTGATTGTAATATTAGTTTGGTTAAAAATAATGCTAGTGCTGCTGCTGAAATTGCTAAAGAATATCATAAATTAGTATGTTAATCATAAATTTGAATTGAGTATCATTATACTGACAATTGTAGGAAAATCAAAGTCAAACTCCAGTTTCAAGCCTTACAAATATAGATATTAAAGACTTAAAACCAAAACAATCACCAGCTACAACTTCGTCTAAAATCGATTTATTAGTAGTTGGATCAGTTGCATTAGATACAATAGCATCAATAAAAACACAAACAAAATTTAAAGATTCAAATATAGGTACAATAACAAATTCAATTGGAGGAGTAGGTTATAATATTGCATTAGCAAGTAAATACGTCAACTCCAACACTATAAAGTTTATTTCTAGAGTAGGTGATGATTTTGCTGGAAAATTAATATCAAACAACATTGACATAAATTCAAATTTAAGTATAGGGGATGGAAATACTGCTCAATATGTATGTACTCATGACTCGAAAGGTGAATTAATTATAGCTTGTGCTGATATGTCAATAATCGAAGAACCGGAATTTGGTGAAGATGTTGTACAAGAAATAGAGAAGACTGAACCAAAAGTTGTTGTATTAGACTGCAATTTATCATCACAAACAATAAATCAAGTACTAAATTATCCATATAAATTACAACCAAATTTCATTATTGAGCCAACATCATATATAAAATCAACAAGACTTTCTCAAACTAATTTAAAAGTATTCCCACATAATCAAATAAAATTAATAACACCAACAATAGAAGAATTAAATACTTTATTTGAATCATTCACAACTGCTCAAAAATTTGAATTAGATTATTGGTTCCCCGTATTAGATTCAATGAATATCAACAGTACATTTAGGGAGAAACTTGCAAGTATTAAAGAATTAAAAGATTTACATCAAAAAGGTATATTTCAACAATGTTTCCATTTATTACCGTTTTTCCAAAATATTTTAGTGAAATTAGGATCAAAAGGTTGCTTATTAGTTAGTTTGGTTATAAATCATTCAGATTTAAAAAGTATTCCAACTACTTCAACTTATAAACCCAGTAGAGTTGTTATCAATGATTATAATAGTAGAATCGGAGTATTAATAGAATATTTCCCAATACCAAAAGAAAATGAAAATTTACAAATTAAAAACGTAACTGGTGCTGGTGATACATTAGTTGGTTATTTATCTTCAAAATTATCATCAACAAGTAATAAAAATGAAAATTGGCTTAATTGTGAAATAAATTCAATAGAACAAGTTTGGTCCAAATGGGAAACAATATATAAATCTCAATTAGCTAGTGGATTGAGTTTAACTAGTGAGAAATCAGTTAATGAAAAAATAGGTGATATATAATTGTGTAAAAATGTTATGGAAACGTTTATAGATTTAAATAAAAGTCCGCTTATGTTATATATTTTTTACCTATTTAGTCGCTTAATTCCTTGTAGAAAAAAATATACAAGGGTTTTGAGAAATTGCAAAAAAATTACATCAGACTATTCTTCACCAACCAAATACCATCCAGAAATGTTCAATTCATTTAGATTTTTCAGGGTAAGACCATTAAGAGTATTACCAGTCGTTGCTATATCCTCGTATGCTATATCACATCAATATTGGAATCAAAAAATATACTTAGATACACAACAACAAGTACAACAGCAACAACAACAAAATAGTATAATTGTTGATTCATCAATATCTCCATTTCCTAAACAAATTTCAAAATCAAATTTAATAAGTCAAAATTTCACATTATTAGGTCATGGAATTAGATCAGTTACATTTATAGGTTTTAAAGTTTATGGTATTGGTATCTATATTGCAAATTCAGATATATCAAAAGCATCACAAATTTTAAACTCATTTGAAAAAAATAATCAGAATCCTGAATTTCCAGCATTAAATAATCCAACAGAATCTGATCATATAATAGAAACTCTATTAGATAATAATATTAAATTCTTGATAAGATTATCACCAGTAAGAAATACTGATTTTAATCATTTAAAAGATGGATTAATTAAAAGTATATTAGCTCATCCAAGTTCCAAAACATTAAAGGAACAATTAAGTAAAGGATTAGAAGAATTAAGAGCAGTTTTTAGTAAAACAAGAGGATCAGTACCAAAAGATGATTTATTAATTATGGAAATTTTATCAAATGGTGAGATGTCAGTTAATTATATTAATCAAAAACAAGATAAAATTAAAGAGATGGGGATAGTTAATGAACCATTAGTTGGTAAAATATTAATGCAACAATATTTAAGTTCAAATAAACCATTAAGTGAAAGTTTGAAAAAAAGTTGTATTGAAGGATTAAATAATTTAATTTAAAAAAAATCAAAGTATTTATTAATTATTTAATTGTTGTTTTATTATTATTGACTAAACTTGTAAATTCTCTCTTATTTTTTTTTCTATGAACTAATTCTACATAATAATTGATTCTTGTTCAACATTTGCTGAAATTGATTTATGTGGTAAAACTTTTGCACCATTAACATAAATTTCATTTTTAATTTCAACATCATCACCTAAAACAGTAACACCTTCAGTTCTTGCCCATTTACCAATTCTTGAATTCCAACCAACTATAGTTGATTTAACCCATGCATGATCTTTAACTTCTGAATTTGCTAACAAAACAGATCTTTGAATTCTTGCACCTTCACCAACAACAACATTTGGACCAATAGTAACATTTGGACCAATTAATGCACTTGGATGAATCTTGGCGGTTGGATCAATTAAAACATTACCTCCATGTACAAATTTTTCTTTTGATAATCTTTCTGGATGTTTTTTTGATAATGAAGTTAAATATAAACAAGTACCACTTAAAAAATCTTTTGGTTGACCAATATCCATCCAATAACCTTCTAAATCAAAACTATATAATTGTCTTTTTTCAACTAATTGTGGAAAAGTTTCTTTTTCAATTGATGTTGGTCTCATTTCAATTAAATCAATAACTTCAGGATTTAAAATATATAATCCTGCATTAATTCTATTACCAACAAATTCAACTGGTTTTTCAACAAATCTATCAATTAAATTTGGAGTATCTCTATCATGAACAATAACACCATATTTACTTGGTTCATCAACTTTTGTTGCAACTATAGTACCTTGAGCACCATGAGCTTTATGAAAATCTGCCAATTCTTTAAAAGGATAATCACAAATAACATCAGAATTTAAAACAAAAAATGGTGAAGAATCTTTTTTCAAAACTTTTTCAGCTAATTTTAATGGACCAGCAGTACCTAAAGGTTCTTCTTCAACACTAAAAGTAATTGATACACCATATTCTTCTTCATATTTTTTTAAAGTTGAAACCATAACTTCAGGTCTATAATTAACAGCTAATACAATATCTGTTACTCCAGCAGAAGCTAATGCTTCAATTTGATGTAAAATCATTGGTCTATTACCAAATTCAACTAATGGTTTTGGTAATGTTAAAGTTAATGGTCTTAATCTTGTACCATAACCTCCTACTAAAATTAATCCTTTCATTTTATATGTATATATGTGTTTGTAAAATGTGATTAAAAGTGAATGAATTAAGTTAAATTAATAAAATGAATGTAATAGTATCTTTTATTAAATGTTCTACCTAGATTTAAGGTCAAAGAAGAAAAGAAGAGAAAAAAAGATAAAAAAGAAGAATTCATTAAAAAAATTAATTGAAAGTATTTTCAATTGATTATATATTATTAGTATTATTATTTTTATTATTTTTTGTTGATTTCTTCAGGGGAGTTTAAATTTTTTTTTTTCGAAAAAGAAAAAAATTTATTTTTAAATTAAAATAAATAAACAAACAAAATCGCTATTAAGTAAACTCCAATTAGGTGTCAATTAACAATCAATCATCGATTTATTGTATTGTACAATTACTAATTAATAACTTATTCAAACGTTACACTAAAGAAGAAATTAATTTATTATCTTGTATAAAAAAAAAAGAAACATCAAAAAGGTAGTGTGCTTTGTACCGTTTTGGATTTAATTTAAATTTTATTTTAAGACGAAGACGTGTTTAATGATTAATGTACCATGCAATAAGAATAATAATATATTCATTGAACCACATGTTGATTTGTTATAAGATATATTATAATTCTTAATGACATTTCTTTTGTTAAAATTATCAATTGAATGACAATTTTATTTCAATTAAATAGATCTTTAATAAGAAATTATTCAATTAAATTTATTTTAATGAAAATTTCTCGAGGATCTTACAATTAAATTGAATATTTTTTAATTTATACTTTTAATTGCAAGTTCTTACTTACCAAACAGATTTAAATTAATATTCAATATAGATTTCGTAAAATTAAATTAAAATTAATAGAATTTATTCTTTTTATATTTTTGTGTTTATTCCTAACTCATGGCTGTTTCGTATATTAAAATAACATGGGTAGTAAATTTAATTGATTTGATTCTAAAATATTGATTAGTTAGTTATTAAGAACTAAATATAATACGTGTTATTTAAATAATTATTATAATAATATAATATCCTGTATATAGTCAAAGAATAATTATTCCGAAATTATTATATTACTTTAATTTATTTAATTACCTTTTATATACAGTACTACTATTAATTTGTAAATAAGAGCTGGCTTTAAATTAAATATTTAATACATCTTCACAAACAATATTAAAATTTAGTTATTGATTTTCCAGGGCTGTACAATCTTTGAAAACTCATTGAATTATAATTTTCAAGGCCAATAGGTAACCAAAATGTCTTAGTTAATCCAAATTAAGATTGACGAGATCTATCTCAAAGATCATTATATACAATTTTCTTATAAAAAACTGATACAAACAATAGAATGTAAATCTTTAATTAAACTTTTTATAAAAATCTTCAACATATAATAGTACAAAAACGTCTAAATTTGTTTCAACTTCTATCAAAGATTTTAAATTTAATCAAAAGACGTGTTCCAGACGGCGTGTTCTATTGTTTGAATTACAAAACTAAAATGGTTCCATCGATAATCTTATGCAACATGTGTATGACTTATCAACTATTTAACTGAAAGTAGAATTAATCAAAGTTATTATAGCTAGTAAAGAAGATTTTGCATATCAACTTTGAGACTATTTACACTCTATTTTTAATATACGAATTTTGTCGCAACATCAAAAATTTTGCAATCAATGTATTTTTTTCAATAGTTAATACGTTTACCAATTCTGATGTATTTATTGTACAATTTTCCTTGAGCCCTCCGGTAGTTAGAACTCAGTACGATTGTATATCTATTAAAAGGTACTTAAGGAAGAAGACGGTTTTATCGAAAATGTAAAAAGTAATAGATAAGTATGCGTAGGTTTACATTTTTTATACAACTTTGATACAATTTTAATGCCAATTTTCTACAAAATTCAATTAAAAATTAATACCAATCTTCTGTGTTTAATTCAGTCACTTAAATCACTTACTGATTAAGGTCAGCCAAACAGTTTCCTCAATTAAGATATGAGAACTACTACATTCACATGGATTCAATGAGATAACTCATATTAATTAGTCAATTGAAATTAAATATAAATAGAAATAGAATTGAAGTATTATATAAGTCGGTTGATCCAAACTATCCGAAAAAATAAAGTTTCACCCATTTGAGTTGATATTTTTCTAAACTTCTAACAAATTTCAATGCTACAAGTTTTCGAAACATCAAATAAAGTAAAGCTTTGAATAACATCACATCAATTGATAATTTTCAATCAATCTTTAACAAACGTACCTTTCATACCTAGTTGGTAATGATCAGGCGGATTTGATCAAGTTTTTTTTTAATAAATCAAATCTAAAAAATTAAATCTTTTGCAACTATTAAAAATATTTTTTAATCTAATTGCAATCACATTAAAAGCAACAAGATATTCATTTTTAATAGTATATTACAATATTTATAATATATGAATATAATATTAAATTAAATGATATATTATATAAAATCGATCACTATTATTATTCAAAATTATCAATAATATAATAATTAATAGGGGGCGGGAAAGCTACCAAATTCTCGGCACCTTATCTTTACTACGCTTATTAAATTAACTCTTAACTAAACTTTTGGGTTTAATTTTTTTTTTCTTATCTATATTAAAAATTTTTCTTTATCATACTTTGACTTTTTAACCATTATTGAATAATTATTTAATCAATCAATCAATCAATCAATCAAAACTATATTATGATTGTTGAAACAAAAATTATATATATCCATATAATATAATAATTTAGAGTATTGATAATAATAAAGATAGTTTAACATTATAATAACAAAAATTTAAATTTAGTATCAGATTACATTATATCACATAATTAACAAAATATATAAATATATTCAACGTTAAATAATTATAAGATGAGCCATCCCGAAATACGATCAACTCCAAAAAGGTCATTATTATCATCAAATCTAGCCAGGGAACATAATCAATCTAATCAACTTGGGGATCAAACATCGCTACCTCAACAACATACTTTTTTCAATATTCATGAAATTATAAATAATAATAATAATAATAATAATGATGAAATTATACTAGATCATCCTGAACCTCAATTACTAGCAAGTTCCGTAGGAAAAGATATAAATGGGAAGTTAATACCGTCATCATCTACAATCTCATTATTATCATTAGGTCAAGATTCTCAGTATAGTCAACAACAACAACTCCAACAATCTCAAAATCAACAAAATCAAGCACCAATACTAATACGTCAAAATTCAAATAATAGATCATATTTAAATTTACAAAGATTACAACAATATCAAAGAATATCACAACTGGAAAATTTACCTACAATAAATTCAATAAATTCAGAATATATATCAATACCAAACTCACCAAGTTTAGATCCAACTTCAGTAGGTAATTCACCTTCTAGATTCTGGTTATCTTCACAAACTCCACCTTACAAAATAAAACCAATATATCAATACGTAACTCATAGAAATCCAACCACTAATAATAGTACAACTACACTAAATAATATACAAGGAGATAAATCACCACAATTAAACCCAGTTCAAACACCTTTGGAAGATCCACCTATGACTCCCCTTTTTTTGAACTCACAAACTAGAATGGATTACTTTGGACAATTGACTGAACAAGTTGAAGAAGAAGAACATGAAAATGAAAATGAAAATAATGTTGATAATGATGAAATTTTGGAAATGGAAAAGGTTAATTAATGATTTGTTATATTGAGGTATTATAAAAATATATAGAGTTAAATAATGCATTCATTTTAATATCCTATAACTGAAGAAATATACTATATATGTAGCTAATGTTTTTCTCAAAAATTGGTTGTAAAAATCTCAGAATTAAAGTTCGAGTAATGTCAAAAACATCAAAATTAAGAGGCGAAAATATACGCACAATTATTTTCAAAGAATTCATTAGAATATGTCAACTTATGAAGGTATGAAGACCTCATATTCTACAAATTAATTCAAATTTCTATACTAACATATCAATTAGAGGAGCATAATATATCTCCCTCTCAAAATCCTGAAAGAGGTAGAAATCATCAAACATTAAGTAGAATAATAGACTCATTCATACATCAAACTCCAAATTCTAACAATCAAAGTCAAAACCATTCCCATCTAATTGATTCAAATAATATAGCATCAACAACATCAATAGAATCATTAACAGCAGCATTAAATCAATTACGTACCCTTGAACATTCAGATATTGCAAATTCTTTAATTAATATTTTAGAAAATGAACCAAAACATGAAGGTGTTAATTCAGAATTTTTAGATACATTAGAACGTATTCCAATCAATCAATTATCAAATGAAGAATTTTGTCCAATATGTACTAATAAATTTAAAGATGATAAATATCCTTTAGTTGTAAAATTACCATGTGGACAAAAAAGAAAACATTATTTTGATTTAGAATGTATATCTCCTTGGTTAGTTCAAAATAGTACTTGTCCAATGTGTAGGACAAATGTATTAGAATTTGAAAAAAATAGAAGAAAACTTATTGATGAAGAGATTAAAAAAGCTAAAGAAGAAGATTCTGAAGAAGAATTAGAAGAAGAAGGATGGGATATTTATGGATAGAATTATTTAATACATTTTTTATTATATCTATTTACAAGTTTGCCAATTACAAATGTCTTTTAAATTCTGCTGATTGTAATAATTCTTTTACTTTTAAAGCAACAGGATCTTCTAAATCCTCGTAAGCTTTAGGTAAATTAAATTCTTCAGTAGCTAATAAATCTTCATTGTATGTTAATTTTTCATTAGTTGTAATAGTAGCTTTTAATTCAACATCTGATAATCTATATTTATTTATATAACTCAACCATAAATCAATAACTTCAGGATTAGAATCATATGCTATTAATTTCTTATTATAAGTAGTTCTATGAAAATTTTGTTTTGTTTTAGCTTGAGCAAATGGTGATTTAATAACAGTATATAATCTTTTTTCAGTTTTTAAAGTAGTTAAAGAAGATAATGGTATACCTAAATAATAACCTGATCTTAATGCAAATTCTCCCATTCCAATTAAATCATCTTCATTATAGCCTCTAAAAGTTAATGTTGCAACTTCATTATTATGTGTTGGAGGCAATCTCAATGGTTTGTATTGTAATAATTCTACGTTTATTGGAATGGGACGTTGGTTTTGAAGGTTATGTGAACTTAATGTCTTTGGAGTATATGGGATTTGATTTTGAAGTAAATTTTTTTTAAATTGTTGATTTTCGAGTTTTTGTTGTGTTGATTGATTTACTAGTTCATTTGGTGATATGAATTTTTGAGATATACTGCTGCTAGTGGTGAATGATCTTATTGATGACTGTAGTCTTGTACGAATCATTGTGAATGGGTTTGATTGAATTAACTTTATTGATAATTGTAAAAATATTTTTCATATTAATTTTTTTTCTTTTTTGGTTGTAAATTTTCAAAAAACTATAATGGGTAAGACAAGTAAAGATAAGAGAGATTTATATTATAGACGAGCGAAAGAAGAAGGATGGAGAGCTAGATCAGCTTATAAATTATTACAATTAGATCAAGAATTTAATATTTTAAAAAATGTTTCAAGAGTTGTTGATTTATGTGCTGCACCAGGTTCTTGGTCTCAAGTATTAAGTTCAAAATTAGGTTCATCAGCTAAAATTGTTGCTGTTGATTTACAACCAATGACTCCCATAGATAATGTGATTACAATACAAGCAGATATAACACATCCAAAAACATTACAACAAATATTACAACAATTTAATGGAGAATTAGCTGATTTTGTATGTAGTGATGGAGCACCAGATGTTACTGGATTACATGATTTAGATGAATATATTCAACATCAATTGGTATGGGCAGCTATGCAATTAACTACATGTATATTAAAACCAGGTGGTTGTTTTGTTGCTAAAATTTTCAGAGGTAAAGATATTGATTTAATGTATTCACAAATGAATAAATTTTTTAATAAAGTAATTTGTGCAAAACCAAAAAGTTCAAGAGGTACTAGTTTAGAAGCATTTATTGTATGTTTAGGGTATAAACCAATACCCAATTGGGTACCACAACTAAATTTAAATCAACTGACTGATGAATTTTTTGAAGGTGTTTTAGGTGGTGAAGAAAGATTAATGGTTGAATTTATTAGTTGTGGAGGTGATGATGCTATTGATTCGGATGCTACATATAACTTAGATTTGGATAAAGTTAGTCTAGATCCTATTCAAATGCCAACGGCTCCACCTTATAAAAAGGCATTAGAATTAAAAAGAAAAGGAGAATTAGTTAGACGAGAGATTAAATAATGTAATGTAATGTAATGATAATGTAACTTTAAATTAAAAAATTCTATTTACAAAATTTATCTCTTTAATTATCTTTTAATGGTTCTTCACCTTTCAAAACTAAAGCATCAGGTTTTAAAGTTGGAAACAACAAGACTTCTCTAATAGTATTTGAATCAGTTAAAAACATAGCTAATCTATCAATACCACAACCCCAACCAGCAGTTGGTGGTAAACCATATTCTAAAGCATTACAAAAAGTTTCATCAACCATTTGTGCTTCATCATCACCTTGAGCTTTTTGTCTTGCTTGTTCTTCAAATCTTGCTCTTTGATCAAAAGGATCATTTAATTCTGTATAAGCATTACAAATTTCTTTTGTAGCTACAAATACTTCAAATCTTTCACAAAGTCCAGGAATTTTTCTATCTTTTTTAGCTAATGGTGACATCATTTGTGGATGACCAAAAATAAAAGTTGGATTTATTGAAGAATCTTCTAATTCACCAACTAATTTATCCAACATTCTTGCATTAGTTAATGGTGGTGAACAATCTAATTTATTATCTTTTAATACTTTTTTCAAAAATTCACCAGTAGCTTCTGTATGTAATTCATCACCAGCTGGGAATTTAACATTATAAACTTTTTCTAATTCTTCAATCATATTAATTCTTTTCCAAGGTCTTGTAAAATCTAAAGTTAATTCTTTACCTTGAGGACCATCAGGATGATATACGACTTTATAATCACCAGTAATTTCTTTAACCATTTCAGAAAACATTAATTCAGTCATATCCATTAAATCATAAACATCAGCATAAGCTTGATAAAATTCACAAGTTGTAAATTCAGGATTATGAGTCATATCAATACCTTCATTTCTAAATTGTCTACCAATTTCATAAACTCTATCCATTCCTCCTACAACTAATTCTTTTAAAAATAATTCAGGTGCAATTCTCATAAACATTTCCATATTTAAATCATTATGATGAGTTGTAAAAGGTTTTGCAGTAGCACCACCAGCAATAACATTTAAAATAGGAGTTTCAACTTCAACAAAATCTCTTGTATCTAAAAATTTTCTAATAAATTGTATAATTTTTGATCTAATTTTAAAAGTTTCTCTACTTGATTCATTCATAATAAGATCTAAATATCTTTTTCTATATCTTGCTTCTTGATCTTTAAAACCATAATGTTCAGTTGGTAACATATGTAAACATGGAGTTAATAATTGAATTGATTTTGCAAATATGGATAATTCACCTTCACCACCTTTTGCTGGGGCAGTTCTACCTGGATATCCAATAACTCCAACAATATCACCTCTTTTTAAAATTTCATGCATTTCTTCATATGATTCAATCGATTCAGCGTCTTGAGCTTGTGCCATAATTTGAATTTCTATACCATCACCTTTTAAAACATAAAATTTTAATTTTGAACCAGCTTCTCTTTTAGTCATAATTCTACCACTTACATTAACAATTTGATCTTTTAATGATTCACCTCTACTTAAATGTTCAAATTCTTTTTTAAATTCAGGTAATCTCTTGGTGACTTCAAATTTATGTGGATATGGATTAAAAGCATTTGGATCTTTATTGTTTTTTTCTCTTAATTCTTCAATTTGACGTGATCTAATTTCATGATATTGATTTGGATTTAAATCTGCTAATTCATCTTTTTTTTTAGTAGATTTTTTTTGCTCTGGTGCTGGAGTTTTGGATGCTTTTTTAGCCTCAATTGCTCTTTGTTTTTGTCTTCTTTTTAATTCTGTTTTAGATACTTGTTCTCCTGTAACATCATCTAAATAAGTTTTTTGAACTTGTTCAGTAACTTGATCAACTCCGTCAGACATTTTTATGGAAAGTTGTTGGTTGGTTGTCAAAATGAGTCTTCTTGATAAATTTGAAATTTTTTTTTTTTTTCTTACTCTTATTGTTATCTTTTAACAAAATTATTTTAGAGTGAAAAATTTTTTTCAGATTAAAGATCAATAGCAAATCACCAACCAAATATGCCAAATAATAACCACAAGTATGAACCATCAACCATCAACACAATCTCGATATCATCATCTGTGTTGTTATCATTACTCAGACACACTTCAGAACACTATCCAGCCTTATTTTCAGGTGCATTATTGGGATTTGAAGATGAAAAAACAATTGATATAACTCATGGTTTCCCGTACCCTTACCCAGATCAATATGAAGGTGGATCTTTTAAATCAAGATCAGGTAGTCAATACCAAAAGGATTTATTAGAAAATTTCAAAAAATTAGGCTATGGAGTTGAATTTCAAGGTTGGTTTCAATCAACAATTTCAGGAAATTTTGTAACTACACAATTAATTGAAGGATTAGCACAACAACAATTAAATAATTCAAATATTTTTATTTTAATTCATGATATGTCAAGTATAGGACAAGAAGTAAATTTAAAAGCTTTAAGATTATCAACTGGATTTATGAATGCTTATATTGATGGGAAATGGAAATCAAAAGATTTAGAAAAAAATAAAATATCATATTTAAATATATTTGATGAATTAGAAATAAAAATACAGAATCAAGCATTAACTGAATTATACCTTACAACAACAAAAGAACCAAAAACAACAGAATCAGAATTACAAATTTTAAATTTATTATCAAATTCAAATTCAACATCACAATTATTAGAATCATTATATTCTCAAGTAGATTCTTTTAATTATGATCAAAATAATTTTAATTATTATCAAAGACAATATCAAAAAGAAGGTTCAAAAATACAACAATGGAAACAACAAAGAAAATATGAAAATTTAGAAAGAGCTAAAAATGGAGAAAAAGAAATTGAAAATAATGATGAATGGAAATCACTTTTTAAATTACCTGTTGAACCTTCAAGATATAATAATCTTTTACATAGTCAATCTATTGATTTATTAGCTGATGATATATTAAAAAAATGTGATGAAGAATTACAAAAATCTTTTGCAATTAATAGAAAATTAACTTTATAGATTTTTGAATAAATGTTAGGTTTTGTCAACTATATTTCTGAAATATTATATCAATGGAAAAGACTTTGAAATAGCAGCTTATACAGACTATTTAGTAATGAACGTACGTTGTCTAATTTTAATAAAATCCAGAGTAAAGAGATAGCTTGTTTATCAAACATTGTATTTGTTCTTCTATAATTTTTTGAAGATACTTCATAATCTCAATTTACAATTGGAAACATACAATGTATTAATGTCCTTGGAAATAGAATTTATAATATGTATGTGATAATATACGAGTTTTTTATATTAAATGATTCCCACTTATATGCAGTAAAGTAAGTTAATAAATTTTTTATTGTTTAAATTTTTGTTTCAGATTTTTAAATTATTTTTGTTTTTTAATTAAAAGACCAACAAATTTAAAATATTTGGATTATTACGGGTAACAAATTAATATTTGTTTATTTCTATTAAAAGATTACGTAAAAAGGAGTATCCTGAAATTTTATAAATAGAGACAAAATTTTCCGTTAATTTCAGAATTATTTTGAATTTATAATAGTTGATCGACTATTAAACCAAATTTTGACAAGCTGAAGCGTAGTTTCACCTAATAATTTACTGATTACTACATTCAATTAGGAGATTAACTTTTAATCATTCTTTACAAATATATTATAATTTTATAATATTATTTGTTTAGTTTGTGGAATAGATTTTATAAATGTTTCATTATCAAGTTGTATTTTTCAAATAATAGCATTTCTTAGATTCGACAGTTAATTTGTCTATTTGGTTATCATACACCGATTCGTTCAAAACCTAAGTTTCGTGCTGCAGCTTATTTGAAAATATATTCGCATTCAGTTATGATTTTTGGTGAATACCCTCACATACTACTACAATGAATTAAATTATTAAATTTTGATCATTCTTTACAAATCTATTTTAACTTTATAATATTATTTGTTTAGTTTGTGAATTAGAGTTTATGATTAGTTCATTATCGAGTTGTTCTTTCTAATAATCTGTCATTTTTTGGATGTATAATAAAGGTTTCAATTTTCATCCAAAGACTTATTCGTGTGAGAAATGTGTTTAACTTTACATACTTTACCTCTTAATAAATGTATTTATATTGTATTTTTTGTATTTAAAACATTTTAAAAAATGTAGTTGATCTCTTTAAGTATTGATGTATAGAAGTTTGAAATGGATTATAACAATAAGCTCATGGTTTCCAGAGGTCTTCTTTATTAGTAAATCTAAAACAATTTATTATTGTCATAAAATAAGGCTTATTTAAAGCAGATAATATTTTTCACCGAAATCTTATATATTTATTATAATTTTCAATAGTTTGATTCAAATAGTGTTCATAGGTTTGATCATTTAAAATATTTTATGATACAAATAGTAGGACTAAAAAACTTGTTTCATATGATTTTAGTAATTTTTATTCAGTGTATAACTTTATTTTGATTTTTTTTAAACGAAGATATCTGATGGTAATTTTAAACTATTTACTCACTGTTTTTTTAACTTAATCCATTGATCACCCTTTAAAATTTATTGGACTATAAGAATTTTTAAATTTAAAACAAATTGTATCCTGTGTATAATATCAATTTTATAATTTAATTGAAAAGTTTAATTTTTTTTTTTACATTTTTAGATTTTGAATTTTAAAATCCCCACTAAAAATTAGACTCAAATAATATTTTTCTATATAAAAAGAGAGAATTTCTCAATTTTTTATTTACATAATTAAATTTTACAACCAACTAAAAAAAATTTCTGATAGAATTTTCTTTTAAAATTGGATGAAATATAGGGTAAACACTATTGATAGCAACCTCATCAGCAGATTCATTTATGAGTAAAACAAATTATATCATTTTTTACGAAAATATTATAATCTTATGATATTTATTTGTTCAAAATGTGACCAAAAGTTCTCAATTTCTTATCATTAACCTATGGTATGAAATTATGAACCTAAAGTTTTTGTTTTGAATTGTGTTGATGTTTGGAATTTATTCGAACTGAAAAAGTGGGAGGTTTTATCAGGTTTGCGAAGTCTCAAAAAGTTATTATCATGTTTGTTTTCATGACATATATTAATGAAGTTTAGTTTATGAGGTAACTTGGCTTTAAGCTTTTTATGTCTCGGTTTCAATATGTGCAATTCATATAGCTAGGGTATTTTTGGGTTATATGTAAATGATCTAATATATTTTAATGTATAATTTTATGATGTATTTTGTATTCTGAATAAAATTCACTTGATATTGTAGCTCAACTCTTCTACTTACTTTCATTGCGATTCAAATCTATTACTAAATTCAAAATATCTTGTCTCTCATTTTGTTGTAAAATTGACTATGTTCAATACTGATAAAAAAATTCAATTCTGCATATAAACTTCTATTGTTTTAATTTTTGTTTCAGAATTTTAAGATTTTAATTTTATTATTTTATTTATTAATTAATAAATTTGAAAATAAAATAAAATTACTCTATATAAATTTAATTACTGAGATTAGATTCTCAACAAAAGAAAAAAAAAAAGCGGAGTAAATTTGAATGTAAATAATCCTGTGAAAATTATATTTAAATTGATTTTTAAAGAGGTTGAACTACTAGAATAACTTTACAAAATAATAATATTTATAAATTTTATAGATAAAGACAATATTTTCCATAAATTTTAGAATTATTTGAATTTACAATAATTGGAGACCTAATCCTTTGAGTTCTTTTGCGAATTAGCTGTGTATTTTTGGTGCTAGTTTATTTCACTACAGTTAATTAAAATATTAAGTTTTGATCATTCTCTACAAATACATTATAATTTTATAATATTATTTGTTTAGTTTGTGCAATTGAGTATATAAATGTTTCATTATCAAGTTGTATTTTCCACATGATAGCATTTAATAAATTCAACAAATTAGTTTTTCTTTTTATTTAGCATATACTATTGTTTCATTTTAACATTTGCAACGCAAAAATTGTGTTTAGGATATACTTTAGACTTCGGCTTTTGTGAATATGTTCACTCACTACTACAATTAATTAAAAAATTAGTTTTTAATCATTCTTTACAAATATATTATAATTTTATAATATTATTTGTTTAGTTTGTGAAATAGAGTTTATAATTATTTCATTATCGAGTTCTATTTTTTATATGATATCAATTTTTCAATAATTTCTAAATTGGTTCTTTGTTTTGATGTTACCATTGTCAAATAATTAGTGTTTAACGTTATATACCATACCTCTTAATAAATGTATTTGTATTGTATTTTTTGTATACAAAACAATTCTAAGAATCGTAGAAAATTTCTTATCTAACTATAAATGCTTAGAAGAAGGAAATGGATTATAAAAATAAGCTCATGGTTTTTTCAGAGGTCTTCTTTAATAGTTATTGTAAATCAGTTTATTATTGTCTCAAACGTTAAAAAATACCATTCTCTACCGAATTCTTATAAATATATAAGAATTTTGAATAGTTTGATTTAAAGTGAGTTTATAGATTTGTAACATTTGTTTGATATAGATAGTTAAACTAAAGATATAACTTTATTTTATATCTCCTCTTTAAACACAGATTTTTAAATGTAATTTTAACTATTTACTCACTAGCTCTGCTAAGTTAATACATTGATCGTTTCTTTAAGTTAATTCATTGACCAATTTCAAAGATTAACCGACGAAAAGGATTACTAAATTTAGAACAATTGTATCCCTGTATAATAACAATTTTTTATAATTTAATTAAAAAGTTTAATTCTTATTTCTTATTTTTAAATTTTAAAATCTCCACAAAAATTAAAATTAGATTAGATTTTTCTATATAAAAAGAGAGAAATTCTCATTTTTTTATTTACATAATTCAATTTTACAAAATTTACTTAGCAACTAGATCCCATTTGAAATTTTAGTATAGTTTTTTTTTTGAAGATAATAAGTTGGGTCATTGAGTTTATCAACAGAATAAAAAAATCAAAATATATCTTTTTTTACGAAAATATCATAATTTTATGATATTTGTTTGTTTAGATTGTGATCAAAAGTTCTTAATTTCTTATCATTTAACTATGGTATGAAATTATGAACCTGAAGTTTTTGTTTCGAATTGTGTTGAATTTTAAAATTAATCCGGATTGAAAAAGTGGGAGGAATTACCAGGTTTGCAAAATCTCAAAAAGTTATTATCATGTTTATTTTCATGACATATATTAATGAAGTTTAGTTTATGAGGTAACTTGGCTTTAAGCTTTTTATGTCTCGGTTTCAGTATGTGCAATTCATATAGCTAGGGTATTTTTGGGTTATTTGTAAATNTTGATACTTTTTTTTTTTTTTTTTCTTAATTCGACATACATTTAAAAACTTAGCTTAATACAGTTTAAATTTAATTCTGCATATAAAACTTCTATTGTTCTAATTTCTGTTTCAGAAATTTATTATTTAAATTAATTAATTAATTATTAAAATTAATTATTAAAATTACTATGTATAAACTTTGACTACTTGGATTCTCAACAAAATGAAAAAAAAAAGAGGAGTAAATTTGGAATTAAATTATCCTGTGAAAGTTATATTTGAATTAGTTTTAAAAATTAAAAGAAGTTGAATAACTATTTTATAAATCAATATATAAGTATAAATATTTAAAACTTTATTCTTAATTTTTTTTTTGCTTCATTGTGATCTTTAGCTGCTTTTTAATTATCAATTGTTGATTGTCTGGAAACTTTTCTATATTCACAAGTTCCAAATGATAATCATTCTTCACGAATAGATTAATTCAGTTCTAATTTTATTTGTTTGGTTTGTGTTGCTCTTTTTACTATATGATATTGACTTCACATCAATTTATACACGTTAAAGAGAATATCAATTTGTATGCTTGATGTTATAAGAACTACTTTCAATTTTACATTTTCTCATTCATTATTCAGATCATCATTAGAACTAAAATCTTCAATTTTCACCTTGAG